TCGGCAACTCCGATTTGTTCGTCTTTAACCACGCCTCAACTATCTTGTACATCCACAACGTCGCTTCCGATCTTCACGTTGAGATCAAATGCTCATCCCATGGAATTCAAGATCAGCATTGACATACTGTAAGATTGCGAGTAGAAACATGATATTTCCCATTATCTCTTACCGTGCCGCCGAATCCCACATGCTCATCCACGTTATCCATAGTCTGATCGTTTAGAGTCTGTTCGGCCACCATTATTTGCGCAAGTTAGAATTTGGTTCTGGCTTTGCTAATCGTCGGAGCTTGAACAAGATGTCATGCTCCGATAACGCTTACCGTATGCCTTGTCCTACTATCAATACAATGCCTCTTGATCCTGATTATGATGAGGACGCTAACGAGGACGAATACGACCTTGTGGGGCAGAGGATATGGACAACGATGCAGAGGAGAGTGATAAGAAGTATCTGGCATGCATCATGCAGATGGCCATGCATGCTATGCGCACGGTCATTACAGTCCTCAACGCAACAACTACTGCGCTCGAAGCTTACTCAAACACCTACTACGACAAAGAGCCGTATCATACCTCTGCTTTGTCGGGGACTGCATGGGTCACCAAACTTCTCACTGGACACCCTGAACGCATCAGATGCGAGCTCGGGGTCCACAAGCACGTTTTCTATGTGCTCATCAATCTCCTTCAGCAAGCAGGATGCAGAGATTCCAGGCATGTACTGCTAGAAGAGCAGCTTGCTATATTTCTCTATGCATCTGTCACAGGTCTCTCGATTCGCCATCTTGGTGAACGCTTTCAGCGGTCCAATGAAACAATATCAAAGTATGTATATTGTTGCTGTCCTGGTATCAAGCTTATGTTCTTTCAGGTATTTTAAACGGGTTCTTTTTGCATTCTCCTCGCCACCGATATATACAACATACGTCCGCCTGCCCGACGTAGATAGCCCTCCTCCCCCCAAAATCATGAAAAACCCGAAGTTCTTCCCATTCTTTGTTGACACTATCGGAGCCATTGACAGTACACACATCACATGCCATCCTTTTGGTGAAGATCGGCATGCCGCTCGGGATCGCAAGGGGAACTTCTCTCAAAACTGCCTCGCGGCATATTCATTCAACCTTTCGTTTACCTACATGTTGAGCGGTTGGGAGGGGTCAGCTGCAGATGCTCGTGTCTATCACGATGCTCATACTACCGATTTCAATATCCCTGAGGGAAAGTATTATCTTGCGGACGCTGGATTTGGCTCGTGCGATGAGCTTCTGGTCCCGTTTCGGGGCGTGCGTTATCATCTTGCAGAGTGGGGTTGTGCTAATACTTTGTATGATGCGTTCTGCTAGTACCATTCATACTTATGTTCACATCATTACATAGGCCTCGTAATCACAAAGAACTTTTCAATTTGCGTCATGCAATGCTTTGAAATGCTGTTGAGCGCATTTTTGGTGTCATCAAGCGCCGATTTCGTATCCTTCTCCTCCCGCCAGAGTACAAAATGGACATTCAAGTGTGCATTCCTCCTGCCTTGTGTCTCGTGCACAACATTATTTGAGTTCACGATCCAAACGACATGATGGACTATCGTAATGTGTTAGATGCGCACATTCTCACTGACACTGGAAACCTTGCTAACGGTCCTCCTACTGAGCATGCACGCACTCGTGCGAGCCTCCGTCGTGACCAGATTGCTAGTGAGATGTGGGAGGCCTACAACAGGGAAAGGATTCAGAGGGGGGAGCAGGCAATCATAGAACCACTAGTACTGTAGTCGCATTAATACCATAGCTGTTCAGACCCTCATCGATGACTATGATCCAAAGTATCTCCGTCAAATGATGACATTGTTGTCAGATTAAGACCGGACCCTCATCGATGACTATGATCCAAAGTATCTCCATCAAATGATGACATTGTTGTCAGATCAAGACCGGACCCTTATCGATGACTATGATCCATAGAAATAGTGATATTGCTTTGCTACTACAAGTACAATACAAGAGAACACGACACGACAAGAATACATGTAACACTACTTTGAATGCTGCTCTAAAAACAACTGCCGAAGACTATCTACCTCAATAGCGAGATAAATATCAATGATAGCGATGTCGGCCTGAAATTTATTCAAGATATTGAGTAGTTGTACGTCCTCTAGACCCTCACTCTGCAACTTTTTCACCGCCTTCTGCCTGCGCAAAGGGATGGGATCTACTGATCGCGCCAAGGTGTTGGAGGTGTTGGCCTCAAGAGCATTGGCCGCGCGCTCTAACGTCGTGTTAAGACCGCCAATATTAGTCCCCATATGCTGGATGGCCACAGGCATCGTCAGGCATGCAGACTTTGCCGAGTCTCCCGATTTCGTTGAATGTGGGGGGCGGGTAACGATATCAAGTGTACTTTCGTCATCATCAATCAGCTTCCGTTTACTGGAAGCTGTTGATGATGGCGCACTAACACGGACCGACTCAAGGGAGGGTTGCTGTGCAGCGTCAAATGGAGGGAGGCTCTCTGGGGTGAGGGGGGTTGCGCGCTGGCCGCCTGAAATAGAGCCGGGGAACTCGATCCCATCGAGCGCATCTCCAAGGTCCATCATATGGACCTCGTCAAAGGAAAGGGGGGTGACTGCGCTGCTAGAAGAAGGCGAAGGAATGATGGGAGGTGGTGTCGCGATGGTGGCAAAGAACGAGTTGTTGTTACCTGGCTTGACAGGTATGAGACCTTTCAGCGCCTCATAGTGCTTCCAACCCTTGTCCCGGAGGCCTTTGGCCTTTGGATTTTTCTATTGATTCATAGTAATTAGCATTGTCGTAGTAGTTTGATGCGAATTAAAATCACTTTACCTTCACAAAGTCGGTCCACATGTTTTCAGACTCTGGAGTGATTGAAGCTCCGTGTTCCATGCTGTAAGATAGTCCGGAAGCATTGGCCACTTTGTCAATGATGTTGAATGTACCATGGAGCTGAAACTCGATCATTAGTGAGGGTACCAAGGCTGATATAGTAGTAGTACATACCCGCCCCCATTTTGATTGACATGCTACCGCTGTTTTGCTTGCACCCAAGCAGGGGTGTTTTTCCATTTCAGCAGCAGCAGCAACCCAAAATGTGTGATCAAAGTTCATACCATCACCACCTTGTGAGCGGTTGGTGGTGACATACTGGATGAGGACGGTTTCGTCTGCTTCCGTCCACACACACCGATCTCTCGCTTCCATTAGCTCTGCACCACCATGGGCACTTTTTCTGCCCCGAGACATCCTGTAAGAGTTGTGATGATGGATAGATTGTAGACGGGTAACGGGCATGCCTACTACTTAGTATTGATTGATTAATAAGGTTGGTCACACTGTGACCAGCACAGTCCTATGATTATGAAAGCAAAATATAGATTCTAAACCTGCGTAAACTGGCGCAAATATTGGTGGCCGAACAGACTCTAAAAAGTCTTCGCATTGTGAATGAACAGGCAACAAAAGCTACCCTGATAAACACCCAAAGACATTGAACGCACCAATCTATCCAGCAGCGCAACATCATGTACACCGTGAGCCTTGCTTCTTCCACTGCATCATCGGTATTGTTATCTTGACCTTCGTTCACAGGTCACTGAAGTCCCTGTTTCTCAGCACTGCGGCTCGAACAGCTGCGGAGGCGGCAGCTCGTGAGTCGCGCTGTGATTGTACTCCTGTACGACGCCTGGGTCTGATTCAGGACATGCAGATGCCAATGCAAGCCAGGAGAGTGCAAATGCTGAGCACGAGTACTAAGCGAGTGAAGCTCTGGTTCAACCTCGGCATTTTATTAAGAGAATAGTTGTATTATTAGGATGGTTGTAACTCGTACGAAGTTATGATCATGAAGAAGTTAAAGTTTGAATTTGGAAGTTGACATTGTGGCTACCAGTGTGCAGGGTGCGGAGAAGTATCTGTGCAGATACGGTGGCACCACGGCGTGCCCGTAATTCACGCCATAGCTCGTCCAGTACATGGTGGAATTTCGACGAAGGCTAGCAGTGAGAAAGGCAATGTCATCAATACTGAGGCTGCGATGCTTACCACGACGCCCGTTGTTTTCATTTTGAGATGCAATGATAGTTTTGTAGACAAATGTCTTGTTGACACCTTGCAAATGACAGATACTTGCAACGGACATGATATCTGCATTGGCGAAAAACAGGTATGCGAGCTTTTAAAACAACCGTTAATTCATCAGGCATCACACTACTGTCAGTGGATATGTGTACGGGCTCCCAGAAAGCGATTGAGGTCATACCAGTAGCTATGTCGGAATTGGCCATGAGCTTAGCGTTATATTCTCGAACAGCAAGAATCAGGCATGGTCCCAGCACAAACATCTGCACGACCGAGAAAATCTGAATTTTGATCCTACACAAATGAGGGATCGTGGTTGCATGCAGAGGGTCGTGCATCACCAAAACTCCACAATCTAGATATGGGAAGATAAGGTCATATCACGAGTCGGAATGTACCAGCAGATACAACAGGCACAGAAGGTACCAGCAGCTCCAGAGCACCGAAGTAAAGTCTTATATAGGAACTCGTTTTTCAGCACCGGTCGATCATGATGACAATTTTCCGTCATATGCTCAATTATTTGATGCATGAAAAGCCGCATGCTGTAACCTTAGCACCTGCTAGTACTTGCTGGCACCTTATCACACCTCATCAGACTGTTCGTGTTGTATAAGCACATATCATCATTGCAGTACCGTACAAGCATGTAGTAGACAGACAAATTGAGCACGAAGGAAGCATGTGAAATACAGGTATGTGTGATGCAACATGAAAACGACCAGTGCAAGTGTGAGCGAGAGTCCATCCAGTAGTCGTGCATCGATAACGAAAAATGCCGAGTCCATTTGAAGCTGTGATGCGATGATAGCGAGAGAAACAGGAATGTGATGCTGCGGTGCTAAAAACCACATAGTCAGTCAAATATACCCAAGGAACATCAAGCACGTACTAAAGTCTACTTCCGGCCCTTGTGCTTCCTCTTGCTGGTGGTGGTGGTGGTGGTAGCCTTGCCCTTGCCCTTCCTGGTGCGCTTCGATGGGGCAGGGACATCTGAATCGTTTTCTGTCAGTGAGCTCTCATCATCGGACTCCATCACATTAGTCCTGCCACGCTTCTTAGACGTTCGGGTGCCAGTGCCTGAACCAGATGGGACAGGAGCCAAAGGGAGGGTGTGAGGTAGTGGATTGCCAGTACCTGAACCCGATGGGATGGGTGCCAAAGGGAGGGTGCGAGGTAGAGCTTCAGTATCCACATTTGGGGTCACCACCTGCTGCTGAGAAGTTGGTATGATAGGACGCGGCTTGGGGATGGCTTTTGCTGGGACAGGTGCAGGTTCTTCAATGGGAGGCGGTGTAGTGGCAGGAGTCGAAGTTGTATTGATCACAGATGTGTTGGAGCCAGGATCGGAAGGTAGGGTACTACCTTGTGCATCTGAAGATACGGACTGCAATAGACATTAGCAAAATATCATTTAAAAAAAATAACGAACCTTGAGTCGCGCTTCAGCAGCGCGACTTGCAAACTGTTTTCGCATGCTGATCAAATCATCTTCTTCCTCGTCGTCATCATCGCTAACGTCAAAGACCGGTATACCTGCCTTGTCGCCAAATACAGACCTTTGCAAGAAGTCAGCAACGCGTGATGGATCAATACAAATAATACATACATATTCCACCACTCAAGTAATGAATCCGCCCATGTCTGATCGAACGGCTCTTGGATGGCTCAGATGATTCGGTAGTAGGCCTCATGATAGTCGTATTTACCGTCCATAGCTTGCCATTTGTCACACGATGAAATACTGAAACGGCACTGAAAATTGAGTTGTAAGATGTGTTTAAAAACATGTTTAAAGACACATACCTGAATGAATGTATAGGCCACATGTTCAGCATCCACCTTCAGCATGTTGTGAAGCTTTGCGTTACCAGAGCGAGTTGTAACAACCTCTCCATCATTGGCCAGAGCGGAGGAAGGGCCCTTGAATATGTGCCGAAAGACCTATGGCAGAGTTAAGAGAGCGTCAGGAAAACAAAATATTGATTGACATACCCATTTCATAAGATAGCCTTTGAAAAGGCCATTCTGCATATCGAGCGGATTGAAATCTTCTCCAGGTGAGTCGCCCTCATATGCAAATGTGGGCCATGCAGCTGCATGCATCTTGATATGGCCGCTTTGCAACTCTCCCTGAATCCTGAAAAATAGTGAGAAAGGCAGCACACTGAGTAAATACTGTATACATACTTCTTGGGATTCTCGCGATAGGCTGCAAGGTGTTTGATCGGACAGAGCATAGTGGCGAGTTGGGGATGATTCACGCCCATCATAGCACGCGACTTCTGGTTGTCAGAGTAAACCGCGGGTGTCAGTGGGTGGTTTACAGCATCTAGGGCCGCATAGCGCCCTATATAAGGCTTGAGTTTACTTGCGTCTTCAGAGCGGATTTGCCCAATGATGTCCTGCATCTTCTCATGGAGTCAGCACTGACAGTTCTGCAGACTACTTGGGTTAGTCTGCGCACCTCCGATAATATATGTCCCAGCTCTTTTCGATGCTTCTTTGTGTTTCCCTTAATGAGGGTGCGGAGGTAGGGCGCGCTTGTGAGGATCCTTTTGTAGGTCCTCAAGGAACGCTCTTGTACATCTTTTTTCCTGCAAAAGTGTTATCTATGATGAGAAAGCAAACTCCGGACTTACACATGTTCAAGGGTCTCCTGGCGCTCCTTCTTGGCAGCATCAAAGTTCCGTCCTTGGCAGATTCTTCCTGCTCAAGGAGGATACCGATTCTAAAAGTGTCCTTGAGGACAACATACATGTCGATTGCACGTGGAATCCAACGTGCAACGTGTAGGCATTGGTCCCTAGTAATGCATCATTATGAATTCAAATAACTAAATGAAAATGAAAATACCTTTCGCTATCACGACTCCTATTTGGTTTTCTGTGAATATATGCGCTGTTAATGGTAATGATCTGATCAGGTAATGCTTAGAACCTACTTCAACAACTTTTTCTGAGGCTGTTTGCCTTTATCAGAAGCCTTTTGCGCCTTACTTTTGATGATCGGAGTCGGAGATGAATGTGAGGACTCATTTCCAGAGAGAGAAGAGTCAGAGTCGCTACTGTCTTCGGATGCACTGCTCCATATGGCGCGTCGTTTCTGAGGCATGATACTACGATAGAACTTGTTACAAATGTTGATACGGTTGTTGATTATGGGGAGAGCAAGATCAAGATCAATCGTCTGACATCGAAATATCCTTGAGGTCATTGTTTATGTTTGTTGTTTCAGAGCTTGAATCTGATCAATCTGCGCTGTGTGTGCAAGTTCATATCCTGATTCCTATGATCTTGATCGTATTTGTATCATCCATGTGCTAACAGTAAGTTCTGAGTCCTGACTACCTTGTCATCCTAATTCCAGATAGGTTTATACTTGAACACCTCGGTACAGGACAAGCTGCTGCCTATGTAAGGATTTGAGGATTCAGAGGACCGGAAGTTTGGAAGAAAGGCTTGTGAACGCGAGTCCCTCCTTTTCTTATTTGTTAACACACCAACTAATCTGCCGTATCTCTCTTAGATTCGTATCATGATATCTTCGCATGTAATCATAGTTACATTGTGTTAATTTGACTTTACCTTCTGTGCTTTACTGCGTGGATTGATCATGAGAACCAAGGTCATAGTGAGTGATATAAAGTGCACTCTGATATCTTACTTGCAGAACCACACTTCTCCAATGCCAGACTTGACATGTCTGGGCTGCGGTAAACCTTTTCCTACCCAGAAACAACTATCTGCGCATGGTTCAGGATGCTCAAAAAACCAGGCGCTCAATCTCACGAGTTCCACATTCAGCGCCAAGAAACGTCAAAAGTCAAATAAGTCCGGCAAGAATTCCAAGCGGACACGCATTGAGCGGGAGGAAATAATTGAGCAAGGTATGGACGACCAATGTGGAGCCCTTGACTATCAAGCTCCAATGGATATCTCGGGTGATGGTGTCAATTTTGAACAGGTACATATTTTCATTCGCTTGAAAGATGATTAACTTCAGTACTGATGTTACCAGCTCGAGGATACTGCAGGTCCATCAAACATACCCTCACCCTCACCTCCTCCCCCAGTCACTTCAAAGCGCTCTGGACGCACAGTGCGCATGCCTCGGCACTTTATCGACTACCTTCCAGGATCAGCTACGCACCTGGCTCACATGCCTCCCACTAACCGGCAGCAACGCGGCCGTGTTCTGGCAGATCAATCCGATCATGATCGAGCACCATCTCCATCTCCAGCCCCTACTTCTGATCCAGAAGATCCCCGCCCTGCGCCCATCCCATTCCGGACTGAACCTGATGCAATGGGACTTTACTGCGTGTACCCAACGCGTCCCACTTTAGCTCCTGAGGGTAACTTAACCTTAGAGAGAGTGACGGATGCCCCAACCCTGGACGATGAGCAAGGTGCAGCTCACGGAGTGCACCCTGGTCTCTCCACGCCCGAAATCAGTGCTAAGCACTTGTTTGATGGGTTCTCGAACCACACCTCTGGAGTCCTGATGGCGTGGCATTACTCTGGGACCAATAGCAATTCAGGGGCCAATGTCAATCGTCTTGCAGACTACCTTAGTTCAGATCCTTGTTGCTCCCTCGCTCACCTGAGTGGATTTAATTTCACGCGTGAAATGAAGCTGTTGGACAAGTACATTGAAGATAAGTCTAACCCCTTTCGAGAAGAATATGGATGGCGCTGATCTACCGTCAAGATCCGGTTACCAAAGGAGAAGATGAAGTTTCCATCAGAAGCCGATGCTCCTGAACTCGAGATCCCAGGCGTTGAAGGTTCAATGATACAGCGAGGCACGAACAATGCTCCTGACTGTATCTATAATTGTTGTAAGGTCGTGCGTTGCCTAGTCTGCTATACTTGAGACGACAAGTGCGTTCAACCCTAAAGGGGAAGCGAGTGCAGCAAGGATCTAGAGGTATGCGCTGAAAGCGCTACTGGTTGGCCAATGCGAAGCGCGGGAAAGCGCAGGTGCGCGCGAGGCGCGAGAATGCGCGTGTGTATGGTGCGAAGCGCGGGAAAGCGTGCGCGTGTATACAGATACGAGAGAGAGTAAGAGTGAGTTTGCTTAGGTGATGATATGATGTAAGACAAGAGAAGGGAGATGCGAGGTGTAAACAAATAGATTTCTACTATGTTCTGCTAGGTAAATAGTGGGTAGTAACCAGTAAGTCCTCTGTCGTTCTGGTGGGAGAGTAAGTTTTTAAGTAAGTATGTACTGCTGGCGCTTAAGTATGGCGCCTAAGCGCTGTCATGCGGAGCCGAAGCGCTACCGAGTAAGGTATGTAAAGATTTATGTAAGTAAGGGTCCATGATAAAAATAAAGATGGAACGATATGCAAATGTGAGAAATGGAAATATACGCACTAGGGAACTTGGTGGACAGTGGATGGATGCTTCCGGATGGCTGGCGCTATAGGGCGCTACAGCGCAGGAAAGCGCGCGCGCATATACATCGTGAAGCGCGGGAAAGGTACGCGCGCATGGCGCGCGTTGCGCGGGAAAGCTGCGCCTCATATAGAGATAGCTGCGGGTAGCACACAGAGTGATGCTACAAGTTCGTGCCATGTACTCCCCAGTGAAAACTGCCATATTGCACAATGAGAGGCATGAGTCTCTACAGTGTTCATCATCGTTCTTTGACTGACATCATCACACACGTGTTTGAAAGTGATGTCTCACAGTCATTCAATATGACACCATTCGAACAGTTCTGGACCACGCCTGATGATCGTACAATCAAAGTTTCCTCGGAGGCATATGCATCCCCTGCACTGATGGAAGCTTACACAGAGGTCAATGCACTCCCTCATGACCCTGGAGATGACCTTGAGCGTGTCGTTGCCTCGCTCATGGTGTGGTCAGATGCTACGCACCTGGCAAACTTTGGGGACACCTCCCTCTGGCCATTTTACGTTTTTTTTGGGAATCAGTCCAAGTATACATGAGGCAAGCCGACAGCCCGTGCTTCACATCATTTGGCATATATTCCGACAGTACGTATCACTCATTTTCATTAATATTGGTATCTTACTATGTTTGCTTCAGCTTCCAAATAATCTACAAGAAATCTACATGGATATCTTCAGCGAGGCTACATCGAGTGATGTTCACACACATCTGAAACGCGAGTTGATGCAAGCAATATGGCAATTACTTCTGGATGGTAAGTTTATGGAAGCATACAAACATGGAATAGTGATCCGGTGCTCTGATGGGATCACACGAAGAGTATTTCCATGATTCTTTTCATATTCGGCGGACTATCCTGAGAAGTAAGTACACGTGTCGTTTTACATGTGATCGGACATGAGGCATTAACATGTTTTGCACTGCGCAGAGTTCTACTTGCTACTATAAAGTTTCTCGGCGGGTGCCTCTGTCCACGCTGCCTGGTCAAGAAGGCAGATGTCTACAAGATGGGCATGAAACTCGACATGAAGCATCGTGTGACTAACAGATGCATTGATGACTTCCGACGACGGCACAGTGTTGAAGAAGCCCATGTTTTAATTTTTCGACTTGGAGTCCCTGTGAATGGGAGCCGTGTCAAAGCAATTCTCGATGAAGCTTCGTATGTTCCAATTCATGTAAGCAACTCTACATATTCTATGTTTCTTTCACTAATACATGGGTTCAGTCTGCATTTTCTGAGAGACTTGCAGAATACGGATTGAACATGTTTGATATGTTTCTCGTCGATCAGCTTCATGAGTTTGAGCTCAGCGCATGGAAGGCCAAATTCACTCATTTGATGCGGATACTCCATGCAGCTGGAGGGAACGCTATTCCAGATCTCAACAAATGGTAGTATTTTTGGGCACGTCATTGGTCTTACAAGCTCACAGTGTTTTACATTAGATACCGAAAAGTACCCACATTTGGCAGGGGAACTATTCGTCGCTTCCACAACAATGCCTCTGCCATGAAAAAACTTGCAGCCCGTGACTTTGAGGACCTATTACAAGTAAGTCAACTTTAATGATCGTTGTTTATTTATTTTTAACTTCTCCAGTGCACTATTCCTGTCTTCGAGAAGCTATTGCCAGACGACCATAATAAGATTGTGCTCGACCTTCTATTCGACCTCTCTGTTTGGCACGCATACGCCAAACTTCGAATGCACACAGAAGACACACTCGCATTATTTGATACTGCAACCACGGTCTTAGGCCAATCTGTCCGAAAATTCTTCAAGACTACGTGTAGCTACTACCATACAACAGAACTCCCTCATGAGTATGCAGCACGAGGACGTCGAGAGGCTGCATTAGCAGCCAAACAACCTTCATCTTCAGGTAAAGGGAAGCAGAAGTCCAGTCCCAAGTTCAAGGCCCTCAATTTGTCAACTTATAAATTCCATGCTCTCGGACATTATCCTAACACAATTCGACGTTTTGGTACTACAGACAGTTTTTCAACACAGCTGGTAAGTTTATGTCAAATCAAACTGTTGACTATCTGACATCCTATTTTCAGGGAGAACTCGAACACCAGCGAGCCAAGCGCTGGTATCCTAGGACAGCCAAGAATAAGATGACCATGGTCACTACAATGACCCACCTTGAAGCCCGCGAACAGGTCATTGCACGGATTAACCAACGACGCGAGGAGTTACTCAAGGCACCCAGCATACCACGCGAACGGACATCACCTGCCGCACACTATCACATTTCGAAATATCCTAAAGCATCATATGATATGACTGCATGGCTTGGCGACCTGATGGAAGACCCAGCAGTTAAGGTAAGTAGTTCATTGTATTTTTACATCTGTTGATAGTGAACATGACGTCATAGGACTTCATTCCAAGATTGAAGAACCATCTATTAGCAAGATTGCGCGGTCTTGAGTACTCTGGGGATGAAGATGAATTCTCCAATGAGGACAGAAGCCAGGTCATTCTTGCTAACAATCAACTCTACGAACACAGTATCCTGCGCATCAACTATACAACCTACGACCTTCGCCGAGAGCAAGATTCAATGAATCCACGAACTCATGCTGACATCATGATGTTGTCACATGAGAGCGATGAGGACCGACACCCCTATTGGTACACCCGCATTATCAAAATATTCCATGTCAATGTGTGGGACTACGGTCCAGGTGTTTCCCAAGTTGCACCTACTCGCATGCACGTGTTATTTGTGCGTTGGTTCGGGCGAGATGTTCCCTTCAAAGCCGGATGGTCTGCCAAACGACTCCATCGCATTGGATTTTTTAGTCGAGACGATCCTGACAGCTTTGGTTTCGTTGATCCCGATCAAGTGATCCGGGGAGTTCATTTAATTCCCGGATATGCATATGGACGGACTGACACTCGACTCGGACCTTCATTTGTCCGTCCACCCGAAGACAAGGACATGGACTTCATGTATTTTTACGTGAATCAGTATGTATTGTCTATGCTACTACTAATAAATGCTAACTTTCTCTTTAGTTTCGTAGATCGTGACATGTTCATGCGTTTCCGAGGAGGTGGGGTGGGCCACAAGATGACGAAAGAGCTGTATGAACATCTGCAGAGTGATGGCGCTGTGGAGAATGCCGATGAGAATGAAGAAGTTAATTTCGGAGAGTCGGATCAACCTTTGGGGAGTGAGGAAGAGTTTGATGAGGAAGACGAGAACAGCGAGGGCAGTGAGGATGAAGACCATACCAATGATGAGCTGGAAGATATGATTGTAGCTGATGAAGATGAGGAGCTTGATGACGACTTGCTCGAACAGGAGGGGTATGGTGCATTATGATTTTCGGTCCAGTCCTTTTGTATTTTAGTGAATATCAGACAATATCATATTTAGTTTTGAATATCATAATGATATACAACTGGTAAAAGTATCTATACATACGACGATTGAGAATTGTGCCGTGGACATGATACCAGAAACACCTGCAAAGACACCTGTTGATTCGGACTCGGACAGCTTGCATTCAAACAGGACAGAGGGCAAAGAACATGTAACAATGGCAGGGAATGTCAGGTGGCATCCAGACTGATAGCAGTATAGCAGAGTATGGTTACATTATTGTTTGAGTAGCGGATACATACAATGTACAGGATACTCCACGTCATCGATTATATCACCTTCGCAAACGACGTCAGTCATGATCCAAAACAATTTGTCAGCATCAGCCTAATCAGGCAATACCAGGTTTTTGAAGTTTTCGTGATGTGGTTGCGAGTCAAGCAAAGATTACTTTGATTACAAAGATACTCCCATATGCAGGAGGATTTTTCTCATTTACGCTCATCACTCACTACAGGTAGTCAGGTACCATTAAGGGGAGCTCGACTCCACAGATGATGATCGAGACAGACGGGCTGGTGCGGCAGGGGCAGTAGGTGTTTTGTTCGGAGTCGAGAAGGTTGCGTGTGCAAAGGTACGTCATCATGATTCATCATCACATGCACAGCTCAACAGTGCTATGCAGACTTGAAGCACCTACTAGGCTGTACCGCAGCTGGTGCCCGCTTCCATGCATTGTATTCTACCCTCACCTGTGGTAGTGTTTTCATTATATTCCCAGAATCTATCTATAACTTTTTACATGGCGGGACCTGAGGGTCGTTTTGGAAGTGCGCGTGGATGACAGCTCTTTTTGTGCATGCTTGCGTCCATTTCCTTCGTCTAGCAACAGGACGACGACATATGGCTCTCCACCAACATCATCTCGAACCCCTCAACTACGTCAATTGATTCTATTCTCGAATGTTCATCTGCAGCAGTCGCGGGTGTCTGGCCCGCACGGATTGAGGCTGCGCGCCCGCTGATTCGAGCTTGACGTTCCCAAACATCTAGCCTTGCTCCTGACATTGTTCTTTTACAGTTTTTGCATGTACAAGCCGCCGTTTTCGACAGCATAATATGATGAGACACGGGGATACGTTGCGGACGGTTTGCTGTGCATGCTCGCTATCCGTTTGATTTTTCGTACGTCTCAGTTGTTATTTACTACGAAGTAATCTGTTGAACGGCTCTTCCTCCATATTAATCCATGTCCTCCTTGCTATATCCATGGTCTAACTCGCTTTACCTCGCTGATGGGTTCTCGATGTATCGATCAGAATATTTCTTCGGAGAACGTGGAAGATGATCGTTGTTGTGATGCCCAAGGTAAAGAAAACTTCTTCTGGATTGTGGCTTACTATACGTGTAACACGTTCTGATGCAACCCGGAGCTGCAACTCTCGCGACCGCACAAAGATAAGACTATATTCTTAATGGTGTAGTTTATGATACGTGTCTTTGCTAATGTCCGTTGCATCGCCTGGATCCCATATCTTATAAAGGACCCATAGTTAAGCGAACTATCGCCATCAACCAGTATGACGACTTTGCAAGTGCCCCAAGCTGACGTGCTCTTGTGGTCAAAGGTGAGTACAACTTCTGTAATCGAGGCAATCCTAGATTACCAATGTCTCGCCCCAGTACTATTATGGTGCGGGTGTTGTTCGTCAAATCAGTTGCTTTCGTTGATCTATCCTGATAGCTGCATTAACATCGCTTTGGGTGAGTTATAGAATTTATTATGGCCTTGCGATGATTCATCGTTTGCTTTAACATCAAGACGTATGACTGCATACTTTGCATGCCTGACTCGGCAAGTGAAAATTTGCTTGAACGCCTTATAGTATATACTCTGAACTATAGTTGACGTAGGTCGCTTTTATTCTCGATTCTCGATGCGGGCTCGGCACAGTGTTTTATCTTGCCTGCAGTCTCTCACCATTTGTCTTCATGCTACTGAATATGCTTGGTGAGCATCAGATTTGCACCTTCATGCGTCCTCAGGATGTAATGCGTGTTATACAGTGACTTTTCTGCCTAGTGGCTCATACACTGTATGGTCACATGTTAAACATGTGAATTTAACTCATACCCCCGTCATAGCTTTGTCGCTGGATATATATAATAAATATACGTGGGTCTAATAATGGTTTACCTTGACACATACTGACTCTGCGTTCAACACCTCGTTAGTTGCGGGGTTTCTGACGATGTTTTCCGCGGAGTGTGGGTTTACAGATCCAATTCGATTATGCGTTCTAACATCTGCACGAATCATTGATGGTCTAGGCATCTTCATACTCAGAACGATGGCAGTATGGGAGCGGGATAAAAGGTTCGTGGTATTCAAAATCATCAATATCATGGTAAGGCCCATACCAGGAGGCTGCCGACTCTAACTAATATGTATAACTCATCCCCCGCAGGCTTATTTAACCCCAATATTCGTCTTCTTCTTTCAAAAATTTATCCCGTCAATGGGTGAGTAGATCTCTCAGAACTTTATATGCTCAGATATCTGATCCGTAGATATAGAAGAATGCTTGATTCCTGGAGGTATCGAATTTGCAAATACGAAGGAAAGGTCTACAGTGATTGTCGTGTATTGCTTGTTAGTTGTTGGCGAGTTAGGTCGGTATTTGGAACTGGACCTCAAATATGAACTCAAACTAACCGCATGCCTTTCCATGCATACTCTTTCAGAAATCTTGGTGTGCGTGCTGTACCGCACCTTCGAGAGTCATGGTGGCTGGAAAATCGAAAATCGTCTTGTGCGGGGTCTCGTGCATCATAATTTATTGTACTTTAGCTGCAGCTTTGGTTCGTGCCCAAATTATTCTCAGATGTATATTTACTTGCTAAACCGCCCAGCTTTCTCTCTTGGCATCATCCTGGCCTCAATCTTCCTTCCGGTGAGTCAGTGTGCACACTCAAAGCTGTTCCATTAACGCAAGTAGCTTTCGGTGATGCACATGATTGCAGAGTTCGTCTAATCTTGCTTGGAGAAAGCGATAGTTACTCATTCGGCAGCAGGACTCAAGTCGTCGTTCTATCTCTCATGGTCACGCGAATGCATAGGGACTTTTGGAGATCGGATCGTGTTTCTTGTGGCAACGATGAAGTGGATCTCACTCTCTCAACGTTCATGGCAGCAACCCCAGATGTCGTGTGAGTGTTACAGTAGTTGCTCCTTTAAAGCATCGTGCAGCTAATACATAATCGGGAAAAGACTCTCACAAGATACGAGTAGACATTGTCCCAACAATGCGTAGTACAGATAGATGGACGCTTGAAGGCGTCATACTAGTTTGATTATGTACTGACTCACTTTGGACTACTTCGGTGTTTTGAACGCACCCAATACATTTTGTTGAGTATGCAGTTCGTCCGCTGGTTCTGTGCAGCGTTGATGTTTTTTTCTTCGATACTCACACATAGTCGTGTCTGGCAGTAAACTTATGGATTAAGACCCTCTATAACATTGTATTGCCTAGGCCCATCAGGAAATCACCGAGTTCCTTTTTGTACTTACATAAAAATGGAATTAAGGCGGCCAAGGAAAATACGTTACTATTTTTATCCTTTGTTAATTTATTCTAAGGGCCGGAAGCAAGAGCGAATCGAAATTTGCACCAATACAAACGTTCCAGCGACATCACCAAAAAAATTTCTCGCCCCTCGACTCCTTTAGTACGGACATTCAGGATATTGGTTGGACATTGTCAATGTCAGGACGTACAGCAAATGATTCAAATAAATACTGCGACAATAATATTACCTAAATCTATGTCTCCTTGATATCTAATTTGACTACCTACCAACGAGGCTTGGAATGGAGACAAAAAGATTCCCGCTTGCTACAGAGCACCGGACAACCGTTAACATCTCGTGTGTTACACACCATGGCCAGTCAATATATGCACTCGCTCCTGGAAAGCGATTGAGGTCATACCAGGTGCTGCGTCGGAGTCAGCCATGAGCTTGGCGTAATATTCTCGAACCCCAAGGATCAGGCGTGGTCCCAGCACAAAAATCTGCACGACGTCCAAAATTTGAAGCAAGCCACCAAAAGTCAGAGTTTCTATGGGATTTAGGTCCTATAGAATGATAAACCGTGGGCGTATGAAGAGGCAAGCGAGAGATTGACATACCTTTGAGATTGTTGGAGAGAAATTGATAATGAGCTCGAAGCTAGAAACAGCAACAAAGCTACCATGTTCAACTCTTCAGTGGGAAAAGCAACAACAATCACGATATGAGCTTGCCTCGCAAAGTAAAGCACATGAGTTTTCATCAACACCGTGAAACAGTCCCCAATAATTCCTCCTGCCGAATGTTGTCGCAGTTCATGGAAGTGTTTTACGGCAATCCAGACTGCCAGACACAGTGCGAGGACCTCCCACACGGTGCCAAGTATCCAAGTGATAGAAATCAGAAGTATACCATCTTTTGCATATCCAATCGAGCACTGATAAGTGCCGGAGAGAATGAGTTCCTCTGGTATTCATCAATTAGCTCCATGCATGTGTTTTCATCACAATTAAGCGTACCCCCTGAAGATTGCATCGTTGTCATTATGATGACCACTCCGTTGAAAATGTTGTCAGCCAGGAAGGTGACAACGAGAAATATCAGCATATTTCTGGATCGTTGATACATAGCATGTAACCGAGTGATCATAATGACTTGCAGTATGTTTCAGTCAAGTCAATATCACTGAGGTCTCGTAAGCGACAAGCTCACCCCACAGCATTGGAAATACCAAAGTAGACGTCCAATCCTGTACAAGATACATGATAAAGCCTGATGAATCCAGTTAGTGACAGCCTCGGGTAGCACACACTTAAAACAGACTCACATCTATGACAACATGGCGTGGCAGTCATTAGTGAACCAAGAAGTTGGCAAAGAACCACACCCACTGCTACAATGCACCACGGTTAATCGGAGGAGAATAGTGGGCATCTGTGCAGAAGACTCACTGTATCTGTCAGCGGGATGGTTGGAACGCTGCCTGTGCGCCAATGGTCAGAAGAAGCAAAGACAGCGAATGTACTAAGGAGACATACTCAGGACGGCCAGGCTGATTATGAGAGATGGATGATTAGCACGACACTGACTGTTTAGCCTTCCGAACATATGCAGCATATAAGATTCCAAGATAGCGCACCTAGGATACTTTGAAATTAGTACCACATGGCAACCGCAAAAAACAAGCTACATACACTGAGATACAGAAATGTCATTAGGGACCAGCGTTGCCTCTGGAATCAAGTTCATGTGTGTTCGTCTGACATGAGAGTCTACTTACCCAGATCAATTCGACCTGTAAAACCATTTTAGCGAGATGGCTGCTCCGACCATAGCATTAACATACCTCTTGTCCGAATGTAAGTGCTTAAAATACTTGTAAGATATCAGCATTCCTTTACTATTATCATGCTCACCCCAATCATACATCACCCCGACAAAGGCAGCAACTACGAAACCACAGCCAAGGTTAGAGTGAGTCAGCTTCATATCCGACTGCTCGGGCCGCCTCTCTACGAACCTGCAAAATAGCTGGCAAAACGGTATGCCTCGATGGACGGCCACCAAGTGGGATCGTTTGAAACTATGGTCATATTGAGAGACTCTAGTCACTGGGTGTGGGTGAGAGGCGAACTTGGTAGATGTATGTCAATAACATTCGCGTTATATATACGTATAACTGCTATCCAGTGCATGAGTAATCGAAATGAGATCCGAGTCAAGGGGCGATGTCTGTGCACTCCACGTAGATCACTTGATTGTGAACGTGTCGGGGACCATAATTTCTTGTATTCCTTATACAAAAAATTGCTGGACTTTGCTCCAGCTTCGTCTGGTGCTGAGTCGGACTTGCGTTTGCGTGGTTCGACTAGAGAGGTTGGGCTGTGCCTAGAGCGTTAACTCTTCCCAAGCAGACGAGTATGAGATTCGGAGGTACAACAACTTGTTGACTTGGGACAACGCGAATAAAGGAACGATACAAGCTTGGGCTACACACCTATTACTTTGCACTAGTGAGCTTGGAGTTCACTGGTAGACGTTGACATGAGACACGACGATATGAACGGTAAATTATGTAGCTAATGGTACCGTAGGAGTGACATACGACATGTGATGCGAGAGGTCAAGAAGCGAGTGGAACGGATCCAGAACGTAGTATGTGTCGTCAAAAGTACAAGATGACAATGATAGCACTGGTCATGGTAATAGCCACGGTGACCTTTCGGTGGAAGTTCGGGCCACGATTGACGCGACGATCACGTGCATGTGAAGTCTTTGTTTACACCGGGGGTACCATGACTCTGGACCACCAAATCCTTTTCCGTTACTCCCTCATGGCGCAGGAACACCTGTACCGACGTCTAAACCGCACCCACGTCCTTCAAAGCTCATAGAACATTCCCTTCTTCAACTTCGATTTGTGCCCTCAAATCTCCCCCAGAGTATGACCACAACCTTATTCTCGCATGCGCCTTCCAAACTCGAAATCCTCAATTACGGCCCAAACGTCGATCCCATTGTCAAGTTTGTTGAGAACATCTTGGCTGCCTTGATGTGATCAGTTTCAAAACCCTGCTACGTCCTAGAAGCAGGTCTCTGCCACCAACCAACCACATCGACTCGGGATTCACCCTTTCCCTGTCTCGAAGTCGCCATCACCTCCACAACCTGACATCAAGCAGCAGATGCTCGACTCCTGCCCTATCGCTGGTGCTGGTCCCTGTATGACCCTTTCTGGGTGTGTTGGCATAACCTTTGTATGTTTGGTGTGCGATGCTCAGATGTTAGTACCCTGGATATGTTCAGATTCCCCTGTTGGGCAATGCTCAGCAGCACTCCGCACGGTGGCGAAGCATCGTCTGAGCTCTCTGAAGCACGCTCGTACAGCTCAAAAAGCTTTGGCAGCTCAACAAAGCCACATCATCGACCGTTCTATCTGTTCCGACCAGTCCAGGAATTTTACATCATGCCCCGCACTGGACTCTTCGGCCCACCTTCACCTGCCAGACGCGCCTCCTCCGCTTTTTGGACCGAAGCAATGTCGAAGTACGTGAGGATGTCGAGGGCCTTGCCGCATGATCAACAAAGCCCGCAATCACCACTGCGCCTATCCTGTGGTTTGTATTAGACGTTCACAACTCATTCATGTACTACATACACCATGCCATTATTCTATTTCGACGTTCAACCTCCCATTCTCAACTCACGCCAACTGGCTTACACGCATGCACTACTGTCCATGTCTGTGCACTCATGAAGCCTGAAAAGGCATCATGCCTATATATGCTACAAGAAGGTCACACCATATTACGAAAGTCAATATCCCATAGTGCTTCCGATACGACGAGAGGTGGGTCACGAGTTGTCCTCGAAGATGAGAAGCAGGAGTAAATAGAAACTTACATTCAATGTTCCGGCGAACATCACCTAGAAACAGCTCTCTTTCCTCAACTTTCCCGTTCTGGACACTGCTTTCCTTCGTTGATACAGTAGAGATATACAAGACATTGGTTAAAACATAGTCAATGTCAAGACCTATAGCAAATGATTCGAATAATACTACGACGAAAATACTTCACACCTATTTTGTGACACCAAATAACCACTTGCGCACCGCAACGAGGCTAGGAATAGAAACAAAAAACAAATTTCCCGTGCTACTAGGCAACGGTTCGCGTGAGCTTCACCGAGTATTACACACTGCTGCTAGTCGATATATGCACACGCTCTCGGAAAGCGATTGAGGTCATGCCGGTTGCTGCGTCGGAGTCAGCCACGAGTTTAGCATTATATTCTCGAAGGCCAAGGATTAGCCGTGGTCCTAACACGAACATCACGACCTCCAAAATCTGAAACAAGCCAAACAAAGTCTGATCTTCTAGGAGATATCGGTTCTATAGAAATGATAGATCCAGATCACATGTAGAGGTAAGTAAAAGATTGACATACCGTGAATGATGTTGGAGAGAATATAATAAGGAGGTCGAAGCAAGAGACAGCAACAAAGCTATCGTGTCCGACCCTTCAGTGGAAAAAAGGAACAGTAATCACAATATGAACTTACCTCGCAAAGTAAAGCAAATGAGTTCTCATCAACACCGTCAAACAGTCCCCGATAATCCCTCCTGCCGGACGTAATCGCAATTCACGGAAGTGTTTTACCGCAATCCAGACTGCGAGACATAGTGCGAGGACCTCCCACACAATGTAGAGTATCCAAGTAGCAGAATCCATAACTAGGGCATCTCCTGTATAGCTAATCCTGCACTGGTAGGTACCAGAGAGAATGAGTTCCTCTGGTGTCCATCAATGAGCCTTATGTACGTTCTTTTTCATCCATAATTAAGCTTACCTCCTGAAGTATGTATCGTTGACATTACGGCTGTCGCTCCAGCAAAAGTGTTGATCGCCAGGAAGATGACAACGAGAAATATCAGGATCTTTCTGTCTCGTTGATACATGGCATGCAGCCGAGCGATGATGATGGCTTGCAGCATGTCTCAGTCATTCCAATATCACTGAGGTCTCGCAAGTGCAAAGCTCACCCCACAGCATCGCAAATACCACAGCAACCATCCAATCCCATACAGTGTACATCATCCAGCCTGACAAATCCGATCAGCGACCAGTCTCAGATATCACACACTCCAAACAGACTCACATCTTTGGTAGTATAGCGTGGCAGCCATTAGTGGACTGAGAAGTCAGCAAAGAGCCGCACCCACTGCTACATAACACCACGGTTAATTTGAGGGGAATGGCAGGCATTTATACAGAAGACTCACTGTATCTGTCAGCGAGATGGTCGGAACATTGTCTGAATGCCGTTGGTCAGAAGACGAGATGACGGTGAATGTACTAAGGAGACACACAAACCATGGACAGACTGATTATAAGAGATAGACAATTAGCTCAATACCAAATGTTTGGCCTTCCGAACATACGCAGCAGATAGGATCCCAAGGTAGCGCACCTAGTATACTTCCGAGTCAGCACAAAATGGCAACTACGACAAACAAGCTACATACACTGAGATACAGCACTGTCACGAGCGACCAGCGTTGTCTCTGTAATTAAGTATACTTTCATGTACACATGTTCCTCTGGCATGAGACTGTACTCACCCAGACCAATTCGACCTATGAAAGGATTGTTAGCAAGACGGGTGAGTCCGGTGATAGTATTGACATACCTCTCGTCCCAATGTTAGTACTGAAAAATACTTGTGAGACACCGACAGTCCTTTAATGTCATCATGCTCACCCCAATCATATGTTATTCCAACGAAGGCGGCAACTGCAAAACCGTAGCCAAGTTCAGATTGAAACATCAGCTTCAACATCCGACTGCTCTCCACGAACCTGCAAAATAGCTGGCAAAACGATGTACACTGATGGACGACCACCACGTGGGATCATTTGAGACTATGGTCATAATGATTGTTAGAGAATGGGTGAGAGGTGAACTTGGTAAATGTATAACGGTGACATTCGCGCTATATGTACGCTACGGCCGCTGCGCGGCGCGCGCCGTGCTCACTATAGTTTGGGAAATGAAATTCCTGGACCTATCTTGGTCCATGTCTTTTTCCGCCAAAATCCCCGCCCGCTTTCCCGTTTACTCACGCCACTTCTCAGTTCTCTTCTGTGCTTGACGCTATCAGGTCATTTATCTTACATAATCGAAAATTCGTCTCAGCCTCAACCGTTTGGTCTCTCTGGAGAAGTCAGTGCGCATGCCTTATCCAATTCTACAAGCACAACCCTGCGATTCCACGAGCTGTAGAAATATGACATCTTCCATCCCAACCATCTGAATCATCCGAAGAACACTATGCGTCGCGTGAGATCCCATGCAACAACGATGAGATTGTTATGGAAAATGTCGGGTAAAAGGGGCGGCCAGCCGGATGCATTAGCATATGCTTTGGATCAAAAAGGTTTTTAGCCTCGCACCGGTGCCAAATTTATCTCCGACCAAGAACCTGGCTTCGTGTCGTTTCTGTTTCCGCGTCTTGATCTTTGGGATATTTGTGGATTTTACCATCCAGGTTGCACACCGTCACAGTATATTGAAGCACAGGTTAAGAACCTCTTGCGTCAGGTAGATTCTCCTTTCACTAATGACTCAAACTTTGCGTACATTTGCTGGAATACCATTCAGAAAAAGGCGGTGAGTGCGAATAGCATCTTTACTGTCAAGGCAAAGACGTACCATGGTATTGCTGAGGAGTTAGAGGCTGTAGGACGTACTCTTCCCCACACTCTTCTCCACCCGAGATAACTCGTAAACGGAAGAAGGTTTCCCCGCGTCAGTCAGAGGTTCATGGCGAAGAGATGGATGTAGACATCCCCGATACTTTGTCGTCCTCTATTATAGCACCTCCTCTATTCTCTGCACAATTATCGCCCATCGTCCCAGAAATTGGCAATTCGCACACAGTTGAAGACGAAAACGGGGACGCAGACATCGTTGCTGCGAGCGAGGGTAAGAAAAGGGACACAAAGTTGTCTTCTCGGGCGAAGGGGAAGAAAAAAGGTTGGAAGCAGGCTGACAGAGTCGAACCCGACGATCTTGCGCACAAATCCCCCACCGATTTCGTTGAGGAAGAGGAGCCGAAACTTACATCGAAGAAGGCACTATCGAAACCCACCTCCGCTGCAACATCGAAATCGAAATCTAAGGCAAAAGGAAAGCGGTTCTCTCGGAAAGTGGACACGAGGACGACGACAGCGACCCTCCTCATTCGAGGTCCCCTAACCAAAGCAACCATTTTCCCGAGGACAAAGACTCGAGACGACGGCCCCAAGAATTCTGAATCCATTGTAATCCCTGAGATAACCAAGGTATCACATGTTCATACTCTTTGATATTACTTACATTCTACCTAGAAGATTCCCCCGAAAAGCGTAGCTGCCCCACCGAAGCAGACTCCGTCTGTCACTATCCAGTCATGCGCCTTCAGCATCAAACCCAAGTCGACCCCAGTGTCAGAGCCCATCCGGCGTGTCAACTCACAACCAAATTTACCGTTCTGGGGCCACGAGCGTAGCATAATATTCTCGAACTCCAATGATCAGACGTGGTCCCAGCACAGACATCCGCATGACCATCAGAATTTGAGCCAAGTCAGTAGAAGTCTGAATTGCTAGGTTAGATAGATTGTATAAAAATGATGAATTGTGGTTACATGCAGAGATAAGTGAAAGATCGACATACCATTGAGACTGTTTTTCTTTTTTGAAATGAAAACGCAATGAACTGGAAGGAACATGCAGCAACAAAACTACCATGTCTGACTCTTCAGTGGAAACAAGTAACATTAATCGCGATATGATCTTACCTCGCAGTGTAAACCACGCAAGTTTTGATCAACACCGTAAAAGAGTCTCTGATAATCCACCCTGCCGAATGCTGTCGCAGTTCACGGGAGTGTTTTATGGTAATCGAGACTGCGAGAAGCATGATATTTACAAGACGGCCACACTATATTACAAAAGTCAATACCCCATAGTAGTGCTTCTGATACGACGGGAGGTGGGTCACGAGTTGTCCTCGAAGATGAGAAGCAGAAGCAAATAGAAACTTGCATCTAACGTTCCGGCGAGTCACGACATCGCCTATAAACATCTCTCGCTCCTCGACTTTCCCGTTCTGTACACTGCTTTCCTTCGTCGATACAGTAGAGATATCCAGGACATTGGTTGCAACACGGTGAATGTCAAGATCTACAGCAAGTGATTCGAATAAACAATACGACGAAAATATTGCCTAAACCTATGTCTCCTTAAGTTGACATCTAATATTGTGACACCAAATAACTACTTGAGCACAGCAACAAGGTTCGGAATAGAAACAAAAAAACAAGTTTCCCGTGCTTCGTGCAAGCACTAGACAACTGTTCGCATCAACTTCACTGAGCATTACACACTGCTTCCAGTTGATATATGCACACGCTCTTGGAAAGCGATTGAGGTCATGCCAGTTGCTGCGTCGGAGTCAGCCACGAGCTTAGCATTATATTCTCGAATGCCAAGGATCAGCCGTGGTCCTAGCACAAACATCACGACCGCCAAAATTTCCAACAAGCCATACAAAGTCTGATCTTCTAGGAGATATCGGTTCTATAGAAATGATAGATCGTGGTACATGTAGAGGTAAGTGAAAGATTCACATACCGTTGATGATGTTGGAGAGAACATAATAATGAGGTTAACGCAAGAGACAGCAACAAAGCTATCGTGTCCGACCCTTCAGTGGAAAAAGGGAACAATAATCACAATATGAACTTACCTCGCAAAGTAAAGCAAATGAGTTTTCATCAACACCGTCAAACAGTCCCCGATAATCTCTCCTGCCCCATGTAATCGCAGTTCGCGGAAGTGTTTTACCGCAATCCAGACTGCGAGACATAGTGTGAGGACCTCCCACACAATGTAGAGTATCCAAGTAACAAAATCCAGAACTAGAGCATCTCCTGTATAGCTAATCCTGCACATATAGGTGCCGGAGAGAATAAGTTCCTCTGGTGTCCATCAATGAGCCCTATGCACGTTCGTTATCATCCATAATTAAGCATACCTCCTGAAGTATGCATCGTTGACATTACGGCTGTCACTCCAGCAAAAGCGTTGATCGCCAGGAAGGTGACAACGAGGAATATCAGGATCTTTCTGTCTCGTTGATACATGGCATGCAGCCGAGTGATGATGATGACTTGCAGCATGTCTCAGTCATTCCAATATCACTGATGTCTCGCAAGTACAAAGCTCACCCCACAGCATCGAAAATACCACAGCACCCGTCCAATCCCATATAGTGTAGATCATCCAACCTGACAAATCCGATCAGTGACCAGTCTCAGGTAGCGCACACTCCAAACAGACTCACATCTTTGGCAGTATAGCATGGTAGCCAGTAGCCATTAGTGGACTGAGAAGTCAGCAAAGAACCGCACCCACTGCTACAGAACACCATGGTTAATTTGAGGGGAATGGCAGGCATTTATACAGAAGGCTCACTGTATCTGTCAGCGAGATGGTCGGAACATTATCTGAATGCCGTTGGTCAGAAGAAGAGATGACAGTGAATGTACTAAGGAGACTCACACACCATGGACAGACTGATTATAAGAGATAGACGATTAGCACAACACCAAATGTTTAGCGTTCCGAACATACGCAGCAGATAGGATCCCAAGGTAGCGCACCTAGTATACTTTCAAGTCAGCACAAAATGGCAACTACGACAAACAAGCAACATACACTGAGATACATCACTGTCATGAGCGACCAGCGTTGTCTCTGTAATTAAGTGTACTTTCACGTGTGTTCCCTCTGCCATGAGACTGTACTCACCCAGACTAATTCGACCTACAAAAGGATTATTAGCAAGACGGGTTCCAGTGATAGTATTGACATACCTCTCGTCCCAATGTTAGTGCTGCAAAATACTTGTGAGACACCAACAGTCCTTTAATGTCATCATGCTTACCCCAATCATATGTTATCACAACGAAGGCGGCAACTGCAAAACCGCAGCCGAGTTCAGATTGAGACATCAGCTCCAACATCTGATGATCTGACTGCTCTCCACGAACCTGGAAAATAGCTGGCAAAACGATGTACATCGATGGACGGCCACCATGTGGGATCATTTGAGACTACTATGGTCATATTGTTAGAGAATGGGTGTGGGTGAGACGTGAACTTGGTAGATTTATAGCGGTAACATTCGAGCTATATGTACGCCGTGCTCGCTATAGTTTGGTAACCGAAATATCAATGAGATCACGGTAAATAGCGCACTCCGCATAGATGTTGGAGTCGGTTCCTGTATTCCTTATATAGAAAATTCATGGACTTGTTCCGTAGAAGCTCTGTCTCAGGCTGTGGCTAGGTTGGGCTGTGCCTAAAGTGTTTCATAACTCTTCGCAAGCAGACGAGGACGAGATTCGGAGGTACAATAACTTGTTCTGAGGTGTTGACGTAGATGCGACAACTCGGATATCAGTAGATAGATTCCATTTTTGCCAGAAGCAGTGTTGAATGTGAACACATTTTGTAACCGATTCCTGGCTATGGTGTGGGGAGGAATCTGATCTGAGAAGCGCAGCTGGTGATGCTACTATATCGACAATGGTAAAGTCCCGGATCCCACTTTCGCGATCGGGGGTTCCGGTTAACCGTGACGTTCAAATTTCAAACGTAACATTAGTGACGCGATCACGCTATAAACATCTCTTCCTCGACTTTCCTGTTCTGTACCGTACTGCTTTCCTTCGTTGGTACAGTAGATCGATATCCAGGACATTGATTGAAACATTGCCAAAGTCAGGACCTATAGCAAATGATTCGAATAAATACTACGAAAATATTGCTTAAACCTATGTCTCCTTGACATCTATTTTGTGACACCAAATAAGTACTTGAGCACCGTAACGAGGCTTAGAATGGAGGCAAAAAAACAAATTTCCCGTGCTCCCTGCAAGCACGAGACAACGGTTCGCGTCAACTTCACCGAGCATTACACACTACTGCTAGTCGATATATGCACACGCTCTTGGAAGGCGATTGAGGTCATGACGGTGGCTGCGTCGGAGTCAGCCACGAGTTCAGCATTATATTCTCGAAGGCCAAGGATCAGCCGTCGTCCTAGCACGAAAATCTGCACGACCTCCAAAATCTGAAACAAGCCAAAAAAAGTCTCATCTTCTAGGACAACTTGATTCTATAGAAATGATAGACCGTGGTCACATGCAGAGGGAAGTAAAAGATTGACATACCGTTGATAATATTGGAGAGAATTCAACGATGAGGGCGAAACATGAAACAGAAACAAAGCTATCATGTCCGACCCTTCAGTGGAAAAAGGGACAATAATCACAATATGAACTTACCTCACAAAATAGAGCACATGAGTTTTCATCAACACCGTAAAACAGTCCCCGATAATCCCTCCTGCCGCATGTAATCGCAGTTCACGGAAGTGTTTTACCGCAATCCGGACTGCGAGACATAGTGTGAGGACCTCCCAAACAATGCAGAGTATCCAAGTAACAGAATTCAGAACTAGGGCATCTCCTGTATAGCTAATCCTGCACTGGTAGGCGCCGGAGAGAATGAGTTCCTCTGGTGTCCATCAATGAGCCCTATGCATGTTCATTTTCATCCTGGGTCCATAATTAAGCGTACCTCCTGAGGTATGTATCGTTGTCATTACGACTGTCACTCCAGCAAAAGTGCTGATCGCCAGGAAGGTGACAACGAGAAATATCAGGATCTTTCTATCTCGTTGATACATGGCATGCAATCGAGTGATGACGATGACTTGCAGCATGTTTCAGTCATTCCAATATCACTGAGGTCTCGCAAGTGCAAAACTCACCCCACAGCATCGCAAATACCACAACAACCGTCCAATCCCATATAGTGTACATTATCCAACCTGACAAACACGATCAGCGACCAGTCTCAGGTAGCACACACTGCAAACAGACTCACATCTTTGGTAGTATAGCGTGACAGCCATTAGTGGACTGAGAAGTCAGCAAAGAACGACACCTACTGCTACAGAACACCACGGTTAATTTGAGGGGAATGACAGACATTTATACAGAAGACTCACTGTATCTGTCAGCGAGATGGTCGGAACATTGTCTGAATGCCATTGGTCAGAAGAAGAGATGATAGTGAATGTACTAAGGAGACATACCCAGGATTGACACGCTGATTATGAGACATAGATGATTGGCACAACACCAAACGTTTAGCCTTCCGAACATACGCAGCAGATAGGATCCCAAGGTAGCGCACCTAGGATACTTTCAAGTCAGCACAAAATGGCAACTACGACAAATAAACTACATACACTGAGATACAACACTGTCATGAGCGACCAGGGTTGTCTCTGTAATTAAATGTATTTTCATGTATGTTCCTCTGGCATGAGACTGTACTCACCCAGACTAATTCGACCTGCAAAAGGATTATTAGCAAGACGGGTTCCGGTGATAGTATTAACATACCTCTTGTCCGAATGTTAGTGCTGAAAAACACTTGTGAGACATCAACAGTACTAGTCCTTTAATGTCATCATGCTCACCCCAATCATATGTTATCACAACGAAGGCGGCAACTGCAAAACCGTAGCCAAGTTCAGATTGAAACATCAGCTTCAACATCCGACTGCTCTCCACAAACCTGCAAAATAGCTGGCAAAACGATGTACATTGATGAACGGCCACCACGTGGGATCATCCGAGACTATGGTCATATTGTTAGAGAATGGGTGTAGGTGAGAGGCGAACTCGGTAAATGTATAGCGGTGACATTCGCGCTATATGTACGTATACCACTATCCGTGCTCACTAGTTTTGTAACCGAAATCACTGCGGAAGTGAGATATTGATCAGATCATATTCCGATGGAGAAAGGGTAAGTGAGTGGACACAAAACGGACCTGGCTGCTAATCCGACACAAATCCGACGTATCGGACGAAGCCTTTGTTTAGTCTACGGCTACAAATGTAAACAGATGCTTTTACCATCATGTCTTTTCCGACATTTGTGCACTCCACATAGATCATGCGGTTGCGGCTCTTGCATTCCTGATATAGAAAATTGATGAACTTTGTTCCCTTAGGTCGGGCTGTGCCTAGAGTGTTTCATAACTCTTCACAAGCAGACAAGTACGAGATTCGGAGAAGAAAGGAACGGTACAAGCTTGAGCTTAGTAGTTGTTCTGAGGTGTTGACGTGGACGCGCCGATAGTAGATAGATTCCATCTTTGGCAGAAGCAGTGTTGGCGCAAAATGCAACGATCGTCTGCGCATAACGCGATCTAATAGTGACACGATCACGTGCGTATCATTTCTGGAGCACGCAAACGCAAGTGTTTTTCATTTCAGTAGTAAACATGTTTACTTATTGAGAAGGGTCGCTTTCCTGATCAGTGAAGGCTTGTTGGCAATAACAAAAACCTATAATCGACCGTGGTATGTAGTGTTCCTTGAATCTATATCTCCATTTTATGTACTGGAAGGATGAGACGGGAGAGGTCTTCGTAAAGGACAAGGAAACGGACGGGATACATTACTGATGATCATGGGTATACTCAGCAGAAGCGCAACAAATGAAAAGCCAGAAGCGAGTCCAGCGTCCACCATGTCTTATTGTTGCTTGAAGATCACCGCTTGAAGGTGTATCAGTTACGGGGGAAGGTGTGGTGGAGGTGGGGATGGCAGTATGCGATTGGGAAGATGACTGAGCCTGAGTTCTGCCACTAGATTGTTGTGTGGCATTGCTATTGGGAGGATGCGAGGTGCTTGCAGCAGGCTTGTTCGATTTCAAGGGAATTATTGGCCTCCGCCTTTCGTGTGCTGATGCGTACCTCTGTGTGATATGAGATGAGATGGGGTTGAATGTCTGAGAAGGGGAGTGTGACATACGCGTTGGGCCTGGTAATGAGAGACATCAACTATTGATGAGGGACGCTCGTGCAGCTCGATATCTTCGGCGCTTGGTCTGCCACTGGCAGAGGGACGATTTCGTACCCAGTGGAAAGGGCGGGGTCGCAAAGACGTGTCGTGGCCATGGGCGTCTGGGTGTATGGGGCGGAATAAAGAGGAAAGCCGGTCACGAAGGGTGCTTGCATGCGATGCGTGCTGAGAACAGGCAAGTCAGGAAAAACAGCACTGTAGATATTAATGACATACGTGAGCCGGATCTGGTAAGTCGTCAAAAGAACCATGAGGCACCCGGCGCTGGGGAATGATGATTGGCTGACGGACTGGACGTAGTGTAGCAGTAGCCTAGAAGTAATAGGTTCAATTGCGATAGGATCTCAGTAAATAAGACCTGATCATAAGAAGTGTCACGTACAGCGAGGACCGGCTTGTCCAACAGAAGTTCGCTAAGGCCAGCTTCTTTTAGTATCCCACAAACGTCCCATGTATAGGCATTTTTGTCGCTGCAGCCAGTGGGTAGTAACTTTCCATCTGCCAAAAATGACACAGAAAGCACCCAATTTACATGGTAGAGGGGCGAACTGATGGGCTGGTTGTTGTCCAGGTTCCATAATCGTGCTGTGTTGTCCCAGGATGCGCTTGCGAGGATGCGGCCATTCGGAGATATTGCAATGAATGAGACAGAGTTAGTGTGCCCATCCAACGCTGCAATCTGTTTCCGAGGTGTGGTACTCCATTTCCTAATCGGGCCATCGTATGACCTTGGTATAAGTGTTTTTCCATCCTGAGTCCAAGCCACACGGTATCAGTTTCAAGAGTAGCGACAAGCTTGCCTGTCTTGGCATCCCAAATTTTAGTATGCTGTAGCAATCCGCTAGTTGCAAGCATGGTCATGTCTGGCGAGTAGACGACTGCCCACACGAATTGGTGCCCTGTCTTGATTGGTGCGATGTTTGCCTCTCCGCTCTCTACATCCCATTGTCTTGCAGTCCCATCGAGAGATCCGCTCAAGACTCGCTGACCGTCTCCACTCCAGCAGACAGAAATTACTCCCCCTGTATGCCCCATCCATTTCACGACGACTTTGCCTGTGTCCATGTCCCACAACCTCACTCCGCCATCCCCACTCCCGCTGACCACTTTCTTCCCGTCCGGAGACAACGCTATGGTCCACATCAGACTGTCTCCGTCCCGCCAGTCGTCTCCTATCTGTTTCCCGCTCTTCAAGTTCCATACCCGCAGCGAGCCATCCATTGAACAAGTCATTATCTGTTGTCCGCCTGGTAGATGTATGGCGCCGCGGACCGAATCGGTGTGTCCCTCAAATTTCTGACGAGGCATTATCCTCGAGGTCTCCTGTTTTTCAACGATGGGCGAAGACATCTAAGCGGAGCTCCGTTTCAGCTTCCATCTCACAAAGTTTAAAACCATCACTTACAACAATATGTTCCTCAGCACGTCACGACGGGTTGACACCAAGGTCCAATGAGCGTTAGGTCAAAAGTGCACTGGAAGTTTGAGCTGGCACGTCCTCGTGTTCGCTTCACAGCTTCTAGTAGGCTGTGCAACTGAAGCGCCCAAGCCTAGTTTCTAATCAACTTTACTATTCTAACTCCCATGTTTATTGTCCGTCCATACACCAAATTTCGCCTCACCACCCTTGCTATATCTTGCAGATGATCTTGTCCTCCCGCATTCTTTTCGATCTCGTCATTTCGTCAAGGGTGAGTCCTCTGTAGCATGGATCATCCAATGTTGTATTGATTCTCCCAACAGGCACGGTGGTCGAGTCGTCGCTCAGCGTTCCGATATGCAACTGGAATATGACATCGACGCTGTCAACGAGGTCATTGAAAAGCGTCTACCTATCCCAGTCCGCGACTTTGCTTTCGGTTCCGGTCTCATGCGTTCCTTCGATGTCAACAAGCCTGGTGCTGAGGTCCACGGACTCAAAGGTGGTGTTGCTGGTGGTTATATCCTCACGGGCCAGTGCAAGAAGTCAAGATTCTTCCGGTGATCGTAACGAAACACTCAGGGCCGGAACCGTGCAAGCCCGTTTCCAGCAGGATCGTCTCTCTGCACGCTGAGAACAATCGCTTGAAATTTGCAGTTTCGGGGAGGACTGATTGTTATTCGCACCAAGATTGATCCTACGCTGTGCAGAGCGGATCGTTTTGTTGGTCAGGTGCTTGGTGCGGTTGGGAAGCTCCCGAAGGTCTATACCGGTGAGCATCCTCGTTTTTGGATATGTCATTGCATTTTCAAGAGAATCTAGAGCTTGAAAATGGTTTGTTCCTTCTCCGCTGATTGCTGGACGTTCGTGCAAAGAAACAAACACAGGTCTCCTCAAAATTTGCCAAGAACGAGCTCCTGGTGATTGACATTGGTTCGACGTAGGCTGGTGGGCAGGTAATGGGCGTCAGAGGGGATCTCGCGAAGGTTCAATGACTTTACCCACATGTACTGAGGTTTGAAATGATGTCGCGCTTTCGAGACGGATCGAGAAACATTGGTGGCTTGTAGGCAAGTGTTTCTGTTGTCTGAGTAGACTGATTCCCTACCTACTTGATGTGACCGGTGGGCTTTGATTCATGTCTTACTCTTCTTAACTTCTTCTACATACTGATCGACGACACCCAGTATAATCACTGCAAACATCGATCAATCAAAACATGGCCGATGTCACAGACGACTGGATTGTCGCTAACAGCGAAGACGAAGATGCTTTACGACCTCTTCAAATTGCTGACCAAAGCGGCCTCTTGAGCGGAACCCCGTTTTCTACAGGCCCGAAAATGATACTACAGCGTTAGGAATTCTTCAAGCTTCATGTCCTATACCGCATGCTAACTGGACACGGATTTGCAGCCTCCACAATTCAGACTGCTTCATTTAGCCGAGAACCAGGCCTAAACCGAAGCCTAAAGCTAGGACATCGCCTCCACTGAAGGTTCCTGAACACAGCATCGTCGATACTCAGCCGAGCAACATGGTGGTTCGCAAGAGCCAGTGCTTCCGTCTCAACTATCTTTACGACATCGTGTCTCCCGTCTTCTATTCCCGCTTTACACGATTTGTCTTCTCCGCCCTCTTCTCCACCCGAGATAACTCGTAAACGGAAGAAGGTTTCCCCGTTTCAGTCAGAGGTTCATGGCGAAGAGATGGATGTAGACGTCTCCGATACTTCGTCGTCCTCTATTATAGCACCTCCTCTATTCTCTGCACAAATATCGCCTGTCGTCCCAGAAATTGACAATACAAACACACTTGAAGACGAAAACGGGGACTGCAGACATCGTTGCTGCGAGCAAGGGTAAGAAAAAGGACATAAAATTGTCTTCTCGGGCGAAGGGGAAGAAAAAAGGTCGGAAGCAGGCTGACAGAGTCGAACTCGACGATCTTGTGCACAAATCCCCCACGGATGAACCAGCTGCAGGTAATGATGATATCGAAGACGACGATTTCATTGAGGAAGAGGAACGCCATTGGTAAAGTCTTCGCAAACGATGCTTTCGCGGATTGCCCCGCTCCACCCCAGCCGACGGACCCCTCCACCACCATTACCGAGCCCTCCCCCGCCGAAGAAGAGCAATAAGCAAATGGAGATAGAAGAGCGTATCGAGGAGGAGCTGTCGGAGACTGTTGAGGGGTGGTCGTGTATGACTGACGAGGAGAGGAAGAACTTGCGGAGAGCGCGAATTGATGCTGAGTTGCGTTATGAATATCGATCATGGAACCTTCCCTTCTTCAATATTCAAATCTCCCAGTGCACCACCACGACCTGGAGCACTCTCACACTTTCGAGATCCGAAAATGTAATGCAAGGCCTCAGCTTCGGTACCTCATTTATCATGCTCACAACCTATGTAGCATCAAGCAGCGGATGCTCGGCTCTTGCACTATCAGTTTATTGCTGGTCCTGGTGACTGCATATCCGTTCCTGGTCCGTTGCTGTCACCGTTTGATGGTTAGTATGGTATTTCCAGACGTCAGCACTGGATTTCTTCAAATTCCTCTGACTTCATAGAGGCACTGGGTCGCAGCTAAAAAATCATGGTCTTCATAGCACGATGTCTATTAGCGTACATGTATCACCCAGTAGTGTTTCATTGACAATCCGAGACAGTTCATATTCATATCCGTATTTCCGCCTCGTCGAACAAAAGTGAAAAGCAAACTCCTCTACCAGCATCAACCTCGTCCAAACTCATCAAGTATGCATCGCATCATCAAGCTACGCATACACGACCGTGCTCCGCGCACCTTGGAATCATCCTGGTTTGATCTTCCGCAAGCCAGTTGGCGTAAGTCAGATGAAAAGACAGCGGTGGGACGTTGAATGAGGCGAGAAGACGAATCGAGGATGGATTACACACTACTGCCAGTCGATATATGCACACGCTCCTGGAAAACGATTGAGGTCATGCCAGTTGCTGCGTCGGAGTCAGCCACGAGTTTAGCATTATATTCTCGAATGCCAAGGATCAGCCGTGGTCCTAGCACGAACATCACGACCTCCAAAATCTGAAACAAGCCATACAAAGTCTGATCTTCTAGGAGATAACGGCTCTGTAGAAATGATAGATCGTGGTCACATGTAGAGGGAAGTAAAAGATTGACATACTGTTGATAATTTGGGATAGAAATCAAGGATGAGGGCGCAACACGAAACAGCGACAACACTACCAAGTCCGACCCTTCAGTGGAAAAAGGGAACAATAACCACAATATGAACTTACCTCGCAAAGTAAAGCAAATGAGTTTTCATCAACACCGCAAAACAGTCCCCGATAATCCCTCCTGCCGGATGTAATCGCAGTTCACGGAAGTGTTTTACCGCAATCCAGACTGCGAGACATAGTGTGAGGACCTCCCACACAATGAAGAGTATCCAAGTAGCAATATCCAGAATTAGAGCATCTCTTGTATAGCTAATCCTGCACATATAGGTGCCGGAGAGAATAAGTTCCTCTGGTGTCCATCAATGAGCCCTATGCACGTTCGTTTTCATCCATAATTAAGCGTACCTCCTAAAGTATGCCTCGTTGACATTACGGCTGTCACTCCCGCAAAAGTGTTGATCGCCAGGAAGGTGACAACGAGAAATATCAGGATCTGCCTGTTTCGTTGATACATGGCATGCAACCGAGTGATTATGATGACTTGCAGCATGTTTCAGTCATTCCGATATCACTGAGGTCTCGCAAGTGCAAAGCTCACCCCACAGCATCGAAAATACCACAGTAATTGTCCAATCCCATATGATGTACACCATCCAGCCTGACAAATCCGATTAACGACCAGTCTCAGGTAACACACACTCCAAACAGACTCACATCTTTGGTAATATAGCGTGGCAGCCATTAGTGGACTGAGAAGTCAGCAAAGAACGACACCTACTGCTACAGAACACCACGGTTAATTTGAGGGGAATGACAGGCATTTATACAGAAGACTCACTGTATCTGTCAGCGAGATGGTCGGAACATTGTCTGAATACCGTTGGTCAGAAGAAGAGATGACAGTGAACGTACTAAGGAGACACACCAACCATGGACAGACTGATTATAAGAGATAGACGATTAGCACAACACCAAATGTTTAGCGTTCCGAACCTACGCAGCGGATAAGATCCCAAGGTAACGCACCTAGTATACTTTGAAGTCAGCACACAATGGCAACTACGACAAACAAGCTACACACACTGAGATACATCACTGTCATTAGGGACCAGCGTTGCCTCTGTAAACAAGTGTACTTTCATGTATGTTCCTCTGGCATGAGACTGTACTCACCCAGACCAATTCGACCTGCAAAAGGATTATCAGCAAGACGGGTTACGGTGATAGTATTGACATACCTCTTGTCCAAATGTTAGTGCTGAAAAATACTTGTGAGACACCAACAGTCCTTTAATGTCATCATGCTCACCCCAATCATATGTTATTACAACGAAGGCGGCAACTGCAACACCGTAGTCAAGCTCAAATTGAGACATTAGCTTCAAGATCCGATTTCTCTCCACGAACCTACAAAATAGCTGGAAAAACGATACGCACTGATGGACAGCCACCAAGTGGGATCATTTGAGACTATGGTCATATTATTAGAGAATGGGTGTGGGTGAGAGCTCAACTTGGTAAGTGTATAGCGGTAACATTCGAGCTATATGTATGCCGTGCTCACAATAGTTTGGTAACCAAGATCAAGGTAAATATTTGTGCACTCCAGTTGCGGTTGCGGTTCCTGTATTCTTTATAATAGAAAATTGATGAATTTGTTCCCTGGAAGCTCCGTCTGCGGCTAGGTTGGGCTGTGCCTAGAGTGTTACATAACTCTTCGCAAGCAGACGAATACGAGATTCGGAGGTACAATAACTTGTTATCATGGGACAACGCGAAGAAAGGAACGGTACAAGCTTGAGCTCAGTAGTTGTTATGAGGTGTTAACGTGGACGCAATGATAGTAGATAGATTCCATATACTTTGGCAGAAGCAGTGTTGAATGTGGACACATTTTGTAATTGATTTCTGGCTATGCTGTGGCGATGAATCAGTACTTACTTGATTGATATGAGAGGTAACGATATACATACTAGTGCTGGTGATGCTATGTCACAGTGGTAAAGTTTGGGTAAAGTCCCACTTTCGGTCCCTCGCAGCCTGCATCCGGCACAATTCATTAGTGACACGATCACGTGCATGTCGTGACGGTGTCCCGGCTTCTTAACTTCTTCTACATACTCACCCAGGATAATCATTGCAAATATCTATCAATTAAAACATGGCCAATGTTACAGACGACTGGATTGTCGTTGACAGCGAGGACGAAGATGCTTTACGACCTCTTCAAATTTCTCAAACGGTCCTTCCTATTCGCCATTGGTGAAGTCTTCGCGAACGATGCTTTCGCGGATTGTACCACTTCACCCCAACCGACGGACCCCTCCACCACCACTACCGAGACCTCCTCCACCGAAGAAGAACAAGAAGCAAATAGAGATGGAGGAGCGTATCGAGGAGGAGCTGTCGGAGACTGTTGAGGGGTGGTCGTGTATGACTGACAAGGAAAGGAGGGACTTACGGAGAGTGCGAATTGGTGCTGAGTTAGGTTATGAATATCGATCATCGATCATGGAACCTTCCCTTCTTCAATATTCAAATCTCCCAGTGCACCACCACGACCTGGGGCACTCACACTTTCGAAATTCGAAAATCTAATGCAAGGTTCCAACTTCGGCACCTCATTTATCATGCTCATAACCTATGTAGCATCAAGCAGCGGATGCTCGACTCTTGCACTATTTCTGGCGCTGGTGCTCTGATGTCCGTTCGTGGTCTGTTGCTGTCACCGTTTGGAACCACGTCAACAAACCGTTTAATGGTTGGTGTGCTATTTCCACACGTTAGCACTATGGATTTCTTTAAATTCCCCTGACTTCATAGAAACACTGGGTTTCAGCTAAAGAATCATGGTCCTCATAGCACAATGTCTATTAGCGTACATGTATCACCCAGTAGTGTTTCAGTGACAATCCGAGACAGTTCATATTCATATCCGTATTTCCGCCTCGTCGAACAAAAGTGAAAGGCAAACTTCTCTACCAGCATCAACCTCGTCAACACTCATCAAGTATGCCTCGCATCATCAAGCTACGCATACACAACCGTGCTCCGCGCACCTTGGAATCATCCTGATTTGATCTTCCGTAAGCCAGTTGGCGTAAGTCAGATGAAAAGACAGGGGTGGGACGTTGAAGGAGGCGAGAAGATGAATCGAGGATGGATTACACACTACTGCCAGTAGATATATGCACACGCTCCTGGAAAACGATCGAGGTCATGCCGGTTGCGTCGGAGTCAACCAGGAGTTCAGCATTATATTCTCGAATGCCAAGGATCAGCCGTGGTCCTAGTACGAACATCTGCACGACCACCAAAATCCGAAACAAGCCAGACAAAGTCTGATATTCTAGGAGAGATTGGGTCTATAGAAATTATAGATTGTGGTCACATGTAGAGGTAAGTGAAAGATTGACATACCGTCCATGATATTGGATAGAAATCAGAGATGAGGGCGAAGCAAGAGGCAGCAACAGAACTATGATGTCCGACCCTTCAGTGGAAAAAAGGACAATAATCACAATATGAGCTTACCTCGCAAAGTAAACCACGTGAGCTTTCATCAACACGGTAAAAAAGTCCCCGATAACCCCTCCTGCCGCATGTAATCGCAGTTCACGGAAGTGTTTTACCCCAATCCAGACTACGAGACATAGTGCGAGGACCTCCCAAACAATGAAGATTATCCAAATAACAGAATAAAGAACTAGGGTATCCGAGTCTCCTGTATAGCCAATCGTGCACTTGTAGGTGCCGGAGAGAATGAGTTCCTCTGGTGTCCATCAATGAGCCCTATGCACATTCATTTTTCATCCATAATTAAGCATACCTCCTGAAGTATGCATCGTTAACATTAAGACTGTCACTCCACCAAAAGTGCTGACTGCCAGGAAGGCGACAACGAGAAATATCAGAATCTTTCTGGATTGTTGATACATGGCATGCAACCGAGTGATTGTGATGGCTTGCAGCATGATTCAGTCATTCCAATGTCACTGAGGTGTCGCAAGTGCAAAGCTCACCCCACACAATCGCAAAAACCACAAGACCTGTCCATTCACACATAATGTACATCATCCAACCTGACAAATCCGATCAGTGATCAGTCTCAGGTAGCACACACTCCAAACAGACTCACATCTTTGGTAGTATAGCGTGCAGCCATTAGTGGACCGAGAAGTAAGCAAAGAACCACACCCACTGCTATAGAACACCATGGTTAATTCGAGGGGAATGACAGGCATTTATACAGAAGACTCACTGTATCTGTCAGCGAGATGGTCTGAAGATTGCCTGAATGCCGTTGATCAGAAGAAGCAAAGATAGCGAATGAACTAAAGAGACATACGTAGGACATCCAGGCTGATTATGAGAAATAGACGGTTAGCACAACACTAATTGTTTAGCCTTCCGAACATACGCAGCAACTAGGATTGCAAGGTAGCGCACCTAGGATACCTTCAGGTCAGCACAAAATGACAAATTCGACAAACAAGCTACATACACCGAGATACATCACCGTCATTAGGGACCAGCGTTGCCTCTGTAAATAAGCCCATTTTCATGAGTGTGTTACCTCTGCCATGAGACTCTGCTCACCCAGATGAGTTCGACCTATAAAAGGATTCTTAGCGAGATGGCTAGCGCTGCTCTGGTCATGGCATCGACATACCTCTTGTCCGAATGTGAGTGCTGAAAATACTTGTAAGATATCAGTAATCCTATAATATTATCGTGTTCACCCCACTCATATGTTATCACAACGAAAGCGGCAACTGCAAAACCGTAGCCAAAGTTCAGATTGAGACACCAGCTTCAACGAATCAACATCCGACTACTCTCCACGAACCTCCAAAATAGCTGGAAAAACGATCCATACTGATGGTCAGCCACCAAGTGGGATCATTTGAGACTATGGTCATATTGTTAGAGAATGGGGTATGGGTGAGAGGTGAACTTGGTAAATGTATAGCGGTGACTCGGACATCGCGCTACATGTACGCCGTGCCAACGCTGTGCTCACTATAGTTTGGTAACCATAAGATCACGTTAAATATTTGTGCATTCCACATAAGTACTAGATCAAGTTGCGGTTGCGGTTCTTGCATTCGGGGGGGGGAGGCTCCTTATATAGAAAATCGATGAACTTGTTCCCTGCATCAGAGATAGAGTGTTACATTATAACTCTTCGCAAGCAGACGAGTACGAGATTCGGAGGGACGATACATCGATAGCTCGTTCTGAGGTGTTGACGTGACGACGATAGTAAATAGATTCCATTTTTGACAGAAGCAGTGTTGGCATCAAATGTGGCACATTTTGTAACACGAATATCACTGATTTCTGGCCATGCTGTGGCGATGAATTAATCAGTACTTGATTCGTCTGATCAGTCATGATCTCTTGTGAAAGGTGGTGTTATGTGGTAAAGTCCCACTTTCGGTCCTTTCTGGGAGGTATCAGTGACGCGGCTGTCACCGTTTGGAACCACGTCAACAAACCGTTTGATGGTTAGTATGTGTTTCAGTGACAGTCCGAGACAGTTCGTATTCATATCCGTATTTCTGCCTCGTCGAACAAAAGTGAAAGGCAAACTCCTCTACCAGCATCAACCTCGTCAAAACTCATCAAGTATGCATCGCATCATCAAGCTACGCATACACGACCGTGCTCCGCGCACCTTGGAATCATCCCGAGTTGATCTTTCGTAAGCCAGTTGGCGTAAGTCAGATGAAAAGATAGGGTGGGACGTTGAAGGAGGCGAGAAGATGAATCGAGGATGGATTATTACACACTACTGCCAGTTGATATATGCACACGCTCCTGGAAAACGATTGAGGTCATGCCGGTTGCTGCGTCAGAGTCAACCATGAGTTCAGCATTATATTCTCGGATGCTAAGGATCAGCCGTGGTCCTAGCACGAACATCACGACCTCCAAAATCTGAAACAAGCCATACAAAGTCTGATCTTCTAGGAGATATCGGTTCTATAGAAATGATAGATCCTGGTCAGATGTAGAGGTAAGTGAAAGATTGACATACTGTTGATAATGTTGGATAGAAATCAAGGATGAGGGCGAAACACGAAACAGCGACAACGCTATCAAGTCCGACCCTTCAGTGGAAAAAGGGAACAATAATCACAATATGAACTTACCTCGCAAAGTAAACCACGTGAGTTTTCATCAACACCGTAAAACAGTCCCCGATAAACCCTCCTGCCGAATGTTGTCGCAGTTCACGGAAGCGTTTTACCGTAATCAAGACTGCAAGACATAGTTCAAGGACCTCCCACACAATGTAGAGCATCCAAGTAGCAGAATCCAGAACTAGGGCATCTCCTGTATAGCTAATCTTGCACATATAGGTGCCGGAGAGAATAAGTTCCTCTGGTGTCCATTAATGAGCCATATGCACGTTCGTTTTCATCCATAATTAAGCGTACCTCCTGAAGTATGCATCGTTGACACTACGGCTGTCACTCCAGCAAAAGTGTTGATCGCCAGGAAGGTAACAACAAGAAATAGCAGGATCTTTCTGTCTCGTTGATACATGGCATGCAACCGAGTGATGATGATGACTTGCAGCATGTTTCAGTCATTCCGATATCACTGAGGTCTCGCAAGTGCAAAGCTCACCACACAACATCGCAAATACCACAGCAACCGTACAATCCCATACAGTGTACATCATCAAACCTGACAAATCCGATCAGTGACCAGTCTCAGGTAGCACACACTCCAAACAGACTCACATCTTTGGTAATATAGCGTGGCAGCCATTAGTGGGCTGAGAAGTCAGCAAAGCACCACACCCACTGCTACAGAACACCACGGTTAATTTGAGGGGAATGACAGGCATTTATACAGAAGACTCACTGTATCTGTCAGCGAGATGGTCGGAACATTGTCTGAATACCGTTGGTCAGAAGAAGAGATGACAGTGAAAGTACTAAGGAGACACACCAACCATGGACAGACTAATTATGAGAGATAGACGATTAGCACAACAGCAGATGTTTAGCCTTGCGAACATACGCAGCAGATAGGATCCCAAGGTAGCGCACCTAGGATACTTTCAAGTCAGCACACAATGGCAACTACGACAGACAAGCTACATACACTGAGATACATCACTGTCATTAGGGACCAGCGTTGCCTCTGTAAATAAGTGTATTTTCATGTGTGTTCCCTCTGGCATGAGACTCTACTCGTCCAGATGAGTTCGACCTATAAAAGGATTCTTAGCGAGATGGCTGCTCCGGTCATGGCATCGACATACCTCTTGTCCGAATGTGAGTGCTGAAAATATTTGTAAGATATCAGTAATCCTTTAATATTATCGTGTTCACCCCAATCATACATCACCGCAACAAAGGCGGCAACTGCGATACCAGAGCCAAAGTTAGATTGAGACATTCAAGTCAGCGCTCAGCTTCAACATCCGACTGCTCTCCACGAACCTCCAAAATAACCGGAAAACCGATATACCTTGATGGACGGCCACCAAGTGGGATCATTTGAGACTATGGTCATATTGTTAGAGAATGGGTGTGGGTAAGAGGTGAACTTGGTAAACGTATAGCGGTGACATTCGCGCTATATGTACGTACACCACTATCCGTGCTCACTATAGTTTTGTAACCGAAATATCAATGAGATTGAGGTAGATATTTGTGCACTCCACATAGATCAAGTAGGGCTGCTCACTTCTGGTGGCAGCTCTGTCCTGTTCGGACCTTTACTAGGTATGACGTTCGCTCTCAAGATCTAGGGAAAACTGTCACATTGTGCGGGCGTCGGCTTACGCGCAACGAGTGCCTACTACTACACCTACCAGCGGTGGATTACATCAATATTGCGTGTTGTGGCATAGCCCGCCCTGTTTGTGTGCTGCTTCCCTGTGGCCCTGTCATTGAGATGGCGTTCGATGCTCGCGCGAATTTTCACCCCTGGCCTTGAAAGATTGTTGTGGGCGTGTTTAGAGTTTTGGAGCCGACATTTCGTTTCAATAGCACGAATGAAGAGGGCTGCTGTCACATACATAAAAATTCGAGTTCACTTGGATTCAAGCGCCGTCCTAAATAGGAGTTGTACCTAAACCTTACGGCACACAGCGCCACTGGTAGTACTAGTAAGGTTTGATGATGCTTAGCGCAAACTGAATGAGTTGAGCGGGCCTTGATGCAGCCAACTGCTTAGTACATTTTACAGTGCGACACCTGGGTAGAGGTACCTATGTTATACATATGTTTCGGATTCTATAACACTCGGATCACCTGCAAGGCTGTGGCAGTCGAGCCAGCGCATCGTTTGAATGGTATACCTCGTGGTACAGGAGGTCGAAGGTCAGCCCAGCTGAGTTTACCTGTCAGAAAATGACATCGCCTAATCTTCGTGGGCTGAGCTCGCGAACTGAGCCCTAGAATTGAGGTTCAGATGGCAGGTCTCAATGTCATGTGAAATGTCAAGGCAATACGTACTTGGTATTTAGCTTGTCGTGTATACTTACGCAGATATATCACTGCAAACATCTATCAATTAAAACACATATGGCGATGTTACACACGACTGGATTGTCGCTGACAGCGGCGAAGACGAAGATGCCTTACTACGACCTCTTCAAATTGCTGACCAAAGCGGCCCCCATTTTCTACGGGCCCAGAAATGATACTACAGCGTTAGGAATTCGTATCCTATACCGCATGCTAACTGGACACGGATTTGCAGCATCAACAATTCAGACTGCTCCATTTATTACCAGTAAGACACAGACTCCCCAGCGAGGACATGAACCTCTCAACGGTCCGAGTCTCGGGGCATCATGACCATGGGATGTGTTTTGAATCGACGCTTTCGTGGACGCAACCGCAAAATTCACGTATATAGATAGACAAACTATATAAACAAGACGAACCGCGCAGCGGCAATCACTTCAATATACAATAAGTCATAACTTATTAACGCACTGTCAAGTTCTTCTCCAACTAACTGCAGCTCTTTGTCACATCGAAAACGGAACAGAGTACCGCTTTTGCAAACTGTAGTGAACCAGAAGGGTAGGATCTGCTAGCGTGAGTATGCGCTGGAAGCACTTGAGCAACGTGCAGGAGAAATAAATACTATCTACCGCTTTCTTATTGATGATGTCCCTACTCACGTGTGCAGGTTAGTTTCTGAGTCGCGAACATCGTTAGCAACACACGGACCTTCATACTTCGGGTGAAGTAAAATTCTGCACTTCGAATAAAATAGCAAAGCAAGACCGGAGGCCCTTCAAACACCACTGCCTTTCGAGCCAGCAGAGGAGATGGTGACTCCAGAAAGACTTGAACAGGTGATTGAGTATGTTGTCCCATGGACTGTGAGCTCGCGAGAGGTGGAACGCCCAATTCTGACATGCATAATTGAGAGCGTCAGAAGCTGATCGACTTCGTTCCTGTGCTTCGTGTGCGAAACGCTCAAAGGCCATCATAGCGTGGAATATCTCTATGTCTGGTGGGAAACGGCATTGCGGTAAGGCGGAAGAAGGATCTTGATGCCTTAATGCCAGGAACACCGGGAACATCAAGAAATCCGGTAAACTCTTGAACTGCTGAATTGCTTGGAAAGCTGCAAGCGAGAGCAATTCCGGGACGATTGTATACTCGCTGGCTGCTTCCAAAGTCCTCGAGAATTCCTCCATTGTCACCCAGACAGACGCCGCAGCAGTCGACTGCCAAGCTTGACCATGTGGCGTGTGCAGCCAGTCTTGGCCGCTCTGGGTCTGCAGCCATTCTCGTCCGCTCTGGGTCTTCAGCCAATCTCGCCCACCTTGGGTCTGCAGCAATTCTTGTCCGGGTTGGGTCTTCAGTCGCTCTCGCCCGCTCTGAGTCTGCAACCACTGTCGTCTGCTCTGGGTTGGCAACAAGTCTTGTCGACTCTGGGTTTGCAGCCAGTCTTGTCCACTATGGGTCTGCAACCACTCTCTCCCGCTCTCGTCCCTAAGCCATTCTCGCCCACTCTCAGTCTTCAGCCAGCCTTCTCCATTCAGGGTCTGGAACGAGTCCCGCGTGTGCTGGGTATATGAGTCTTGACCTCGCCGGGTCTGTAACCAGTCTTGTCCCCACCGGGTCTGTAACCAGTCTTGCCCCCACCGAGTCTGCAACCAATCTTTCCCCCACTGGGTTTGCAGCCAATCTTGCCCCGACTGCGTCTGCAGCCAATCTCTCCCGCTCTGTGTCCCCAGCCAAGATGGCCAGGCCTCAGTCAGCGAGCCTTTCCTCCCCTGGGTTAGCAGCCAGTCTCGGACGCTATGAGCTTTCGGTAAGAATGTCTTCCCCTGGGTCTGGAGCCAGTCTATCCTCCACCGAATCTGCAGCCAGTCTTTCCCCTCTTGGGTCTCCAGCCAAGCGCACCCGTCAAGGGTCTCTAACCAGGAAAGTAAATCTGACTTATGACTTCCCCGAAGCCACTGCAGGGCTATAAGGACTGTGAATGGCGTCGGTGGCTCGACGATGAAGGCTAATTCTTGCTTTAAGCTCTGGGGCTCGTGGGGTTTCATAGACCGGCTATGCGTCTTCAATTGCGATAGTGCGTCCAACAAGGCCGTGCTTCGTGGGATGGCTTGCACCATCAAGTAGAGACATGAACGAGCGAGTAAGGGGTGGGGGTATCTGATATGTTGCACCCCAGGGAGATTGCAGTTCGAAGGGTTAAGAACGTAGTCACGAACGGACGAGTGAAAGATATTCACTGGGAGACTGCGGTCCGTAGGAATGTCCATGATTGACCGTAGCTGCGCCAGCACTGTCTCCACATCCCTGCCTTCCCCAGGGCCAAGAAGTTCCATGATTTGTGAGATTGAAAGAGGGTTTGCAAGGGAGGCAACAACAGATAAGTGCAAATATGCTCGCGCGGGGTTGGCACATGTGGCGAGAATACGGTCATATAACTCATAAACTTCCGTTCCTGGGAGCAACTCGCTAGTAAACTCTAGCATGAGATGGAGCCGATCGTGGGGATCATGATATCCATCATCGACAAATTTCATCATCGTAGACGCTACAATGAAACGTCTCCCTGCTCGACTAGCCAACCGTGCAAGTTCGCGTGATGTTGGCTGGGGAAAATTGGAATATCGATTTCGCAGTTTTCTGAAGGAATGTTCCAGGAAAATGTAGATGTCATCGTCAACATCTGCGCCGTCTAATGAGATGATTGTAGCAATACTCTCTCCAGAAATTTCCACTGGTATCTCGTACACCAGTGGGTGAACGTCTTCAACTTGAATGGCTTCACGGATGTACGCTTCCGAGCGACTCGTGAGTAGGATATGGATTACGGGCAAATTGGGTTGACGAAGAGCGTAACCGAGTAGGGAAATGAGATCCGCAACTTCAGTTTCGGACATGCATTCATCAAGGGCATCGACAACGAACGCCGAAGGCGGACACTCGCGCAGTCTAGATTGAAGCCTCTGCAGAGGTTTCAGAAAGAGTCCCTCCATCTGGTCGCGGAGAGACTTGTTGGAATCCAAAAGAGCAGGATTCTCGCGGATGGTTCTGTTCAACTCCTCTCGGACGCTGGGAAAATTGCAGGCAAGCTGGTATGCGAGCGTCGCAAAAAAATGACCAGTTGTGCAGCGTTCGGTGTGCTTGCGCGAGAAAAAGAATGTGCCTGCGAGCCGCTTCTCGATGTTCGTCTCTTCTGTTACTTGCAGATTTCTCATTCTGTCAGCTACGGTGAATGCAACAGCAGACTTTCCGACGCCTGCTGTGCCATGCAGCCAGATGAGTCGACTCTTTTTTTGGTCGTCTAACAATCTGTAGATGTAGTCGAGAAGATCTACCCGCGTCCCTTCCAAACACTTCGGATGAGGCTGACGTTCGCGGGAGTTATACTCAGCACCCTTAACGGCGATGCGGGACAGACTCTCCCACATGCCTTCAGGTGATTGGCGCACTGCGAATGAAGTCAGCGATCGAGGTAATGGATAGAAGACACTGATACTGATACTGACATTGATCATGATTCATTGTGTGATGGTGGCAGAATATGCCAGAATTGTCCGGGGAGGTGCTAGTTAGGTTAGAAAGTGCAGTTAGCTATCATATGAACGATGTCATTTTTGATGGAAGACGTACGACAACGTTAGCCAATGATCAAAGTCTAGGGCTTAATAGACCTTCTGGGGCTGGGGGAGGTCGCAAGAAGTGATGAATCGTTGGTCTGGTGTCGTGCGCCTGCTGGGGATTGTGGAAGAGTGAAGAACTCGTTCGTTGGTAACAAGAGCGCGGGTGTGCAGGTATTGATGCTGTGTCGAGTAGTATGATACGTAACATATGCATTGTGTGCATGAGGGAGGACACGAGGATACGGCGAGTTCTAAGTCGTTGTCAACATTTAGCGGCCTTGCCCATTGGAATGGGCGAACATACTTACGAAATGTCGTTGTTTGCTGTCAAAGTCCGAGGACGACATGGTTCCCTCCCGAAACTGGTGTGTTCAGTTTTAGATTTTGGACCACCTGTGCTTGAGATTGAACGGATGAATTTTTCAGTGATTACGGATCCAGTGCCATAAAGAATTGTAGTAGCACTCGGTCGCACCAATCCCGATTGCCTTTGCCTTGCGTCCCATCAAAAACTTCATCGCAAATCAGATAGTCAAAAGGCATCGGATATACATCATGTCGAGTTTCTGACATACTATTATAAAGATAGAGTGGTAATAGTTTCTCGTAGTCAGACTGAACTTGACAGTTGTTCCTCCGAGTCGATTTAATTTCGAGGGCAGTGCTGCAGTGCGGACGTTCAACGTGATCAGAATGCGCGAAATTGTGCTGATCTGAGTGAGGTCTCTGCAGACTCAGAAGGCTGGTCGCAGCTGCAGACTCCGTCACGGTCATCGGGAAGGTCGATCGAAAAAGGTTCCGTCATAGAAAATAACCGTTGCCTTTTTCAGATCGAAACGTTTACTTCCCACAGTGTAAACCTCCTTTACCATCCCATATGGGTAAGTTACCATGTATGATACCCTACGCAACGAGTCATTCGGTTCACCTCAATTTATGTAACTCTTTTTTGCAAGCTCCCGTCGTGCTCTAGTGGTCAGTCACTCAAGTATCTTCCTTACATCTGGTGTATAACTTCCCACTCATATCCAATGCTCGAGTCTCGTTGCCATGTCGGAAGAGTAGGCTACGAAACGAAGCCCAAAACAGGGTTCCTATCTCTCGCTGAAGAACTGATGTTTTACATTCTCAGGTATCTTTCTTATCGAGATATTCTTCGTTGTACATCTGTGAGTCACAATTGTGTTGATGTGATTCTCATTCTAGATGAATTTCGATGATAATGCTCTTGCAGGTATGCAAGGCCCTTCGCCAGGCATACATGTCCTCCTCCGAGCTTCAGTACACCATCGAACTCATTGGCCAACGGTTAATTCCTGTCCCCAACACGAACTACACACCTATTGGCAACCGTCTGAAGACCTTGAAGGACAGGTCCCACGCATGGTTCAAGTTTGATATGTACTCTTTCGTGTCTCGTGGGCATTTTTCCTCGTGGGATGAAACTGATGACCTGGCTGCGATAATTCCAATACTACCAAAGCCCTCACAAAGAACAATCGAGCGCTGCTGGTCTCTAGAAACATTGCGTTTGGAGCCCCACTCAGTCACCCTGGATGTGTTGATCGACCTAGCACAAAACCTGATCGCTGTCGCATATTGTGTTACTTCCGAGGATAATCCTCTTGAATCAGATGAGGCGGTCTTTATTGACCTTAGAGCCCTGGATGGTGATGATGTTCACCCTCAAGCTGCTCAACGGACACTATTTCTATGGGAGGAGTTCGAATCTGAATCTGATCTCATTAAAACAACGTATGCGAAGCTCAAGTGTTGTGGGAGGCATATCGCTTTGCAGCGTTCCTTGGCTATTACAAACGATGATGGAAAGAATTACGAGTGGGATATGCAGATTTGGGATTGGCAAAACTCAGCGACACGGAGGGTGAGGTTTGATCTGAAATAGTTCAAAGACTTCACGATTACTAATCTTGAATTCAGATCGTCACCGGCGGCGCAACACCCCACCCATCTGAAAACCAGATTGATTTTTGTTTCCTCGGAAATGATAGGTTGCTCATTGTGGCTGACGATCTGGAGGTCTTTTCAATGGAAGATCTCAAGATGTCACGACGTATGGCACGTTTCAAATTGCCCCTCCCGTTGCAGTGCATACAATGCCACCCTCCCATGGACAATATTGAACAGATGCAAACCCAACCTCAAACGGTGAGGTACACCCCAGACCCTAAACATCAATTACTATGCCTTACTGGGTCCTATGGTACTGCCTCTCTGGTCTTCATCATCTCCACGAGGATTTTCTTCGACCTTGACGAAGTTGCAGAAACAATAACAATACCATGGATACATTGGGGTCCTTCAAATACTCGTGTTTTCCGGTATCCATATCAAGGCAAAGTCCACGTTAGTGGAAATCGAGTTTTGCAGGCTTTCACAATCAGCGGGCCAGACACGCGTCCTGGGGAGTACGGAGTACGTCTGATGGACTTCAGCCCAATAGCTGGGACAAACAGACAGGGTCTTGGGCGTGTGGTGAAAGAGTCATCTACAATAGAAATGAGTTCTGTCATGGATGACACCGTCAAAGAGGAGAACTTGACGATTACAACATCCTTGCCTTACGTCGAGGTCGTATCGAAAAGGAAGTTCAGTGTTCGCGAGTTACTGGACACATGGCTTGACAAGGATAGAATTTATTTGCTCAATGCAAATTGGAAACATGTTGCGGCAGGTTCTACTTCGTATCCGACATGGGAGTCTAACAGGCTTGAGGTCATCGATGTCTAGAGAACTCGTCCGTCACCAAGTAGTTGTATATCAGCTTAGCACAATGGCACCAGTTACTTACGAAGATAGATCATATCCTACTTCTGGCGCAAGTACTAAGCACATCATTGATCACATCTTGTGAAACTGGTGTCACGTTCTGCTCTCTAGTCTATGTATATATCCATATCTTACCTAGTCTCAATATTCCCCCCAGTGATGGTGTTGCATATAGGACACATTATTTTGTTGATGTGTTTGTCTAACACGCATAGGGTGTGAAGGATCCCATTTGATTCCTTGAACAAAACTACCATACTACAGACTACGGTGTCCGCTTAGCCTAAAGGTCCGGTTCGAGCCTTTCGATGTCATTTCTCTAAAATACAACATCAGCATTGCCTCAGCCTCCGATATCTCACAATAGTACATCCGAAAATTACGTCTTCTGGCTCCCTGCACCTCGTTTCCTATATAAACACGTTCATGTTGACGCAGAGGGCATAGAAGTTGAGCTGAAATTTGCGGAGGAGCCATCAAGAATTCTCGCGGACTAAGGGCATGACTATCTCCAAGGTTCGTGTCGAATTTGGTGGTTCCTTAGATCCAGAGGAGCGCTTCAAAATCATCCACAAGTGTGAGCGGAGAGGTATAAACTCCACGATCTGGATGTCTTTTGATGAAATGTACGTGGAGACTAGCAGTTGTAGTCGTGACCAACACTTTGAAAGGAGATTCAACTGGTCTGTTCGAACGAGGCGTAATGTTGTAGCTACCTGCTCTCAGACGCTCAACTTTTGGTCTCTACCATAAGCCAGCCTCACGTCGAGTCATTGCCTCCATCTTCTCTCTTTTTTGAACAATCTGGAAAGGATCGAGACAGGCACCATCTATGCTTTGTCCGAGTTACAGACGTTTTGGGTGGAGATGTTAAATCCCTCCATGAGCTCACTCGGAAAGAAACATCTTGCACTGTCTTTGCGCATATGCACGCACTTGAGATAATGTATACGGATGTCAAGCAGGATAACATCATGTTTGATATAGGCTTACTCACATAGGCTAATATTGCAGTCTTCATCGAAGGGGACCAAGCTTGATGCCATCCTCCATTTCGAGTCGTTGTCCAGACCGTCGTCTCTCAGTCCCTCTCTAACCTCGCTCAAGGCCATGATGTGCAACTCCATCGTTGCAGATTTTCGGGAACGGTGAACAACGATGTGACTTTCAGGACATGTAGCAGGACTCACACCTGGCATCTAATAGCGCGACTAAATGTTTACACAACCGACGAGATCTTCACTTGTGCTCTAAATCAATGACCGTGGAATAAGTCGACATTTGGACGTTTGGATGCACTGTCTCCAATTTTCAAGTTTTCTAGGCGTGATCATCGACATCAGATATCTACGAGTTCGATGATCCGTACCTTGGAAGACGGTGGGCCAAGCAACGAGACGGTGAGCCGAGCAACGAGATAGCGTGCCAGAACACGAGGAGATTGAATTTGTTCATTAAGGCACCGCGGGCGCGAGCAAGAGGGGGGATCACGTTGTTCCATTGAGTGATGTAGTAGATTCGGATAATTTTTCTCGGATGGATACTTTGTACCGTAATCTGCGAAGCAAGTCTAGTCAAGCTAAGTGTTCGTGATAGATAGTATCTCGAGACTGGGAGGGACTAAAGGAATCATCCTGTTCATCCGGCAACCTTCAAGAGACCGAACCGAATTATATAATAACACATCCGGCATCAGTAGTTCGTTTATCGTTTAAACACTGCGTCCAATAACTCGTATGAATATGGTACCCGAGTAACGTTTCCCTGCATGTGGGATTTGGTTTGTCAAATTTCTGTGGACGAGTGGACTTTGAACATCGAACTCCATCATCATGGCACTTCAGCTCCTGCCGGAGTACATTATCCATTTGACACCCATGATGCACACCAGCTGTTCGAAGGTTAGGCAATGATTGGGGCGGCGCCAATCAAAAAGGATGTTCAATCCGAGGTCGGTTCCGAGAACGTTGAGGTATAAAGGCAGTGATATTTTGAGCTTGACCTAAGCAGGGGTCTTCGGTATGATTTCCAAGTTAACTCCCGCTATTCTCCTGGGTCTTGCACTCCGTAGCACTGCTTGCGCGGACGATCACTTGCACGCTCGCGACAGCCATGCTCATGAACATTTGGAAAGGCGTGAGTACCCGCAGGTTCCACTCACACCTCCATACCGTCCTCTTGTCTGGGGAGACTTGAACGTAATCCACACCACCGATACCCATGGTTGGCTACTCGGGCACCAGAAGTCGTCCTGGGCTGAACCATACTACAGGTTGGTGTTCACAGCGCAACTACCTCGAGCCACCGTCACTCACCCACCTCGTATGAATTCTAGTGGGGATCTCGGAGACTTTGCTAGCTTTGTGACCCACATGAAGCAAATCGCCCTCGTTCGTCCATCAATCTGAACTCGTGCACTTATCATGTATAATTCCTATCGCAGCATAAGGATGTCGACCTTCTTTTGATAGACTCAGGTGATCTACATGACGGTATGTGCAATTACTCATTGTCTGAAACACAATCCAACTCACGTTTCCCAGGAACCGGTCTTTCTGATGGATATCCTCCCGGTGATGTCGACGCACACGAGGTCCGTTCTATTCATGGGTGATATATCATTAATGCTGACATGTCGGATGCACCATTCATAGTCAAACAAGTTCATTGAGCGCCTCCCCTACGATCTCATGACCATCGGAAAGTGGGTGTTGAATTTGTAGTCCGAGTCATCTCCTAATTCGTCTCCTCAATCTCCCTTTTATAGCCACGAATTGTATGGTTATGCGGATACGTATGATATGTGCGTTATAACCATTTTGAACGAATCTTTAACTGACAAAATTTGCTTTCTTCCTTCTTTTGTCATGTTTTTGATGATTTGGCGCAACTTGTTATTTCTGCCATATCTTTGCTGACCTGTTGACACATTTATGATGCATCTGTTCTATTCCCCTTTGGTATGCTCACACTACTGACTGTCTGTATTACTCCTCAATACTTGTTCTATGGACGAATTTCCCACGAACATCTTCGCAAATTCGGAAACGGCTTACCAAAATGCCATGAATGCTCTGCAGGTATACCAACTTTGTCCCCCACCTCGCTGGGCGGTACTTGACCTCTAACGTCAACATCACCGTTTTTAATTCAGACGGCGAGCCTGAGAGTGTCCCAGTAGGCAGTAAGTTCGGATTCAAAGTGATTGTTGCTACTGCCAACGTTTATTCCTGCAGACCGTTACACCAAGTTCACAACACGGAAGTAAGTGAACATGTTAAATTTGAGGAGGGACTCTTATTTATTCGACACGGCAGAGGCCGTCGTATCACTTCTCTTGGAGTCATATTCAATTTTACTGGGAACGATGTGAACACGACTGTGCAAGCTGTCGGTGATATGGTCAAGGAGCAGTGGGTACGTTATTCAATGCGTTTGAGTGATTGAAACATGGCATCCTAATTTCTGTTTTTAGTTCGTTGAGGCCATTGCAGAAGAGCCTGACGCGTTTGTGCTTATCGGGTAGGCAAATTCCTTGTTGCCGAAGGAAATATTTCATTAATGCGACTGCAGACACATGCCTGTTTCCAATGATAACTGTATGCCATTGAAATGTTTGTCAAACGATAATCCAACAAAATGTTCATCCAGGGCCTACCGTTGTCAACGCTCTACGGGCTGTGCATCCTCTAACACCCATACTAATATTTGGAGGTGGAGGCCACCATCTTGATTGTTCCGAATCACATGCTCATTGTGGATCTAGGACATACCCACATCCGTGATTGTCGACAGGACGATGGTCGTTCCATGGCTATTGAAAGCGGACGCTACATGGAAACGATTGGTGTGTAACTGCAAAGATGAGTAAGGAATATTGTCTGACATGATCTTTTAGGCTGGATGAGTAAGATGTTATAAAAAATACTGTACCTCAGATACCTAACACCAGAAAATTAGGCGCAGACCTCGATGCTGCCAAGGGCAACAGTGATAACGTTACTTTCACAAGGAGATATCTTGACCAGAACCGCGTGACCTACGAGGTATTTTACCGAACTTTCGGCTTTCCACCGCTAGTCTAATATTGCCCATGACTCCTACTTAGTACCACACTCAAACCTCAAACCGAACATTTGACACCGACCACGGACGATCGATCACCCGTGGCCTGGAGGAGCTTGCGGCCCGCTTTAACTTGTCCCACCTGTACGGAACAGCTCAGCAAGATTATACCTTGTTTCAGTGGGTGCCCATTATGTAGTATTATCGTTCAAGCTCAACCATTGTGCCCTAGTAACCCTTATCCTTCCAACGGGTCTCTTGTATCTTTCTTCATCGAAAATGTAAGTGCCAAGTTTATAGTGAAGTGAATTGTGCAGGTATCGACGCGCTCATTAGGCTGTCCCATACGCACTCGCCATTAACAATACTCGCGCTTCCATTCCAAATATCATGATTATCGATTCATGGGCTCTACGCTTCGACCTCTTAAAGGGATCGTTCACCAAGAACGATCAACTAACAATCATGCCGTATCAGGATTCGTTCTTATACATTGCCAATGTTACATCTGGGATCGCAAACCAACTGCTCCCCGCTATGAACAAACCGATGGGGATACAACAGAAACGAGATGAAACCCAAGCTGTATTTTCCAGCCATAAAATCGATGATACTCCGGATAGTGCCCGGTTGGAGGAGATAGACGACCGTCCTGGAGTGGGCGGACAAGCATCATTTGGTTATGTCACGAGAGATGTAAGAGTTCCATGCCGCGCTTGTTCTATGCTCATAGCACTTGTTTGTTTAGTCATGCCCCGACGCTGATAATGCAGACGATACACTGCACACCCCGTTGCCCTACTACCCGGTTCCATCCTACTCTGGCTCAAACCCGCCAAACGTGACGGCCGACACACCTATTGATGTTGTCTTCCTGAGCTTCCTTGGAAAGGAGATTATCGGCATCCTCAACGGCTTACAGAAGGATAAGACTTACACGATGGCTGATGTTTCATCGTATAGTCCAACGCTGGCTGGCGATATACTGGGCCTGTATGCTCAGGGCATGTGGAACTGATGGTATGGTCTGTAGTTATACTGCGCTGTACTATATACATAGTTTGCTTTCTTACTCAACCATTCTAAATCGACAGTTACATTCTAGTGAATGAGAGGTGTACTTCGCACAATTGGCATGGTCAGTCACGAAATCATCGTCCAGGCCTACCGATCCTGAAGGTCAATTTCAACGACATTCGCGAATTCCAGGATGGTGCTGTGCTCATGCATGTCGGCATATACTTACCTACCATCAAAGCATGAAATGTGGGTGGTAGTATTGGCCATGATCGGCACCGGCCTCGACTGACTTGACTGAGATGGCCATGGAAATAGTCGGTCATGCATCACAATGTTAGGCGTTTTAAATTTGAGTTCTTCTATTGCCCGTGAAGTCTACAACAGTGTTACTTATCCTAGTCTCCCTTAGCCGGAGTCCTTCAAGTTTAGCTAGAGTATTGATTGTTGGGCGTAGGAAAGACTCGGACGGACAATTCATATCCCGTGATGCAGTGGGAGCACGATACCCCTCGCAATCAAATACGCAGGTAACACCTAGTAACACACAATTACTTACTTAGTGTCTGTCTGATAATGATCATTCACGCAATTGCCACTTAGGCAAATATAAACCAGCTAATTGTGCGAACTTTGAGTACCACTAATGACTTTGTAATGACTAGTGCGATATTGTAGTTGTTATTCGCACGGTCTGCACCTGCCAGTATCCCCAGAAATACATCCCGCTCTTTCAATGTCGAACCAAGGCCTGCCACCTGATGAAATCGCAGAGCTGCTCGACTCTTATTCACAGCATATGTACATTCGCTGTGAGCGTCCCATCCCATTTCGATTGTTTTTCGGCAAGCAAAACCACACAGAACCGCCTTTGTATAATCTGTTAGCGTGCAAGGGCTCTAACGCTACAATAATTCTCGAGTCTCGAGTCTCGAATCTTGATCATCAGTCGGAATTCCGAGGTGTCGGTATTATCTCGGGCGTCATTATAGTAGCTGGTTCATGCGAAATACAAACAACGTTCCAATCCACATTTCCACTCAGGCTACCCTACGAAAGCGCGACTCAACAGAAGGGCATCAACTGCATGATGATTAAGTGGGGAATGTTTTTATTGGAATAAATATTGATGGTGTGCATTGGCAGTCGTATGTTTCGGTGAGTGATTCCCTCGACTTCTTCAAATCTCTAGATTTCTGATGGTGTGCCAACAGAATATCATCGCCTTCAGCCATTGTGCATCCGAGCCATCATTTCTCTCATTTTCTCTCTCAATACTCCCTCGATATAGGGGTGGTGATGTATCTTCATCATACATCAATCACGGAATCTCAACCAGGAGGAAGTTTGGTAAAACCTGATACCTATTATCACCGCACCGACTCCACGGACCTACGATACAAATCAAATATTCTAGGCTGACCATTTCTGGTATCCAGATCATATGATGGCCCGATTTCTGAGGCGGAGAGCGAGAGCGTGCGCATGAAGCGACAGATGACCTAAGGATGATATGAGACAATGAAGCAGGGTGGTATCGGCACACAGGGTAAGATGCGAATTTGTTTTTATTGTGTCAATCTCCACTATTTTTGATGGCCGACTTTCTGGTCTGGCGTCATGCTGACGCAAATGTGCATTTATTGAGTGACCTTGAATGACTCGGAGGTGTGATGCTCCCCGGGCCTGTGCTGGCGAGGCAATGTCAGGTTTTCCGAAACGGTCGCACCATCATGGTCAGCATGTGCCAAAGAAATAAAATAGTATTTACATAATTTCATTGATGGACTGATGCACGTGTGGCAAAAACATCTCGAGAATGGAATGAAAACCAAGGCGACAAGATCACGAACAGTTCTTGATGTTGTTCGATCTTTTGCGGAGTTCAAGCGTTTCGCTCATTCAGATTCCTCATGCAAACATATCCACTTCGACCAATCAAAGCAGGAACGGTCATCATCCCCCGATCTCGTTTCGCTCTAGCGCTGATCTACGCACCGGATGGTGGTATAATTAGCACGAATGCCATCGTCTTACGTCCACCAAGTTCGCCTCTCACCCACACCTATTCTCTACCAATATGACCGTAGTCTCCAATGATCCCATTTGGTGGTCGGCCATCAATGCATATCGTTTGAGCAGCTATTTTGTAGGTTCGTGGAGAGTGGTCGGATGTTGAAGTTGACACAATCTAACATTGGCTTTTGTTTCCCAGTCGCCGCCTTTGTTGTAGTGATGCATGATTGGGGTGAGCATGATAACATTAAAAGACTGCTGACGTCTTACGAATATTTTCAGCACTTACATTCGGACAAGAGGTATGTCGATGGTATGACCGGAGCAACCATCTCGCTGAGAATGGCTTTATAGGTGGAATTGATCTGGGTGAGTAGAGTCTGGTGTAAGAGGAACACACATAAAAATAAACTTGATTCCAGAGACAACGATGGTCCGCAATGACAGTTATGTATCTCAGTGTATGTAGCTTGTTTGTCGCGGTTGCTATGTTGTACTGACTTGAAAGTATCCTATAGGCGCGTTACCTTGGAATGTTATATGCTGTGTACGTTCGGAAGGCTACACAATCGGTGTTGTGCTAATCGTCCGTCTCTCATAACCAGTCTGGCCATTCTGGGTATGTCCCTTTAGTACATTCGCTGACTTTACTTCTTCTGACCAACGGCATTCAGTGTGTGTTCCGACCATCTCGCTGACAGATACAGTGAGTTTTCTATACAGGTGCCTATTAATATTCTCCTCCAATTAACTGTGGCGCCTTGTAGCAGTGGGTGTGGTTCTTTACTAACTTATTGGTTTACTAATGACTGCCATGCTATACTGCCACAGATGTGAGTCTGTTTGGAGTGTGTGCTACCCGAGGCCAATCCCTGACTGGATTCGTCAGGCTATATTATGTTCACTATATGGAATTGGATAGGTGTTGTGGTATTTGCGCTGCTGTGGGGTGAGCTTTGCACTTGCGATACCTCAGTGAAATTGACTTGACTGAAACATGACGCAAGTCATCATCATCACTCGGCTGCATGCCATGTATCAAGGATCCAGAAAGGTCCTGATATTTCTCATTGTCACCTTCCTGGCTATCAACACTTTCGATGCAGTGGCCTCCATAATTGCAACGATGCATGCTTCAGGGGGTGCGTTTAATTGTGAATGAAAATAACCGTGCATGAGACTCATTGATACCAGAGGAACACATTCTCTCCGGCACTTATCAGTGCCAGATTAGTAACTATACGGGAGATCTCATACTTATAACTTCCATTGCTTGGATACTCGGAACTGTGTGGGAGGTCATCGCACTATGTCTCGCAATCTGGATTGTGGTAAAACACTTCCGTGAATTGCGACAACATTCGACAGGAGGGATTATGGAGGACTGTTTCACGGTGTTGATAAAATCTCACGTGCTTTACTTTGCGAGGTAAGCTCATATTGTGATTATTATTCCTTTTTCCAACTGACATGTCGGACGTGATAGCTTTGTTGCTGTTTCTTGCTTTGAGATGATTGTTAATTTCTCTCCAACATTATCAATGGTATGTCAATCTTTCACTTCCCTATGCACGCTACCAATTTATCGTTTATATAGGCCATTTCCCTGGACGCTCAGATTCTTTATGGGTTCCTTCAGATTTCGCAGGTCGTGCAGATGTTTGTATTGGGACCGCGCCTGATCCTTGGTATTCGGGAATACCACGCCAAGCTCGTGGCCGATTCTGACGTAGCAACTGGTATGACCTCAATCGCTTTCCAGGAGCGCGTGCATATATCGACTGGCAGTGGTGTGTGATACTCAGTGGAGTTAACAGTTGTCTGGTGCCCTCCAAAGAGCAGGGAAATTTGCTTTTATTTACTTAAAAGTATCGATCGAAGTTATTTGGTGTTCCAAAGTAGATTTCAAGGAGACAAAGTTTTCGTCGTATTGTTTAGTCAAGTGATTTGATATACTTACGTGCTGATAATATTTAAATCGATGAATATCTCTACCGGCACTAGCTGCCCACGCACACTTGTACCAACCACTGGTCCTTCCTTTCTGTGTGATGACAATTGTCCATATGATTGCTTGGGCAGTGTGCGTGAGGACAGCCGAGTGACAGCGCACTGCTTCAGTTCCTCAGCAATTCGTACCAGATTCATCTTCTTGCCTCATTTAATGTCCTACGGACTGCTACCTTGTTTTCTTAGCTGACTCACGCCAACTGGCCTACAGATGATGATCTATTCAAGGTGATCACAAAGTGTGCGGCGGTCGAAACACGTTCATGCATGCGTAGCTTAATGATGCGAGGCATACTTGATGAGTCTTGAGGAGGCTGAAGTTGGTTAACGCTTATGGAGGAGCTTGCCTCTCTTCTTGGTTCGTCAAGGTAGAAATACGGATATGATTATAGATGTGTTTAGGATTGTTGCTGAAACACTACTTGGGGGTACAAGTACTGTATTAAATATTTGTGATATGAAGGCCACGGTTCCTCACCTAAGACCTAGCGCCTCTGTGGAGTCGGGGTAATTTGAAAGAATCTAGGCTGCTAACGTCTGTGAATAGCACACGAAACATAAAACAACTTGTTGACGTGGTTAAAAACGGTGAAAGCTACGGACTCAGGAATGGACAAGCAGGCACCAGCACTATTGATGGTGCAGGAGTCGAGCATCTGCTGCTTGAGGTCAGGCTGCGGACATGATAGCGAGTCGAGCTTAATCTTTCGATGCAGGCAGTATGTGGCCATTGAAAATGTCGTCGAATTTGGGACGTGCGTGCAAGAAGTGGTGATACTAAGGGCATTAATTTAAGAAGTGGATACTCGAAGACACTTGAAGTGCGCTGTATTTTGTTATGAGAATAGATGTAGACGAGAATTCAGGCACGCACAAGTGATAAAACGTTTCAAACAAAGTCACAGAGCCGCTCTGAGGAGAAAAGTCGGAGCGTGACTAGCACGAACAAGCCACCAGGTTGGTGGGCGCTATAGGTAGGTTTTGAAAGTAATAGAAGTGGTTGCGGAGGACTGAGTAGGTAATGTTGGTAAGTGTCGAGGCTGAAAATTACCAGTCGAGGACGGATACGTGGAAGCTCGCGTTTTTCCAGGCATTTATGAATAACCCAGAGTTTTCCGTTGGTGCCGACAGCGACACGGTGAGACGCGACCACCCTTTTGTCGTGGAGTATAATTAGTATTTGTGTGGGACAATTAGTTGGTGAGTGTAGGTTACGGTTGTTGATGTGTGCCAGCGAGTGTTCTACACGGTAGCAGCATATTCAGACAAATATTCACAGCTCACCGAAGGTCGGCTTGAGGCGTCCCTCGGATGTGAGGATGTAGTGGATCGAGGCGGCATCGCGACAGAGGGCATTGGCGAAGAAGTGGTGTTCCTGCATCAGGAAAAGCCCCGGGCAATTTCCATCGGTTGCTATCTTTAGATAACCAGGTACACGCCAGGTAGAAGTTTGGTACTACCCATATACATATCCTACAAGGCGGCCAAAGGTGCCGGTGAGTCACGAGTTGTCATCGGGGATGAGAAGCAAGAGCGACTCGGAATTGGAACTTGCACCCTAACGTTCCGGCGACATCACCTATATGCATATCTCGCTCCTCCACTTTCCCTTTCAGTACACTCCTTTCCTTCGTTAGTACAGTAGGGATATCCAGAATATTGGTTCAAATAATTGTTAATGTCAGGACCTTATAATAACAAATAATTCGAATACATAATATGAAGAGAATACTGCCCAAGCCTGTCTCCTTGAAATCTACTTCATGACACCAAATAACTACTTGAGCACCGCAACAAGATTTGGAATAGAGACCAAAAACCAAATTTCCCGTGCTCTCTGCAAGCACATGACAACTGTCCGCGTCAACTTCACTGAGCATTACACACTACTGCTAGTCGATATATGCACACGCTCTTGGAAAACGATTGAGATCATGCCGGTTGCTGCGTCGGAGTCAGCCACGAGTTTAGCGTTAAATTCTCGAACGCCAAGGATCAGTCGTGGTCCCAGCACAAACATCTGTGCGACTTCCAAAATCTGAAGTAAGCCACTAAAAGTCTGAGTTCCTAGGGAAATCTGGTCCTATAGGAATGATGAATCGTGGTCGCATGCAGAAGTAAGTGAAGGATTGACATACCGCTGAGGATATTGGAGAGAAATCAAGAATGAGGTTAAGGCAAGAAACAGCAACAAAGCTACCACGTCCGACCCTTCAGTGGAAAAGAAGGAACAATAATCACAATACGAGCTTACCTCGCAAAGTAAACCACGTGAGTTTTCATCAACACCGTGAAACAGTCCCCGATAATCCCTCCTGCCGAATGTCGTCGCAGTTCACGGAAGTGTTTTACCGCAATCCAAACTGCGAGAGACAGTGCGAGGGCCTCCCACGCAATGGAGACCATCCAAGAAATGTAATTCAGAAATGGAACATCTTCCCCATAGTTGATCAAGCACTGATGAGTGCCGGAGAGAATGAGTTCCTCTGGTATTCATCAGTGAGCCCCATGCACGTTATTTTTCATTCACAATTAAGCGTACCCCCTGAAACATGTAGGTTTTCCAGTACACCTGCCACTACATCGAAAATGTTGACAACCAGGAGGGTGACAATGAGAAGTGTCAGGATCTTTCTGGATCCTTGATACATGGCATACAACCGAGTGACGCTGATGACTTGCAGCATGTTTCAGTCAAGTCAATATCACTGAGGTCTCGCAAGTGCCAAGCTCACCCCACAGCATTGCAAATACCAGGACAGTCATCCAACTCCATAGGTTGTACACAGTCAAGCCTGAGGGATCCATTCAGTGACTAGCACTAGCACGCACTCCAAACAGACTCACATCTGTGGAAGTATTGTGTGACCGTCATTAGAGAACTAAGAAGTTAGGAAAGAACTACACCCACTCCTACAGGGCACCACGGTTAATTGTAGAGATACAGCAGGCATCTATGCAGAAGACTCACTGTATCTGTCAGCGAGATGGTGGGAATATAATCTGTATGCCGCTGGTCAGACGAAGCGAAGACAACGAATGTACTAAGGAGACATACACAGGATGCCCAGGCTGATTATGAAAGATATACAATTAGCGCGACATCAATTATTTAGCCTTCCGAACATACGCAGCATATAAGATTCCAAGGTAGCGCACCTAGGATACTTTCAAGTCAGCACAACATGACAACCGTGACAGGCAAACTACATACACTGAGATACAGGACTGTCATTAGGGACCAGCGTTGCTTCTGTAATTAGGTGTATTTTCATGGTTGTCCCTCTGACGTGAGACTCCACTCACCCAGACCAATTCGACCTATAAAAGCATTCTTAGAGGGAAGGCTGCTCCGGTCATAGGATCGACATACCTCTTGTCCGAATGTAAGTGCTGAAAATACTTCAAGTTGTGGGATATCAGCAGTCTTTTAATATCATCATGCTCACCCCAATCATAGGTCAGTCCAACAAATGCCGCAACTGCGAAACCGCCATCAAGGTTAGATTGAGCTTTAACCGTGACATCCAACTACTCTCCACGAACCTGAAAAATAGCTGGAAAAACGATATGCATTGATGATCGGCCACCAAGTGGGATCATTGAGGACTATGGTCATATTGGGAGAGAATGGATGTGGATGAGAGGCGGACTTGGTAGACGTATGACAATAACATTCACGCCATATATACGTATACCACTATCCAGTGCTTTCTAGCTAACCGAAATGGGATCGAGGTATTGTGCACTCCACATAGACGTTGCAGTTGCGTGGGCTCCGCTTCCAGGCAATTCGCTAACGTCCTCTTCCTCGGTCATCGGGCTGTGGTAGGCTATGCGATAAGGATGATTAATGAGTGGCAAGTGCAGAATCTTTAATTTTGCAACGTGGGTGTGAAAGTTGACGATCACTTGATCAATAATTGACTCGGTCACCCGGTGCCATGGCTCCTTATATAGAAAACCATTAAGCTTTGTTCCAGCTCGGGTGAGTTTAGGTGGTGCAACTACAGAGGTTGCTAGCTATACCTAGATTGTTAACTCTTTGTAGGCAGACAAGTACAAGGTACAAGAGCTTGTTAACATAAGACAACGCGAAGAAAGCATTGGTACGAGCATAGGCTACACACCTATTACTCGTGCACTAGCAAAGTGCTCAGGTTGTTAGGAAACAATACTGAGGCCTGAGGTGTTGACATGGGCCCGGGGCACGACAATGTGATCGATAACGCATATTAACGCTTCTATTAGTAAGAGCTAATTACGGGAGGAGCGAGAAGTCAAAAAGTGAATGGAACGTATCGCATCAAAGGTGATCATAGCCCAGGCTGGTGATACGTAAATCGGACTTTGAAATCTTTTCTTTTCTTACCATCAGAGGGTGGGGCGACGCAAGTACATAAGTACAAAAGGAGAACTGCGGCGAGGAAGCAGTGTTTGGCTGAACGTGCGTTGTGACGTTGTGGCTTCTATTCCAATGAGTCTAAAAGTTTTCCGTTGGTGCCGACAGCGACGCGGTGAGACGCGACCACCCTTTTATCGTGGGGTATACTAATTATTTGTGTGCACTGTGGGACAATTAGTTGGTGAGTGTAGGTTACGCTTTTGATGTGCGCCGGCGTGCCAGCCTGGAGATCGTCCATGGTGTGGTATGTACTAGTGTTGCCGCAGTTCCGGCTTATGTCCGGCTTTAGCCGTAGTTATAGCCGTAGTTAGCCGAGCCATGTACCTAGTTATAGCTTATGTAATTCAGGGCCTGGTCTGGTCCATGGAGCCACATTTTCAGTCTTTAAGTCAGCTCGAGCTGGTTTGAGCCAGACTTCTATCTATCTATCTAGGACGGAATATTGGTCTAGCGCCATGCACGCTTGATGTCTGAATCTGAGCACTTTCAGGATCTATGGTCTAGCTTGAGCACCCGAAACACTGTTTGCAACAGAGAATGGAGAGGCAAAGACAACGGAGAATGTAGTGTACAGGCCCATCTCTTATGGTAGAAAATGATATTGTATGAGGGAAACAACACAAAAAATGTGAGAAGGATATATGAGGCAGAACAAGGCGTAAAGCTTAAATAGCACTTGTGGATTCTGTCATGTTATGGGGATAAGGGAGTCCAGCGGAAAGTGAATTGATACAGTGTCCAAATAAGAACTCTGAGGCAAAGTCACACATAAAGAGAGGGCTGTATCTCCACGTTAACGATGGATTAATGCATATTGACTATGCCAGGATCAATGTTAGCCTATGTGAAGTGCATGCCGGACGACTTACTTCATTTGCATCTTGAAGTGCATGGTCCCAGTTGCGTTTGCGTGCCATAACAAATGAGCCTGGATATGAGATCCTGTGGTGGGGTCAAAAGATGTCAAAATGCCAGCTTGGAAGAGCTCGTACTTGGAAGTTAATTACCAAGCCCTCTCTGAAATGTTTCTTCGCCAAAGTGATAGCATGATCCGCATGACAGTCAAAGATCTCAAAGTGACTTATCCAATCATGAGTGAAGAAAGGCCGAGTTGTGTATGAGCATGGCGAGTGTGATCATGTTGATGTGAACGATGTTGACGACCTCGTAAGCTTGCCCAAGGGTTAGTCGATGATGAATGAAGGGATGAAAAATTGCATACATCTGAGGACCTATGAATGCTAGTGTGGGTGCGAAGTCTACGAGCAAGAATATGTTTGATGGTTGTTGCATGAAAATTGTGGCATCAACATCGTCAGCCCAGTTAGTTAGCACTGAAGGGGACATTACGCTAAAACAAACAAGGAAGACATCAGTTTGGGGGTATGACAGTGGCCGGAGGTGGTCATAATCAAAAAGACATGAACCGGCAGTGTTGAAAAGACCTAGCATGTAAGGATCGTCACCAATCATTACGGCGACAGCATAGTTATCAAAGACCTGTGCTTATTTAGCACATAGTGTTTGGCGGTCTCGTGGAACCAACTTACAGTGGGAACATAGTCGCTTGGAAATCAATAAGCATATCAAATACCAAAAAAGAAACAAATCCTCGAGAGTCGAGACTCACTGGATTCCTACATACCGTACTACAAACCATCCTTTAAAATCATCATCAAACATCAAACACATCAATCGTGAATTGAAATGGGTCCTCAAGACAAGGTAAGCAATCTTCGAATCGGATGTTCAGAAGTTCAGAAACTTAATCGAAATAGTTGTACGGCAGTTTTGAGAGCGCTCGCAAGTTCAAAGCAGAGCTTAAAAGAAAAGCAAGGGATTTTCGGAGGCAAATGAAGACGGGGGTGCAAGTAGATGTTGTGGAGATGGAGGGTGTGCAGCGTTCAAGAAACGGTTTGGTGTGGTGTTGAAGAAGTTGGGTTGGAAGCGGGAGGAATAGGATGGTGTGCACCTGTATTGTTGCTCAGCTTATGATGATTTTGTAGATTTACGAGCAGTCAAATGTAAATACACGTTAGAGTATCAGCAGCCTAAGAGCCGCTCGAAACGAAAGTCTGCATTAGATGTAGCAGAACATCGCAGCCTTACGAGAGCTGTTTGAAGTAAAATGAAAAATCTACGTACCAGTGTAGCAGAACTACGTCAGGGTATCAGCAACCTGAGCAAAGCCATTTGAAATAAAAAAATATACACACCAGCATAGCAGAACTACGTCACGGATCAGCAGCCCAGGTGCCGTTTGATATGATAGGTCTGCAAATATGTGTGGTAGAACCACACTAGGGCATCAGCGGCCTGAGGAGAGCTGTCTATCTCGACATCATCGAGCATAGTGCCACAGTGTCTCTCTAAGTGGTCGCATCTCAAGGCGGCAGGCCATGATGCGAGAAGTTCCAGCCCCCCCAAATTGAAAAGACCTGTTCATCGGGTGACGAAAGTATTAGTGAGATGCTCGAGATAAGTCTACGCACCGTGTAGCTCTCATAGGATTGATTATCCTTCAGAGAAATTACCTTGAAGTATACCCATGACACCAGCAGCCTGAGAACCACTCGAAATAAAATCTGTGCATCACTGTAGCAGAACCATGCTAGGGTATCAGCAGCCTGCGAGGCATTCAAAATAGAAAGTCTGTGCACCAGTACGGCAGAACCACGCCAGGGCATCAGCAGAAATGAAAGTCTGCATATAAGCGCAACAGAAATAGCTGATAGCCATAACTGCACTCTTCAAGTTTCTGAAGCCTGTGAACAAAGAGCTGAGAAATAGGAGATACGTCTCAGCATGTCCTTTAAATACTCACCAGTCTTCAGGACCATCGCTAAGACCAAGTGAAGAGTAGAGTCAGACACTCTCTGAACAGGTTAGAAAAGGTGAAAGGCAGACAGTCAAGGAAAAGAAAATAATTTGCAATTGAGATCGCAATACAGCGCCAGAAGTATTGCAAGATGCCAGGTGACCAGAACAAGCGAAGGTAGTGTAAATAAGAAATGAAAAGAATTAGCAAAATTAAGGAGGGAAAGCAAATATCATAAGTCGTAGGCTGTAGGTACATTGTCGATGCCATCACACTCCTCCTCTGCGATAGCTTTGAGAAGACTATCGCACACATCACCTGTAATTCCGCTGCTGGAAAATGTCAAAAGACTGTTAGTTTCATCTCCTTCACCCAACATCTTATACTCCATATCCTTCTGCGACACTGCCCAACCCTTCATAAAGTCGAGTCGGTTGTTTTTCAGAAGGAACTTTACCATCTGCAAAGCCTCCATTAGGACCGGGCTCATGCGATTACATTTCTTCGTGTCGGTTTCGCTACTGGACAAAAATACTTGCTCACATGGAACGGCAGAGGCCTGGATCAGGAGATAGTCCATTGCAATGCCATGAAGTGTCGGAAATAAGGTCTGTGAGTGTCAATGACGATGTAATCTGTGGAGATATGGAATGCTCACCGCCCAGAATCTGAGTATATCCATTCCCTTGGGGCTGAGACTAGCCATGGCATAAGCCTCAAATTCTTGCTTGACCGTTTGGGCTCCGCACTTGTGATGGGGTAGAATGTTGATATCAGGCAGTCCATAAAGGCGCGAGCCTAGCGTGCGTGGTTGTTGCTGAGGTGTTATATTGTTAGCTGGAGACTCCGTAGATTCTGAGCCGTTTGTAGTTCGCTTTTGATGCATCTGCATATCATGACATCAGTTCAAAGTTGTGTTGTTATTGGTTTTATAGACGTACCAGATCAATTATATGTTTCTCCATTTCATCAATCATATGTTCCTCCCAACAACTCTGAACCCATGACATTCGAATCGCAGGATCAACAACTATGAACACAATCATGAGCAACCAACCATTACTAAAAGATACCGGACTCACACATAGCAACTGCATAGGCTTTTGTGGCGCCCATCCTCTCATCATACTTGTCTGCCCAAGTCAAACCTATCTGAACAAGGGGACCACAGTGTGGGACATGTTGGGCCAAAAACTTCCACCGCTCGACCAACATTTCAAATGCCGGAAATGCACCACTCAGCCTGGGAGTGCATTCACCTGACATGCATTGTTGGGCAGCATGGGGTGCCTAATATTAAACGATAAAATGGAACATGAGTTTCGACAATACTAAGACTAACCTCTAGAATTACTTCGACATCTTGCAGGAACTGCCACTCCATCGGACTTAATTTGAACTTACTAATGGAGCGTTTGTTACAGGCATCTGTAACACCTACAGGAGCCCCAGCTCTGCCTACGCCTGCCCCCACTCTGCTAGACTCCCCGCGCGGCGGTGTGCCGCCCGCGCCTAGAAAGACAGCGGTCTGGACCGCTATGACCCCGCCTGGCGCTATGACCCCGCCCCTGGCCTAGACGGCCTTGTACCTGTTCCATGGAGGCTGTACGCCTCATGGACACCCTAGATCAGCGCATGTATACCACATGTCGCTTCATGAAGATCCGGAGCGCTTCTACGCGCCTCATGTTGATTGCGCAGTCGCACTTGGCGCTGCATGTATGATCAGAGGCTAAGCCTCATGTATGCTATCTCCCCTCATGTCTAGTTATCTTAGATTACCGATATACTATAGATTACAGACTGAGCTAGAATACCTATAGCTAAACCCTATAAGAGTAGATACATTGTTGTAGATTAACTTCACTTTAATCTACTAGGTTCATCCCCAGAACTTGCTCATCTAAGCTTACCAGCTTCCTTGTGTGAGACCGCACTTCTAAGTCGCCCCCATACGACTTAGCACGTATCCGCTAGCCCTGCATCTCGACGAGCGCCGTCTTACCGAGATCGCCGGAGGAATCCTTGACGTTCCGTCAAGGCCAGACCACGCTCAGCTTCAGTAGACTCACTCGAGTCGTCGCTGAGAAGACCTATCCTAGTTCGCACACGCCGACCAACAGTCGACGTAACAGCGTTGAGTTGGAGAGTCGAAGAATAAATCTATAGCCTAGGCGACTATTATTAGTTTGCAGCAGATGTTTAGTGAGTGACACCTTACCTGGCGAAGGGTTTGTAAACGATTGAGCATGATGTAAACTGAATCTTACCAGGTTGGCTCATCAAGCAGGAGTTCGACAACAGGGAGTTGTAGTTTCTCGCCTGTGTCATCTTGGAACCACTCCTTGTTGTTACCTGTGATGATGGTGTCCCTGAAAGAATTGCGTCGTTGGTTTGACGCGCAAACCGTGCACACAACGTCCCTGGCTCTACTGAGAGCCTTCCCTGTCCCAGCTTTGACATAGTCTGCCTTGATGATAGTGCAATTGCCGATTACCCAGTGTTCGTCCATGAGTGAAAAGTCGGCTTTGTGGTAATCGTCGATGATGTGTTTGACACATATGTTGATAATGTGGGGAAAACACGGGATTCTGTGGTCGATGGGATCAAAATGAATCACACGAGACTCCAGTTGTTGTGAAAGCTCTCACATGGAAACCTGATTGTTTGGAGCGTTGTCCAAGGTAAAATGACCGATCTAAACAAAGTCAGAGGATGTTACATGGTACAGTTAGATGCTGACCTTTTCAGTCACACTGGCACGATCGAGGAGATGTAAGATTACTGTTGCCAGCATTCCACCTGTATGACTTCCTGGAATATGATGGAAGCCAATTAGTGCTGCTCTCATGACGAGTATTGAGCTCTGGTCTGCCTTAGTGATCCAGTGGGCAGTGAGGGCCATGAACGGGCAAAGGTTAGAATCTGACCATAGGTCAGATGTGAACGAGACCTTTCCCTGGGCGGCCTGAAAGATATAAGATACTTTATTGGGCTCTTGACAACTATGGACCTACTGCAAGGTCCCTCTTCAAAGCATCAAAGTACTCATGGAAAGCATCGATAACTAATTCACAAGCTTTGGTACGATGAAATATATCAGTCTCGTTTACCGATGGCCACAGAAGGCGGATCAGGCGGCGAAATTCCGGGCATTCAATAATATTAATTGCCTGAAGACAACAATTAACTAACAATAGTGCGTAAAAAGTGCACACTGACTTACCTGATCATCAGCAATGATGAATTTCACGATGTGTCTGTGCATCTCGTCTAGAGTAAACGCAGGCAATACATCGTCTGGTGCTGATAGGCTGGTTCCAGGGAGTGAGCTAGGACTAGGGGGAGTACCAAGTGAGTCTAACATGCAAGACGGATCCTTCAGCCTTTGACACATGATTGCAATCATCCAGCCTTCATCTATAAAAGTCTTCAAACATGATGATTTGTGGAGGATGTGCCAGTGTTGATGCTCTGCCTCCAGGTAAATGTCAATATGCTCATTGAAGACGTGTGCACGACGAGTTGAAGTGCTCGTACTAGGAACATATGATGTAATGTGATAAGTATTGTCGAGATCGTGGATTTTTCTGGTGAAGGATGTCAGAAAAAACCAGACTCCTGACACAATACTCACTCGCAGGCTTTGCAGATATTTGAATGGGTGGTAGCATCCTGTCTGAAAAAGAAATGAATATCGGCAGAGGTTTTGCTCGGCCACCAGTGGCCAGAGGGTCAGTTATGGCGGTATTCATCGCAGTCTGCAGTGGGCTATGGCCTGCAGCAGGCCTAACTGCGCACACAGGTGAGTCGACCACTTCATCTTCCTCATCCCCAGAGATATTCTCGAGGTGGAAGAATTCCCCTTCACCTGCGTCATTTTCTCTGAATCTAAGGGGAAGCTGATGGTGCCTTTGAGGATTGCGAAGGATATTGGCATTCACTGCAGCAGCAGTCGGAGCAATGGGAGCAGGAAAAGTAGGAGTGGAAGTAACAGCAGCAGTGTTGGGAACAAGAGTAGTGGGAGCAAGAGTAACAGGAGCAAGAGTAACAGGAGCAGCAAGAGCAACAACGGGAGCAGCAGCAGTGGCTCTGGCAGGAACCCGGGAAGTGTTTTTCCGTCAAGGAAGCATGGTGGTGGTGGAGACGACTGAACAAGATAATTATATATGTTTTATCTGGGGAAACCCCACGATATGCCGATGTGCAGGTATCCTGAGTGGAAAAGCCCCCAAAGGACGATCACCATGAGTTACAACTCACATAATTCAAATCTCATTTAATACTGACTCACCAAGTAATTGACTGATCAAACCCTGAATCATAATACCAAGTGGAAAGGGGAGTAGCACATTAGCACAATGGTGAGTGAAGGAATCGAAAGTGGGTGACATTTGAACTCTCACCTGCACCTGCACTCAGACCCACACTCGGATTCACATTTGCAATAGCACTTGCAGCTGCTGCACTCACACCAGGACTCATCACCTCCACAATGAACTTGCAGAAGAATGTGGCGATGTTGCAACCGAGGACAGTATGGACAATGCAGAAGCCGAAGATGATGGTTTCCAATCAATAAGCAGACATCGTTATTATGGGGTATGAATTGATTATTAGTTCAGGAAGTCGCCATGAGTCATTTCCAGGCAGCCTGCAGCATGTTGATGTTGATCGATAAGACGGTGTAGCATGAGAATTGGAGAAATCTTGATATTACATAATCATAGCATGGGCTGCGCTATATCGCACAGCAGTGACAGCACGCATACAGTATGTGCAGTATGTACAAATAATAAGTAATGCTATACTCTGTACAGGTATTCAACGGTGTTATATTTAACAATCAAAAGTCCTGGAGGTTGAAGCTTGAGGTCGGATCTAGGTGATTCTACTCTTTTTCCAGCGTGGAGTTAATGTGGTTGCATGCAACAGGGAGCCATTATGTGGGCGCAAACTGGCGATCAAATTAGTTCATATTTGGGAGTATGAGTGGACTACTCACACACAACTTGATCTGCGAAGCGGTGGGCATGGAGGTACTGCCTCAATTACCCGGGGTTCATTGGAGGATAGTGCGGAATGTGTGATATGTGCATCAGGCTGGTCCAAGTCCAGCATGCATGTGGCTGGTGCAGGTGATCTAGAACAAAGTGCAGAAAGCAATGAACTAAGGTGGCTGTAGTCGGGATCCTCTGAGAACGCGAGAGAGCACGTGTAAATGAGCATTGTGGCGAACTCGACAGGAATTCCACGACATAGATCTTCAATGGTAGTGTTCACTTTGCGTTCAAGTATGGAAGAGCTAGAAAGTTTCTCTTCATCACTGGTCAACCATGGGAGGGAGCCCTGCAAGAAGTATATCAACATGTATGTGAGTGACTCTAGGTCATCACGACGACCTCATTCAACTCCCAAGTGGTTATTAATCGAAGTGAATGCAGGAGTTCCAGTGAGACGTCGACCTTGGCAAAAGGGTATATGGACACTGGTCGATGTATCCCAGAATTCCTTTGCGACACCAAAATCAATGATAAATGCGGTGTGCTTGAGATCGCCAAGACCCATGACAATGTTCTGTGGTTTGATATTGCCGTGAACATAACCATACGAGTGAATATATTTGAGATGTGAGAGCTAGGAAAAGCAGTTAGCGACCTACACATCGAACACCCACACAGACTGACCAGCTGGTCTCCTAGGTTTGCGACAGTCTCAAGGCTGAATTTTCCATTGTGGGCAAGAAAGAGATTGTGCAGTGAGGGCCCAAGGAGCTCAAGAACCAGAGTGTAATATGTCGATTCCCTGCCAAACCAAAGGGCACGGGGAATACCAACACCACCTTCAAGGTGTTTCAAAATCTTGTATTCATGCTGCACAGAAGACGAGTGCATGATAGTTTCGAGTTTAACAGCAACTGCATCATCAAGGATGATGTTCCATGCACGATACACGACAGCTAAATGGAGTCCTAAATGTTGAATCTGAATAAACATGTAGCCGGTGATATGTGAGTGACATACCATATGAGCCATATCCCAAAATGTCTCCCAGCCTAAATCTTCCATCAACTCGAACAGGGACTTTATCCATCGTATACAATAGCCTAGCTACCTAAGAGTAGAAAAATACAATGAGGAATCCGACTAACACTGAGAGGCAGGCACAACCGCTGCGTTTGTATTTCAGCTTGAATTGGCTTAAGCTGGCCTAAAGCGGTTTGAGCCACAGTTCATATATTTTTGGCTTGTAGAAGTTGGAACTGGTTCACATGGCTAACGAGTTGGAGCAAGTCAGTAACCAGTGGCTTGGCTCATGGGAATTGCTGAAATTCTGGCCTAATGGTAAACACCAAACCAGAACGGGCCGTAGCTGAGCCGTGGCATTACTAGTATGTACTATGTGGTGGCTTAGAGAAATTTTGATCAGAAAGCGAAGCTATGTATGCATGACGTAAGCGTAACAAACCCAAATGCACTGTGCAAATTACGATACCGTTCTTGCATTTTTGACCTTGCAATGGGCAAAGATTCTTTGTATTTTGCACAAAATTTGATTTTTGCCATCTCTGATTTCTTAGATCTGTATCTACCTCAATTTGTGCTTAGACATCTATCTTCACATATCAGTCGATTTTCACAGCTCACTGAAGGTCGGCTTGAAGTGTCCTGAACTGTTCATCAGTGAATTGATGAGTCCGTGACATTGTAGTCACGAAACATGTAGACAGATATAATTATGCTTTTCCAAAATATATCTATTTATTCGATCACAAAATTTAGTTTGTCATACATACTACCCCCCCAATCTAAACTTGCAAGAGGTATCAATGACAGAATGGAAGTATAGCAACATCACAGTATACAGGGTACGGTAGCATAGTGGCCCCGTATTGAGAGCTCATTCTCACTTTGTCGGGTGTATGGTGTCACCAGTCCATGGCATAGTAATGCATTAAGTCTGCTACTTAGAAGAGTGAACTCTTGCATTAACATTGCTTATTAGCATGTAATATGATGCATGACAATGTGCTCACTAGCAGACAGTGCCTGCCAGTCTAAGCCTGCCTCTCATATGTACATAGAACTGATCTCGCACTGGATCTACTGTATTGTTGTACCTTGCAATTGTATTCATCAGATCTCAGATGGTGCTACTATTTATACTAATCGATACAATGATACTACCAAAGGAGCAATCGCACTGCCTGACGCTTCCGCCCATGCGCTCACTATGCTTGATGACGAGCACATATTTCTTGGGCATTTGGTGGCAGCCTGTGGCCTGGCCTGGGGCAGAGTCAACATCTCGGCTTGGGCCCATCACGGCTTTTGAAATAGAAAACGACTAAAAATGATTAAATTGAACATACTATCATGCTGACGGATGGGACACAAAACAAACTCACTTTCGTGTGCTTCACAGGCCCAAATATGACAGCACCCCACTCAAGTTCGGAGGATCAACACAATCACAGGCTGTGAATGGTGGGCAACGACTTTGATCAGCATGGCTCAAGCTCAAACGAGGATTGACACACTCACAGACTGTGAATGGTGGGCAACAGCTTTGATCAGCATGGCTCAAGCTCGAATGAGGATTGACACGCTCACAGACTGAACAGTGGGCAACGACTTGAATCAGCATGGCTCGAGCTCGAATGAGGATCGACACGCTCACAGACTGCGAATGGTGGGTGGTAGAGTATGTGAGGTTGATGTCCTGTGATAGTTTGAATAATAAGATGATGCTCCAGAGGCAAGCAGAATTAGTACTCACAATCAAGATCACGTCATTCATGGCGAAGAGAGTATTGAATGTAAAGAACTGGCTGGAAGCAGCCCGTTTGCAGTGTCACCTGAGCCGAAGGGTATTGGGAACTGCATTGGAGGCAGGAAATTGAAAAGAGACTGAAGGTGCTTGTTCGGAGGCATGCACATGAGTCTGGGATTTATAAAAAGGTCAGAGGGTGTCCTTTGGCAGTTCAGGCAATGTTCAAATGCAAAATGTGATCGGAGGAATGTTATAGAGGGCTAGATGTAGAGGTTGGTGAATGTAAGGGCGCATGTGACTCCAGCGCCAGTTGGAGAATTATTACTAATAAATCACCAATCACCCGTCCAATCATTGCTCACACTGGTGAGCTTTAGAAGTCATACAAATTGTACCTAGATACTCAGTAGGCATACAATAATGTACATAAAAGACATCTTTATGTACTCAGTCAATGATGTAGCTCGAGCTCTGCCGGTCATAAGCCTAGTGCCAGTACTAGTGGACACTGACTTGGAGGCATAGCTTCGAATTCTCAGGACAATTATTTGAATTTCTTTTGCAGCGTAAGGATATGAGCTCCCGAGCTTCAAACATATTGTAGATACATAAATTTAGATTGTTAGAGCATATTTTAAATTTACCAGGCTATATTTCAAGTAGCAAAAAATGCGAGCCTGTCTATGTTTTTTTAGCTGGGGTGCACCGTGCAACTGCAATACAACCTTCCAGATGACAAAAGCCGTACATTAGGTTGCTAAGTTTACATTTATACAAGTTACACTACTAGTAGTACCTATATGCAAGAGAATAGCAAAGAGAATTCTGTGGTGAAGCAGGATGGAGAACGGAGGTATGAAATAGTGGGACACCCAAATGCAGATATGTTTTTTGTCGAAGCAAGGAAGCAAGGAAGCAGCGGGTTCCAATTCAGGGCAGTGAAGTGGGAAGAAGCAAGGCACACGAGGCACGATGAATCTTGATGCCAGGGATGTAACTCAAAATGATGATGTAATGTAATGCATCACATTCCCTATTAGGATGACAGGTAATGCATCAGGCCCTTTAGCAGTGTTGTTGCATTAAAAATCTCTGCTACTTAGCCTGTTATTGTGCATCAGAATGACATTATAGCCTGATGGTGTCAGTCCTATGGCAATATAAGGCATTATAATGGAAAGTTGGTTTATAATGACCACAAAATCTGGCAGGTCATGTGACTTAGAACACAATTTGGAGGTTACGGCTATTAGGGCTGTTCACCGTACCGTATACAATGTACAACCATACAAAGTCAAACAGTAACCGTCTATTATGGCTTACAAAAAACATGCTGACAGTACGGTATGGGGTACTTTACGGCTGTATACGGTACATACGGAGTCTTAAACAAGATCTTTAAGTGCAGTATGAGCTACATGAAGCTTGGCTTTCACAAGCATTAGTGTCCTGATGGTCTCAGGCTTGAGGCTTGCGCTGACCTGCACCAAACTGGTTCAGTGCATGGACCAGTAATACTTTCCTATGAGTTTTATACCCCAGAAATCACTATGAACATTTTTTTCTCTTGATCTGAAGTCACACTGAGGCTCAGGGAATATTTTTTGCATTTATTATTATTATACGAGTTTGCATGCGAGCGGACTGAATATTTTTGTACATTTAATTCTGCGATGAGTTTTGCTTAGTCAGCCATGAAGATGACTTAGAAAGATTCTCACACATATCAGGTGACTGTGAAAAATATGTTCGCATAAGGTTACCCTGTGGGAAAGCTTACAAATCGTGAAATACACACCCTATGTCATTATGCTACCAAATAATTTATTAGCCACAGATGTCAAACATATATGCACACATTATGTAATCATTTCTCACTCTTTTCTAGCTGAGTCATCAAGGGATCACCTGACCCATGGGCCATGCACAGCTCTTGCTGACTCATCATTATACCAACTAGAGTTATGAATATTTTACTTTTGACTCAAAGATACTGTGTAACTTGGTACTATCAAACTAAAGTTACAACTTTAAGTGTGAGAAACTAGTAGTATAGCCACCTAATTTGTCTATATAAGGAGCTGCTTTTTGCCCAATAAAACAAGCAATTCCCCTGCTTTTATACTTTCAGAATAAAATTGTGAGTGAAGTGTGATTCAGCATTCAGCAAGTGTAGCAAAAGGTTGGAGCTCACTGTGCTCAACAACCAGCACCACTCATCTGAGCTCACTGTGCTGAACATCTAGCACATACCTTGAGCTCACTGTGTCTGACGACTAGCAAGACTAGTTTTTCTTTTTCTGTTTTTCTTCTGATCGTCTGTCTGAATTTCTTTGTTTCTTTTTGTGTCTTTGTCTGTGTCTCAATCTCTCTGTGATTTTCTCTGTGATTGTGTGTCTGAGTGTTTGTTTGTTTCTCTCTCTCTGTCTCTCTGAGATTGTGTCTGAGATTCGTGACTGAAACTCGTGTTTCTGTTTCTTTATCTCTTTCTCTCTCTCTGTCTCAAGTGTGTGGTGTGTTGGAGACTAACTGTGTTGATCATTTCTCTGATCACTGTTTCTGTGTGTTGTGATCATTATTGCTAACAGCCTTCGAGAACGTGTTGGTATTTCTGTTGTAGCGGTCTTGTTTTGTTGTTTGTCTTGACCTATCAACTTTCTCTCAAGTACCAAAGTTTCAGTCTCATTCTTACCCAGAAGTTTGGTGTTGTCTCTTTTGTCCACTGAAGACTTAGGATAGTCTTGTGGGGAGACTTTAGGTGTTGATGGTGATACCTGACCTCATACATCTGTGTGTCACACTGGTCGAGGGTAGTCATTGCGAGTTAGACTTTAGCTATCGAAAGGGGACTTGGTATCGAAGTCCAAGGTTGCCCATTCCTGAGTCTGTTTGAATACTCATTGTGAGTTCCTTGACAGCAGGTTCAATATTAGGCTAAGAGTGCTACAGAGGCTTGACTAGGTCTGACAGTAGTTTCACCTGTGATTGTAATTGAGGAGGACTCTCATCGTAACTCCACACAACTTGCTGCACTAAGTTTGTGTACGAATCATTGTTGCTGTGTGAAGTGTTAGGAAGAGTATCTGTCTGTTTGTTTTGTGACATCTCTATATTGTTAGAGTGACTGTGTTTCCTGATATTTTTGTTGCTATTGTTTTGTTGTTTTTGTTGTTGTTGTTGTTGTTGTTGTTGTTGTTGTTGTTGATCGCTGACTGACTGGTTCTCTGTTTCTCTGATTGCTGTGTTTCATATCCATACTATTGGATCAATTGTTGATTACTGACCCTTGTGCAGAACTCATTGTACTGACTGTACTTTAGGAGCATAAAGAAACCCACCCATGAATGACCACATTATCAGTCATTGGTATTTGTCTGAATCGCTGACCGTGGAGATATTTGGTTTTATAGGTGTTTATCTATAGATCATCTATCTAAGAAGACAGCGCGCTGCATGGAGACTGTGTCCCGACCCCCCAAAAAGATCTGTTCAACAGCAACAGCGGACCCTGCAAACAGTGTGAAGACCATAGTTAAATATAAATGTTTTGAACACACTATACGACACTCACCAGGGATTGCAAGAATGTCATGCGCGAGATGAGAAAGGTTGGGAAATTGTGCGCGGCAGCCTGCCCACCACTGAATGGGGTCACAAGTATTGAAATCCTCCTGCGGGAGCTTCAAGTACTCCTTGAATTCATCTATTGAGGTATTTGATCACTTCTTGTACCTTGCTGTGAAGTTGACCTTCATTGGAGACCGTCTAGCATTCTCCGAAGGGCCCATTTCAGTGGGAGAAGGGACCGATTGGACTACTGGTGCTGTAGCATACTGCGTCCTATAAAGTGCATGTAGATCGTTCTTCTGCATCTTGATATGTGTTTGTGCAATGACATCACCACCACAGTCACCATGGAGCCCATAGTACGAAATGCGGGGGTTGAGAACTTCACAGAAAATAGACAATTAGCTAGCTAAACTGACTCTCATCAACCTTGAAGTAATAATCGCTGAGCTTACGATGAGCGCTCGTCAGTGCAGACCGAAGCTTCACTGGCGCTGAATCTGGAAAACGGAATTGAAGAACATGTGAGCTGGACATGACATAGAATATGTTAGAATATGATTGATTATAGATAGTAGAAGACACACCAGTACTTTGAGGATTTCCATGGTGTGAGGATCAGGTCTGGAACGACTTGCTGCGAAATAAGACATATGGTTACTGAATGTATCAAGCTAAGTCTATTTGTTTATACACGATAAACAAACCCGTACTCACACTGTATTACAGCCACATATGGCTGTAGTAATACGGCAACATATGGGCCCCTGATACCCATACACTGTAACTGTCAACTGAAAGTATAAACAGCCAACAGTATGGGTACGGTGACCGTATTACGGCCCCATAAAGTCCCGTCATACGGCATATGGTGAACAGCCCTAATGGCTATGTCACAGCATGCAAGCAACAATAGTGCATTGGCCTCCAACTGAGAAGTTCTTCTCACTTTTTCATGTGTATAGTATCAGTGCAATGGCAATACAAGGCATCATAATGGAAAGTTGGTTTGCAATGACTGCAGAATCTGGCAGATCCATTGATTATGTAAGTCCTCACTCCTTCAAGCCCACCGCCTCAACTTGCGTTTACTATTCACCCATGGTGGCTCGCCAATTTATTGCTGAAACGGAGCGCCTCCCAGATCATGCCCATGTGTTGCTCATAACAACTGGCAGCATAGCATCTATCAAAGCTCCTCTCATCATCTCAGCGTTTCTTCAAGTCTGTCCCCGTCCTCGGAATCCTGCTCTTGCTCATGTTGTGTGCAGCGTAGTACCAAAATGTTAGAGTAGATGTTACAGGGATCTGTAACACCTACTAGAGCCCCAGCTCTCCCTATGCCTGCCCCCGCTCTGCTAGACTCCCTGCGCAGCGGTGCGCCGCCTGCGCCTAGAAAGACAGCGGTCTGGACCGCTATGACCCCACCCCATGGCGCTATGACCCCGCCTGGCGCTATGACCCCGCCCCTGGCCTAGACGGCCTTGTACCTGATCCATGGAGGCTGTACGCCTCATGGACACCCTAGATCAGCGCATGCATAACACATGTCGCTTCATGAAGATCCGGAGCGCGCTTGGCGCTTCCTGTACCTATGCGCAGCTGCCCTTGGCGCAGCATGCTTGATCAGAGGTTAAGCCTCATGTATCTTATCTGAACCTCATGTCTGGCTATCATAGATTTACGATATACTATTGATTACAGACTGAGCTAGAATACTTGTAGTACTTCCCTATAAGTAGACACAGATTATTGTACTTAGACTTTACTTTAATCTACTAGGTTCATCCCCAGAACTTGCTCATCTAAGCCTTAACAAGCTTCCTTGTGTGAGACCGCACTTCTAAGTCGCCCCCATATGACTTAGCACGTATCCGCTAGCCCTGCATCTCGACGAGCGCCGTCTTACCAAGATCGCCGGAGGAATCCTTGACATTCTGTCAAGGCCAGACCACGCTCAGCTTCAGTAGACTCACTCGAGTCGTCGCTGAGAAGACCTATCCTAGTTCGCACACGCCGACCCACAGTCAGCGTAACAGTAGAAGTGGTTGCGACCAAGTAATCACTTGCATTTTATGACCCTGCAGATGTCGCCAATGCAGGCGCCTGCGTGTGGACCAATGAGGACGAGTGGTTGTTGAGATCTGCATGGAAGATAGGTACTGACTCTATGTTACCCACCCATTGAGCCGTGCTTTTTTACAATCTCTGGAGACCACACATCATATCTTGTAGTGTCTTGTCACGCTTCAGTAGCCCGAGATCCCTTTTGTGACGTTGCAGAGTCAGTGTCTTCTGTTTTGTTGATACTGGTGGTGAAAAATACAAGTACCCAGAATTCACGAAGGTCTTGAGTTGGTGTCATGGGAACTTGGCTGGATAGTGCGCGAGCAACTCTTCCCTTGTGTCAAATACTGAATTTGATCCTGCAGAATCATAGTTATTATGGTAAGCATGAAGACGAAAAATACATAGAATCATACTTCAATTCGACTCTAGACTACCTCGTGGTGTTCACTCATCCAAACATGCCTCCCCATCGAAAACATCTGAAGGTGAATGAATGGAGCGATTAATTGATAGGCACAGGAACGACACAGCAGAGGAAAAGTACAATATGAGCCCGAAACAGGATTGGCTGTGACTGTGTGGTCCCCGCACTTGACATAGTAGTACTGGTGCCAGGAGCGGGAGCTGTTGCGGATGTCAAGGTAACAGCAGGGTGGTTTTGTGATGACTGGGACGCTGTCTGCGTCTGCGATGATTCTTTTTGTGGCGGCTGTCCTTTCACCTTGTCACGTTCTGGCCATCGAGCAACAAACAGCGACTGAAAGAAAAATGGTGAATAGGGAAACACATTTTCCGAAGACTGACAAACCTGTTTGTCCCATACTGCAGCAACTTCGATGGTACACGGGGCTGAATTTGCTGAGATTTGGTTGTGTCATTGGTGTCGGGGTGAGGGTACCGGAATGACAATGGAATACGAGTGAGGAGTGCATGTGCACTCCCCAAAGAGCGGCGGAAGTGGGTAGAGGGACTGCTGTGCATTCTAGAAGACTGGTATCGTTTCAGGGCAACGTTCCAGGCGCGACGAGCAGCAGATGGTTGAGATGGCGTTGAATCAAAGTGTGACTGCAAAGAATGGGTACATGGCATCAGTTCTGGTGCCATCTGAGTGACAAAACATGGACGTACCTCGAAAAAGCCGTCATGTAGATAGTCATTCCCTTCCTCAATGATATCGCTGCCTCCCAACAGCTGTGTAGCATCGGCCTGTGAAATCCATAAGATAAATAAGACCGTAAGTTCAAGTTTGAACACTCACATCAAGGAAAGATTGCAATGGCGAGTTGGATCGCATTTCTTGCTGTATGACTTGTATGTGGGGCATTGCAACAAGCCCATCTGCATGTGTCGTCTGCGCCACAGGTATGGTCGCAATAGACAAAATATCCAACGAATTGGTGTGCCTCCATACAAAGCAGCAGCGCATTATGGAAGGTCACGAACATAATCACGCATATCAGTTGCCTTAACAGACAGAGAATGAGACCAGGCCGAATCATCGAAATGAGCATGAGTCATCATAAGAAAATTATCAATCAAATGATGCCAAGAACCCCCAGAGATGCTCACAGTCAAAATCATCACATCCTTGACGAGGGCCGCAACCTCAGCTTCACCAAGGTGCAGGATGCCATCTTAGAATCCTCCTGGCATCCCCTCAGCTTGGAATGCATTCCAGCATAGTCCAGTAGCACAGGAACATTGTAAAGCCAATCATTGACAGTGACATACCCCACCACTTGTGACATGTGCATGTTATCATGATCCATGACTAAAACCTTTTTGAGAAACCATGGCAAAGTTCACATTAGAAGGTTGCATCCTGCTTGTAGCTGATTTTGACTACATAGATAAACCGATTAGTACATTTACCATAACAAGATGGACTGCCAGAATCACCGTCAATGAACCACCATGAGGATATGGGGATGTAACCCTGCCGTCCATATCCCTGGTAAACAGATCAAAAACGACCCAGTAATAACTACAAAGGATGTAGTGCGATCCGGCTTCACTTTCCAAGGATAGACAGCTCAAGCAGGATCAACGTGGTATAGTAGATACATTGAGGTACGGGAGTTTCACATGGTAGACATGGTGTAATACCAGAGGAGCCCCAGCAGCACAGGAAGAGTCCAAAACACATGCAAACAAAGCACTTAGTAAGTTGATCTGATCTGTGAATTGTGTAAACCATATTGAATTTTCAAATTGCTTAGTGGGTTACCAAAATATTCTCACCAACAACGAAGCTTGAGGAGCTTGGCTCAGCACTGAGTTGAATAAATTTGTACAAAACACATTGAAATGTTAATTCACAAACAGAAGATCTCATATTACACTTAAAATGGTGTCAGAGACTTATTTTATTTGGAAAGTACATTATTCATGTGAACTCTCATCTGTAATATGAATACTTTATACATAAAAAGTGAGACTTAATGTATATCCGACTTGGAGCTAGCGCTCAAGCACTCATGGATGATCTTGACCAGTGAACGAGTGTATAAATTGATTGAGTATATAACGAACGTGCCGCCCTCGTTTAATTTGCGTCTCTTTCTCTTTCCTTCAGCCCATGATAACTTCTCGCATTAGAACATTGATAACACTATGCCAGCAGGTCCTTATGTTAATTCCGATGATATCGAGACTTTGATAACTGAAGTTGAAGTCGCCGCATCAACACACGCAAATTTTAATGATGATGTAATAAGCCCTTCTCAGAGGCCTGACACATCACTATACCTCGCATATGCTATCAATTTTGATCCTGAACCGTCATCTCCCTCAAGTCCACCAGCCTTTCCTTACCCTCATCCAGTGCAAACGCACGGGCAGTTCGAGCATCTAGAGCAACACTACAGCACTTGTTGCGCCCGCAAATTGAAGATTTGTGACATGGCTGTCAAAAAATCACTTGCAAATTTTACCTCGACAAATCACATTCAGTCAGTACTAGCAGGTCACACAGAATTGTAAGTCCCTGCAATTTTATGTTATTTCAGTGGTTGATATCCTATATTTTAGCAGCTCTAATGTCTCTGAGTCTAGGGTTACTTCTCCTGCACCGAGGGATGCACCACAGAGTTGCCGCTCCCGCACTGTTGCCGTGCCGCCATCAACCTGTCCAAAAGCTGGTGCCCCTGCGCAGCTAACATTCACACTCGTTCAAATGCAGAAAGAGAATGAGCTCCTGGCACCTTCACGCACCAAGAAGCATAAGGTAGCTGATATGCCGCAGACATTCATTTCTGCCGTGACCGTGACCAAGAGGGCTCGAGAGTAGACTACAAGTGTTTTTCTTGCATTGCTCCGATTCTCCTTTGCTTGGATATCTACTATATCCTCATGTGCGTTGCCCTTACGAAGCTTCCAATATTCTCTGCCCTTTATTTTCGATACACAGCCACTATTTCTCTTGGCTTTGGCATCTTACTGCCTGATAATTGGATTTTTTGATCATTGAATTTGAGCAAGTAAGGAAACTTCAGGATGTTCCCCTCCCCTAGGAGACTTTTCATCACAAACCGCCTGTTATTTATTGAATGATGCTGAGCAGTTGCCGACTCGAGGAAGACTGATAAGTATTATAGGGCTGACAAATGATATTACATAATACCTCCAAATGATGCATTTACAACATTAATATTCCACTTTTCACCTACTTCTACCTACTGCAGCGTGTAAGTTATCTAGTAGTTGTGATGAGTAGCTGCCATTCAGAATCAATGAGCAGTGTATTTCTTTCTGCGACCTCTGCTAGCCAGCCTAGGTATATAATCTATTACATTGTGACACTCGCATCCTCCCTGGGCTGCAAAGTGTGTCTTTTGGTATTGGTGACAAGGAGTATGGAGAGATATATGTTCCGTCTCATTTTCTGGTGTTCCAATGGCAAGGATACCTCGGTCAACGCTATCCGACATACTTCCACAGGCACTTCCACTCCACACTGTCCGTCCATGTCCTTTCCGTGTCCACTATCTCTGTTGGTGCGTATTCATTTTCTCTCGGTTTGACTGAACTGATATCAAGGCTTATTACATGTAACCGCGTATTCCGTTCCGCGCGCTCCCTCATTACATATTACTTATCTGCCTTGTTTCATCGCTACAGTTCTTGCCCATGGGTTCCGGATGCTCACACAGTAGGATAAAATCTCACGCACTACATACAGTACTTCACTTCCCTTCCCTCGGACACTACCTTTGTTTTGCGGAGTCACTTAGACTGTTCCTAGTATTATTGATCAATTGACAAGCTTTGTTCACTTCTCACTTCGAACCTGTGTGTTCTTGACTGCTCCGAGAATGCGCCTCTAAGATTCTTTACCTAGGCTCTGTGCGGATCTGAACCGCTCTCAGTTCCCGACTTAGCATTTTCATACCTAGTTATACCTCGGCCTCAAACCTCATTTATACCTAGCCGCTACTTGCTGAAACCGTGCTTTACCTAGAAACCTGCCGCTCTTTACCTAGGATCCTCTCGCTTTCGGTCATTTCTCATCATGCACTCACCGGACCCGCAATCTCGCTTTCGCTCTTATCAGCGGACTCGCTTTCCAAGGTCGACTTAGTTCTTTTCCATTCCGCGTTTGCTCCCTTCGCACATTACTTGAAGGAAGTGCTTCATAGCAATCCTCTTGGGTCGAGACAGCACACCTGCACTCAGTTGGATTTATTGGTGCTCTAGCTTTCTTGTTAGCCAGTCACCTTTACTTCTTCACAATGTCTACCTGGTTGTTGCTATCTGTTACAAGTAACATCGGTCATGTGGCCCCCCTATCATTTTCCCTTCATCCTCGCCCTCACCATCGACCGGCTCGTCCTCCTTTACCGACTTTCCATTGACCGGATCCTCGGGACCGTTCCCGTCCCTCGCATTGCCCGCCTCTATGCACGTGCACCCACATTCCTCCCCTGATTCGACCACCAATGTGGTCCCGCACCTATGACTCAGTCTGACTCGTGCCACCAATGTGGCTTTCCTCTTTCTGTTTCTTCTGACTGCGGATTCCCGCACGTTGTATTCTTACCGTTGGTCCGTTCCAATGTTTCTCAGTCTCATTCCACATTCGACCACCCATCACTAATCCAGCTCTGTTGCCAACGCACCTATACCATTCTCATTTCCCCTTTACCCTTACCTACTGTGCGGTAGCCTTGCCCTTAAACCTCTCCACTTAGTATAAGTAGTCGGTCACCCTGTACTAGATTCTCTAACTTTAATCTACTCAATCTTCCCTGGAACATACTTCCCTCTGAACGCCCCTTTGGCTTCAGTCTCTAGTATCTTTTCTTAGTTGCTCATCGCGACTAAGCTCTACTTTGATCGACCTCATCGTACGGACAAGACTGTCCTTACCTTGAGCAACTTCACAGACATCCATCTATGAAGTCACATGACACGCACGTACTGTGATCGCTGCCGACTCGTCGTCGCCAGCCTCACTTGCTATACCGGACCTTTCCGGTTACATCACGAACATTAGCGGACGACGCCCCTCTTAGGGCTCCACCTAACAGATCTATTTGAGTGCATAACACTATCTAATGATATTCCGCACTTTAGACACCCCCCGTCTACACCTCCGACATCTCTTGCACCTAGTAGTTCTTTTATCAAGGGAACCTTTTCTCCCGTCACCATGTCAGTGCTGAAGAATCTGCCGAGCCCAAATATCACCGACAATGGTCATCATGCCCTCGACGAGGGTAGCCCCATATTCACCACAGAAGGTCCTGCTTGTCATGACCATCGTAAGCATTCTTGCATCCAGTACACCATATCTCAAGTTTGAGACCATGACGAGGATCTAGAATTGCCTTCAAAGAGATTAAGGACCTTACAAACAATGGTGTGTTTCATCTTCATATGAATAGTATATGTTCTAATGTTTGTTTGTTTTCACAGTGGAACTGCTCTGGGCTTCCCTCTGAAACTTCAGCCTATTTTAATGAGTGTATGCTTCAGCTTTCTCAAATCTCTCATCAGGCTGTCTCTGCAAGAATGCGATACCAATGTGTTCGCATCCACGAAATTGACATGATAAGGTCCATCCTCAATGACAAAAATGAGCTGGCTCAAAATCAGATGAAAACAATCGAATCGCAAATAGCCCATCTTCATAACACATTGGAGGCTGATGGAGTGGCAGGGATAGGGAACAGGTTCGACCCTGGTGACTATCGTCAGGCTATGCATGAAAGTTTCTCTGATATTGGAACGGACATTCATATTCCCATGACTTCAGAATCTGATTCCATCATGCCAGGCTGTGCAGATGACGAATAATTATTTAAGATGTACTTGTTCAAGTTAGGGCATCTGCATCAGTGACACTTCCATGTATGTAGCTTTCATTCACTTCAAAACAAAGTTGTAGAGCCATTTTCTTCACTGTAGCCAACAGAATATGATGAAGATCACCACCAGCCACACCAATCCTTGAAGAAATCAGCCAGCCACATTAAGTTAGGGCAGGGGGTTCATCCGTTTGAATCATATACTATGATCAGAATCTGGAATCCAGACCATGACCCTTTTGCTTATCTACCACGAGGTCGGCGACTAGCAGAACCATTGTCTTTCGATGATGGACTTATAATCCCATTCAAAGCACAGAACAGGTGAAAAGAACTATGTTTCGTTGAATCTGTATAATGATTTGATTATCTTATCAAATTCAAGTCTAGTATTAAGGGCGTACGGCGCAATTGAAGTGCACGATGTGCCATGTCTTCACATGGTGACCCCACATGATGATGAGAATGCATTCCAGTTTGCGCCCTAACAACTGTCATCTGACATGACATTCTCTTGCGACCTCAACTCAACTTTACAGAGTCATTCAAGTCCTCTCTATCATCATGTCGGACCGTTCACGGTCATCTCAACGAATCCACCCGTATCTACCATACAGCGCGCCACCTCTCAAGCCTCCCCAGCTGGTAGTGTGATAGGCTCACAAAGTGATCTTGAGAGTGTGATATACTACGGTTCAGAGCCTCAATTACAGAACCCTTCTGAGCAAGAGGCACTCAACGTCTCAATCAAGGCCCTTCCATGGGTGGAGCGTGACTGCCTGGAATGGGTGCACAAGAATCTTGTCTTAAAAATGTTCCAGGAAGGTTGGATCACACAATCAACAAATGATGAGAAGGAGAAGTTAGGACAAGTGGCTGAGGGATTTTGAGGCAGGCTAATGACATGTTTCACTGTGGTATTGTTACCATCCTGCCTGCACGTTGTACTACTACTGACTGAGTCAGAATTTTAAAACCAGATGTCAAAGCAACCGAATCCAATGTAAAATATCTGCTTGAGGTGCTCACTTCCAGTCGCAGGCAGACTAGCCCAATGTGCTGAGGGCTTCATGCATCTTTACAAATTGGATCCTAAAGAAAAAACCTTGACGTCAAAGGCCCAGAAAAAATATAGGGAGGCACGTAGGAATCAAATCACGGAGCCAAGACAAATCTTCCAGTACTTCCTGCATGGCATCCGGGCTGGTGATGCAACTGCTACTGTTATAATGTTTGGCAATCCCTCAGTAGTCAAGACACACATTCAACACTATTATCATGACTCAAAGTCACTGCTGTGGGATGAAAGCATACTCGCGCAGATCACGACAACTCCCATTCCTGGGTATGCAACATCGGCCACTGGGGTAAGCGACTCATATTTCCAATCTTCCTTTGCTCATCTGAGCTTCCTAGGTCCTATGCGCCATTGACCGCAAGGTCGAAGGGCGGATGTTGGGGACAGGGAACCAAACTGCAAAGTGTTTCAATGCAAACCCCTACTTTGATAACCAACACGAGTTTCAACAAAAAATGACACTCGCTTCCCAGCATGACCTCCACAAGGAGCCATTCAAAAAACTTTTACTCGATATCCACCTTCAAGGACTGTAAGTGCACGCCTCGTCTGACATAGGCATTGTACTCATATACCTTGTAGGCAGGAGATGAGGCGTGTGCAGAGCCAGGGCACCTCGCCGCCTCCATTCAAACCTCTGTACATTCCACAGACATCAGCGGAAATGATGATTCCGCTGGAATTACTGGAGCGTGATACCCCACCCCCCACCAAGCCCAAGATCTTGCAAGGTACTACCTTGACTTATTTGGAGCAGCCTTCCCTTGAGGTGCAACAACCTTCCCTCAAGTTGCAACAGCCTTCCCTCGAGTTGCAACAGCCTTCCTATCATCCGCAGTTGCTGCACCAGCAGATGAACTGACTTGTCACCATTTGCCTATTATGCACAGCAGGGTCATAGTGGTGAGGGATCATCATCGTCATCGTCTTACAGCTACCCACTGTTACGCACTCAAATAGATCTGTTAGGCGGAGCCCTAAGAGGGGCGTCGTCCGCTAACGTTCGTGACGTAACCGGAAGGATCCGGTATGGCAAGTGAGACTGGCGACGGCGAGTCGGCAGCGATCACAGTACGCGCATGTCACGTGACTTCGTAGACGGATGTCGTGAGAAGTCACTCAAAGTAAGGACAGTCTTGTCCGAACGATGAGGTCGATCGAGGTAGACTTAGTCGCGATGAGCGGCTAAGAAAAGATACTAGAGACTGAAGCTGAGGGGGCTTCAGAGGGAGGTATGTTCCAGGGAAGATTGAGTAGATTCAAGTTAAGGAATCTAGTACAGGGTGACCGACTACTTATACTAAGTGGAGAGGTTTAAGGGCAAGGCTACCGCACAGTAGGTAAGGGTAAAGGGGATACGAGAATGGTATAGGTGCGTTGGCAACACAGCCAGATTAGTGATGGATGGTCGAAAGTGGAATGAGACCGAGAAACGTTGGAATGAACCAACGGTAAGAATACAACGTGCAGGGAATCTGCAGTCAGAGGGAACAGAAATAGGAATGCCACATTGGTGGCACGAGTCAGACCGAGTCAGAGGTGCGGGACCACATTGGTGGTCGAATCAAGAGAGGAACGTGCGTACACGTGCATAGAGGCGGATGATGCGAGGGACGGGAACGGTCCCGAGGATCCGATCAACGGAAAGTCGGTAAAGGAGGACGAGCCGGTAGATGGTGAGGGCGAGGATGAAGGGAAAATGATAGGGGGGCCATGTGACCGATGTTACTTGTAACACCCACAGAATGCCGGCGATGGTGCATACTTTTCCCACCAGAATAGTGTGGCGTGCCCAACCATGGCTCCAGGTACCTTCGACTTGAGCTTGTACACTGCGTCTCCAGAGGTAGTGCATCGGGATGCAGAGTCAGGAAAATATTACAACCTGTGAAGTAGAGCATGCTGTACATGTTGGGTGGAGGAAGCAAATGTGTTTACAGAGTCGCTTTGTATAAGACTATGTTACATGTCATAAATCCACAATATGCGACTGAGACGAGTGCGAGCAAATCGGACAGCGAGGATAGCTTGCCATGAATGGCAGAATGGGGGCTTCAACTACTTCATTGGCTTATGACTGGGATATTTAACAGCCATTGATGAGTAGCTGGTAATAGTTCTGTGAAACCAGCGTGATTTGAATATAAAGTGCCTAAATTAAGTTCATATGTACCTGGACACCGACCTTGGAGACTTTGATTCATCATTGACCATCGGTTGCCCTAACGCTCACAACCAGGGCATACTGTCATATTTCCCTCGTCGAGTACACTAGCAATATTTGTAAACAACAGGGAAAAATTAAACATAAAAGCCATACCTAAGTTATGCGAGCATTCAATAACTGATCTAGCGCGCACAGCAGCCTCTTGGTATCTGTCAATCGAGTGAGAAGGCGATGGGTTATGGTCCTGGATTGGATTTGAGGCATCCCAGTGTCGTTCCTTGTCAGTAGCGTAGAAGTGAGAGATGGAGTCTCCAAGCACTGGAACAAATTGTAACTTTTAGTCAATATGATCATCACCTGTGTGGGAGAGAGAACTGACCAGAGGATGACACAGAAGTGCCTGCTGACATACGGGCAGAGCTCATGGATCTCCAGCTGGCATCTGAATGGGTAGTGCGTCTTGCGGCCTGCGGCCTAGTATCCAGATCTGAATTTGGTGGCTCAAATGTATTGTCAAGGAGTCCTGGACGCATAGTTATGTCAGGCAATGACACAACTGGCGGTGAAGAACAGGAGGGAGTAATAGTAGCCCATGTCAAATTGGATGAGCCAGAACTTGGTACACGATGAACACCTTGCCTGCTGACTACATCGGGCAATGACGCAACGGGCGGTGAAGGACAGGAAGAGGCAAGAGCAGCCCATGACAAATTTGATGGCCCAGAGCTTGACCCATGGTGGACACCTTGCCTGCCGACGGGTCCATTTAAGGTATCAGTATTGTTTCTTTCAGTTTGCACAACTGACGATACAGAGGTAAGTGATCCGTTGGGAAACTCATCAGATTCTCGGATAGATGTGTTCATCCTCGTTGATGAAGAGATTGATGGAGATGGGCGGTGTGAAGGATGAGGGGTGTTGGAAGAACGTGTAGAATTGGAGGTGTTACTTGATGAGGTAGTATAGCCAGGACGTGATGATAAGCCTGTCAGCGAGTAGTATGTAATCAGTGCTCATGTGTATGTATGCGTGCTGCAACCAGCGATATTGACTGACTGGGACCATCTTCTTGTCACGGCAATGTTGAATAAAAATATCTTGGAGAAGAAATTGAGCGCATGTCAACTTGCAATGAGAGTACACTAATTACTTATCACCTGTTCGTCTTGAAGTACATGTGTGCCCATGTTGTGTGGCAGTCAGTAATACTGATCAACCGGCGACCATGTCTTGGTATCATGGCAGTTGAAAGAAAGGTGAAAACTTGAGTAGGTGTCGAAAGGAAGTAGCACGGTGACATGCACAAAACCTGTTTTGTACATGAACATGGCAAATATCTGGCTTATAATACCTTTCATAATAGCCTATGGGTCTACCCAGAATTTTCTATGCATCATCCATATTTTATTTGAGTATTCTTGGGCTCAAATTTGCTCAGTACTACTTAACGGTTTAGAATAATACTTATCCTTCTGAAAGATTGCCTTCGAACTTGTGATTTGTCAATTAGTCAGCAGTTTCTCACACCTCCTAGAATTTTCTCACGCATTTTCACATACTCTAGGGTATGTTTTGTGTCATGTTCTGACATATTCACATATGCAGGTTTTTCATTTTTACGGTACTGAGAGGAAAGTTTGAAAGACTTCAAACTTCATTACATAATCAGTCTCATGTGACTTGGTGGCACATTATGACACACATGCAATACTTCATTATGGCAAATATGCAAGACCAACACTATGGTATTTAACAAGTTAACATCAGACTGTGAGAATCTCAACAAAGTTTGAACACAGCTGAGAGTACAGCATTCAGGCAGTGCAGAGGCAGTGTACATAGCTTTGTAGCACAGGTTAGCATAGCCACAGAGCACAGCCACTAATGTTGATTTGAAAGATTCTGGAATATTCTATCAGACAGCACTGGTGTTTGGTGGAACAGTCTGGAAAATTCTATGACATTCTTTGAAACTTTAATAGTAGATTAGTAATCAGTAGCATAGCCACTAGTAGAGTAGTATATAAGGGGCCCATTTTCCCCTCTAATAAAGAGAGCTCCAAGCCAAGTTACAGAGAGCCCATTTCCATATTATCTAAGCTTAAGTGTGAATAAGTGAGTGGGGAATAAGAAGAGTGTTCATATAGCTCTTTTTAAACTCTCACCTCTAAGATACTAAGTGACATACTGAGTGAAATATTAAGTTATTTCATTCCCCTTTTGACACTGTTTCCCACGACATACAGAAGCATATTTGAGGCTAACATTGAGCCATACTTTTTACACTAGCTGGTATACGGTTATCAGTCATCTAGTGCAGATATATTCCAGTTCTCTTTTAGACACAGGAAACCTATTCTGTGGGGAGAATATACATATTTTCATCAGCAAGGGAAGACAAATAAGACTAACAGTCAGTCACTAATATTAAGAACTTGGCCCACTTAAGTCTGTCCTGTGTCACACTCATCGTATAGTGTTTGAGCAGCAGAGAGTAGGTTTTGAAGCCACATATTAGTTTGGGCTGATCCATGTTAGAGGCTTAGTTTGATCTCCAGTTGGTTTGTGAAGATAGGGAGTATCGTTATAGCTCTAAGAATCATTGCATAGTCATACATCTGTATTCATTGAAGTCATAGCACTGCATCGCACCAGTTATTGACTTTCTTTAGGATCATAGCACTGCATCAAGCCAGTTATTGATTCTGTTCCCCCTTTAGTCACTGTGTACTTCCTTTGAGAACTCAACACACTTTTCCCATGAACAACCACGTTATCGACCATTGGTATTTGTCTGAACTGTTGACCGTGGTAGGATACTGAAGATCAGTGATTTTACTGTTTTCACATCCTAGTAAGACAACGGACGCATGTGAGAGTGTATTAATGAAGATTTGAACTGCACTGCGGGAGCCTAGTCACATAGGTGGGGCCGAGGAGATCCTCAGTTTGAAGCCAGAAGGCTGCTTTACCCCACCATCGTGATGCTCAGGGGAGCGAGGAGATCCTCGACTCTAGGCCATAAGGCTGTTGCCCCGACATACTAGATACATGTTTAATATTAATAGTAAGAAGTTTGAACAAAGTTCGAATGCATTATATATATTTGTGTTTGTTTGCCTGCTTACATTGTGTCACGTGTTTCGCGTTACATGGTTAACTTTTTTCCTCAGAGTCCTCACTGGCGCCACTTATAGTATGGCCTGTACAAAACAAACAGCCAGTAACAGTACTGGAGGGCCTACTAAATGTGGTCACCTACCTATATTCAAGAAGGTCACTGGCCATGCCAGAAAACAACTTATCAAAACTGTCCAGGCAATGCCACCACACATGAAGATAGTGCTAAAGCCCAACTCCCACAACATGGTAAGTCTCACAACTCCTCGCTCTGTCACCATGACTAACTTAAGGACTTTTATCAGTTCTGTTTCTTTTGCTGCGACAGTGGCTCCCTATATGACTGCACTGTATGCCCACGCTCAGTTTGCGATCGCTGCATCATTATTCTGCCAGAGTTTCAGGAGCTTATTATGGACCCCAGTGTTCATTTTATTTGTCCAGGGTGCCATGAAATGCATACAAGGGAGGTGCCATGAAGCCATATTTTGTAAGTTTGTCTCTTTCTCCAAGGTCTCAACTTAATCTTGTTAATATATATACTAGGTGTTCGAGAATGCTTCAGGTCAAGGGGTCCTACCCACCCCTGTCACCATCCACGGGCACATCGAGGTCACCAGTCGCTCACAAATATGCAGTAGCCCGGTACTCATCCTTCACTTCGTTATCAAAGGTCTCGACCCTTCCGGATCGCCTGCAACCAGCATGCAACAGCAATTAAGGCCGTTCAAGCCACAGAATAACATGCAATACCATGAAATCATTTTTGATATTGGAACGGGTAAGAAGGCCAAGAAACACCTTACAATGATGAAGCAACTTGTGACCCAAATCAAACTCCTTCAGTGTGAGCGTGTCAAGGTCTTCATCTTCTCGCACTCGTCTACCATGGAGGGCTCACAAGGTGATATCTGGGGGGGATATGCAGACAACGAGTCTAGTGGAAGGGGAAGAAATAAAGTGGTAATAAAGGGCGGCCCTGTCGCTTATACAGTTAACAATGTAAGATAACATGTTCTCTTCGTTACAATGTGTCACTGTTGCCAGTTTTTTGCAGGTCTGTTTGTCAGCGGCATTGAGGATTACGTCAAAGGGTCTACCTTGTGGATGTTCGTCTGTGGTCATATGGTACAAGAACCAGACACATTCGGGGCATTCAAGGCCTGTGTCAAAGAGTGTGTAGTTTCCACATTCTCAACATTACCTTGTCGCTGAAGGATTTGATAGGTATGAAGTTGAGCATGCATTTGCATTTGGTGCTGAGCGATTTCATGCATGCCTGGTCGTACCATTTATCAGCACTTATGTCGGCCGTGTACTTGTTGAAGGGTTCGAGGTGCAGGATGTCATTTGAGACATCCTCCTGGCATCCCCTCGGCTTGGAATGCATTCGTCCGTTGTCCATTTATACAGGCCAAATGCCTTCCGTCGCTGCCCAACCACCATATCAGAGTACACCCAAGGACTAATGTGTGATCCAACTGGTCCGACCTCCATGATTGTGTCCACATACACATTCTTCCACAAGAATCTTCACCCGTTCGGTAACGTACTGCCCTACCAATGCTCGAAATGTATGTGTGTTCGTCCATGGGAGCGTGTGGCTTCTAAGAAATCCAGGTGGGATGAAAGCACCTTCCATTGCAAGGGGACTGATTGCAATCACACCCTTACGTTTGTGAAGTCCAAGGAGTCCCAAGTCATGAACAAGGGCAGCCACGCATCTTCTGGCTGGTTTGTGTCAGTAACCACCGAGCCTGATACAGTAGCAGACCCTTAGCTGACTATGGACCTACTTCTACGCGTTATATATATCTCATTCCTTGCGCTCTGCATTCCTCGAGACAAATCAGATCTGTTTTATTTACACCCAGCTCATAGAACTCAGCAGATGAGTACCTGATTGCAACCACACTGAGCACCAGTTTGGCCGGGGGAAGGTACAAACTGAGTTGTATGGTATGTTGTCTCCCTTTGCCATTTTCGAAGGTAACTTATGGTACTGATACTGGATATTACCATTACATCATGGTCACGTGACATTCTACATGGCAGTGACTACTCGGGTCAGTCACTGACACTAACAAATTTCAAAGACTCAAACAGCTGCCACCTGGGAGTTGAAGCTAGCCTTCACTAGCAACTCCAGAGTGCAATGTGCTTTGCACAATCTCTTTGGATTGCCTCATTTTTATCGGCCTCACTTTTATTGATGGTGTTTTGCGGTGCGTCAGGTTGCCAGTGGGAGAAGAAAACAGACACTTGTGGACTCAGTAGACATCACGCAAGTTGTCATTTTTACAGAAGGTCCAGTGTTTTTGCAAGTCAGAAGAGACAGGAACGCGCCAGAGAGGCGGTTTGTGCGAATGTGGCTTCTAGTACTACTAGCAGTACTTCCAATTCACTCGTGGGTTGCCCTCCGACTTGTAGCTGTTTCATCGATTCTTGACTCACATGAAATCTAGAGAATCGGTCGTCCACGACCAATTGCCCCTTGTCGATCCCCAGCAGGACGAAGGCTAGGGTCTGCAGCGGCTCATCATTTATCCAATACCTCCATTCTCGCTGACTTGCAGCCATCCCTAGACCTCGGGTCTCCACAAAATGATAGTGACATCGAGATGGAGGCCAATGATAACTGCGTAAATGAAATTCAACTTGGTTCGCATCTCTTCGAATAGCAGCTACTATTCCTTTTTTGATCATCTGGCTATTTCAGAGGAACCAGGACACCGTACAAGACAAATTCTGAGACCTTTCTACGATACCCAGCCATTAGAGGAGGATCTCAATTACTCTGACAATGCTGACGGTCAGGATCTTTCAACTCAAAGTTCGACTGCAGTAGTCCCAGCCCAATTCAGAATTCAACGTGTTCTTCTAACGCTAAGGGACACATTGCAGACCACCTTCAACTCGTTTGGCCTCAGTCGATTACACCCTCATCGGCCCTCCTTTGAACCAAACAAATATATTCTATCCTCGTTGCTCGCGCAAACATGTCCTACTATCGATGAAGGAGTCGATTCTCTACCGAAAGTCCTTGGGCCACCGTACCCCTTTGCTAACATGACGATCTACCGACTTATCTCCTGGATGAATAGTGGTAGTAGTTGAGTATCGGAAGCTAAGGTCGCGGCCCTCATCAAGGATGTGATGATGGCAGAGGATTTTGACCGTGAGCATCTTCGGGGGTTCTCAGCGAGGCAAAGCTTGCAAGAGTTGGATCAAGATCAGAGTGGGAAGAAGATTTCTTTCCCAGATGACTGGATTGAGAGCAATGTCACCATTGACATACCAACAAAATCATGGGAGGAGAGGCCTAGGCCTTATACCGTTCCGGGATTTCATTATCGCCCTCTTGTCAATGTTATACGTGCAGCCTTCGCAGATGCTCAAGCGGCAGCATTCCATCTCTCGCCGTTCAAACATATTTGGCAGGATCCATTAGACAATCACCAAGAACAGATATATGACAAGCTGTATACTTCTGATGCCTGGCTAGAAGCTCAGGACAGTTTCCACAAGTCGCCGAGGGAGTTTGGGTGTTTACTCAAATGTATCATTGCAGGTCTGATGTTCTTTTCCGATGCCACTCACCTGGCAAAATTTGGAACCGCCAAGGCCTGGCCGCTTTATGTCTACTTCAGAAATATGACGAAATACATGCGTACGTCACCTACATCAGGATCCTGTCACTTTGTAGGATTTTTACCTTCAGTAAGCCCTTCTAGTTGTATATTTATTAACTGCTATTGATATTGACTGATCTTGGTAGCTTCCTGATAATATCAAGGATATTCTGAGTGGTTTGCCTTGGATATCAAAAACTGGCATGGCCACTCTTCACACCCATTGCCACAGGGAATTGTTCCATGCATGCTGGGAAATTTTGCTGGATGAAGAATTTGTTTATGCATACCGACATGGTATTGTCTTCAAATGTGCTGATGGAGTCATGCGGAGAGTATTTCCTCAAATATTTACATACTCTGCTGATTATCCTGAGAAGTATCTTGTTTTTAATTGAAAAAAATATTGGATGACTTATAAATCACTAGGGCTTTGATTGCAACCATCAAGGATATGGGCATGTGTCCATGCCCTCGTTGCCTCACACCGAAAGGCTTGTTTAGTTGTCTCGGTCTCATCAAGGATATGAAAAGCCGTATGACTAACCTCCGAGTGTATGCTATAATGAAGGTTATAGAGGCTCGTGAGTATATCTATGGGTGAGGAAACACTGTAGACAGTGCAAAGGTCGATGATGCCCTTGGAGAAGGCTCATGGGTACCTATTATTGTAAGCACAACTGGTTCAGCAATAGTTTACCATGCACTCATATTAGCACTCATAGAATCGGTTCATCGAAATGCTTGGACCGTTTGGTCTCGACCCATTTCACATGCTCGTCGTCGACTTCATGCATAAGTGCGAATTGGGTACATGGAAGGCACTATTTACACACCTGGTGAGGCTTCTTTATGCCCTTCCTGAGGGTACTAAGCTTGTCGCGACCCTCGACACCAGGTAAGTAGAGTTTACATGAATTGCAGTTGCATGCTCATAAGTTGTTACTTCTCATTTTGATGTTAGATTTCGTCAGCTCCCAACATTCAGCAACAGCGTGATTCGAAAGTTTGCGAACAATACCTCCGAGATGAAGAGACTAGCAGCTCGTGATTTCGAAGATATCTTACAGGTTTCTTGCATTATTTCTTTTTCGACAGTAGGCTCGCTGACACCCCTCCAGTGTGCTCTTCTGGTTTTTGAAGGGCTTTTCCCCCTGACCATGATGCGGCGGTACAGTCTCTGTTATATCAATTCGCACAGTGGCATGCACTTGCGGAACTTAGGATCTATTCCGAGTCTACGCTGGTTTTATTCAAGGAAACATTCAAGAAACTCTCCCAGACTTTGCGAAAGTTTCGGGATTTCACCTGCACTGCCTTCAACGCCGTGGAGCTGCCAAAAGAGAAAGCAGCTCGCCACAGAAGGTTAGCCCAGCGCTCTGAAACTCATAATGCATCCCCAGAATCAACTGGTGCGAGGGCAAAGAAATTAAATTTGAGCACATACAAGTTCCATGCCATGGGTGATTATGTGAAAACTATCAGGTTCTTCGGGACCACTGATTCGTTCACTACTCAAATTGTGCGTTCCAATTACATTCTCGCTAGTATTACCCTAAAGTCCATCGACAGGGAGAGCTTGCACACAGAGCTCTGAAGGCATTCTATCCACTGACCAGCAAGTTGGACACTCCGGCGCAGTTAGCGAAGCATGAGCGCAGACGTCGCGTCCTATGGCAGATCGCAGAAGCGGGGGTTACACCCCCTTCCGTCAGTAAACCACCAGTTGAGACCCCAACCTATGGAAAGTATCACCATATTGCAACCAGTCGGAATCATCCCATCCCTCTATTTACTTTCCTCTGAGAACATGATAATGATCCAGCCCTCAAGGTGGAAGTACTATCACATTTTAAACTTACCTGGCTCACACAATCACTAGAAATTCATTTTAAAACTGAGTATTTTTTAACGATTAGGAGGACAACAAATAAGACTAGCACTTTATTCAACAATATTAAGAGCTTGGCTGCTTTAAGACTACATCAAGAGGGTGTACTCTGTTCTGATTCTGCGTCATACTCATCGTGAGTGCCTGAGCAGCAGAGAAGTTAGTTTCGAAGCCACATATTTCAGTTGATTTGATTGTGTTAGAGACTTAGTTTGATCTCCTTTAATTTTTGAGAATAGGGAGTGTTTATAAGATATTACTCTGATTCATTGTGTACCGTTGTGATCCATATATTCATCTTCATATTGCACACCTTTGCAATCCTCTTCTAGTAGCATTGTAGTACTGCATCAAGCCAGTTATCGATTCGGCTACACCATTTACGATCCTTATCTTCAGCATCCTAAGTACTGCATCAAGCCAGTTAACGGACTATCGACCTTCAAGTACCTAAGCACTGCATCAAGCCAGTTAACGGTCACTGTCTCAACCTACCTAAAGTCATTAGAAGTTGTTTAGATTGACCCAGCTATTTATGCCTCCTCCCACGAACAACCACATTATCAACCGTTGGTATTTGTCTGAACCGTTGACCGTGGAGGATAGTGAGAACTGGTGATTTTATTGCCAATCACATCCTAGTAAGACACCAAGATCAATTATCCTGAACACTGTCTCAGCTCAGCCCTAAGAGGAGATCGTTTTCACAATGCCTGATGGTTCAGAGCGCAAGAAGCAAGTCCTATCCATGGATGTTGCAAACGAAGTTTTAAAGAGTTTTCCAGAATGAATCATGATCGCAAAAGTATGTGACTTGATTTCTTGATTTTCAGATTATGACGTGATTTGCGCAGGTCGATGGTGATATAAGGAACTTCGTGCAAATTGCACCTTGTGATTAATTATTGTAGGCAAGAGGGTCTTCTGGCATTTGTCTGCACATGCATATGTTTGGTGAAGCTGCTGAGTTCTAGCATCCAGGCATCCAGTAGGTACAGTCAATTTAATCCATGCATGAGCTATCCTTACGCCTTGACAGTAGCCCTTGCACGTCTATGATGGTCCTGGGCGCTTGCTGGCTTCCAGCTCTCCATCCAATCGGTTACCATTGCCAATGTACCCATTGTTGATGCCTCTGCTCCACCTCTATATTCGGCCAAGAATCTCAATCCAAGTAGCACCAGTCCATCCTATCATTCAACAGCACTCGCCTCCCCCACACCAGCTCACAGATAGTACTTCATGTTCTTGAATGTCCATTGCTAGACAAAACCAAGCAGGCGTCAACAGTTAGCAAAGGGTGAGGTGCATCTGCTACTGCCGAAGGTCTCTGTGTGAGACATCGATGATTACCTCGACCTCTCATGACCGACTCTTGCTAGTGCCAATCTCGTACAACCAGTATACGTGCAGATGTTATCGAATGAACTACTCTGAAATACATTCCACATCTTCACATTGCAACGGGTGCTCCCGCAAACGACGATTATTTGGTACTGCACGTACAGTAGTGCCAGTGCTAGTCAACCTATCTCACCATTCGAGCCACCTTGCCATTGCCACTTTATGCGTCGTTTCGAATCACGATCCAATTGGATTTTCTATAGCATCTGACTGCCGTGACGGACCTGTTTCCCCTTGAGTCTTTGCCTCGGCAGCATCGCGCAACATCAAACTCAGCCCATGTAAGCTTTCACTAGCACAAAATGCCGAACCCTCGCTAATCTTCGCTTAGAACTTCTCATGATTTAATGGCCCTATAACATTGCTGCGCACTGCTACTTGCCAGTGTTATATTTTGGTACGCATTTACTTTCCAGGAACGTTATGAGAGAATTAGGTATTTACAGAAAGCTTTGGCCTAAATGGTTTCAATCTTTGTTTCCCTGTCTATTTTTAGTAGTTTCAAAAGAAGTGTCGCCACTTACAGCTACTTTGTGCAGTTTTGTAGGAGTCCGGCTGCCACGTCTGCTGTTATTGCCGACTACGCTTAAACTGTCTAGTTGGAGCGAGCATCCAGCACTCAGCCAGCAGCCAACCAGTATATAAGAGCATGATGGTCAAGTTCCTTTCCCTCGTCTTGCGGCACCCCTTCCACTGCACACATTTCTTGTCTGTGTGGCGGCTACATTCAATTTCGATTTCAAACCCATTTTTATCTTACTTCTCTTTCTCCGAGTCGATGTTGCAAGCTGATGGCAGCATGCTGCATGCCAGAACGCCACCTGTTGAGGACCGAGAGGACGACGACGGCCTTCCAAGTCAGCAGGGTCCAGAATCATTACAAACCTTGCCGCAGTCAACGTTTCTGCAGGCTCGCCAAAGACGGAAAATTGCCGAATTGGAGGGGAAGATAGAGGTTCTCAAATCTGGGCAGGCAGTGAAAGAAAGGCATGCCCATCATTTCGTGCGTTGGGCAGATCTTGCTCACTATTTTTCAGGCAAACAAATTACTTCCTGGCTCAAGGCAGAGGCCTTAAATGTGTCGTTGTTTTGTTTGATACCGTTGAAGATCTTGTCGCTGAAAACGACAGAAGATACGATGATAATGACGAGGATGCCACTTTTGAGTAAGTTTTCTCGCCATTGATTGTCACGGTGAGCGTACTCATGGGTTATTTATTTATGTAGTCAAGATTGATTAGAGTCAGGGTACAGTATTCTAATGAGGACCTTGCCATGGTTTCTCAAGAAAACCTCAGATATGGAGCACGACAATCACATGCACATGTTAAAACTGGTGGGTTTTGCTGCTGTCAATGATTGGCTTTATCATGTTGAATTTTTGTTAGCTGAGGCAGGGGGCAGATGGTGCTTGAGGGGACGATACCTCAAAACTCAAGACTCTTGTTTTGGATTGGGTCAATTGTGAATTTAGGCCCAACCCTCTGATCGACGTCGACGATAAACATTCCCATGGATTTACCAGTGATGCATGTGGAAAGTTACTTTGTCCGGCTGAACTTGATTGGAATGATCCTGTGTACTAAGTGTAGGGCACTCAGCATCCTGAGCAACGCTGACTGTTTCTCAGTGTTAGGGCAGGGATTCGAGACCACTCTGATGGTCACATTGTGACGGATCTCTCTTTCCTGGTGTTTCTTTATGACAAGTACGTTGCTGATCCGGAAAATCCGGAGGAAGGCTTTTTCAAGGGGAAAATCCTGCTGCAGGTTTGTCACACCTGACTCGGAGTCACTCAACAATGAACTCACTATCATTCATAGGGCTATAAAGCCGTGTTCACGTCACCCTCTTCAGCGAAGGACATGGAGGGTGATGGTGACGGTGCTGATGTCATTCAGAATAACAGGCGCGCTAACAAGGCAGTGCTTGCTGGAATCAAAGTCAAGAAACATGTGGCCCAGATTATGAAGATGGAGAAAGTCACACCTCGCTCGATAGCATACATCGCTTGTCAAGTAAGTTATCACGACAATATATATTCTGATTAATAATAAATGATTTATACCCTGGCAGGTGCGATTTTCCCTTTCTTCTGTCACATCATGGTGGTCTGTCGATGGTGACTTCGATTATATACAGTTCTGGCAGACTATCATAGATTCCTTCGAGAGATCCCCTGGTCGAGAAGCGCAGCATAGGGTCGACAAACTTCTCGAATGGTGGACCAGGTGTGACATCTAATATACCCTGAACAAACCTCGACTGATCTCATGTTGTTCAGGAAGGTTTTTGGAAGAAGTCGCCGTGAAGACCTTACCAATGTGGTGAAGGCCAGGATGTCTGTGAATGCTCTCGCAAGGCAAAGGGCACAAATTGACAATGCTACCTTTGATTCGAATTAATGATCTATTATTATGATATAATGTTTTCAGTGACACCTAGCTTTCTGATTGTGATAGTTTACTATTAATGCCATGAATTGGTTATACCTGTCTAGTGCGAAATGTAATGTGCTGGCTATACTGCAATACCGACGGACGTCTGTAATTATTGAGAATGATCTCCAAAGAATGATTTGAGCTCCAGTCCCAGGATTCGTGGGTTTGTGTGTATCATGTTGAATCTAGGAAAGCTAGGCGATCACTGTAATCTCTAGATTTTTTGGCCGTGCTGCCCACCACTGTACACAACTCATGAACTTGCAAAATGAAAGTGATTGAGAGACATGTCAAATTCAAAGTCACGCCGAGGATACTTGAGATAGTAGGTTTGATTTCAATTGCTTGTGAGCCGCCCATAATTCCTTCTGTATTGAACGTTAAGGTGAGTACCGGAGTTGTGCATGAGCCCCCAGCACCGAGTTCAAGGGAGAGGTGCGTCGCTGCAATGATACGACGTCCGCGCGCAGCCACGACTTTGACTGGATGCTTGACCCAGTAGATATGAGGGACATCGGATCACAAGGCGGGCACCGAGATGATGCATGAACCCTCGGTACCGAGTTAGAGGGAGAGGTGCGTCGCTGCAATGATACGACGTCCGCGCGCAGCCACGACTTTGACTGGATGCTTGACCCAGTAGATATGAGGGACATCGGATCACAAGGCGGGCACCGAGATGATGCATGAACCCTCGGTACCGAGTTAGAGGGAGAGGTGCATCACTGCAATGATACAACGTCCGTGCGCAGCCATGACTTTGCCTGGATGCATGAACCAATAATATATGGGGGATGTCGAATGGTAAGACGGGCACCGAGGTGATGCATGAGCCCTGAGCACTGAGTTAGAGGGAGAGGTGTGTCGCTGCAACGATACAGTGTCCGAGTTACAGTCTAACTTCTCATGATGCAGTTGCAACTGATATATAGTTGTCAGCCATTAGATGCACAAAGAACATCTGAAAACCCAAAATCCAGAAACAACCCTTTGAGGCGCCTTCTGGGAGCCAAATATAGCTAGCGTCGGCTCATGCGCCTTTTCAGTCGTTATTGCAGTTAAGTTGACTCGGCTCCTTGCAATCACATTTTGTGACCACAAAAAATGTGCGAGAAACAGTGAATATTATATTGTAAAACTACTTAGAGACAGATGTAGATAATCTCATTGCAGATATGATAATCTGCTAGCAATAGAAACAGATGCGCATGTAATCTACATTCCCAAGTCTGCCTGTCCACAAGTGATGATACGATTGCACAAAGACTCATACTGTTCCCTCAATGCATCATCAAGTCATATCTCATCGATCAGCATCATGATCAAGTTGTAGGTATCATAAAACTGATCAGCGGATGCTTCGATGTTTTCATACATGCCTTCACGAAACACCTTGAGGGTGTTGTGAACTGCAGCCCCTGCGAGACCAAATACACAGTCAAGTTTTTCTAGATCGATGTCGTGATATAGGCCTTCTTGCCATATCACATCTACGATCATATCAATGAGATACTCGGCCTCGAAAAAATGCATGACCTCGACTCCGTCAACCTGTCAGTACAATGATGAGTGTTCAAATGGTCTACATGATGAGATGCTCACGATTTCGACTTTATGAAGGAATTTGAGCCCAGGAAAGGTGAGCCTTGACTGCGATGGCCCTCTCCATGGGCGAGAGGCGCAGATGGAGCGCGTTTTGAATGTTATGCGTGGCGTACGATTTGAAAAGCCTTCGTGTGCATGACATTGACATCACCATTTCTTCCTGTACCTTTGGTGTCTTGAATGTCTCGTATGGAACTACGGAAAGATGTCAATGATGTCCTTGATACAATTATGACTCACCATCTCCGACAATGCTGATTCTTGCGTCGCGCAAGGCACTCTCGATGTGCTTATCCCGTTGCTTGCGTGTTGACGAAACGCCCTCTGTTCGCAGCATTTTGCGATGGAGAAGTGTTTTTGCTTCAGCCTTGATTGCCTTTATCTCCACCTTTTTTAGCTTGACCGGGGTGGGTGTCAGGATTGGGGCTGGAGTGGCTGGGGCAGGAGCAGCCATGGAAGATGGGATAGCTGGTGGTGCTGGCTCGGGTGCTGGTGTGGGAGGGAGGTGGCGCTCAATAGCCCATGATCGACCAACCAAATGTGCCGTCTGCAACTCCTAGTAAAGTAGTCAGTATTAGCACTAAAACAAAAGAGAAAATGTACATGTATCACCCCATGGGTGAATTCCCCCCACTCTACCTCTCGCTCACGGGGCAACATCACACTCACCACTGCTGGTGCTGGCACTGGCACTGGCACTGGCCCTGGCCCTGGCCCTGGCACTGGCCCTGGCACTGGCCCTGGCACTGGCCCTGGCCCTGGCCTGCCTGGTGCTGGTGCTGGTGCTGCGGCACTTCTGAGATCCCACCTCATATAGCGTGGCACGCCAGAGCCTCTGAATGGAAAAAATTCGTCGTATTGAGGCTCGTGAAAGAAGTTGGAGAAATCATTGGGGTCCTGCTGCTCATCAGGGAAGACATCAGGTTGAGGCTGCTGTGGGTAGAAGTCGTGTTGCTGATGCTGTTGAGGCTGCGGGGGGTAATTGTTGGGTTCCGGAGGGTCATAGTCGTGTTGGGGCGCGTAAAGGTCGGGCTGCAGGGGGTAATCCTGAGGCTGTGGGGGATAATCCTGAGGCTGTGGGGGATAATCATGATGCTGCTGGGGGTAATCGTGATGCTGCAGGGGGTAATCGTGAGGCGGGGAGTGATGCTGCGGGGGGTAATTGTGAGGTGGGGGGTAATTGTGAGGCGGGGAGTGATGCTGTGGGGGGTAATTGTGAGGCTGTTAGGGGTAATTGTGAGGCTGCGGGGGGTTATGGTTGTGAGGCTGAGGGTAGTGAGGGGATTGGAAGTGACTGTGGCCTGCGTGTGCAGCCATCAATGTAGAAGATGTGTGGTGGAGATGTTCAGGGGTTTCTGGCCGATCTTCAGGGAGACCAAGTTGAGTCGCAATATCGTGACCAGATGCATTGACATTGGAGTTTTTCTTGGGTCGTGGTGGTTCCTAAGCAATCGTGTTAGCGTCTTTATTAAATAGAATATAAACACTTACTTTTTCTTGTTAGATGTGCGTCGTGCTTGTTGGGTCAGCTTTCATGGGGGCATGGATTGAGAATGGCCATCCTGGCATCTGTATGCATAATAAATTGACTAACCAGATTGAAATCACGCGTAAACAAAGGGTGCTCAAACAAGTATATAGATCGGAAATGATGTACACAAAACATACAAAAGAAAGCAACAACAGGTCATAGGGTTGGTCATTTGATCTGGGAATTCAATTGAAAGATGTAACAAGACAGCAGTACTGCACATGTGTCATCAATAAATTGATAAACAAGGTAAATGGAAATAGGGTCTCGCACACTTCCGATTCGTCGATAAGGTGTTCCTCATTCATCCGGCTGGTAGACGAGGCTATCATCAGACCCCGCATCACTGTGGGAGTCCGATGGCTCTGTATCGCTGCTGTTTGGAAAAGGGGCGGCACGCTTCTCTGCATGAGTCAAGAATTGGTCATACTGCTCGCTGGCAATGTCATATTGGTCCAGGTCTTCCAAAAAGACTGCCTCAAGGTAGTCTTTATCATCTTCCAATGCCGGGAGCCCCCGGGTGGTGATGAAGCCCCTGAATATCTCCATTTCTGTCTCCGCCATCTTGAATTCACCTTCTTGCTCTCGCTTGAGAGATTTCAGGAAAGACTTTTCTCTCCTGTTACGTTCGAGCCGCCAGGTAGTATGCATGAGCTGGTGTCGTAGGTCTTCCTTAGTGGCCTGTTTAAGTCGAACAGCCTTGCAGAAGGAATCATTGGACATGAGAGATAAACCTCTCTGGAGAAGTTCCCTACCCTACATATCTTATCAATAAATATTTATTAAATTAGAAGTAAAATATCCCTACCTTGCGCAAGTCTTGGAGGTTGAAAGGTCCATACGAGCCATTGAGAATTTGCTTCTTTGCAAACTGGACCTCATAGGGGGGGGGGCCTGATGAACAATGCGTGGCCTATACTTGGCACACAATTGTTCGCGGAAGCAAGACATACGGTCTCGCTTGGTAAGAGGGCCTACTAAGGGGAAGTTGTTGCTGCTGCCACTGCTGCTGCTGCGGTTGTGGCTACGTTGAGCTAGTTTCTCCTTGACATTGGAACAGTATCGAATGTTCAGAGCCCAAGGTAGAGATGACACTGGATGAGGTGAATGATTTGTGATGGGGCGGCAACTTGGAACCAGTCTGAGCGAAAGGAGGTGAGGAGAGGTTGATCCGAGTTGAGCCTGTAGTCTCACAATCGGACAGAGGAGGTGTGGAATGCTCAGTACGAGCGTCCATATTGATGCTGGTAATGTCAATAACCTGGCTAATATAGATAGGCAATACATACCTTGTTTTCTAGCTAATCTGCGGAGGGGGGGGGGGTTACAATGTGATCCGGGAGTGAGTGCCAACAGCAGAGTTTGAAGGACTTGCAGGTGTCTTTCTGTGCAGTCAATCTGTGTCAATACTGTCAGTGCCGTGCAAGTATAGCGCTGACATGCAAGCCAATCATCCCACTGTATCGTCCAATCCTCAGCGAGGACAATCTGGGCAATTTGTTCTTGATACCAATTTATAAGGTTTATTTCTTCAGGTTGAAGTACTCACTTTAGTGGTGCTTGAATCAACTGGCAGGTCATCGTCTGTGAAATGCCCCCAGTGTTCAATCGATCTACCTTCCAACGAGGCAGTATTAGAACACTTGCAGCAAGAAAATGGTTGCTGGCCTGAAGCACAAGATTGTCATATTCCTGTCCCACCCGCATTCCTTCAATCTACCAAGGAAGCAGGCAAAGACCAAATCTTGGGACAGTACCACCCATCATCTGGTTATATATTCGGAAAGGCGCCAAATATCCTCGAGGCCATGGAAAGTGACCAGTTTGCTTACCGGTGACATCACACTCCATTTTACCCCTTTCAAGACCAAGCAGAATTTGAACTGGGAAAATTCCTCTGTGAACGCTTCACACAAAGTGATATTGACTGGTTTCTCAAGCTTGAATGGGTTTGTGTGGTGTGAAGTTCCTCTATGCGCACATAGAACTAACTTCCAGAACACAGGTACACCAAGCTAAACCATTGTTCGGTTCCAAAGACAAGCTACTTGCATGGATGGCCTCTCTTCCCACTGGACCAAAATGGCATTCAACGACGCTCGAAATAACAGGATACCCAACCGTTCAACCGATACAGCTCATCTGGCGCAATGGCCTAGATGTGGTAGAAGATCTCTTTGCTAACCCAATCTTCGCAAACCACATGACATATGACCCACACATTGTGGTTGATGGAGGTGAGTGCGAGTATAGTGAATATTTTACAGCGAAACAAGCATTCGAGATTCAGGTAAATTTCTATGCACTTATTTGTAGTCATTGATCGATGCTTTCGTACAGGACCAGCTTCCCATAGGTGCTACCATAGTTCCAATAATCGTTGCATCTGACAAAATGCCCATGACGTGGCACACTGGAGGGCTCGAAATGCACCCTATCTTTGTCTCGCTCGCTAACATCCAGTCTGACGTGCAGATGAGAGCAACAAGCCACACTTGGCGATGTGTTGGCTTCATGCTGATTCCAAAATTTTCTGACGTCCATACTGACTACCAAACTATTCTGAGTCAACGGTTATTCCACAAGTGCATGGATATCATCTTCGCAGATGCTAAGGTCGCAGCTATGGCAGGCAAGTTTATGCCCGATCCATCTGGCCATGTACGACACTGCTTCACACCTTTGGCTGCTTACACCGCAGATTTACCAAAACAACAAGCTATAGCATGTGTCTCAAAGGTCGCCTCTCCTGTCACGTTGGCCACATCTCAATCCTTTGGCGACAGTCATCGCCACATGCCATGCACGAAAGAACACACCCTTTCAGTGATATATGACATCTGTCAATGCATTGATCCATGGAGGTTGCGAGAGTTTCAGGAGGAAGCCAAGGCTCACTTGCTAAGTGGTGTTCACCAACCATTTTGGCGGAATTGGCGGTTCACAGATCCTGCTTGCTTCTTAGCAGGGGAAATTCTCCATACCTGCCATAAATTCTTCTTCGATCACCCATTCAAGTGGTCGAAAGAACTGGTGGGTAAGGACGAGCTCGATGCCCAATTCCAAAGCCACCATAAGCGAGTAGGAACGCGCCATTTTTCATCTGGAGTATGTCAGATGAAACAAATGACTGGCTGGGAACACCGGGACTTGCAATGCACCTTGGTACCTTCCATTGCCGGGGTCGTGCCTCCCCCGTTCATTCACGCAATTCACGCTTTGATCGACTTTATTTATAAGGCCCAAAGCCCTGTTTACACTGATAGCTCCATTGATTCCATGGTTGCGTCTCTCAGAGAGTTCCATGATCATAAGCAAGCAGTCTTAGATGCAGGAGCTAGACAAGGCACCAAAGGAATGATCGACAACTTCCTTATCCCAAAACTCGAGCTTTTGCAGAGTTTTGCTGCATTCACCAAGGATATAGGCACCCTCATCCAATGGACTGCAGATGTCACCAAGCGCCTTCTCATCACTCATTGCAAGCTTCCTTTTGACAGGACATCTCGCCAGTCATGCACCTTTACAGAGCAGATTGTTGATATTCTCAACTGCGAGGAATCAATGCAGCGATTTAAGTTGTACCTCTTCCTGCGGATGCACGACACCCCCCTCACCAATGCCATAGTCACAGAAGAGCAAGAAATTACTGAAACCGACCCTGCTCTTGCATGGATTGCCCGCATCACACCTGGTGATCCAAATCAGTGGTGTTTTGTTGGACCTCATCCGGTTCGAAACCATTTTCTGAAGGGTATACTGTCTTCCACTGCGACGACTGCATTCCACATTACCGTCACTCCTGATCGAGCCAAAATGTCTGTCAATGACATCAGGAAACCTGCATTTTCCCTGATTGACCTGCATGGTCTGACAGCCATAATAAGCTGCCTACCTCAGAGTATGACATATCATATGTCTGACATCAGACCAGGCAGATCATTCAGGAAAAACACACATATATTCCATCAGAACACCAATACCAACAGACCTATCATATAATCATTGAGTCCTGACTCTATACCATCAGATAATACAGGCTATCTGTTCATTAGAATGTCAATACTAACAGCCTAATCAGTGCAATCAGGTGCCAATACAGTAAAATTCCTAGATGGACAGGCAGAGCAGTGTCATTTGTCCACCCAACCAGCAGTAATAGTAGATACATCAGATGGCATAGGCAAGACAGACACTATACCTGGCAGAATATCAGTACCTGCAGACTGATCATATTGCCATTGAGGCTAAAACACATTATTGCAGACAGTACAATATATCTGTTCCTCAGACAGTCCTGATTGCAGCTCAATCAGAGGGATTAGATCTACATAAGGTCATGTTTCCCTGTCCTCAGTAGCACAGACCATATGCCCCCCCAGACTACTATTAGTTTCAGGAATACTAGACAAAACAGCAGTAAGCAACATCAGGTTCTCATATTGGCAAAGAGAATAGTAGACAATCTGAGTGAAAGTTCATATTGGCAATTCACACTGTAAAAAAAACACAGCTGTTGGGAGTTGAACTTGGTGACAGTACCAGTAACACCTTCAATGATGGATCAACCATTCAACCAAAGTCACACAATTTGGAGTTGGACAATTCGTACCACATAGTACTACTAGTAGTAAGCCTGACAGACTGAAGCAGTACACTGTTGGACAATGGAAAAAAATGTGTACAGTATGAAAACACGTAATGGTACTAGTACATATCATGATGAAAACAAACATTATCACTGAAACTTGAACGAATCATGATCAAACATGATGTAACTAGTATTAATGGTGTCTCCCTCGCTTGTTGGAGCTTCCAGATGGGACGTACTTGGCATCATCGACCTCGTTGATGGTGCACTTCAGGAAGTTCCCGTGCCACTTGCGATATCTCCTGAATCCCGTTTGCTTGGCGGCTGTCTCCAAGCCGTCAACGCAAGCGCCCCAAGCAATCACTGTGCCCAGAAGAGTGTATCCTCTGAGGTTTTGGATTAAGGCGCTGAAAAAAACTGTGTGAATTTCTAAAGTCATTGACAGATTGATGGTACTTACTTGAGAGGGTCGCCACTACTTGGAGGATGTTCACCCTCCAGATGCTGGACTGTTGAGTCGCGAACTCTTTCCAGGGTACACTTGAATAGATGCTGGACATGTTGAAGTCCAGCATTGTCTTGCTGCAGGAAGAGTGCCTATTAGCATTGCATTAAATTAGTTAGAACTAGTTGCTAGTATCAAAAACATATACTACGTACCGCGGTGGCATAACATTGCGAACGATGGTTGGTTGTCTTCAACCGTCCATTAGGGGGGTGGAGCCAAGTCGTAACAGTTATCGTGAGGGGTTGCAGCCAAGTGTGCGAGCAAAACGAGATCCCATTACTGTTACGTCGACTGTAGGTCGGCGTGTGCGAACTAGGATAGGTCTTCTCAGCGACGACTCGAGTGAGTCTACTGAAGCTGAGCGTGGTCTGGCCTTGACGGAACGTCAAGGATTCCTCCGGCGATCTCGGTAAGACGGCGCTCGTCGAGATGCAGGGCTAGCGGATACGTGCTAAGTCGTATGGGAGCGACTCTGAAGTGCGGTCTCACACAAGGAAGCAGTTAAGCTAAGATGAGCAAGTTCTTGGTAGAACCTAGTAGATTAAAGTGAAGTTCAATCTACAACAATGTGCCTACTTATACATAAGGTATGTAGGTGTTCAGGCTCAGTCTGTAATCAATAGTATATCGTAAATCTATGATAGCCAGACATGAGGTTCAGATAAGATACATGAGGCTTAACCTCTGATCAAGCATGCTGCGCCAAGGGCAGCTGCGCATAGGTACAGGAAGCGCCAAGCGCTCCGGGTCTTCATACATGAGGCGCCAAGGGCGCTCCGGATCTTCATGAAGCGACATGCTGTATACATGCGCTGATCTAGGGTTACCATGAGGCGTACAGCCTCCATGGACCAGGTACAGGGCCGTCTAGGCCAGGGGCGGGGTCATAGCATCAGGCGGGGTCATAGCGCCATGAAGCGGAGTCATAGCGGTCCAGACCGCTGTTGTTCTAGGCGCAGGCGGCGCACCGCCGCGCGGGGAGTCTAGCAGAGCGGGGGCAGGCGTAGGGAGAGCTGGGGCTCTAGTAGGTGTTACAGATCCCTGTAACAATTACCACTTACACTTTCACTGACCTCTTTGATGTGCCCAACCTTCTTCTTGTCCAACTCCTGCTCGATTGCCCATTCATCACTTGGCAAAGCGTGTTTTTCTGCCTCGGCGATGTGGAAATGGGTGGCCCCCTCGACGTGGGGGTTTTTGTCTGCAAAAAGTTGTATCTTCGATTCTGCCAACTCTGAAGATTGGGAGAACAATACTTCAAAAGGCCATAGGGGATGGAACTCCGCATCTCTCATCTCGCGTTGAATTAGCATATCGGGGATGCCGAGATTACGCTTGTCTTCATCGTCCTCGTTATCTTCCCCCTTTTTGACCATTGTGTTCATGTGCATGCGGAGGGCAGTATGGAGTGCTGGTGGAAGTGGCAAAGATGATATGATGTTTCCCATTGTAGTGCGCAGAGGCGCTAGAATGGATTTGTGGACTGGAGTTGGCAGGTTGACAGAGAGTTTTTTGAGACATGGGATGTATGATGGTCTGGAGAAAGTGCTGGATCAGCTTAGACATGGCAGGTGGAGAGAAGGCTTACTTGCGAATGAGATTATTGTCGGATTCAATTGCATTCAGGATATAATGATAATCTTGCTCTGAAACATTGAAAAATACCTGGTACGGCAATCAGCCAGAGAAAGATAAGAATTGTGATGGCTTCTCATACCTCGTGTTTGGGTCCCTCGCCACCCTTCTGAATGGCGGCAATAATACGCTGACAAAGATCTGTAGAGCTTAGCAAAGAACTCCCATGGTATTTCAATCAGATATGACTCACCATCCTTTGACTCAAAAACTGGTGGCTTCAACATCTTTGGCTTCAACAGGAGGCAAGGTTCCTGCTCCAGACTTGAAACTGATTCCACTGAAGTCCCAGATTGGCTACTTATCAGCAAACTTGCTGAGGATGTGGAGTGTCGCTTGAATCTTCTAGTATTTTGGGAGGGCCCTTTGCCACCGGCATGTTTGAGTTGTCCAGGGAGCATGCTAATATTCGGCTGGGAATGCCATGCAGGACTATGCTCACAGAAAAAGCCTTGCCCATTTATTGGGCCTTGCTGTAACAGAGTAAGAGATTCAGAGGGCATAGCTTTGCATGCTTGTTGTGACATTCTCACCTTATAAGCAAAAGCGGCGGTGTCAACTGGGTTCTTAGCTTGAAACTGGAGTATCCAAGCCGGTGTTTGCCGCCGGGACCGTGGCTAGGGGTACCATAGTAGTAGGGCGAAGAAAAACCTAGTCATTGGGAAAGAGTGCTAGAGAAGGCCTGTCAGTGCATACTAGTTAGACTCAGAGAGCCCCAGAAATGACATCAAAAAAAGACACACAGCATTTCGGAAATACCATATAGTTGCAATGACCACGTACTAGCACATGAAACGATGATCACCACTGTTCAAGTTACTAAGTCAGTAGTACTGCAGAAAAAAACCTGAGAGACCTACCTAGTAGTACTAGTACTAGTAAGAGGAGCTGTGGTTGATATTAGGCATGGAGTGGAGATAGTACTGTTGCACATTCAAAATTCAAACCTACTATAAAGTCCGAGTCAGCGACAAAACTACTAGTAGTAGTAGTAGCAGTACTACTCACCTTCATTGCCATGGAGTTGAAATGATCTCCAGACTTGTATACTGTTACTGTTACATGGCACTGGCAGTGTAGCTAGATGTTGAATAAAATATTAATGGATCTCGGGCTCCTGCTACCACCAGCAGTGTTGATGAGAAGAGTCGTGGAGACTATCATTAGAGCACAGAAGCAATGATGGAAGTAGAGTGTCGAAGGAATGAAGTGCTAGACTTGGTGCTGAATTAATGAAGTACTGCTTGTACTGATCTGGCTGCAGTAAAATAACGGGCCATGGCTACTGGTAATTTCGTAACAGCTATGCGAGATCTGCAAGCTCTGAGGACAAGGTTGAGACACATAGTACACATTGTTGTGACAGAAGTGTATTGTCCTGAATTCGAAAGTGACTATATTCAATGGTTGAACATGAATGAGTATTAATACATGTTGTGCTACAAGTTGGAGGTTAAACTGCTAATCAATACGCAATTTCAAATGTGTGATAATCCGAATACTTGTTTATGTAAAACACTTCAAATGCCATCAAAGAATCCGAATGAGTGATATCACAAGGAAGTAAATGTGAACCATAAACGGGGATCAAGTGTGCTGGTCGCATGATGGTTTCTAGATGAACAACTGAAACGAGGCGTTCTCCACTGTCGGCGTCAAGTTCTGGCTCGACCATCCACATACCGGTTTCAGGGCATGGTCGATCGCCGATGGTCGAAAACCAGCGAATGAGTGCACAAGGATACAGCACACCTCGAAAGGTAAATGAAAATGATTTGTGCGACGTACAGACCCTGAAATCCTGGCAGGGTTGGATCATGCTCGACGAAAACACAATCATGGCAAGGACGACCACCACGCCAGTTAGGTGCAGCATGGAAGGTATGACACATCATACCATTAACTCTGCAAATATCACTAGCAGCGTGAAACGACGCAACTGTGGAATGGAAAATATCCACCTTGCCATCAAAGTTTGGGCATTGTGACACATCCATTTCATGCCCAGGTATAGCATGATCAGGATTGTGCTGATCATGCAGAAATCGGCGCACAAGGTCACGAAAATGAGGAATGCCAATATGTTTACCAATCGGCTGCAGCTGTTACGACTGGGATAGGTCGAGCTGTCTTAGTCCGAGTGGACTGAGATTCGGCGAGACAGACGTGGTTCTTCTCTTGAATGAGAGGTCAAAGGTTTCTGGCTAAGGCAAGTATCGGCGACTTCCTTAGAATAGTGGTTTCTTAGATAGCAAGGTTGGAGACCTTGCTAAAGGACTTGTTCCAGGTAGAACCCAGTAGATTAAAGTGAAGAACTACATGTGGTACGCTATGTGTCTATATAGTGAGAGTTCAAGCAGAGCTTGTAAATGCGTATCAAGATAGAAGGCGGACAGCCCGCTTGGTGGACGATAAGAGATAAGAGATAGTAACCATGGTGCGGACAGCCCGCTTTGATAAGAGATAACGGCTAAACATAGCGGCGGTTACTGGCACGGAAAGTCAGCTTGGCAATGATATGAGTAAGAGTCTGGAAAGTAATCGGTCGCTCATCAATAGCTGTGACAAGGGACCATTGTCCGGTAACAAAGGAGAAACTAAGAGAATGAATGTACCATAACATTACCCCCGTGTTATGGTCGATGGCACCAGCTTCGACGTCACTAGTTGTCCTGGTTTGCGTAGTAGATGGCGTCGGCGTCGGCATTGTGGAACTCTAAGTACTCCGGCTGTGCCAAGTACTCCCTATTGGCACACTCAAGATCTTCTTCTTCCTTCCTATCTTTCTCTGCTTCCCACGTGGCTAACGCGTCGTAGAAGCCTTCGTCAGTATAGACCAATGGGAATACTGGTTTGTTGGTGTCATAGGGGCAGTAAATGGAAAAGTGCCCGGGTTTCGCGTCGCCGCAGAAGCGACAGAAGTATAAGGGGCAGTTCTTGTGCTTATGACCAAGCTTCTTGCAGACTCGGCAAATGAAGTTGGCGTCAGCGATAGTGCCGACTATGTGTTTTAGCGAGGGGGATCTGATAGTGATGCTAGAGGAGGGAATTGCGGGGGGTTCTGTGGTGAGGTCGATGACCTCGCGCTTCTTTCCTTTGGACGATTTATTCTTGGTTATGCCGTGAACGACGGCTCTGTTGCGGAGCTTTCTTCTATAGATTTCATTGGGTGCTGGGACAGGTACTGGTGCAGTGCTCCCTCCAATCGAAGTTGGATCAGGTAGAACAGCAGCGGGATTGTGAGTAATAGGAGGCAACGGGCGGCCGACTTGGAAGGTGTTTCGATCAGCAACAGTCTGTATAATTTCCCTGCAGATAGTGCTAAAACCAAGAGGGAATGACTGAAGCGTAAGCGAGCGAATGCGCCGCTGGACGTGGTTGCAGGAGAGTCTGAGGGCATCGTTCTGAATCTGGGCGAATTCTTCTTCGAGGCGTTGAGTAGCTCTAATGATATGGATATAAGTGGCAGCGACTCCAGCTGGTACTGCTGGCTGGGCGTTGAGATAGGTCTCAATTTCGAGGGCGTGGGCAACGGATAGGATGGTGGTTTCGACGATGACGTCGTCTTCGATGCTGACAACGTTGTCAGCAAAGGGGGATTCGCTGAGGCTGATGGAGGAGACGTTGGATTCGGTAGGGGAGGCAATCTGTTGAGAAGACATGTTTGTTTGTATGGCAATGGGGACTGGTCAATTCAGTTCAACCTATGCCTCTTCTTATAGGCGGAAAGTAGGTCTTCGGCATTTTCCATGTTCTCCGCTGGAATCCATTCGTTACTTCCGGAAGAGTATCCTTTCCAGGATACGAGATAGCATCTTCGTTTACCCGTTCCCTTGTGACTTCTTCGACTTCGTATTCCTCTGATTGGTTGACTATATCTGGAGGTGGTTCTTTGTAGTTCGGTCCGTGAATCTCTGTCTCCTGATAGGAGGATAGTTCGGAAGCATGGAACGTGGGGTGAACCTTCCACTGTTCCGGAAGTTTCAGGGTGAACGTGATTGGTGATAAGACTGCGGTTATGGAGAACGGTCCGTGTCGTTTGGGCGCAAGCTTCCTAGATGGGAGAGTGGTCATGAGATTAGCTGCGGATAGCCAGACCTTATCTCCTATCTTCCATGGTAGGTACTTCTTTTTGTGCATCCTTTCTGCCATTTGTTGCATAGCGATGTTGTGGCAGGAAATGGCTTCCTCTCTGATCTTCTGGAGGGTACAGACTCTTTCCTCTACAGCAGGGGTATCCGATGATGATAGCACGTGGGGAATGCCGCGAGGTTTGTATCCCATCATAAGGAAGAACGGCGATGCATTCCTTGCTTTGTGTCTTTGGTGGTTGTGCACAAATTCAGCGAGAGGTAAATGGTCCGACCATTCATAGGGGTTACTCCTACAGTATATTCGGAGGTATGTTTCTATTTCTTGATTGAGTCGTTCGGTTTGTCCATCGGTCTGAGGGTGATATGCCGTGGATGCAGCGATCTGGTATCCTAAGAGGCATGCTAATTCTCTAGAGAACTTCGAAATGAACTGGGGGCCTCGGTCAGAGATCACTTTTTCGTGGAGTCCGAAATGTTTGAACACGTTCTTGAGAAATAGTTTAGCCACTCCTTCAGAAGAGATGTTCTTGTTACAGGGAGAAATAATCACCCCCTTCATAAGGCCATGGTCTACCACGACCATGAGAGAGTCAAAACCATTGGAAACAGGGAGGTCGGTGACAAGGTCAACAGAGACCTGGGAAAAGGGGCGAGTGGCAGAGGAAGGGATGGGGACAAGGGGAGGCGTGACAGGGTGGGTGTCAGCTTTCATCTGCTGACAGAGAGCGCATCCGGCGACGTAGGAGCGGATAAAAGTGCCCATGGCAGGCCACCAGTAGTCGCGTTTGACAAGTTCTTCGGTTTTAAACCGCCCAGGGTGACCGGCGGTCGGATGGTCATGATGACGGAGCAATACAACCATTCGTTGCGAGGGTGGGACATAGGCGCGAGATTTATAATAGAGCACCCCTTCCGATATCTTCCAGTTGGAGAGGGCAGATTTCATGGGGGGCAGGCAGAGTCCATCCAAAGCGTCACTGGCGACGGAGAAAATGGGGTCATCTAAGGAGTTTGTGGCGAGGGTGGCGGAGAGGTCGTTGTCGAGCAACCATATGAACATGGAATCTGGAAGGAGCACACGATCCTCATTGTCGTGTTCACCAAGACTGTGATCCGGGCATCGAGAAAGTGCGTCGGGTGCCGCAAGTTTCGTCCCAGGAACGTGATGCAATTCGAGATCATAATTAGATAGGACAAGCTGCCAATGTGCTTGCCTTCGAGAGAGTTTCTGTGCTTTCGAGAAATAAAGGAGATTTAGGTGATCGGTGAAGACGAGAATGGGGTGGGGGTTTCCTTCCAGATAATGGCGCCATTCATTGAGGGCGTGAATGATAGCGAGCAGTTTGCGATCAAAGATTTCGTAGTTGCGTTCAGCGGGGTTGAAGGACTGTGAAATATATTCACAAGGGTGGTAGACGCCATTTTCATCCGTCTGGAGGAGTACGGCCCCGGTTGCTACCAGAGAGGCATTCGTAGCAAGGGCAAATTGGCGTGTGGGATCAGGGTTACGTAGCACCGGTTTTGTCGTAAAACATTGCTTGAGTTTATTGAATGAGGTCTGGGCATCAGGGGTCCAAGCGAAGACTTGGTCTTTTCCAGTGAGATTGATAAGCGGTCGGGCGATATCAGAGTAGTGGGATACAAACACCCTGTAAAAGTTGCAAAATCCGAGAAAGGAGCGAACATCCTTTACGGAGGTCGGGATAGGCCAATCCTTTATCCCATCGACTTTGGCATGTTCCATTGCTACTTCTCCAGGACGAATAACCATCCCGAGGTACTCCACCTCTGCTGCGTCGAAGGTACACTTTTCAGGTTTGATGAACAGCTGTTCGCGATGGAGTATCTCCAATACTCTTTTTGTTCGTTCGTGATGTTCTGCGAGGTCTGAAGAGAAGATGAGCAGATCGTCCATATATATGACGATCCACCCCTTGTTGATTTCGCTCTGGAAGTGATTGTTCATATAGGATTGGAAAGTGGCGGGGGAGTTGGTTAAGCCAAAGAACATTACAGTAGGCTCGAACAGGCCTTCTTCGGTAGTAAAAGCCGCTTTCCATCTATCATCAGGGTGGATTCTGATATTGTTATAGCCAGAGCGTATGTCGATTTTTGTGAAATATCTGGCCTTGTAGAGTCGTTCTATAAGAGTTTTGGGAAGCGGGAGTGGGTATTGGTTGTGTATGGTCCAATCATTGAGGTATCGATAGTCCTGACAAGGACGTAGCTCACCACTCTTCTTTCCTACAAAGAAAAATCCACTGGCTTGCGGGGATTTCGAAGGTACAATAAACCCTTTTTCCGTGTTTTCTGTGATAAAGGTCTTTACTGCTTCCCTTTCTTTTCCTGATAGCAGGTAGATCTTGGATGTCCTTGGCATGAATCCAGGTTTCAGATCAATTCAATGATCAATACCGGGCCGTTCCGGTGGTAATTTATTGAGACCGTCTTTCGCAAAAATATCTGCATAGGTGTGCAGGTAGGAAGGAACGAGTTCTTCGAAACTCTTCTTCATTTGTTCTTTCTCCCCGGCAACAGCAAATTCCTGAGCTTTATTGCTAGTTTTTGAATAGCCTTGCTCCTGTTTTGACGTACTGTCTCTGGTGAGAGGAGTGTCAAAAGAGACGTCGGAGATTATTCTGACTTGAGAACCGTCAGGGGAATATTCGATTAAGACGTCTTCATCGTTTAGGGGGTAGAGGGATGGGTCGATGACCGGAGGTGCATAGTTTTCCGACCATACATCTTCCCTGGTATCGTAGTCGGCTCATCTTGGTCTGGTACGAGGTGGGGAAGCTCCTCGTCGGTAACTTCTTCAACAGAAGTTCGTGGGTAGACAGGTGAGACGGGGGATTTCTTTAATTTGGAATTCTTCCATTCACGGGACGGCTCTTTCTCCGTAGGGGCGGCAAGGGGAAACAGCAGCGGGAGATTGCGCTGTTTTCTGAGATGATCAATGTTTCTTTCGATCTTGAGTGATCGTTCGTTCGATGCGAGAGATAGTACTTTGTTCGTCCAGTCGATTGACGGATTTAGTGCTTTCAGCCATGGGAACCCAAGTAAAATCTTGTCTTTCTTTGAGAGTCTGGTTATGTTGAACTTTCCTATCATGGTCCTCCCGTCAATTTTGACAATGAGGACGCAATAGCGAGAGATGAGTCCTCCCTTAGCGTCAGATCCGTCTGCGGTTATAACGGGAAATGGTTTTGAGAGTTTATGGGTCTTGATTCCGTGCAACTTGCAGAATTCCTCGCTGATGAAGGTTCCGCTTGCTCCGGAGTCGATAACCATAGAGGTTTCGATGGTTTTGGTATGCTTGGTGGAAATAATAGTGGCAGGGACGCGAAGCTCTTTTTTATTTCCAAGTGATTGTACAAGTCGTATCAGGACAGGAGGTACTGACATCGATGCAGTCTCCTGTTTTAAAAATCCATCTCCACGAACCGTCGGTTCACTTCCTCCTCGTCATCGCTACTCTCTTCTTTCTTGACCTTCCTCCGGATAGGCATTTTCTGCTTCTTATCTTCCCTGGGATGGAAGGTGGTATCGTTGGCACGATGGCCCGTCTGGTGGCATTTGAAGCAGCGTCCTTCCTTGAGGTGTCTTTTTACTTCGGACTCGGAGAGCTGGTCTATCTCCATGGCGTCGCTTCTGCGGGGGGTAAAGTGGCAGTCCCCGTACTTCTTCTTCTTGTGCTGATAATAAGCGGGGTTTTCTCGTTTCTGTATTGCTCTCAATCTCTGGAAAGCGTTGTCCAGATTGATGCATGTGGCGATGACGGTTTCAAAGTCGTCTAGACTTTCTCCAGTGCGGTAGAGGTTGTTGCGAAGTCCTACGTCAAGACCTTCGCGGAAGAACTCTACTTTGGTGACGTTCTCAGCTATTCCTGCTTTATGGGCTAGGAGGCGATAGTTGGAGATATATGTATGGAGGTCTCCTTTCATCTCAAGGGCTCGTACTTTAGCCATGGCCGTTCCGGCCAGGTCTATAGCTCCAAAGGCTTCCTTGAATGTGACTTTGAATTCGTCCCAGCTGCCGTATCCAATAAGATTTCCAGCAGTATTCTTTCGCTTGGAGTTCTGAGCAGTCTCCATGAAGTCTTCTTTCCAAGCGGCTGCATTGCCCTTGGTCATGAACGAGAGTGCGAAGATTACTTTCTTCTTATCGCTATCGTAGATCTTCTCGTTGATATCTAAATACGCATTACAGTTCAGCATGAACCTGTGCGATTCGTCGCGGTCTCCATCGAATTCGGGGGGAGAACCGATCTTGATTTCTACTTCTTTGGTAGTGGTCGTCATTGTGTTCAACGGTGGTATAGGTGGTAATGCGCCTAGGTTCAAAGCTCCGATCAAAGGAGTTAACAAAGTCATGGTGTCTTCTGATGTCGCAGGTGGCGACGTTTATGGTAGGACTTTAATATTTTGTTACGACTGGGATAGGTCGAGCTGTCTTAGTCTGAGTGGACTGAGATTCGGCGAGACAGACGTGGTTCTTCTCTTGAATGAGAGGTCAAAGGTTTCTGGCTAAGGCAAGTATCGGCGACTTCCTTAGAATAGTGGTTTCTTAGATAGCAAGGTTGGAGACCTTGCTAAAGGACTTGTTCCAGGTAGAACCCAGTAGATTAAAGTGAAGAACTACATGTGGTACGCTATGTGTCTATATAGTGAGAGTTCAAGCAGAGCTTGTAAATGCGTATCAAGATAGAAGGCGGACAGCCCGCTTGGTGGACGATAAGAGATAAGAGATAGTAACCATGGTGCGGACAGCCCGCTTTGATAAGAGATAACGGCTAAACATAGCGGTGGTTACTGGCACGGAAAGTCAGCTTGGCAATGATATGAGTAAGAGTCTGGAAAGTAATCGGTCGCTCATCAATAGCTGTGACAAGGGACCATTGTCCGGTAACAAAGGAGAAACTAAGAGAATGAATGTACCGTAACAGCAGCCGTCTTGGGTAACCATGCACTGAAGAAAAGAATGATTTAAGATTACCATGGCAAAAGTCAAATGATCCCACCTCATCTCTTCGCTAATTGTACAATAACCTCAGCCTCATCATCATCCGCAACAGCATCTTCGAGGTCCAGATCATCACGGTAAAGGAAGAAGTTTGGGTCGTCCAGTGCTACATTCAGGTTAATCAAACTTTTGCCAATACAAAACATCTGAATTACCATCACGATTTGTATCTGGGTCAATTGGAACGACACCAGGTGGGAGTAAAGGTTGATCAAGTAGACCTGCAGCAGTTTTCTCAGCTCGGAATGATGCAAGTTTGTCGAGCCATTGGTTGTTTACTAGCATTTGACCAAGGGGTAAATAGCCACTTGAGCGTCTCCAGGGTTCCTTGACTGCCTTACAGTGTTTCAACTCTGTGAGAGAAGAACATAATCCATTGGGAGCGCCGAACTGCTGTGTTAGATAATAGTAATGACACAAAGAATGTTGTCGGGGTAGAGAGATTCCATCTGGAGTAACACCGACATCCTTGAAGATGCGACACTCCTCGTGAAAGGTATGCAGGGCCTTATCCATGGCATCTAGATCGGCTTCGTCGAGACTTGAGCGACGGACCAGATAGCAGAAGTCAAGAAAGTGATAGAGAGCTCTAAGCATCTTGTCGGGAATGTGTCCCACAATAGCTGGCAGAAATACCTATAACTTAATTCAAATATTGTTAAGTGATATCAATAGATGACTTCTTACCTTCATCAAAGCTTTCGAGTCATCACCGGTCCATTGTTTGAATTTTCGACCTTGAGGAAAATGATGCAGGCCTGGAAATGCAGGTACTGCGGCAATGCTAGAATCAAGGACATCAGTATAACAATCTCAACTACAAGATATTTAGTACCGGCAATCGATATCTGCCCATATTCGTTCTGCCCCTGCTTCTCCGTGAATGATAATAAGATATTGACCAATCCAATCCACGATATGGTCTTTGAAGGTCCCTTTAATGATTTGATGCAGGATATCCGGAGCAAGAAGATCGTGGATGTCTGCACGCGGAAAGTATGCTGTGAACGGCTGCATACTTTTAACACCCAAGGACTGCAAGGAGCTGATGTGTACTCACCAGGATGCCACTGAGGATACCCCAGCCGTTCTTGAGCTCGTTTGCTGAATAGCCACGCATTAGAGCTTTTGTGTGTTGGTGCGATCGCCAACCAGAGACCAAGTGATCCAAATCCTGCCGATCAGCAGTACATCTAAAGCATAAGTCAATGAAATTCGAGGTTCAAGAAGAGCTTATTGTGCACACCACCTCTGAATTATGCAGGCAAGCAAGCACTGCTCAGGATAATCGGCAATATATGGACCGAGACCATACACAGCACGTCTAAAGTGACCATCCGCACACTTTACAACTTCTGGTTTCTCCATCGCATGACGGAAAGCCTCTAAAATGGCTTGTAACAAGGCGTGAAATATGTGTCATCAGAAATTCCGGAATTCCACGCTATTTTCATGAAGTCGCTCAGCTATTATGATCATCAGCTTCGTTAGCAGTCTCGTAGTAGTATACGTACTCTTAGGGATTGAAAGGAATCCCACAAGGCTCACGGACTCCTTGTGTGCACGACAAACATTATTGCGGAGGTTCCCAGCAGAGACATAGAGTGGATAGAAGTCATTCTGGCCAGTTGCCACAGAGACTGTAGTCTTGTCACTCCCAAGGATGATGGGGACAAACATCGCACCATGACAGTCAGGATCTTCGGCCAGTATATTCTATGAAACGAACACAATTAGTGTAAGGATCGCATATCATCTGTGCCCCGACCATAACTTCAAATTAAAACTTAGAACTACAGTTCTATTCCTCCATGTGACACACTGATGCGAAGAAGCACCACGTTTCGCGTCTGTGTCATGCGGATACATTCCTTTTCGTTTCACTCTTTCATCATCGTTTCGACTTACCGCTATACTCGCTACCTAGACTCAACCCTGACTCCAAACTACTCTCAGACCCTTTCCTTTCGTCATGTTTTCCCCATTCTCACTTTGCTGTACCGAAATCTGTCAAAAACCGCTACAAAATTCTCGTCATTTCACCCAAACCAAAATCATTTATACCGCCACTCATTCAGTTTCTCGTATTCCTTTCCTTCCTCGCTCTAGCTACCTGTTAGGCTCAACGCCACTCCCTTCAGCGTCTGTTTTCACCTAATCAATGACCTATTCGTGCCCGAGGACCCTTACGGTTCGCAACTATATCTACTCATGTACATTTTGATATCGACAGCGAAATATACCCAGTTCCCGCTCCAAGAACCTCAGAGAAATCCTTCTAGAACGTGTCCATCACCGCATATCACCTTGTCGTATCGTTTTCTATCATCTCATCTCAAGTCTCACTCTTGCTCACATTCCCTATCGAACTCAAGTAGCCGCCTTACATTAGTGTTAATCTGTCAGTGAATGCTGGAATATACTTGCCAACTGATCCCAAGCCCAATTACCTGTCATTCAATCTGACCATACGCGCTGACCCTGCTCTCCGAATACCTGTCAAGCTGAGTAGTCGATATCGTTGACGAAATCAGGGTTGGCAAGCTGATTTTGTATCAACTCGCGGGGATCTCGAAACCACACCTCATACTCGCTACGCTTCCACAGTGGATCATCAGGTGACGCAGTCTCGAATTCAGCGTGCTTGAGTGAGAGTGATTGCCATGATATATCACCCAAAGAGATGGCATCGATAGTGTCATAAACATGGGTGTCACTACGAAATGGAGGCTTGCCATTAAATTCATTGAAAGAGGCTAGAACCTGCATGAGTTCATCAATTTGTTTGCCAGGCATCTGATTTCGTCGGAAGATGAAGTCCGCAAGCTGGAAGTGACCACATGACTGGAAGGGAGCCCATGGATTATCCTCAGCAGGCAGGTCAAGGATGGGAGGATCGCCATCAGATAGTAAATAGTTACCCACAGCATCACACGGTGAGCCATCGAGAACAGGATGTTGAAAATAGTAGGATCCTCTGTATGTATCTTCATCATCACTGTGTCCAGCCTCCATCACAGCATCAGACTCGCATTCCGAAAAAGTATGCTGGCGTGGACGAGTAGGCTGGGGAGGCTCGATGTGTAGTGCATTGTGGTGTTGTCGGTATCCACCCAAGGTCTTAAAGCCACGACAGCAAGCTGTAACTTTAGCATCAGTACAGTAATATTTTCGAGGGCGGAATGCAGGCGATGACATGGTGTAAGTCTCTGTGTGTAATAATAACATTGAGTACTAGTAATTGTAAATAGTAGGTGTCGTATAGTAGGGCCTTACTTTGGTGTGAATGTGTGAAAATGTGACAAACGAATGTGGCGGTCCCTCTGTGAACTTTGCAAAAAAAAAAAAAGTGTATGTGAGTAACTGTTCTTTGTACAACTAGTACTCGGCTCACTTGTTGCTCTATCTTGAGTACGTCAACGACATCCAGCGATGGTGGAGACTCGCGTGGAAAATCGGAACAAGCAACCCGGATTACCAGACCTACCACCCAAACACCAAAAGGCTGTCAATGCCAAGTTGCCAGCCGATGGCGACGATGGTCCAACTGGCAGGGTGAAGGCTGGTCCCATGAAGAAGCCAGGAAGCCAAAAAGTCACAAAGGAACAGAAGGTTTGCGCTGCAGGAACAGTTGCTCAGCTCGAGATCTGCATGGAGATAGAGGATGTAGAAAAAGAAAGGCTTGCAGTGCGACGACCCGGTCCCACTCTTAACAAAGTATCCAAGAAGCCAAGTACTGGAATTCGGTCAGCAATTCCACCAAATTCAGGTATGTCACGGATTTGACTGTATGATAAGTTGGTGACAGGCACTGACTTGACTATATCTAAACCAAGTTCAACCAAGTGTCCGCAGTGGGTCTCGGCCGGCAAGTCCAGGTAAGTCGCAGATTATTCAATCACAGGACAACAAGTGCTGATGAAGCACTTATTATAGTTCACGTCGATGCCAGTCAGAATGAACATGATGATAACTCACCGCTGGTAAAGGTCAGTAAGGGACAGAAGTTGCGCAGAGATATCGAGAATGCAAAGGACAGTTTAGGGGGGGGGGGGGGGGGTAAACAGAGTCACAGCAAGCAACGTGCCCGTAGTGATGATGAAGGGTAAGTCCTCAGTGATTGGCGCCCAACGATCTGCTGACTCAACCTGATCAACCAATCAATGTTCAACATTAATTGTTACAAGTAACATCGGTCACGTGGCCCCCCTATCATTTTCCCCTCATCCTCGCCCTCACCATCTACCGGCTCGTCCTCCTTTACCGACTTTCCGTTGACCGGATCCTCGGGACCGTTCCCGTCCCTCGTATCACCCGCCTCTATGCACGTGCACGCACGTTCCTCTTCTGACTCGACCACCAATGTGGTTCCGCACCTCTGACTCGGTCTGACTCATGCCACCAATGTGGCTTTCCTCTTTCTGTTTCCCCTGACTGCGGATTCCCGCACGTTGTATTCTTACCGTTGGTCCGTTCCAATGTTTCTCGGTCTCATTCCACATTCGACCATCCATCACTAATCCGGCTCTGATGCCAGCGCACCTATACCATTCCTGTTTCCCCTTTACCCTTACCTACTGTGCGGTAGCCTTGCCCTTAACCCTCTCCACTTAGTATAAGTAGTCGGTCACCCTGTACTAGATTCCCTAACTTGAATCTACTCAATCTTCCCTGGAACATACTTCTCTCTGAAGCCTCCTCAGCTTCAGTCTCTAGTATCTTTTCTTAGTCGCTCATCGCGGCTAAGTCTACTTCGATCGACCTCATCGTACGGACAAGACTGTCCTTACTTTGAGTGACTTCTCAAGACATCCGTCTACGAAGTCACGTGACACGCGCGTACTGTGATCGCTGCCGACTCGTCGTCGCCAGTCTCACTTGCCATACCGGATCCTTCCGGTTACGTCACGAACGTTAGCAGACGACGCCCCTCTTAGGGCTCTGCCTAACAGATCTATTTGAGTGCGTAACATTAATCAACATTATGTATCTTGTACGAAAACCCTTTCCTTCAAAATGCAGACTGTCAGCCAAAAGATTCAAAGAGGATCCCAACCTTTTCTCTTCACAGCCCCCTCGAAGTGGTCTCCGTGAAGGGTGGCGTAATATCGCCTCCCAAAATATCATGACACGCCCTCCAAATAGTGCCCCTGCAACTGCTGGAGGCATGGCTAGTATGTTTTTCTTCTTCTTCTATTAAATCACTGACCTTGTGTTCCACAGACTCCACGAAACATCCCCCTCATAATACTGTCAAGTCCGGTGGCTTTTATGATGAGCGAGAAGACGACAAGGAATGTCAGGCAGGCCCACGCGCACAATTCTCAACGCCTATTATCACAGATGGGGATAACGACATTTTGGCTCCGCCTATGGTCTCTGTATCGAAGGTATTTTTTTCGTTTCCTTCACTTTAACAAATTAACATACCGGATCTTATGTACACTCAGAGCATCTCACCTGTCAATAGGATGCCTGCAGCTATGGGTGAGGAACAAGAGGGAGATGCATTAGATGACGATCTACTGTTTCCCGACTCAGAGAATGAGGTGGATAGAGCATCTGCGGTCGACATTGAATGCGAGGCCGATCCAAGCATCGATAAAGCGTATATGGTTGACACCAACGATGCAAAGACCAAATGCGAATTCAAGGCACAGTCGAAGGCTGATAGGAACACTGGAGAGGAGGGAAAACAGGAGACAGTACGCAAACATTTTGTTTTACTGCGCTCAATTTCTTGCAGGTCGGCTCAACCTCAGAAGGCTCAGATAATGAAGACACCGTGCGTCGCCCTGTGAAAACAAAGCCTTTCCACAAGGTTCGTACATTTTTCAAGGTTGGTTGGTGCTAATTGACTTCAACAGAATACCTCCACTCGCATTGACCAGGAGACTAGCAGTTCAAGCAAGTCCAAGACCAGGGTCAGTTTGCGCAAGGTTTTTTTCATGATATGTTAAGAGTTCATTTCTTGCAGGTCAATGCAACCTTGGAAGACTCGGATGATGAAGAAATCATGTGTTGCCCTGCGAAAATGAAGCCTTCCCACAAGGTTCGTATGTTTTTCAAGGTCAGCTGGTGCTAATCGACTTCAACAGAATACCTCCACCTGCGTGGACTGAGAGACTAGTAGTTCAAGCAAATCCAAGACCAGGGTTAGTTCACACAATTTTTTTGGTACTGTGCTCAGAGTTAATTTATTGCAGGTTGACACAATGGAAGACACAGATGATGAACTCATGCATCCCCTCATGAGCACGAAACTTTCCCACAAGGTGTGTATGCTTTCTCAAGATTGGCTGGTGCTGATCGACTTCAATAGAATACCTCCACTCACATTGACCGAGAGACGACTAATAAATCAAACAAGTCTAAGACCAGGGTCAGTACATGCAAGAATTTTTTAATGCTATGCTAAGAGTTAATTATTTTCAGGTTGACACGACCCCGGAAAGTTCAGATGATGAAGAAGTCATGCATTGCCCCATGAACGCAAAGCCTTTCCACAAGGTGCGTATGTTATTTTTAATGCTAACCATGAGGTTCTGACTTCAGCAGAAAACCTCCAGTAGCAGGCCCACTGCGAATGCACCCTTGGGCATTGACCGACATACTAGTGGCTTAAGCAAGTCCAAGTCTAAAGTTAGTTCTAAGAAGGTATATTCAAATTGAATGTGATCAGTGCTACAAGGTAACTAATTAGTTGCACCACAGCATCGTCCCATTCGCGACAATGATGGTGAGGACGACGATGACGACGACAACTTATCCGAAGTACGACATAGATGCATCAAGTTCACGAAAAATGACCTTCCCGCTGGGTCACATCGCAAGTTCGATTCTTATGTTGTCCCCATGTGGATTGACTTTATCTCCTGCCTTGATAACATGTGGGATATCTTGGACTTTGCTGAAGAGATGCAGCAAATCTGGGATCATGTCTTTCCGACCCTCGAGCACACCGTATCCAAGAACAAAGATGCTGTGTATAAAGTGGTAAGTCTATTGTGACTGACTTTCTACCACCACCTGATTATGCATTTTATCCAGTTGATGCAGCGTGCATATGACTATCGCAGCAACTTCGGTGAACGGGCAGAGATTGTCATCGCAAAATACATCCGAACGCAAGATTGGTCGTCTGACGACATCATTGACACAGTTGCATATCTAGTGCCTGAACAAGCTCGGTATGTTGATGAGGCTGGTCATACCACATGGGTGAACCCTCCCATCTATCCTTATATGTGGAAGTTAGTTGTCGGTGATAGAACTGACGTGAATGTACGTGTTCTGATCTCATCCTGCCTTGATTGCTCACCTGTCAAATAGTGCTATCGAGGCTCTTTTGAAGATTCTTGCATTCTCGATACCTTCGCACTCTACCTTGAGCAGGTCCATGATCTCCCGAAGGAATTCCGCTGCACAGACATGCCAAAGGGGGCACTGTCCATTGCCACGATTGCGGTTCGTCTATCTTCTTTCAGCCCAACACTACTGATGTATCAGCAGGTCGAACGCGCATGGAAGATGTGGTCAACCGGGGTCTATGTGAAACCCAAGAGACCTGCAGAGTCTCAATTCGCAGAGGGTCTTTGGAGTGACCGCACTGAACTTGTGATAGAGTCTCTAGAGCAAGCTAGCCGCCGCAAATGGAAGAAGATCTTCAAGGGTGCAAGGCCCTTCATCGATGCTCATCGAAAGTGGCCGTCTCATTGCGCGAAGGCCCAGAGGAGGGCTGTAGGTGACAATGGCCGTGCTATTTGTATCGAAGAAGATTCGGGAAGTGATTCAGGATCTGATATTTCACTTATGGGTTGATTTTTCTAGAATTTTGTGATCCTGAACCATTGTCTTTCGCTCGTCACTCTGCTGCTGCTCTTTACTTGTTTTATTCCTCATTCATATTCATACTAGTTACTTGTCACTGTTCCAAACTCACCATTGCCTGCTGAATACAATACCCTACCTAGATAATATTGATCAATCATGTTTCTGCATACCTCTGAGGGACTACTACTAGTCATGTTATATGAGTCCTTGACAGCTGGAACAAGTGATAATCTGGTATATTGTCCATCTGGAGAGCTGTTCATGTAGGACAAAGGATGGTCTAGGGTCATGCACATTTGACATACTGAAACACTGATGGATCTCACATTATCATAATTGGACACCCTGGTTGATCAATAATCTAAGTAAATGACAGACCCACAATATGATGGTCCTGCTAATATGAAAGACTAGACCTATACTGGTCTGCTAAATATGGTCTATCTACAACCAGCTAATGTGTTGTATAGGTAGTCTGGGGTATTGAGCACCCAATGACCAGATGAACAGAATAGCCTGAAACACCTAATAACCCTAGAGCCAGAGCATCTGTTATGTCCTGATGTACTGCCTACATGTTGCTTGGCAAGTCTGCATGGAATAACAGGATGTCATACTGATGGTCTCTGTTGCTGATATTATGATGTGCTGAGATCAGAGTGACGTGTCTGATTTCAGACCATATCTGATGGATTGAATGATTGTGGTACCTGTTGCATCTGCTGTCAGACCATGCAGGTCGATCAGGGAAAACGCAGGTTTCCTGATGGAAGTTCAGCAGCTCTACATGTTGCCAGATTTTGGACAAGCGCTGTCTGATTACATCGCAAAGGTTTCTAACGGTCAACCTACAGCATCATGGAGCTGTGATCGTGGACGTGTCAAGATGTGGAACAAATTTTGACTACAGTTACATTCCGTCTTTCGCTCGTGGCTGATTATGCCCAGTCAAGTCGTTCAAGCTGCTCCACCATCACAAACATTCCCTCTGGGAAATTGTGATGCGGTTATTGCACAGTCAATACACGGTGACCAGACGGGTAAGATTTATTTTATGCCTATGTACATGTCACTCACTGTGGTTTCCATAGCAGATGTTGTCGTGCAAGTACGGGCTATCTTCCAGCCCATTCCGCCTTGCTGCGCCATGCTTCCCCATTACCTCGCAGATCAGCCACTCCTTTATGTGCAGTATTATGAGATTGTTGGTCATCCACGCAATGATCCTGCCACCAGCATGTATACGGTGGCTCGACAATATCACCATGGATCCGACGGTCAGAGGGTGAGATTGGGCGCAGTAATCCCTCTCACAGATGTCGCGCACGCGGTAGAACTTATCCCTGTGTATGGCGAAGATGCTGACCATACGGTGAGTGCAGCGACAAGTATGGAGATATACGAGCACTTTTACCTGAACAATTTCTCGGACAAAGAGCTATATCATGCATTGCGCTCAGACTTGCACTAGTTACATTTTTGTCGTAGTTTCAGCTTGCGGTCCAACACGTCTGTTTTATCTATCTTATCTTTGAGATCGAACAAGATGCAAAATATTATCATTAATCAAAATATTCGGTTGTCCATCTTTTGTAAGTTTACAATGACAAAATAAAATAATAACAGTAAAATAGATCTCCACCAATCGCATGAGTTCGCTAGTGAAGTCGTAAGCATTCGTAAGTGTCCGTAACACGCATAAGTTAAGCGTTCATTTCAGTGGTTTTGCAGATGAAGGTCACCTTAAGACTCGAAGCATGATACAAATTGATTGTTGCCTGCTTGTTGGCCATAACCCAGCTGCTACGGAAAGGCATAGCTTATTCGCACGCATTCCAAATTGAAACATAGCTGACAAACATCGGAATAACAAAGATGCAGCGTACAAAGTCGAAGCATGCAGGAATTCTTTTGTGGCCGTGCGCTCGGATGAATATATTCTTGTAGTCAGGAGGATACAGGCTTTCACGTTTACATGTGAATTTGACATGAAAGTGACGGAAAATTAGCTTTTCAGGTGGGTGTATCAAGATTTAATAGCGTACACACATATATAGTCCCTCACTAAGGTTAACGCAGCCTCATTCCCTGCAAAACTCGGGCTTTTAGTCTTGGCTTGGATATTGTAAACCTTACCGCCGATATGACAATTTTGATTCATGTAGATCAACCAGTAGCTTTTGTTCCACCTTCCCTTCAACTTTCACTTTGAGCGATGATGAGACCTTTTTCCGATCTTAGCGTTTTATGGTGAAATCAGAAAAAATCCTTTCCGATATAAGGCAAAAATGACAATGTGATGCTCGATAGCAGAATTATGTTGATTATTGTGATTATGTACTATGTATTGTGATATATGGCCTTGTACTTTCCTCACCAGTTCACTGATGTTGATAAACCTGCTGAGGTGTAGGATGGCCTTTTTGGATGTAGGAGATCGAGGTGGCATTGCGACGGAGGGCATTGGCGAACAAGTGGCATTCATGTATGTATTGAGGACAATCAAAAAGGTAGTGGTAGATTGTTTCCTTTGTTGGGCCGGGGCAGACGCACAACAGTCAGGTGTGTCGCTCTGAGTATTGATGCGATGAAGGACTTTAAAGTTTACTCCCACCCTTCTTACCTCCATTCCAAGTCGTTGTCCAAACCGTCTTCTCTCCCTCTCTAACTTCGCTCGAGGCCATCTCCATTGTCACAGATTTTCGGGAGCGGTGAAAACGATCTGTAGGGCATGTAGCAGGACTGACATGTGGCATCTAATAGCGCAACCTGCAAATGTTCACACTACCAATGAGATCTTTGCTTGGGCTCTAAACCACTCTTAATGGCCCGTGGAATGAGAAAGTCGATATTTGGGCGTTTGGATGCATGGTATGCGATATATTTCCTGGGGTTTGAATTTGGTCACTTGATCAACCCAAACTTCAGATGTCAGATTTGTTTGTATACAAGACCTCTTCTCAACCTCGACGAACCTTGACACGGGTGTGAGTCAATATTTCATCCTCGATAAAAACATAGACAACCTGTTCTGCAGGTATTCTCTGGTTTCTTGAAACTTATATTACTCATGCAGTTGGATCGCAGGTAGAAGGCTGATGTACCTATCCTTAACAACCCATGTGCCACATCTCTAAGAGGAAGACATACTCACGACAGCCAAGATCATACACGTTTGTGCTTGAATGTGGATGACCAAGCGACAGCGATAGAGTTACTCCGCGGGAGCCTCAAGTTGAGTGATTCGACATCTTAGAATTCTATCAACTATGATTATTCTCTGTATATTCCAAAATATAACCAAACCTGTATCACCTCGTCAGCTATTCATATTTGGTTTCTCAAATTTCTGTGAACAAGCTCTCGACTTTGAATGTTCTGAACACTGAAGCTCCTCCATCGTCATCATGGCATTTCTGTCCCTGCCGGGCCATGTTGTCCATTTGATATCCATGATGCAGACCAGCTGTTTTAAGGTTAGGCGATTGGGGGGAGGGGCCCTGCGTCAAACTGTCAGAAAGGATGTGTTCACATCATTCATATCTGAGGTAAGTTCCAAAAACATTGTGGTATAAAGGCAGTGATATTTTGAGCTTCAATTTCAGGGGTCTCCGATATGATTTCCAAGTCAACTCCTGCTATTCTCCTGGGTCTTGCACTCCGTAGCGCTGCTTGCGCGGGCGATCACTTGCATGCTCGCGACGGCCATGCTCATCAACATGTAGAAAGGTGTGAGTACGGGCCGCAGGTGCCACTCACACCTCCATACCATTTTCTTGTCTGGGGAGACTTGAACGTAATCCACACCACTGATACCCATGGTTGGCTACTCGGGCACCAGAAGTCGTCCTGGGCTGAACCATACTACAGGTTGGTGTTCACAGTGCAACTACCTCAAGCCACCGTCACTCACCCACCTCATGCGAATTCTAGTGGGGATCTCGGAGACTTTGCTAGCTTTGTGACTCACATGAAGCAAATCGCCCTCGTTCGTCCATCAATTTGAACTCGTGCTCTCATTATGTATAATTCCTATTGCAGCATAAGGATGTTGACCTTCTTTTGATAGACTCAGGTGATCTACATGACGGTATGTGCAATCACTTATTGTCTGAAACACAATCCAACTCACGTTTCCCAGGGACCAGTCTTTCTGATGGATATCCTCCCGGTGATGTCGATGCACACGAGGTCCGTTCTATTCATGGGTGATATATATAACTAATGCTGACATGTCAGATGCGTCATTCATAGTCAAACAAGTTCGTTGAGCGCCTCCCCTACGATCTCATGACCATCGGAAAGTGGGTGTTGAATTTGTAGTCCGAGTCCTCTCCTGATGTGTCTCCTCAATTCGCCATGAATTGTATGTTTATGCGGATGCGTATGATATGTGCGTTATTAGCATCAACACGCTATGAACAAACCGATGGCAATACAATGGAAATGAGATGAAACTCAAGCTGTATTTTCCAGTCATGAAGTCGATGATACTCGGGACAGTGCCTGGTTGGAGGAGATAGACGGCCGTCCTGGAGTGGGTGGACAAGCATCATTTGGTTATGTCACGAGAGATGTAAGAGTTCCATGCCGCGCTTGTTCGATGCTCATAACACTTGTTTGTTTAGTCATGCCTCGACACTGATAATGCAGACGATACACTGCACACCCCATTGCCCCACTACCCGGTTCCATTCTACTCTGGCTCAAACCCCCAAACGTGACGGCCGACACACCTATTGATGTTGTCTTCCTAAACTCCCTTGGAAAGGAGATTGTCGGCATTCTCAACAGCTTACAGAAGGATAAGACTTACACGATGGCTGATGTTTCATCGTATAGTCTGACATTGACTAGCGATATACTGGGCCTGTATGCTCAGGCCATGTGGAACTGATGGTATAATCTGTAGTTATAGTGTGTTGTACTAGTATAGTTAACCTCCTTACCCCACTATTCTGAATTGACAGTTGCATTCTAAATGAGAGGTGTGCTAAGCACATTGTCAAACACATCCTGTTAAACCGGTCTCACATGAGTGTTCCGCTCTCTAGTGATAGCCATATCTTACCAAGTCTCAATATTCCTCCCAGTGATCGTGTTGCATATACGACGTGTTATTATATTCATGTGTTTGTCTGACACTCACCGCCTCAAAGCATCCGCCAGATGAGATAACAATATGCATCCGTGCAGCGGGCCTATACATCCCCACATGACGTGATAATCCTAATGCCGCACAAAATCGTGATGAATACAATCAGGTAGAAGTTTGGTACTACCCATATACATATCCTACAAGGCGGCCAAAGGTGAGTCACGAGTTGTCATCGGGGACGAGAAGCAAGAGCGACTCGGAATTGGAACTTGCACCCTAATGTTCCAGCGACATCACCTATCACATCACCGAAATTCCCCAACTCGGATAAGGGCTGATAATGACTGACCAGGATGCACAAGGTCGCAAAAGGTGCACCAGATGTATCAGTGTGCGGAAGGCGGGGGAAACAACTTATAAGATCTGGTTGAGAAACTCAATTGAAGATAAGATGGCGGAAGTTGGGTAAGTAACTCGTACCTTAGCGCAGATTTTGAGCTTAGAAGCATTGGTATGCCAATACTACTTATATGTTCTGATCTGGTGATGAATTCTGATAAGACCATTTTATTTTGGTATTGCATTACATGGTATGAGCAGACAGTAAAAGTACATCTAAGAGCGGAACATGTACCAAAGCTTCTGAAGGAGACTCGGTATGACAACGACAACAAGAGGATGATTAGACAGCAGCTTGAATGTGAACTGTGAATGAGAAGTGGGACGACGACAAGAGCGAAACATGCAACGAGTGGACAGCGGCTTGAATGTTGCAAATGAGACAGACAGACGAGAAAGACACATCCTGAGTGAGAAAAATCAGTGTCGACAATGAGATGAACCGTACACCAGCACCCGCATCTACCCCTTCTGAATAAGGCTTGCTATCTGCATGGGTTGTGGAGTTATGACTCGAACACACTCTCATAGTCTACACATCGCCAATGACAACCTCCAGGGTGCCAGTTGCTGAGCCCCTTCAGTGAATTCACCCGTATTAGACGGACAGCTGAGGGTGACAATGTAGCAATAGAGGCGGGCCAGCCCATGTGGGCCCATGGCAACAATTGTACCATGGTAGACGAGTGGGCTGCAGGGTTGTGTGTACCTGTTGCAAACGGATGGGTTGGTGGTATATAGTGTAGATGGTAGTATAGGAATGTACTATATAGGATATCTATGTAAATAGTAGTGAATGCAATGAGCTATGGAGACAAGTGGGCTGACTGAATGGTGTGCAATGTAAATGAGTGGGCCAGGGAGATGGGTATGATGGGGACAAGTGGGCCGGGGGTAGGGGTGCAATGGAGACGGGTGGGCTGGGGGTATGGGGTGCAATGGAGACGGGTGGGCCAGTACGTGAAGTACAATAGAGACGGGTGGGCTGGGATGAGAAGTACAATGGAAGACGAGTGGGCTGGGGGTAAGGGTGCAATGGAGACGAGGGGGTATAATGGAAGACAAGTGGGCCGGGGGTACCGGGTGAAATGGAGACAGGTGGGCCTCATGATATTCCACCCGGTGGACAATAGAAATATTTGCCGGTATGGATGATACAGATGAGCCGGACGTCCGGTGTGCGAGAGGTGAAGGTGAAATGGATGATACAAATCAGCCGGAGGTCCGGTGTGCGACAGGTGAAGGTGAGATGAATGATACAGATGAGCCGGACGTCCGGTGTGCGAGAGGTGAAGGTGAGATGGATGATACAGATGAGCTGGATGTCCACTGTGTGATAGAGGTGAAGGTGAAATGTATGATACAGATGAGCCGGAAGAGCATTGTGGGACGGAGGGGGTATCTGGTGCATACAGAGTATACAAACTGGAGACGAGTGAGCCGGGGGATAGGGTGAATATATGATGTGGGTGGCATGATACCTCATCCGGTGCATACAAAGTATATTAACCGGGAATAAACATCCGGTCTGTCTCATATATACATCCGGGTCTATACCCATACAGTACGTCTATGATATCAAACGAGATTGACGAGCAATATATGTGGCCCAACACATGGAGTTGCTAAATATCTACACGGTCATATTTTGCATACTCCATGCTCGGAGTCCCAACAAAATTGTGGATGCTGTCTCACCTGTACCATGCAGTGACAATCCTGTTGCCCTCTTCCACATTCATGTAATGTCTCACCAGTCGACATGATGAAGCCAATATTGAGCCAGAGTCGTAGAGAAACTTGATTCCAAGGTTCATGAAATCCATGATAACCAGGCGATAAACACCAGCAGTAGTCATGATATCAAATGCTGCCGGTCGACATTTAGGATCTCTATGAGGGGGTGTCCGGCGATTGCATATGATCGATACCACATTAAAAACGGATGTTCAGCATTGAAGATGATGGTGCATCTTGTTCAACTCATATCTGGCAGCCCATTTACCAAGCCTGACAAGATTCGGGAAGCCATGTTTCTACAATACTTCCAACCAGAGATTTCAATGCATGTGGACCTGATGCACCTCTCTTCCTTGCTGAAACCATGCAGGAGATATATTGATGCAACCAGAGGTGATCATTCCATCTGGACTTGTATAGAAGTTTGACCGGTGGGTCCTCCATTGAGAAATCTTGCCTGATGTGATGCTATGCTTCAACAAACCACTCATGGAATGTGTGGCACCGTGAATATCTTTCTAAGTAATGCATCTGGGTAAGATAAAAGAACAAATGGAAATGGATAAAGGATAAAAGACCAACCATCATCATAGAGGTGAGTGCTCCAGGCAAATACCAGACAATGATTCTACCGCCGGAATCAATGACAACAGATGGTGTTGTCAAGAGGTGCTCCTCTTCAGGGGGGAATTTGTTCAAAAGAACCTCTTCTCATTTCTCACTTCGGCCGGATTCATCTTTGTCCAGGGCGTCATTGTATCTAACCATGTCTATTTTAAGATGAACTTTCTGCAGGTTAGTTGACCAGAACAGACGGATGTGCTGGAATACTTACCGGCGTTAGAGTAAGCAGCGGCCATCACATAGGCTAGCTGCTCCAAAGCAATACAAGTGTCGATATCCAAGAGTCCAAGGTCCATATCCTTTACCAGTCGGTGAAGAATTGTAGATGTGAAAATCTCATGCACCAATTCACCGGCAAGGTAGGTCTGGTACAAGGCCCAGTCAAGTGGAATTGTAACCATGGCTTGCCGAAACAATTAAGTGATGGGAAAGCACCACTGTTATATCCATTGGAAAAAATAGCCCCATATTCACACAACCTGATTGCATAGACAGACTCCATTTCCATCCAGGTAAATATGACGTGATGGTATAAAAGATTGGCCGGATACCAGCGGACATTGGGTTCTACTTTACTGTGAAGTGGATGCACTGTCATCTATATGTAACCGGTCAATGAGTGCCTGTGAGGATGACACAGCCCGTGTGATTTCATCAATCGGCCCAACCAATCCGGTCAACCTATCACTTGATCGCCTAAGATTCATCATCCTTGTCTGCAACATATCCAGCAACTCTCTCCCGATTGTTGTCTGGTGGCACGGCACACCAGATCTTGAACCAATTATATCCAGGCGCATTATCCGGACCACGCACAATATATGGAAGAAGACCGGTTTTCACATGATCCGGCTGTAATAGATGGTGTGAGCATCCGGTGCATCCGGTGTTAACAAGATCTTATGGACTGACAAGGTGTGAAAAGTGCCATTCAACCAAATCCATAACATCTTGGACAGATGACTTGGGCAACATATCTGAAACCCTGCAACAACCAAGTGATTCCTTCCACCAGTCATTGAAGTAGTCCGGCATGTGAGCGATGTCATAGTCATCGGATTTGTTTGAATCCGCAGAAAGGCGCAATGCCCGGATATCCTGCAAAATGGCATTGACATCCGGTCGCCGGTCAACCAATGTGTGAGCAGTCATGGTTGAGAGCACATCCTTGAGAAGTTGAGGAATAGTAGCTGACAACCGGGTGATAAAACATATATTGATGAAAGGTGTTGCAAAGGTCTATGTCAGAGAAAAAGATGAGGGCATGGGAGTATCGGCATGGCTGGCTCCCTACCTCCATCTCCCATTTCATCAGGGTGTAGAACGTCTCTGCATAACCAGGTATGGCAGTGGCAAAACTCTTGTCGACATACAGGCGCATGGCCAGCATCCGGGAATTGGCATAGAATAGGGCGCGAGAGATATCTGCAGCTGTGATGTGATTGCCCTTGGCGGCAATGATGACTTGGTCGGAGGGGATGAGAGTTACAGTATTGTCCATGGAGAGGAATATGAGGCTATGGTGTGACCGGCACACTGGGAATATTTACATGCCAAACACAAGGGTATATTACCTCACAGGTATTATCAACCGGTGACCACAATTATGTAACTAACCCGGCACCGGTACTTCTATCCAAACGATCATTTTCCGCAGAGCATCCTCTGCATATGCCGCTAGTTGTTCATATATTATCAACCGGTAATCACAATTATGCAACTAACCCAGGAACCGGTACTTCTATCCGAACGATCATTTTCCGAAAAGCATCCTCTGCATGTGCTGCCAGTAGGTCATATATGTGAGATTGTCTGGCAGCATAACATGTATGTCCGGTGAGCCCTGCAGAAGTAGCGTTGTGCATGTGACAGAGCCATTGCTTGGCTCTGTGGGTGAAGAAATTAATTGACCACTGCATTTCGTGTTTGACAAGAATAACCTCCTCATTCCAGCGATCACGCAGTGCTTTCGTCCAGGAGCCAATTAACCCGGTAAACTATAATTAGAACATGTGAGACCGGACGACCTCATAATCAGAAACACTAGACACACATTCAGTCATCCAGTCATTTCCTGATGTGTCTCCCTGAACATCCAAGGACCAGAACCATGAAAGAGTGGTATCTCTCTGACCACGTGCATTTGGATCGGCCACCGCAGAGCTGGCTTTCAGGTCTTCTTTCTTCAAAGGAAGGTATTTCTTCAAGAGGTCATGGTCAGGGAGTTTGGCCAGTTGCGACCGGCATTTCGAATATATACGAGCATGGAGATTGACTGCTGTTTCAACTGAGCGAACTCGAGTCCATGCCCTAGTAGATGAAGCCTGTGACTTGGCTGACCGGACAGTATTGCGGAATAAAACAGCTTTATCTCCTAAATGAACTCTAATGGCATGCAGTGCGTCATTGGCCTGACCTTCTCAGAGGGCAATTTCTTCTTTGATGAGATTGGTGAGACCTAACTCCCTGCACCTCACTGCACCAATGTTGGATGGTAGGGGTATGACAGTGAGCTCCGGTTGAAATATGGAAGTATTGTGTACGTCCGGATCAGGATTTTGATCTTCATCAAAATTGGAGTAATCTTCACAATCATCGAGTGAATTACAAACGGTAACCGGACAATCCGGGTCATTGACATTGACTCCGACTCCGAGATAAGTAGGTGACATCTCGAGAAAGCTCGTGATCTGAGTGTGAAGCTTATCCCGGCATCGAGCCACTCTCAACAGTTGCATGTCCATTGGGTGCATTCGCAAACTTCTCACATCCTTGCAGAGAGATATTTGGGATTCCTCTATGGTAAGACCGGTTGTGAGCCAAGTGGCGGCTCCTCGTCGACTGGGAGGGTTGATGACCGGATGTTCAGGGCGATTTTGAGCCTGCAACAGGCGCAATTCCTGCTGTTTCTTTGTTGGCGCTGCATGACCTCATGATCAGACCTACCGGACAGCCAATAAAAGTGGACACTTGCCCCTTTCCAACCGGACCTCATAGATGTCCATAGCCGTAGGATCCTCTGCTCTGTTTGCATGAGCCAATGCCTCCTCTGCCTTCCAAAGAACTACCATGTCGGGGTTGGCGGTCTCGTTAAGATTATCAAAAGCAAGTTTGCTTTCCGAAGCCCCCTTGATGGCCTCTTTCAATTTTCTGGACAGAAACTTAGCTACCGGAGGTGCCATCCGGACATGAATTGTATGAGCGCCAACAACACACGCACATCTGGAGGTGGGTGACTTACTTATACGAATCATTTTCATGAAATTACAATCATTCATCTGATAATCCAATACCTCCTTGCGATGGGGAGTTCCCATGCCCCTGGCCAATGGAGATATTATATTCAAAGGTGCCCAGAGGGTTTCCATAATCTCTCCTAGTGATGTTCCGGCCCGGCTTGGGCTCAAAGCCCCGGCTTAGGCTCGGCTTGGGGGGGCTTAGGCTCACCAGATTTCAAGCCTGAGCCGTGAGCCCAAGCCGGCCCAAAGCCGGGGCTTAGGCCCATGCAAGCCGCGGCCCACATGCTGAATCAATGTCCGAGCTCCACCATGCCGTTCCCAACACCACGAACACCATGCGCAAACGCCCAGCACACGTCAGCAACTGCTGACGTGGCTCAGACGAATACGGACGGGATCAGGAGAAGGGAGGACAAGGAGAAGAACGAGAATGAGAGTTAGTTGTATTGTATTGACGTACCACGATGACCTTCAACGCGAGATTGAATGCGCTACACGCTTCCCAGACCGCCCCAGTGCATTTATCATTGTAATAGACGTTGCCGGCAGCGTTGCGTAGCTTGTTTGTGGTGTTCAGAAGGGCCTTGCGCTCTGCGGCACAGCTGGTAAAGAAGTTGGCTCATAATCTGACGCGGCATGGACAAGGTTTGTTGGGAGAACTTGTCGTGGTGTGAGTGGTGCTTGACCCAGCCTAAACGAGGCTTCTGACATGCCATGATTGGGGCTTGACGTGGTGGTGCAGAGTATAGAGAGTGGATCGAACTTGACAGTGAAAGCAACACACGGCGCACGCGATGATTGCTTATCAACGTTTCAACACCGGAGAAAGTATCAGTGAGCTTTGAAACATAAATGACATGACAACATATGGCGACTCACTATGATTTCTCTGACATAGTATTGTATGGTATGATGAAGGAAGAAGTTGCTAATGGGAGGCCGAAGCACGAATTCCAGGAACTTTGCGCTCACCTGTGGGAAAGCTGTCTGGCGCAACAAGTATATAGTCTAAGCCGCGGCTTGGGCCGGCAGCTTAGGCTTCGCAAAATCCAAGCCTAGGCCTAAGCCGTGGTCAGGCCATATCCTAGGCCTGGGCTAGGCCCGGCTCAATTAGGCCCGGCTTCGGCTGGCCCGGGGCTCAAAGCCGGGCCGGAACATCACTAATCTCTCCGTCTATCCGGCCGGTCCCATGGATAAAATTTGATGCATACCGGACAAAGCAGTTGTCTTGATGTCCATGTACATGCCACAAACCGATTCCAGGAATGATATCCATACCTATGGGGATGGAAAGATACGTGCTGGAAGTGATCCAGTCCTTCAAATACTTGTTATACTGACAATTTATGTTGTAGAAAGTGATGGCTCGAGAGATTCCATCGGTCTTATAGTTGAGAGCTTGACTTAATGCATAGTCCATGTTCATCTGCCTGATTATTCCACGTAAGAGTTGTAAGATCATCCATTGATGTGACCAGATGCAATATGTACTGACCTTTCGCCTTTCTGAAAGTTGACCATGGAATGTGGGACAAAACAGCCATGCCGTGCACATGCACATCCTCCTATACCGGTGGCTTCCAGCCTTTGCCGCGAGGCATTTGCTTGATTTACTGCCCGGTGATTATTGCAATCTGACCTTTGGACATTGTCTTGAGCAATGGCCAAATGGCTCTTGTATCTTTCATCGGAGACCATGAACCCCAGACCATCCATTAATGATACTTTATCGGATGGATTCACCGGATGCATGTGCTCGGCTTTGAAATTGCCATCCATGACCAAATACCTAGTCATGAGCCAGGAAGGTGTATCATCGGGCTGGGCGACTGTACCGGTAGACAGGTCCAAGTTTATACCCGGTTGCGGACATGCCGGACAAAATAGGGCAAGATCACCATCCTTTGGCTGGTCATCTTTGTGGGCAAATCCATGCCACTTGTAGAGCTTGCATTGTCGCCACTGCCTGGCAGCTCTCATGAGCTCTCTATAGCAATCCTACAGATATCGTTCTTTAATGACCAGAATGTGAAGTACAGAATAAAACCCAGCTCACCGGAACCATCAGTGGAAAGATGCTAGAGGTGAGTCTGCGAATTTTGCTGTAGTAATTCATGGCCGATGTACTGCACTCGAGATTGTCTAACAGAAAGTCGTCCAAGACAGTGAATGTGAATGCAGTTTTTGGTCTGGTAAAAGACGCCAGAAACAAGCCTGCTTGAAAGAGCTGGATGTCTCGGCTGAGAGCACCGGGGCATTGGCAATAACATATGGAAAGGGAGTGAACGCCAGACTTGTCTACTACAGTTATTGCCGGACGATCTGAGTCTCTGACCGGTTGAATGAAAGGTCCTTCCAGATAATCGTCATCTATATTGTCATCGGTATCTGACCACTGAAAAAAGTCTGATGAGTCATCGGTGCTGCTGGGACATGGAGTGCCATCGTGAGCAAGGTGAATGTGCAGGCCAACTTTAATGAGTGAAGTTTCTTGAAAAAATGATCTGGTCCATTGACTGATGCGATGGAATGGATGTCTTTGATGTTGAATTCTGCAACAGTCTGTGCAAAAGAGTGGCTCATTGAAACAGCCATGACATCTATACACCCCATCCTTCTTGCAGACTGAGCAAAGTCGGTTGGCTGGTGGGGCTTCTCTGATCATGAGTGAATTTATGTAGTCCTTGAACTTGCATTTCCATTGCTGGAGATATGCATTCTGACTCTGTATGGTCTGGTCAGACTAGGGAAATGAAGATAACTGTTGCTTGCCTGGGATTTCGGAAATTTAGGCTGGGGGATGTTACCTTGGTCAAACTCAAAGTCAGCACCTTCATAGAGCAAGTGAGGCGACCCAGATTTATGCTTCGAGGGTGATTTTGTTGGTGATGATGTTACCAACTTTGTTTTCCTAGCCCATGAATCTTTCACCCAAGATGACCTCGATCCCCTGGTTGTAGTTTTTTCCTTGAGCTTATACAGCTGAGGTAATCGTTTCTTCGTAGGAGGGGTGTATGTGATTCCCTTTTGTTTGGTATTTGCCATATTGACTGGAAAGGATTGGTGTGCTGTAAACTTGATGACTGGTAGCCTAGCACATGACTTCACTGCGGTGCCTTCCATCAATTCCGGTTTCCGGGTGATTTGAACCGTCGAGATTACCACATTTTCCCTTCTTAGTCATTGAACGACCCAGTCATCAAGGGACCAATTGATCCGGTGTTGTCCAGACTCCGAATGGTTTGACCGGTTGGGATTACCACATTGTTCCTGTGATTTCACTGAAGATCTTGCAATGTCACCTGTATGGGATATATTAAGGTTGGAGTCACTGAGGTTGCCATAGTTGCATGACATCACAAACACCGGATTCCTGCCATTAACCCCGAGTCGCATGGATTTCATGTTCAAGTTACATGACAATTGACTGGATAAAGTACGTCGACCAGAGGTTACATTTCAATGTTTAAATACTTCTTTCTAGCCAGCATTCTGGAGTGTTGGCTGTAGAACAATAATTCAGGTGATTAAGAGGGTTCGGCAGCAATATATACTTCTTTCGATTAGATGATTGATGAGTCTGGCAAAGTAAATACATTGATTAAACTTTAGTCGAGGGCACTGGCATTGCAAAACATGCTCTGAGAGAACAGTTCAAACCAAATAACCAACTCTAGAGACAAACAGGCTTCTGGTTTGATCTTCAGGACACCGGCTGTTAATGTCCACATTCATGCTGGCCTTCAAAGTCATTTGTGATTATACTTACTTGAGCAAGTTGTGGAATATGATTGCACAGGGCGGTATCCAGTATTTGAGGGCTGTATGCTGCCCATATACTATATAATACAGGTCTAAGTCCATATGCTTTTACAGTTCTACATTTTATGAATCAGAAACACATAGGATGTTGAGGGAATCATACCAATGAACGAGTATTGGACAATCCTTTGTTCGGTTTGCAGTCACGTACATCGGTTATGTAACCTATTACTGTGAGATACACATGCATCCTTTCTTCTATCAAGACGTCCACTGCTCCTCAACTACTTTGCCATGCTCCGGTCCAACTCATCAGTCGATAGCCCAAAAAAAACCAAGCAGAAGAAATTAACCGATAAAGAGGTGCTGGTCTTGAAATCCCACCTAGAAGAATGGAAGGAAGCAGCTGCCAATGATAGAAAAAATATTCTGAAGGCCGTCATAAAAGAGGCCAAGGTGCATGCCCCTGCTATGGATGACCGGTCATTGAAGAACAGGAAATATGTGAGCAGTAGAACTTTAAATCTATACATGATGACCGACTTATATCATGATGTATCAAGACGTACCGGGACTGGTTATATAACCGGAGACCTGAAAAGACTTGAGAAAAGAAAGCCAGCAAGTTCGGTCAGAAATGGACTTCCCAGTCGGTCATAGAACAACTGCGCAAGGAGGAGATCATTGAAAAGACCGGAGCGATGCCAGGATTGAAGAAATTTATTGAAAGATATCAGACAACACTCACTGCAGTTGTGGCCAGTCTATCTAAAGAGGAGCTGGAGGAGGCTCAGAACACTGCGATTGAGTGGTCTGCCAAGGCTCCTCCTGCAGCTGTCCAGGCGGACTTTGCAAAGAAGAAAGCACCCGGTATGATGAAGGATCTAGCAACAAAGTTGTGGAAGCAGGCCAGTATGAGAATTTTCATATTGTCAGCATGGAAAACAGAGGAAGACGAAGTCCGGATCAATGGGTGAGTTCCACTTCACACTCAACCGGTAAAGATATACTGATCCGGTTGAAAGAATTGACTTCAATGAAAAGTTGGAGGGCAATAGTTTTACCGATATGAAGGACTGGAAGTCCATGTTATCGGAGTGGAATGCCTATGCTGGGGAAGAGTTCGGTGAGCTTCTGTTTGAAAATCTTGCGCCATTCAGTCAAGTACTTATCTGACCTGGGGTGATACCAGACATTGACCTGAATAATGATGACGATGATAACGAAGAGGAGGTGAAGAAGAGCAGGAAGAAAGGTGGAAAGAAGGACGATTATCCTTTGGAGGTGGATAGCTATGGGCTGCCGGTCATACCGGACGTCACAGAGCTTAACCTAGAGAGCAAAAAGTGTCTTATAAGAACTTTCCTCACAAAACACTACAGTCAGTTTCACAAATGATGCATCTGGAGAGTTGATCCGCTGACCAGCTATTTTTCAGGATTGTGCAGCCAACAACCAAAGGCGTCTGTTCCTTGGGCCTCAGTCAGGATGGCTCAGGGTGACTTTATTGCAGCCAAGTTTTTACCTACTGGCTGGAAGCTCGACAATCCGTCAAAGATTCAGCTGGCTGATGCTGACTGGCTGTTAGAGTTGTGGTGTCAAAGACAGAAGGACCAGGTTCGCCCAACCTTTGAATTTAAAGGCTGGGAAGGCGATGATAAGACAATGAGAGAACCGGCAGAGATAATCTCCGGCAATAGTTCTGACGCGAGACCCAGGGTTCCAGTGAAAAAGTCCACCGGAAGGCGCACCAGGGGGGTGGAACAGGGTGTCTAGTAGTGAGGATAAGGACAAGGATGATGAAGATGAGGAGAAGGACGACGATCACTATCACGATGACAACCTCCAATCACCACCTCCAAAGTCGAAATCTATCAACAATCGCCCACCGGTCAAGAAATCCATACCGGTCCCACCACCACCTTCAAAGGCAAAACGGACCAATACAATCCATAGGATTAGCACAGCTTCAGAGGAGGAAGATACTCGCCCACCAATCAAGAAATCCATACTGGTCCCACCACCACCTTCAAAGGCAAAACAGACTAATACGGTCCGCAGGGCTAGTACAGCTTCAGAGGAGGAAGATACTCGCCCACCGGTGAAGAAATCCATACCTGTCCCACCACCACCTTCAAAGGCAAAACGGACCAATACGGTCCGCAGCACTCGTCCGGCTTCAGAGGAGGAAGATACTCGCCCACCGGTCAAGAAATCCATACTGGTCCCACCACCACCTAAATCAAAATCATCCCAAAAGAGGGGTAGGGTTGTTCCCATTCAATCTGATTTGGAGTCGGATGGTCCGCCACCAGTCAAGAAATCAAAGCTGACTGCAAGTGGAAGGGGACAGGCAGAAGACAACACCAGCACCGGTTCTGCACAATCAACCGGTAATGATGACAATGATCCTCTGCCTTCGCAACATCTTTCTAGAAGTTGTGCATTTGGCCCTACATCAGGTGTCCATGCCAAGAATAAAACTAACAAAGCACCGGTGCCCAAACCAATGCCCCCTGCCCCAAGAAGGGACTCCGGCAAGAAAGCCAAAGCATCTGAAGCACAGACAACCAATCCAGAGCCAAAGCGCTCTCATAGAAGTACAAAGGCCTCTTATAAAGCTCAGTATATGCAATCGTAGTAATTTGGATCATTGTAAGCAAGTATTCTAGTGATAGGTGTAGATAGCATTTGACTATAAATATATACTTCACATTGAAAGTCGAGATATCGACATCAGTTGACATGCCAACAATAACTCTTGTGTACAGTCAAGAACTTGCTCTCTAGCAAAGGCTTCGTCCAGCGACATTGCATTACCAGCCCAGTCCATCTGCAACCGGTGCATTGCCTCGCGCAAATCACCTACAGCCCGTTGAATTACATATCCAACGGGATCCTGTCGACTGACGGCGACTAAGTTTAAATGATCAGAACAATCTCGGGAACAGCAAGAAGGCTTACAAGACTGATCTGGATCAACACGCACTGGATCCATCTCGAAACCCATCTCTAAGGGGTGTTCTTCCGGTGAAATATTATTCCCTTTATCAAGTGAATCATCTGCCAGATATGTGTCGAAGCCCATGTCAAGAGCCCCATCTTCTAGTCAAATATCGTTTCAAATGAGTGTCAGTTTATGAGATGTAGATTCCAGCGACATGCCTGTGTTGCTGGCTGGATCACAGAGGTCAATATCAAACCCCAAATCGAGCACATCTTCATTGTCCGGCTGTGGAGGAAATCCCAAGTCCAACATCTCACCATTTGACCGGTCATCATCAGACAAGGTGGGAAATTGCATATCCAACATGTCTGATTGTTGTTGGTCGTGGTTGTTGGTCATCCGGTCATAATCTGACGAAGGAAATCCCAGGTCCAATGACCGGTCGTCATCTGCCGGTTCAGAGTTCACCATCTTCAATCTTTTACCGTCTTGCAACCCGTCATGGGCTGACAGGACATCTAGATCTTTAAAATTCATATCAATTGTCCTTACCATCGCTTAGCATGAGATGAACTCACATTCGCCCATGCTTGAACAAACCATAAAAGGGTTGTAGTAAATGCGCTCCTCTCTCCCTGGCTCCAAGATGCTATGAACTGGAATGCCGGATAATATGAACCGGTACATTGTGGGAGGTGATGGTTTCTTACCTACATCCTCACTAGATACATGTAGATTATGCTGAGCAATCGCCGATGATCGCATCCTTCTTTTCTTCTGGAATGGGTCGTACAAATCCACGGTCTTCATGATATCACCGGAAGAATCAATGTTCTACAGAAGGCTGCGACCGGATGATGTACTCACAGGTTGGTTGGCAACAATTGATTACTGATGACGTGTCAACAATGAGACATTTATATCTAAAAATAGACTGACAACAATGAGGCAAACAATGGACTCGGATATGTCCGAGTCGGCCCAGCTAGCCGGTGATTGAAAATTTTATAAGTGTTGTTGTTTTACACGTCTCTTCCGGGTGACTTGTCCACTAGCTCTATTGTAATCGTCTCACTATCATGTCTTCTCAATCTGCTTCTGCTGCAGCTGCCAACCAGGCTCTCATTGCTCTTGTCGCCCAGCTCAATGAGATGGTTCAAGATGTTCTCCGGTCGCAGTCTCAGGACGAGAAAATGGAGTTGAGCTGCGAGATTGCTCGCGAAGTGGTATGTTTGTCATCCTGTCGGTTGCCTGTATTGATACTAGGGTCCCAGAATGTCGTGATTCGTTCATATGGGAGGGACACTTCATATGTTCCCCCTGGCCTGCTGTCACTTGCAGCTGAGATCTTTCGCGCTCAGAGGCGCACCTCACAATTGGTGGTAGTACCGGATTGGAACCATCTTGGTAACAATCAGGATATGTGCATGAAGCATCCATTGTACAGTAAGACATTGGGTCATGCGCCGCCTGCTTCACCTGCAGCTACTGGTAAGTATATTCCTCCTCATGCAACCTGTACTCACACCTGTGACTGCACTAGCTCCTGCATCTGCACCTGCACCTGCACCTGCTCCGGTACCTGCTCCTGCACCAATACCTACTCCTGCACCGGTACCTGCCCCACCACCGGTACCTGCCCCACCACCGGTACCTGTTCCTGTACCGGCACCAGCCTCTGCACCGGAACCAGCACCACGCATCAGCATTCGCATACCTAAAGATGTGCCACCCGGTGGGACAGCAACAGCCAGGACATCAACAAACCGGAAACGCCGGCTCAGCAGCCCCCCTTTGCCCCGTGTCAACCGGGCCCAGAAGCCTGCACCAAAGTCGAAGGCAATTTTGTCTGCCACTGACACTACCGACAATGACAAGGCAAAGGCAAAGGCAAAGGCAAAGGCAAAGGCAAAGGCAAAGGCAAAGGCAAAGGCAAAGGCAAAGGCAAAGGCAAAGGCAAAGGCAAAGGCAAAGGCAAAGGCAAAGGCAAAGGCAAAGGCAAAGGCAAAGGCAAAGGCAAAGGCAAAGGCAAAGGCAAAGGCAAAGGCAAAGGCAAAGGCAAAGGCAAAGGCAAAGGCAAAGGCAAAGGCAAAGGCAAAGGCAAAGGCAAAGGCAAAGGCAAAGGGGAAGGCAAAGGCAAAGGCAAAGGGGAAGGCAAAGGCAAAGGCAAAGGCAAAGGGGAAGGCAAAGGCACCGGAAGATGATGGCGATGAGGATGGCGAGGGGATCAATGTGGATGATCTTCCAGACGTTGAGGCGAGTTTGTTTCTTGAGATATTCAACGTTACTAATGCAACAAGCAGCCCCGGAAATCAACTCGTCAGGCTGTAATCGTTGTCAAAAAGAAGGGCAGTGCATCAAAGGCAAGTCAGCGGGTTGTGATTCAGGATGATGATACACAAGGCAGGCCAAAGGCAAGTTCATTATTTTACTTCACATTTACCGGTCTATCGCTCATCAGGATGCAGGCCACTGTCAGACCAGGGAAACGGCAAAAACTGGTAGGATTTGCTTGTCATAGCACAGGTGATATACAACGCTAACATTATTGAATAGTCCATGCAGCCCAAGGGCAAGGCCACCGGCAAGAAGGGCAAAGTGCCAGAACTGGTGTGTCTTCCGGTCAATGCCATGCTTTACCATACTAATTCTCCATAGCCCCGCGTTGATGAACCCCATCCACCTTGTGATAGATGTCTGGCCAAGAATGTTGAGTGTTTCCCCCGATTGACGAAGAAAGGCGAGATCGCCTCGACTTGCTCATTGTGCTATCTGTGGAAGATGGCATGCATCCGGACTAACACAGAGAGCGCACCCACCACCTCTGCCAACACCATTACCCCCATCACCGTCACTGCACCACCTGCAGTCGCAGTAGCCACTCGCTCCAAGACCATCCAGTCCAAAGCCACCGGAGAGAAGATGAGTGGGAAATCCAAGGCGAAAGGCAAGTCTTTTGTTTCTGGTTACTTGTCCATTCTGATGTATTCTTGTAGGCAAGGATATCCGGCACCCAAGTCCTATCGAAGAGGAGGACAATGTCGATGATGTCCAGATGGTTGCTGCCGGCAGTTCTGCACAACAACCGGCCCCTTTGGCATCCCCACACGATTTCCCTCCTGATCATTGGGTGGAGCCCGGCAATGATGAGATGCCACCTTCATCACCGGCCATGGCCTCAGAGGACAATATCCGGTTCTCGCCATTACCGGTTGATTTCAACCATCCCTCCCCTGTCTCTCCTTCTGGACCCGGTCATTCCACCCAATACCCTCTCTCTCATGACGAGATGGAGGCCATGTTGGCCCAAATTCGCATCGAGATGGAGGAACTGCGCACACAATCGAATGGAAATTGACATCCGGCATGATCGCTTGGAGAATCGCATGGACATCGCCGAGGCATCTGATAGCACCATGTCCATGCAGATTGATGACATAGGGCGGGATATGCATGTGCAGAAGGGACTCCTTGCTGAGTGCATGGCTGAAGTAAGAGGTATTGTCAGGTATCTGAGGGAGCAAAGATCTACTCAGGCGACAGCATCAACTCCACCGGCATTTAATCCACCCCCCATGACAGCCCACGACCCATCTATCAGTGTGTTTGCTCGCACTGTGACCAACAATGTGTTCACTCCGGATGTCTCTTGGATGGGTGCCCAGACTGGTGGTGATATGTTGGGTGATACTGCAGATGGATCACCGGTCGCAAGGCACAACCGGGTGCCATCCAATTCCACCATCATCCCTTCACTGACCATGAGGGAATCCGGCCCATCTGTTCCTCCGGTTGGTGCACCACCTGTGCAATCTCCTATTCTCCCGGTCGCCGGGCCATCAAATGTGCCGGCTGATGCCCAGTCCATCTCAGCTCCTTTGCCATGCCCGCGATTTGGACCTCTATCGCACCAAGGTCGGTTAGTGAGTGCTAGGTATCCAAGCAAGCCTTCCGGTGACGGGCCGACATAATACTAGTCTATATCATTCATGTTTTTGTATGTACTAGTTGTCTACATTGTGTTGTCAAGCTCTGGTGCTTTCAATGTTGAAGACAATGCATCATATAATCGCACAACCTGCATTTCAGTAGTGAGAATGTTGCTATACCGGATGGTATTTCCATCATCGTATATCACACAACGCCCTTCCGGCTCATGTGTATCATCCATTTCACTCAATCACACAGCGGACGTCTGGCTCATCTGTATCATCCATCTCACCTTCACCTCTCGCACACCGGAAGTCCGGCTCATCTGTATCATCCATCTCACCTTCACCTCTCGCACACCGGACGTCCAGCACATCTGTATCATCCATTTCACCTTCACCTCTATCGGACAGCGGACGTCTGCCTCATCTGTATCATCCATTTCACCTTCACCTCTCGCACACCGGAAGTCCGGCTCATCTGTATCATCCATCTCACCTTCACCTCTGTCCCACAACGCTCTTCCAGCTCATCTGTATCATCCATACCAGCAAATATTTCCATTGTCCACCGGGTGGAATATCATGAGGCCCACCTGTCTCCATTTCACCCAGTACCCCCGGCCCACTTGTCTTCCATTATACCCCATACCCCCGGCCCACTCGTCTCCATTGCACCCTTACCCCCGGCCCACTCGTCTTCCATTGTACTTCGCATACCGGCACACTCATCTCTATTGTACTTCGCATACCGGCCCACCCGTCTCCATTGCACCCCATACCCCCGGCCCACCTGTCTCCATTGCACCCCTACCCCCGGCCCACTCGTCCCCATCATACCCATCTCCCTGGCCCACTCATTTACATTGCACACCATTCAGCCGGCCCACTCGTCTCCATAGCTCATTGCATTCACTACTATTTACATAGATATCCTATATAGTGCATGCCTATACTACCATCTACACTATATACCACCAACCCATCCGTTTGCAACAGGTACACACAACCCTGCAGCCCACTCGTCTACCATGGTACAATTGTTGCCATGGGCCCACATGGGCTGGCCCGCCTCTATTGCTACATTGTCACCCTCAGCTGTCCATCTAATATGGGTATAAGTTACTGTACTATGTGAGTTGCTGTTATCGATGCCAGGACTGGATGCTTCCAGTTTCGCTAACCTCTCGGTAACACGAAAATCTCATCTGGACTTCCAGCGCAAATGAACTGATGTTTGGCTTTACCAGAGGGCCCATCTTCGAATCGCTGCTCACGTCAGTCATAAAGTACACTGACACCAGGAGACCTCACCTTCGAATGTACCCAACGACTACCTTTCCTGTACTTGACTACCGCTCGTGGAGATGCAGCCATGGCTTCCACATTGACAAAGGCAGCTGCCACGAAATCGATTCTGAAACCGGTAACAACTTTGAAGGGTCATGGAGAGTTGATTCAATCCATATCCTACTTTCCTGACGGCCAGCGAATGGTCAGCGGATCTGATGATAAGACCACTTGGCAATGGGATCTGAAGATGCGCACTCAGCCTTCCAGCGCTAACCACAAGAACAATTACGCACATGACATGATCTAAGACCAGCAGAGGCGGCCACCAGGTGCGGCTGGGTTGGTATGTAAATGATACCCGGTATTGTGCATTGTAAGTTCCTACACAAATGATCAGCTATAGTTATAACTTATAAATGTGAAAAATTGTACCTATTGCACAAGACGTCGGACGCAGACACGTCGAGATAGGCATAGGCATGCACAAGCACACAGAAATGAGCAAAGATGCTTGTCAGCAATGTACATACATGGATAAATGAAAACTTAGACGCACCTAGATTGCGCTAGTCTAGGATGGTTAACACCCATGTTCGGAAGCTCGTTGGCTCCCTCTTCAGGTACTGTGAGCTGCGCAGAGTTCTGCATCAAATAGTTCATTAGATTACCTGCCAAGGGAGAATTCACTTGGGAGGGTTTGGGTTGTCTAGCACGTCGAGTGACAAGATCTTTGGCCTTGCTGTGAAGTGAGGTGAAAGATCCTGGGCAGGATTGACCAGACGGCAGCTGAAGATCAGACAACTGCAGAGATATCAGATGTGAAGGAATGTAACCTGGTGAGCTTCTTACCCGGTCAATCATCACTCACCCAAGCTCAGGGAGGTCAGGTGTCAAAAGACTGTGAGATCAGATAAAGTCAATATATGCGCTATATTTTGGCATGTAATCTGAGAACTCACGATTGTGGATGCTTAGACTACTTGATTTTGCTCTTCCAACTTCATTATGTGATGGCTTACCCCTCCAAAGTTCCATGTTCTGACTTTCAAGGGCACTAGTGATGACTCCGGTGATGTATATGTAGGGTGCTCACACTTTCCAAGTAAAGTCCCATACGACGAGAAATAATCAGAATAGGGATCAGACGAGTTTGAGTGCGACAGGCCAACATGGTGGTGGTAGGGCTAAGGGTTAAGACGCGACTGCCGACAAGATAATGTTATCAATATTTGGTGTTATTGACATGATGTTTGGTTCACGTATCAATAACGCACGTGATCATCAAATTCACCGCATTACTCTCGCAAAATCGGTTGTATTCCTGTCAATTGTGCTATAATCTAATGATACAAATCCCTCGACTCACAATCAGAAAATGCGATATGCGACCAGAAAACATGATAACAATGCGAAACACGACAGGATCAACACAACGGCAGCAAATACAACGCAGCAACGAGGCTGGCAAGCGAGAGCAAACCGCAAGGCAATGAGGCAGGCAAGAGCAGGCAAGCGAGAGCAGACGACTGTGAGGCAATGAGGCAGGCAAGAGCAGGCAAGCAATAGGGACGACTAATACATTGAACCGTCGGCGATGTCGCTAGAGGGGATGTACCTTTGACTGTGGCAAAAGGGCCCATAGACTCATCTACTTAGTAAACATGAGTATATGCATTGAAAAATACCTTTTATACTACCTGAATCCACGAAACCCTCAGACTCGTGGAATCAGTGGAGGAAGGCGGTGGCGGCGGGACAAGTTGTTGGGAAGATGGTGGTAAGAAGAAAGGGGGGAAATGGAGTTGCCTGGAATTCCCAAAACATTCTAACTTTTGGTGTCAGTAGTAAAACTTGCCCAAACACAAGACTTCGTGATATTTACAGAATGTTGCGCGAGAAGCAGAGCCCAGCTGCAGAGTAAGCTGTGTGACACCAAACGACGCGTAAATGTAACACTGTTGCATTGACGAAAACACGATCAATGATGTGAGTAACGTGATGCAAATCGATGACAATGTAATGATTTTGTCGTGTGACACATTGGTCAGTTGATATGGTAATAACATATCAGGGGAAATCTGAACTTACCAGGGGCACGTCAGACTGATGGCAGCCTTACGCGTTTAGGAGGGTGTTGAGGTATGTCTGAGGGAGTGTTGTTGAACCTGCCATCAATCGTCATCGCGTCATCAGTCCGTAAAAGATTGTGGCGCGGGAAAGTGTCCGCATAAGGTAATTTCAGACTTGAGGAATTTTGGTGATGAAGCATATCTCGCTTCTCCGCTTTCCCTTTCAATACACTCCTTTCCTTCATTGGTACAGTAGGGATATCCAGGATATTGGTTGAAATAATTGTTAATGCCAGAACCTACAACAGAATAATTCGAACACATAATATAAAGAGAATACTACCCAAACTTGTCTCCTTGAGATCTACTTCATGACACCAAATAACTACTTGAGCACCGCAACAAGACTTGGAATAGAGACCAAAAACCAAATTTCCCATTTCCCGCGCTCCCTGCAAGCGCCAGACAACTGTCCGCGTCAACTTCACTGAGCATTACACACTACTGCTAGTCGATATATACACACGCTCTTGGAAAACGATTGAGATCATGCCGGTTGCTGCGTCGGAGTCAGCCACGAGTTTAGCGTTAAATTCTCGAAGGCCAAGGATCAGTCGTGGTCCCAGCACAAACATCTGTACAACAATCAAAATCTGAAGGAAGCCACTAAAAGTCTGAGTTCCAAGGGAAATCAGAAATGATGAATCGTGGTCGCACGCAGAAGTAAGTGAAATATCGACATACCATTGAGGATATTGGAGAGAAATCAAGGATGATGCAAGTGCAAGAAACAGCAACACAGCTACCACGTCCGAACCTTCAGTGGAAAAGAAGGGACAATAATCACAATATGAGCTTACCTCGCAAAGTAAACCACGTGAGTTTTCATCAATACCGTGAAACAGTCCCCGATAATCCCTCCTGCCGAATGTCGTCGCAGTTCACGGAAGTGTTTTACCGCAATCCAAACTGCGAGAGACAGTACGAGGACCTCCCACGAAATGGAGACTATCCAAGAAATGGAATTCAGAAGTAAGACATCTTCCCCATAGTTGATCGAGCACTGATAAGTGCCGGAGAGAATGAATTCCTCTGGTATTCATCAGTGAGCCCCATGCACGTTATTTTTCATTCACAGTTAAGCGTACCCCCTGAAGTTTGTAGGTTTTCCAGTACACCTGCCACTACATCGAAAATGTTGACAACCAGGAGGGTGACAATGAGAAGTATCAGGATCTTTCTGGATCCTTGATACATAGCATACAACCGAGTGACGCTGATGACTTGCAGCATGTTTCAGTCAAGTCAATATCACTGAGGTCTCGCAAGTGCCAAGCTCACCCCACAGCATTGCAAATACCAGGACAGTCATCCAATACCACAGCTCGTACATAATCAAGCCTGATGGATCCATTCAGTGACTAGCACTAGCACACACTACAAACAGACTCACATCTGTGGAAATATGGTGTGGCCGTCATTAGAGAACCAAGAAGTTGGGAAAGAACCACACCCACTCCTACAGGGCACCACGGTTAATTAGAGAGATATAGCAAGCATCTGCGCAGAAGACTCACTGTATCTGTCAGCGAGATGGTGGGAACATAAACTGTATGCCGCTGGTCAGACGAAGCGAAGACAATGGATGTACTGAGGAGATATACTCAGGACGCCCAGGCTGATTATGAGAGATATACAATTAGCGCGACATCGATTATTTAGCCTTCCAAACATACGTAGCATATAAGATTCCAAGGTAGCGCACCTAGGATACTTTCAAGTCAGCACAACATGGCAACCGCAAAAAAGCTACATGCGCTGAGATACAGAAATGTCATTAGGGACCAGCGTTGCTTCTGTAATCAAGTGTATTTTCATGGTTGTCCCTGTGACGTGAGATTCCACTCACCCAGACCAATTCGACCTATAAAAGCATTCTTAGAGGGAAGGCTGCTCCGGTCATAGGATCAACATACCTCTTGTCCGAATGTAAGTGCTGAAAATACTTCAAGTTGTAGGATATCAGCAGTCCTTTAATATCATCATGCTCACCCCAATCGTACGTCAGTACAACAGATGCCGCAACTGCGAAACCGCCATCAAGGTTAGATTGAGCTTTAACCGTGACATCCAACTGCTCTCCACGAACCTGAAAAATAGCTGGAAAAACGATATGCATGGATGGCCGGCCACCAAGTGGGATCATTTATGATTATGGTCATATTGGGAGAGAATGGATGTGGGTGAGAGGCGGACTTGGTAGACGCATGACAATAACATTCACGCTATATATACGCATACCACTATCCAGTGCTTTCTAGATAACCGAAATGGGATCGAGGTATTGTGCACTCCGCATAGATGTTGCAGTTGCGTAAGCTCCACTTCCAGGCAATTCGCTAACGTCCTCTTCCTTGGTCACATCGGGCTGTGGTATGCCATAAGGATGATTAATGAGGGTAAGTGCAGAATTTTTAATTTTGCAACGTGGGTGTGAACGTTGACGATCACTTGATCAATGATGGACTCGTTCGCCCGGTGCCATGGTTCCTTCTATAGAAAATCATTAAGCTTTGTTCCAACTCGGGTGAGTTTAGGTGGTGCAACTACAGAGGTTGCTGGCTATGCCTAGATTGTTAACTCTTTGTAGGCAGACAAGTACGAGGTACAACAGCTTGTTAACATAAGACAACGCGAGGAAAGTATTAGTACGAGCGTAGGCTACACACCTATTACTCGTGCACTAGCAAAGAGCTCAGGTTGTTAAATACTGAGGTGTTGACATGGGGCACGACGATGTGATCGATAACGCTTAGCTAATTGCCGGAGTGTGTCATATGCAGTGCGAGAAGTCAAAAAGAGTGGAACGTATCGCATCAAAGGTGATATGTAAATCGGAGGTTAAAGTTTTTTTGTTTTGGATCAGAAGGTGGGGCGACGCCACAAGTACTAAGTACAGAAGGAGAACTGCAGGCGAAGAAGTAGTAGGTTGTAATACTAGATCAGGTAGAGCTCGCGAGTGATGCATTGATGGCTGAACGTGCCATCAGAGAACCTGCAAGAAGATAATGTAATATAAAGCAATATATGGCTATGTAAAAGCACCATAATCAACATAATCCCCAGCAAGAACTAGTACTCACCGGTTTATTGATGGCGTTGTGACGTTGCGGTTCGGTTCTTCTATGTATTCAAATGAGTCTACTAGTTTTCCGTTGGTGCCGACAGCGACGCGGTGAGAGTCGGAGAGACGCGACCACCCTTTTGTCGTGGAGTATAATTATTTGTGTGGGACAATTAGTTGTTGGTCACGGTGTAGGTTACGGTTGTTGATGTGCGCCGGCGAGTCTGTGTTCTACACGGTAGCAGCATATTCAGACAAATGTTTACAGCTCACCGAAGGTCGGCTTGAAGTGTCCCGAACTGTTCATAAACCTGCTGAGGTGTGGAATGGCCTTTTCGGATGTGAGGATGTAGGAGATCGAGGTGGCATCGCGACGGAGGGCATTGGCGAAGAAGTGGCGTTCCTGTCTGGACTCTGTATTGAGGACAATCGAAAAGGTAGTGGTGGATGAAGGGACTTTAAAGTTTACTCCCACCCTTCTTACCTCCATTCCGAGTGGTTGCCCAGACCGTCGTCTCTCAGTCCCTCTCTAACTTCGCTCGAGGCCATGATGCGCAACTCCATTGTTGCAGATTTTCGGGAGCGGTGAAAATGATAGGGCATGTAGTAGGACTGACATGTGGCATCTAATAGCGCAACCTGCAAATGTTCACACAAATGACGAGATCTCTGCTCGCGCTCTAAACCATTCTCAATGGCCCGTGGAATGAGAAAGGCAACATTTGGGCGTTTGGATGCATGGTATACGATATATTTCCTGGGGTTTCAATTTGGTCAGCCAAACTTCAGATATCTGAACTTATCGGATTTGTTTTGACACGGGTGCGAGTCTGATTGTGACTAAATATCTCATCCTCGATAAAAACATAGACAACCTGTTCTGTGGGTATTCTCTGGTTTCTTGAAACTCATATTACTCATGCAGTTGGATTGCAGGTAAAAGGCCGATGTACCTACCCTTAACAACCCATGTGCCGCGTCTCTAAGAGGAAGACGTACTCGCGACAGCCAATATCATACATGTTTGTGCTTGAATGTGGATGACCGAGCGACGGTGATGGAGTTACTCCGCGCGCGGGAGCCCCAAGTCTCATGAGTGATTCGACATCTTAGAATTCTATCCACTAGGATTATTCTCTGCATATTCCAAAATATAACTAAACCTATATCACAAACACGGACCTCGTCAGCTATTCGTATTGATACACCCCGCAGAGCGCCGCGTCTGATGGTCTTAACAGTTTTAGTTAATTGTTGTGGTATAGAAATGAAGAAATTCTCTCCAATCTTCAAGTTTTCTATACGCGATCATGATATATCGGCATCTACGAGTCCGATGGCCCGTACCTTGGAAGACGGTAAGCCGAGCAAGGAGACAGGGTGCTAGAACACGAGGACAACACGAGGAGATTAAATTTGTTCATTAATAAGGCACCGCGGGCGCGAGCAAGGAGATCACGTTGTTCCGGACTGAGCGATGTAGATTCAGATAATTCTTCTCTGATCGATGCTTTGTACTGTAATCTCCAAAGCAAGAGTCAAGCTAAGTGTTCGTCATAGATGGACTGGGAGGGGCTAAAGGTTCAAAAGTTAATCCGGCAACCTTCAAGAGACCGAACCGAATTATATAAATAACAAATTTTCCTTCGAACTCTGCGTCCTGATATATTAGCCGAGCGGCCGAGCAGTGGGATTTGGTTTCTCAAATTTCTGTAAACGAGTCGACTTTGAACACTAAAGTTCCTCTATCATCATCATGGCACTTCTGTCACTGCCGGGCCATGTTGTCAATTTGATATCCATGATGCAGACCAGCTGTTTGAAGGTTAGGCAATTGGGGGGAGGGGCCCCGCGTCAAACTGTCAGAAAGGATCATTCATATCCGAGGTGAGTCCCGAGAACATTGTGGTATAAAGGCAGTAATATTTTGAGATTCAATTTCAGGGGTCTCCGATATGATTTCCAAGTTAACTCCTGCCATTCTCCTGGGTCTTGCACTCCGTTGCGCTGCTTGCGCGGGCGATCACTTGCACGCTCGCGACGGCCATGCTCATCAACATGTAGAAAGGCGTGAGTACCCGCAGGTTCCACTCGCACCTCCATACCGTCCTCTTGTCTGGGGAGACTTGAACGTAATCCACACAACCGATACCCATGGTTGGCTACTCGGGCACCAGAAGTCGTCCTGGGCTGAACCATACTACAGGTTGGTGTTCACAGCGCAACTACCTCGAGCCACCGTCACTCACCCACCTCGTGCGAATTCTAGTGGGGATCTCGGAGACTTTTCTAGCTTTGTGACTCACATGAAGCAAATCGCCCTCGTTCGTCCATCAATCTGAACTCGTGCACTTATCATGTATAATTCCTATCGCAGCATAAGAATGTCGACCTTCTTTTGATAGACTCAGGTGATCTACATGACGGTATGTGCAATCACTCATTGTCCGAAACACAATCCAACTCACATTTCCCAGGAACCGGTCTTTCTGATGGATATCCTCCCGGTGATGTCGATGCACACGAGGTCCGTTCTATTCACGGGTGATATATATAACTAATGCTGACATGTCGGATGCGTCATTCATAGTCAAACAAGTTCGTTGAGCGCCTCCCCTACGATCTCATGACCATCGGAAAGTGGGTGTTGAATTTGTAGTCCGAGTTCTCTCCTGATGCGTCTCCTTAATCTTCCTTTTATAGCCACGAATTGTATGGTTATGCGGATACGTATGATATGTGCGTTATAACCATTTTGAACGAATCTTCTTTAACTGACACAAAATTTGCTTTTCTTCTTCTTTTGTCACGTTTTTGATGATTTGGTGCAACTTATCATCTCCTCATTAAACTGTGTTTGGTATGCTCACACTACTGACTGTCTGCATCACTCTTCAATACTTGTTCTATGGACGAATGTCCCATGAACATCTTCGCAAATTCGGAAACGGCTTACCAAAATGCCATGAATGCTCTGCAGGTATACCAACTTTGTCCCCCACCTCGCTGGGCGGTACTTGACCTCTAACGTCAACATCACTGTGTTTAATTCAGACGGCAAGCCTGAGAGTGTCCCAGTAGGCAGTGAGTTCGCATTCAAAATGATTGTTGCTGCTGCCAATGTTTATTCCTGCAGACCGTTATGCCAAGTTCACCACAAGGAAGTAAGTGAACATGTTAAATTTGAGGAGGGACTCTTACTCATTCGACACGCCAGAGGCCGTCGTATCACTTCTCTTGGAGTCATATTCAATTTTACTGGGAACGATATGAACACGACTGTGCAAGCTGTCGGTGATATGGTCAAGGAGCAGTGGGTACGTTATTCGACGCGTTTGAGTGATTGAAACATGGCATCCTGAGTTCTGTTTGTAGTTCGTCGAGGTCATTGCAGAAGAGCCTGACGCGTTCGTGCTTATCGGGTAGGCAAATTCCTTGTTGCCGAAGGAAATATTTCATTGATGCGACTGCAGACACATGCCTGTTTCCAATAATAGCTGTATGCCATTGAAATGTTTGTCAAACGATAATACAACGAAATGTTCATCCAGGGCCTACCGTTGTCAACGCTGTACGGGCTGTGCACCCTCTAACACCCATACTAATATTTGGAGGTGGAGGCTACCATCTTGATCGTTCCAAATAACATGCTCATTGTAGATCTAGGACATACCCACATCCGTGATTGTACACAGTACGATGGTCGATCCATGGCTATGGAAAGCGGACGCTACATGGAAACAATCGGTGTGTAAACTGCAAAGATGAATAAGGAGTATCGTCTGACATGATCTTCTAGGCTGGATGAGTACGATGTTATAACAATACTGTACCTCAGACACCTAACACCAGAAATTAGGCGCGGACCTCCATGCTGCCAAGCACAACCGTGACAACGTTACTTTCACAAGGAGATATCTTGACCAGAACCGCGTGACCTACGAGGTATGTTACCGAACTTTCGGCTTTCCACCGCTAGCCTAATCTTGCCCATGACTCCTACTTAGTACCACACTCGAACATCAAACCGATCATTTGACACCGACCACGGACGATCGATCACCCGTGGCCTAGAGGAGCTTGCAGCCCGCTTTAACTTGTCCCACCTGTACGGAACAGCTCAGCAAGATTATACCTTGTCTTAGTGGGTGCCCATTATGTAGTATTATCGTCCAAGCTCAACCATTGTGCGCTAGTAACCCTTATCCTTCCAACGGGTCTCTTGTATCTCTCTTCATCGAAGATGTAAGTGCCAAGTTTGTAGTGAAATAAATTGTGCAGGTATCGACGCGCTCATTAGGCTGTCCCATACGCACTCGCCATTAACAATACTCGCGCTTCCATTCCAAATATCATGATTATTGATTCATGGGCTCTACGCTTCGACCTCTTAAAGGGATCGTTCACCAAGAACGATCAACTAACAATCATGCCATATCAGGATTCGTTCCTATACATTGCCAATGTTACATCTGCGATCGCAAACCAACTGCTCCCCGCTATGAACAAACCGATGGCGATACAACAGAAACGAGATGAAACCCAAGCTGTATTTTCCAGCCATGAAATCGGTGACACTCCAGACAGTGCCTGGTTGGAGGAGATAGACGACCGTCCTGGAGCGGGTGGACAAGCATCATTTGGTTATGTCACGAGAGATGTAAGAGTTCCATGCCGTGCTTGTTCGATGCTCATAACACTCGTTTAGTCATGCCCCGACGCTGATCATGCAGACGATACACTGCACACCCCGTTGCCCAACTACGATGTCCCATTCTACGTTGGCTCAAAACCCCCTAACGTGACGGCCGACACACCTATTGATGTTGTCTTCTTGAACTTCCTTGGAAAGGAGATTATCGGCATTCTCAATGGCTTACAGAAGGATAAGACTTACACGATGGCTGATGTTTCATCGTATAGTCCGACACTGGCTAGCGATATACTGGGCTTGTATGCTCAGGGCATGTGGAACTGATGGTATGGCCTGTAGTTATACTGCGTTGTACAATATATACTCAACCATTCTCACTCGACAGTTGCATTTAGGCGTGCCTCGCACAATTAGCATGCTCAGTCGCTCAGTGCGGAGGGGTTGTTTCGTATCAAATCGACATAGACGCCTATCTGAGGAAATGATAACCCAGCGACAGAACAAATTTTTGCTTGCTGAAGAAAGTCAATACGCTTATAAACAAAGATTAGATTATTGTACGGACGATCTTCCTTCTGACGAGGTTTGACTACGAGCTGAAAGTTTACTGAAAAGAATCACAGGTACGCTGACAAGTTCAAACACTTGGCTGAGATATTCCTTGAGCCTGAAGGTGACATTTTACTATATGCGCAATTCGTACGAATCAATGTAACCACACACCTTTGCATGTTTCTGTCCTTCCGCTAGGATGAGGAGGCAAGACAGAAGCCCCTTCAAGCACCACTGCCTTTCGAGCCATGTGAGGAGATGCTGATTCCAAAAAAGCTTGAATTTGCAGTTCAGCTCATCACTCCATAGATGAACGTTAACTCGCGAGAGATGGAATGCCCAGTTTTGGCATGCGTACTTGAGAGCGTCGGAAGCCGATTGACTCTGTTCCCGTGCTTCCTTTGCGAAATTCACAAAGGCCTTCATAGCATGGATGATATCCATGTCTGGGAGACAGAAAACTGGCGGTAGTAATAATGCAGGACTGGAATGACTTTGATGCCTTAATGCGAGGAACGCCGGAAACATCAAGAAATCCGGTAAGTTTTTGAACTGCTGGATAACCTGAAAAGCCGGCAGTAAATGGATTTCCGGGTCGATCATGTGCTCGTTTATTGCTTCAAATGTAATGGAGAATTCTTCAATTGTCAGCCAGACAGATGCCGCAAGAGTCGTCTGCCAAGTGCGACCATCGCGTGTTTGCAGCCAGTCTTGTCCGCTTTGGGTCTGTAGCCAGTCCCGTCCGCTTTCGGTTTGCAGCCAGCCTCGCCCATGGTGAGTCCGCAGCCACTCTTCTCCTTTGCGGGTCTGCAGCCAATTCTCCCCTCTCTCGGTCTGTAGCCACTGCTGCCCGCTCCTGGTCTGCAGCCAACCTTGCCCGCTGTGTGTCTGCAACCACTCTTGTACTTCGAAGGTCTGCAACCAGTCCACCACGCTTCCAGTCTGTAGCCATCTTTGCCCGTCCTGGGTCTGCAGCCACTCTTGCAGGCTCTCTGTATGCAGTTCCGTCTGTGACCAGTCACTCGTAATCTGCAACTGGTCTCGTTCTGTATGGGTCTGCAGCCACTCTCGTCCTCCGTGGCTACATAGCCAATCTTGCCCATCCCGAGTCTGTAACCAATATTGACCATCCTGAGTCCGCAGCCAGTCCTTCCCCCCCTGGGTCTTTAGCCAGTCTTTTGCCCACTGATGCAACCAATCTTCCCTCTCATTCCACAGTCACTCTTGACCTTCTTGTGTATGCTGCAGCCAGTCCTGTTCTAGGCTCTGCAGCCAGTTTCTCTCCAGGGTCTGCAGCCAGTTTCTCTCCAGGGTCTGCAGCCAGTCCTCCACACTTTGACCTTGCAGCGGCTTAGTCTGCAGCCACTCTTGCTCGTGGGTTAATGAGCAGTCTTGCTTATGGGATTGCAGGGAGCCTTGTGCGTTCCTAGTATGCAACCAGTTGTGCCCGCTTTTAGTTTGCAGCCAATATCTGCCCCCCAAAGTCTGCAGCCAATATTCCCCCGATTGGGTCTGCAACCACTCCTTTCCCCACTGGGTCTGCAGCCAGTCCTCGCCTCCATGACTCCCTAACCAATCCCTGCCCCACCTGTTCTGTAACCAGTCCAATCCCCATTTTGTCTGTAGCCAGTCTTTCCCCTCCGGACTCCGCAGCCAGCCGTCTCCTTTGAAGGTCTGCAGCCAGGCAAGCCCGTCCCGACTCATTGGCCAGGATTGTAAGGCTGAACGTCGACATCCTCGAGTCCATAGCAGACCTATCAGAGCATGTAGTGGCTCGGGTGGCTCGACAATGAAGGCTAACGAGTGCCTTAAGTTTCTTGGGTGGTGCGGTTGCACAGCTTTGCTTTGCTTGTTTAATTCTAAGAGTGCATCCCGGAAAGCTGTATTTGATGGAATTTCTAGCATCAAGCGAAAAGAGGAACATGCGAGTATGAAGTGGGGGTGTTTGATATGTTGCACCTCGATCAAGCTACAGTTTGAAGGGTCGGAAACATAGTCACGAACCGACGAATGGTAGATATTCACCGGGAGACTGCTATCGGTAGGAATGTCGATGACGGATCGTAGCTGCGCCAGTGTTCTCTCTACATCTATACCCTCGCCAGGACCTAGAAGTTCCGATATTTGTCGGATAGGGAGAGGATCTGCAAGGGCGGCAACGACAGACAAGTGCAGGTATGCCCGCACGGGGTCGGCGCATGTGGCGAGGATACGGTTGTATAACTCGTACACCTCCTTTCCTGGTAGCAGCTCGCTCGTGAACCTGAGCATGACCTGAAGTCGATCGCGGGGATCCTGGTATCCATATTCGATGAATTTCATCATCGTGAACGCCACAATGAAACGCCTGCCCGCCCGGCTCGTCAGTTGTGCAAGTTCATCTGCCGTTGGCTGCGGAAAACCAGGATGACTTTCGAGCTCTACAAAGGAATGCTCCAAGAACTTGCGTATGTCCTTGTCAACATCTGCCGCACCATCTAACGAGATGATCACAGTACTTATGCCCTCCCCAGAGATTCCAGCTGGTATCTTGGTCGCCAGTGAACGTACCTCTGTTTGTTGAATGGCCTTGCGGATATGGTTTTCCGAGCGACTAGTTAGCAGGATGTGGATCACAGGTAAATTTGGTTCATGGAGTGCTTGGTCAAGCAAGGAGATGAGATTCGTGAGCTCGGTTTTGGATACACATTCATCAAGGGCATCGATAACGAACGCAGAAGGCAGACAATTGGACAGTCTGAATTGAAGCCCCCGCAGAGGTCTCAGAAAAAGTCCTTCCATCTGGTCGCGAAGAGATTTGTTGGGGTCTAGAAGAGCAGGATTGTCGCGAATAGCTCGGTTCAAGTCCTCCCGCACGCTGGGGAAATTGCAGGCAAGCTGATAGGCAAGCGTTGCAAAAAAATACCCAGTTGTGGAGCGATTAGGTTTTTTACGTGAGAAGAAGAACGTGCCCGCCAGCCGTGTCTCGGTCTTCGTCTGCTCTGTGATTCTCAGACCTCTCATCCTCTCAGCGACAGAGAATGCAACTGCAGACTTCCCGACTCCCGCCATGCCATGTAGCCAAATGAGTTGACTCCTCTCTGGATTGTCTAGTGATTGGTAAATGTCGTCAAGAAGGGTCACTCGGGTCCCTTCCAAACACCTTGGATGTGGCTGGCGTTCAGGGGAGTCATATTCGGCACCTTTGACAGCGACTTGACACAGTCTCTCCCAAGTTCCTTCTGATGATCGAGGACTACCGGAGACTACGAATGAAGTCAGAAAGGGACCACAAATGACGGAGATACTGACATAGATCGTAACTCATTTACAAATCGCGGCACAGATTGAGATACCTGAAGGCTGAGAGAAGACTGTCGATATAATGGTACCATAGGTAATCCGAGTTTTCTCCCGAGCCAATAGCATGACTTGAAGGACGAGCGGGCGCTCGTCTATTTATGCCCGTGGTCTGTGTGTACTGTTCCCCGAGTCAATGTTATCATATTATTATATATGACTTAATGCTGACAGCCACAACAGACCAAGGCTGCGCCGCTGCAGTGCACAGCAATGACTGAGTTTGCGAGCGGAATTAGTGACTGCACATCGTATACTGTATTACTGCAGGTACTAAGGCTGACATGAAAAGTACAGCGAAACTCGAAACCTAAGTCAGTAGTCACGTGACCACGATCACAAAAAATTAGATTCGCTGCTCATCATCACAAACGATGAGCAACCTCATCTCCTGTGTATCATGGTAAACAATCTCCGTCTCGCACATCCCACATATCTAACAAAAATTCCAGGGTAAAACGAGGCATTTCAGCCCACCAGCCCTCCAAATACGTCCTCGATGAGAAGGAACTCGAGCGCGTCAGTACACTCGCACGTATCGAGCTTGAGGATGCGCGGATAGAGATGGAGCGTGCGCACAATGCTGCTAAGAGTATGGGCAAGGGCGCGGAAGGTGCTGAGGCGGATGATGCGGATGAGGATGGTGATGAAGATGCATGGGTCGAGTGCGTGATTTTGTTTTCACTCCTTGTGATGTTTGCTGATGGTATTGTAAAGCGAGGAGGATGCGTCGATGGAGGTGGACGGAGATGTACAGGTTGATGTGCCTGAAAAGGGGGATGATCTTGCGCAGTATAAGTTGGATGAATATGACGATGATGATGTCAAAGAAGAGGGTACGTCTGTGGACACGGTCTATTCGGTGATGCTGATGTTTAACAGGCACGGGTCCATTTAGCAATATTAAAGGACTTACATTTTATAGGGATAACCAAGACGATCCATACATCACACTCAAAGACGTGCGTTTGTTTTACCTCTCTCTTATTTGCATCTAACGCCATACAGGATGTTGAAGATGATGAGCGTTCAGAACTCGAAATCCTCCCGACAGACAATCTCCTAGTCACCGCAAAAACCGAAGACGATGTATCCCAACTCGAGATCTACGTCTACGACGAATCCCAAGACAACCTCTACGTTCATCACGATCTCATGCTTCCCAACTTCCCCCTCTGCCTCGAATGGCTAGACTTCCCACCTACATCCTCAGAAATGGAGACTGACGCCCCACCAAAATTCGGAAACTACATCGCAGTCGGTACGCTCGATCCTGAAATCGAAATATGGTCACTAGACGTCGTAGAAAGCATGTACCCCGACATGATCCTTGGCAGACCTGATCAAACAGCTGCACATGTACCCGTCCCAGCGGGCACAGGTAAAAAGAAGCGCAAAAAGACAAAACACCGTCCCTCATCAAACGCATACCACGTCGACGCTGTCCTCGGGCTCTCATGGAACCGCAGCCATCGGCACATGCTAGCGAGCGCATCTGCGGATCGTACAGTGAAGCTATGGGATTTGTCACGTCCGATCGTGGATGGGGAGGGAGCGATAAGGAGCTTTGGGGTGCACAAGGATAAGGTGCAAGCTGTGCAATGGAACGAGAAAGAACCGACAGTGCTTTTGTCTGGAAGTTATGATAGGACGGTTCGGGTGTTTGATTCTAGGGCGCCGGACACGGGTGTTGGGGCTGTGCTTGGGGCTGATGTTGAGGCTTTGCGATGGGATCCTTGGGAAACGCATGCGTTTTATGTGAGTGTCAATCTTGGTTCGTTGTTAAATGTTTTAATCGTTGATGGGTTTATAGGTCTCGTTAGAAAATGGTCTCGTGCTCAATTTTGATGCTCGGGCGCTTCCTACGGATATGAAATCCCCTTCGCCTGCACGGTTTACGCTCTCTGCACATGATGGTGCCGTATCGGCTCTTGACGTCAGCCCATTGCTACGGGGTTGTATATGCACGGGAGGGACGGACAAACTTGTCAAAGTGTGGAACGTAGACCAGACCGCTGGAGGCAAGCCTGCTGTGAGCATGGTTGCGTCAAGAGATATGGAAGTGGTCAGTATTTCATTTGATTCTGTCGTCGCATCAATATCATGTGCTGATTCGTAATTTTAGGGCAAAGTCTTCTCAGCGGTGTTTTCACCAGACGACCCCCTTACGATCGCTGCAGCAGGCTCTAGAGCGAAATTACAGATATGGGACGTCGGCGCCAACTCTGGTGCACGGAGAGCATTTGCTTCGAAGCTCAGCGAAGCCGGGCGCGTTCTGAAGGAAAAAGAAGGCGGAGGGTTAGTAGGCCTCGTCGACGATGACGAAGCAAGCGAAGACGAAGGAGACGAGGACGACTGAGCTTTGACATATCAGCTCATGCTAAAAAGACAAAAATCTACTCAAACGTAATATAGTAGATGCACAGGTACTGTTCTACATGAAATCATCTTGGTTGGTACCGAAATCATCCAGCGCTTCATCATACACCCCCGTATCAAATCTAAAACCAATAAGCGATCGTGACGACTGATCAAAACAATATGCTCACTTGTTGGCAACTTTCGCCGAGCCTAGTACAGGCTTCGCAGCAGCTTTGACTTTCTTCTTCCCGCTCGTTTTGTCTCTCTGCTCTTTCTGCTTCTCATTAGCAAGCGTCGTAAGCCCGCTCGCAGCTTTCCTGATCTCCACGTCCTTCAAAGGCTGACAGAGTTCTCGGACATGATGCTCCACGAATGACGCGTACAAAGGCTTGGTCTCATGTTGCTTAACGATGAATTCGATGATTCTTGCTGAGAAATCCTGGAAATCCTCTTTTGTGCGGGGATCGGCGGAAATCAGCGCGTCTAGATCGGATGATGAGGTGCCTGCAAACACAGGCGCAGAGGGATCAGCTGAAAACGCCCAAACCAACAACCCGAATCCAACTCCGAGCCTAAAACCCACCTCCGAGGCCAGCAGCACCGAAAAGCGCAGCAGCATTATCCAAATCAGCTTTAATCTCCCGCTCCCTATCCAGCCTCGCCTTCTCGCGCGGATCAAGGACAGAGTCTTCATCATACTCCAAATCACCATTGCCCACTAGCGCAGCTTTCGCAGCTTCTTTCTCTGCTATCTTCTGTTTCACCGTGCCCTTCTTTTTTGGGGGTGCTACGGGTGCTGCTGCTGGTTTATCGTCGTCCGAGGATTCATCCGAGGATGCGTCCCAATCGCTCTGGTAAGATCGGTGAGATGAATAAGGGAGGAGATGGTAACGACGTACGACTGGAGATGATTCCTCTTCGTCTTCACCCTCCCATTTACTCTTGACAGCTATCTTGGTCGCGATCGGTGCCGCAGTAGGGGCAGGAGCATCATCGGATTCTGTGCTTGATCGTGGTGAGCGTTGTAGGAGATATGATTGAACAGATTATTGTTTTTACCCCAGTCTGACATGGTTATGTGGTGTCGATTGTCCCTTGCGGGTAGCACTATGGTACAGGTGTGTCGTGGACCTGGTCTAAGATACAGTAGTAGCAAGTGTTAGTAAAATATTAGGTCACGTGGCCAGGTACCGGTTGAACTAAGACTTTAAAGCTTTACAGCTTGTCGTTGCAACAACGATTGAACGATAACGTCGATTGGTTTACCTAGTGTCGCTTACCTTCTCAAGCTCGTACTTCCCGATCGAGTGAATTCGAACACGTACCATGATGTTGGCGATTTGTAATACCTTTTGACGTGAGCGTGACAGTACGGCTTCGGAGGCTTTGCACGTCACTTATCCATTCCTGCTCTCCCTTGAGCGGATACTCTTCCGCATCATATAGATCAAACTTGATTTTAGCCATGGAAAAGCTAAGGCTCGCAATCGGAGTAAAATCTCACGATCTCAGGTCTGGCTAATAGAGTTTATACTTCGTCACAACCATCCATTTCACTCGACCTGCACCGGCGTGTGCGCATATAAGCTGGGTCCACAGCCTATCAGATTCAACGCGCATACCGCAGAGAGATTCAGATGCGGTCGAAATCCGGATGCTTACTATCGTTTAGCGCTCGCAACACTGCCTCCAGGCTTCTTCGAGGCGTGCGATAATGGCAATCATGGTGTCGGACTCAGGTCGGATCCTTACTTTGCCTCAACCACCAACAATGAGCAAAGACAATCATTCATCGAGGGATTCGACTCGAGAAACCCACACAACTAGTCAAGCAACAGCTCCTGGAAGCTCTGTACGTGGCTTAAGAGGATCACATCGCTCCACTCCAAACACTGACATTCACGCATCCTTCGTCTAGCATCGACCCCGTGGTAGAATCGGTCGGTTTCTGAAGAAGCTCAAGGAGGATGCGAAAAAGTTAAAGAGGGTGAGTCTACGAGCATGTGTAATGAGTGTCCTGGAATACGACTAACATTACAACAAGCGCTCGAAGGATTCCCGCAGCCATAGCCCTGCTCCCCCAAATGCCCGTCGTGAGGAACGTGCTTCATCGACCCCGAATATCGAGGTGGGTTCCCATACTTATCCGTTGGTTTCTGTGCTTTCTCTAAATTTCCGTGGTCGCGCAGGCTCAGGCTGCTCCGTCTGATACAGGAGTGGAGGCTGATGTCCCATCAGCACTTCGGGATGCACAAGGTGCTACGGAGCACATGCATTCACTTTCACGGCGTTCGAAAGCTGTAGCGTCTGCTGGCAAGGATGCACAAGAGGATCTCGATACCGCAGGCAAGTTCGAGGACGCATATCTCAAACCCCTCAGGATATTCGACGCTGTTATCGGAGAGATCGCGGATGTATGGGTCTTCTTCTCTATTGGAACCGAACTAATGCCGTTCCACAGTTACATCCATATGCAAAGATGGCGCTGGGCGTGTTGTCTTGTGCAGCTAAAGTACGTTTTCTTTTCATCTCTTCCCATCTCACATCGCTCAGCAATCATTCGCGCAGATTATTCTAGCTCAAGCAGACCGCGACGCAGCGGTACTCATACTTCTCGAGAAGTTGTGTCAAGTTTATGGCTTTATAACACAAGATCGAATGCTTGGCCAAATCTCGTCGATGCGCATTATCCTCGGACAGATCTCTCAACAGACCTTCGAATGTGCTCAATTTATCCAAAAATATTCGGAGACCAAGAACTTTTGTGAGTCTTAAGAAACTGTCAAACTTTAGACCGTCTCAAGTTTCTATTGATATCATAGGGAAGAGACTCGGAAAGAATGTCGTGTCAGAAACAAAAGACACGATACAACAGTACAGTGACGTGTTGGATACGCTCATGCAAAACTTCCGGGACCAAGTGGCTCACGACGTAGCCATACACATCCACCGTACGGGTACGCGTTCAGACGTGCTTGTGATTTTGACATATACTCATACCTTTTCAGGAGAAATACTGGATCTCAGTGGTATGACCTATGCAGCTGGCGCAGGCCTGGATACCAGGAAACAATGTCTCCAAGGGACGCGCACAGGAATCCTTTCCCAGATTACGGAATGGGTCAACAGCACTGGGGACAACGTTCCAAGCGTGCTGTGGTTATCTGGCCCTGCAGGTACGGGAAAGTCGTCAATCGGCCACACCATCGCTAAGTGGTTCAACAACGTGGGAGGGCTCGGTTCGTGCTACTCTTTTGACCGTCAGCGAGAAGCGGACCGTCGCCACGAAAAGATATTTTCCACGATCGCGCGAGACCTGGCTGACCGTGATCCGGAGATGAGGCGGGCATTAGCAGATGCAGTTCAGAACTCAAATTCGCTGAAGAATACAGCGGATATCACCCAGCAGTGGCAGAAGCTTCTGATCGAACCGCTGGAGAAGTCATCTGGGTCCACTGCGGGACCCATCGTGATCATGATCGATGCGCTAGACGAGAGCGGCGGAGCAGAGACGCGGAGAGACCTCCTCCGCATTCTAGCTGGCACACATCAAAACCCCGACGTTCCCAAAATCATGAATCTCCCACACAACTTCCGCTTCATCGTCACCTCTCGCCCGCTTGGCGACATCAAAGACGCGTTTCGTGGCGTTGAGCATATTCGACAGGTGTCCATGGATGAGATCCCAACAGCAGACGCAAAGCGCGACATCCATGCTTACGTATCCAAGGAGCTGGAGGGGCTAGATTTCCAGGACAGAGAGTTCGCGATCCTGGCTGAGAAAGCTGACGGACTTTTCGAATGGGCGCGTCTTGCCTGTGGGTACATCAAAGAGTCCCACGTAGGACTATCTCCAAACGACTGCTACAACGCTGTGGTGTCACACAATCCTGCCGAGAGAAGCATGCTGTTGCACAGCATGTACGGTCTGATTTTAATGAATGTCATGCCCAAGGATACGTCTACCCATGTCCAGCATTCGCAGAAATTGCGTTCGACGGCGTTAGCGAGATTCCGCTCGGTGATGGGACAAATACTAGCCATAACGGAACCCCTTCCTTTAGCTTCCCTGAACGCCATGAGGCGCTATTTTCCAACTCGAGAGGATAATTTCGATGTGGAGGTTGTCGTAAAAAGCATGGGTTCCCTCCTCAGCGGTACCACCAATCCAGATTCCCCAATCCGACCCATTCACGCATCCTTCCGCGATTTCTTGACTGACGAACGATCCAGTGGAGAGTTTTTCATCGACCTGTCAAAGGCTCAACATAACCTTGCTTTCGCGTCGCTTCGAGTGATGGAACACGGCCTGCGCTTCAATATCTGCAATTTAAAGTCGTCGTATCTGCCTAATAGTGAAGATCCCGGACTGCAAGAACGAATCGAAAAATGCATCCCCCTACATTTGTCATATTCCTCTCGATTCTGGACATCGCACGTACGAACCACAGCGTTCGACAAGGAGCTTGCGAAAGAAGTAAAATTGTTCTTCGGCCACGAGCGGGTGATTTTCTGGCTCGAGTTACTCACCCTGATTGGTGCTCTTAGTGGTGCACCTCGTGCCCTTTCGCTCATTAATCGGTGGCTAAGGGTGAGTACATTGCTACGGAGTGTCAGATAAAATGCTGATGCGCAACACCAGGGCCATTCGGAATTCAAAGATGTCTCGTCGACTGCAACGGATGTTCAGAGATTCATTCAAGTCTTTGGCAGCATGATTTTACACACCACACCGCATCTGTATGTATCGGCACTCCCATTCTTGCCTGCCAACTCTCCGCTATCGAGAATGCTTTCTGCACGATATCCCAATGTTCTTCGTGTAGCATCTGGACGTTATATGAACTGGCTGGCTGTTCAGATGGTGCTCAGTGAGCACACTGGTCCAGTTTCCTCAGCCTCGTTCTCGCCGGACGGCGCTCGCATCGTCAGTGGTTCTTGGGACAACACTGTTCGGCTGTGGAATGCTGCAACGGGTCAGCCAGTTGGCGAGCCCTTACGGGGGCACACCGATACAGTTTCCTCGGTCTCGTTCTCGCCGGACGGCACTCGCATCGTCAGTGGTTCAAGAGATAACACTGTTCGGCTGTGGAATGCTGCAACGGGTAAGCCAGTCGGTGAGCCCTTGCGGGGGCATGCTAAATCAGTTTCCTCGGTCTCGTTCTCGCCGGACAGCGCTCGCATTGTCAGTGCTTCGTACGACACCACTGTTCGGCTGTGGGATGCTGCAACTGGTCAGCCAGTCGGTGAGCCCTTGCGGGGGCACACTAACTCAGTTTCCTCAGTCTCATTCTCGCCGGACGGCACTCGCATCATCAGTAGTTCTTTGGATAACACTGTTCGGCTGTGGGATGCTGCGACAGGTCAGCCAGTCGGTGAGCCCTTGCGGGGGCACACTGGTGATGTTTACTCGGTCTCGTTCTCGCGGGACAGCACTCGCATTGTCAGTGCTTCGTACGACACCACTGTTCAGCTGTGGGATGCTGCGATGGGTCAGCCGGTCGGCAAGCCCTTGCGGGGGCACACTGATACAGTTTCCTTGGTCTCGTTCTCGCCGGACGGCACTCGCATCGTCAGTGGTTCTTGGGATCACACCGTTCGGCTGTGGAATGCTGCAACGGGTCAGCCAGTCGGTGAGCCCTTGCGGGGGCACACTAACTCAGTTTCCTCAGTCTCATTCTCGCCAGACGGCACTCGCATCGTCAGTGGTTCAGAGGATGAGATTGTTCGGCTGTGGGATGCCAAGAGGATGCAGCAGTCAGGACAGTGCACCGAGTCAGATCATACATCATTGTCAAATGAACATCGCAATATCAAGGCTACCACTACCATGACATTTAACACTTGGAACAATCACTTCATTTGCTTCTCGCCCAACTCCATCCATGCGCTGCGCAACACTTCTGAGCTAATGGAGGGAGCATCCCTTGATGACCGCAGCTCGACCCGCTTTTTACTGGATCGTGACAATGGGTGGATGGTTGGGCCCAAACATCGGCTGTTATTCTGGGTGCCACCCACTTCTCGCCACCCATTTTATAACCCTCAGACTGCATTGGTGATACCTAGAGGAGGTCCTGAGCTTGATTTGAGCCTCATGGCACATGGACAACATTGGCAGAAGTGTCGAGAGGGGTGAGTCTCTTCATAGTCCTTTCCAGTTGTCGCACTTGCTAACATCAGCACTTGTAGACCTTAGTAGTATTGATGATGACCGAAGAAGTAGTGGATCCATCAAGGAGATTCCAGATAAAATTTAGATGTGAAAGCGCCGGGTGTACAGTGTATCATACGTTGTATTCTATTCTATTCTATACTCAATATGTAGTCCAAGTCCAGGGTTGTCCGAGCGAATGACTTATTGCAGAGCTGACTGCGTGCCTCTCATGATTGCTATGATTACAGGCTTGTGAGAGCATGTAATGTCGGACAAGGCAGCATTGCCGATCTTACTGGACTGTGTTGAAGTGTATAGCATCGGTGCTTCCTCATACTAGTAGTGGAAGAAGCTGAACTGACAGATATCGTTGTCGCGGTCATCTGTGGTCGTTCAAGTTCCTGTTGCATCGAGCACATTCAAAGTGGACTAAAAACGGACGAAATATATATTTCATTGTGTTCACTCTACAACAACGTAATCGTGCCATCTACAACAAATGTGGTGAGAACGAGAGCACCATGGTGAAAATGACGCGTGTAAAGATGATGTGAAGCGAGAGGCGTGAAAACCAAACTGCAAGCGATTGTTTTCAGCGTGCAGAAAGACGATCCTGCTGGAGCTTGCACAGTTCCGGCCCTGAGTGTGTTTCGTTACGATTACCGGACAAATCGTGACTTGTTGCCCTGGCCCGTGAGGATAGAACCACTAGCAATACCACCTTTGAGTTGGTGGACCTCAGCACCAGGCTTATTGACATCAAAGGAACGGATGAGACCGGGATAGAAAGCAAAGTCGCAGACTGGGATAGGTAGATGCTTTGCAATGATTTCGTTGACAGCGTCGATGTCGTATTCAAGTTGCGTATCGGAACGCTGAGCAACGACTCGACCACCGTGCCTGTTAGGAGGTTTGATACAACATTGGATGATCCATGCTACAGAGGACTCACCCTTGACGAATGCAGCGATTGATGTTTGTTGCTCAAGAACTTGATCAAGTCGACCTTGTTCTGGAAATATTGATGCTTTCCAGCTTCATTCAACCCCGGCTAAGTGCGCCGATATCTGCGGCCGAGGGTATGTTTCGTTTACTGTGATTGGAAGAGCAGCGTCCATGACGAGATCGAAAAGAATGCGTGAGGACAAGATCATCTGTAAGACATAGCAAGGGTGGTGAGGCGCAATTTGGTGTATGAAGCGACAATAAACATGGGGGTTAGAATAGTAAAGTTGATTAGAAACGAGGCTTGGGCGCTTGAGTTGCACAGCCTGCTAGAAGCTGTGGAGCGAACACGAGGATGTGCCAAGTCAAACTTCCAGTGCACTTTTGACCTAACGCTCATTGTGTCTTGGTATCAGCACATTGCGACCTGCTGAGCAACATATCGCTGTGAGTGATAAGTTTGGACTTTGTCAGATGGAAGCTGAAACGGAGCTCCGCCTAGATGTCTTCACCCATCCTTGAAAGACAAGAGACCTCGAGGATAATGCCTCGCCAGAAATTTGAGGGACACACCAATTGGGTCCACGGTGCCATACATCTACCAGGCGGACAACGGATAATGACTTGTTCATCGGACGGCTCGCTGCGGGTATGGAACTTGAAAAGTAGGAAGCAGATAGGAGACGACTGGCGGGACGGAGACAGGCCAGTATTGAGCATAGCGTTGTCTCCGGACGGGAAGAAAGTGGTGAGCGGGAGTGAGGATGGCGGAGTGAGGTTGTGGGACATGGACACAGGCAAAGTCATCGTGAAATGGACGGGGCATACAAAGGGGGTAATGGATGTCTGCTGGAGTGGAGACGGTCAGCGAGTCTTGAGCGGATCTCTCGATGGGACTGCAAGACAATGGGATGTAGAGAGCGAAGAGGCAAACCTCGCACCAATCAAGACAGGGCACAAATACGCCGTCTACTCGCCAGACAAGTTCGATTATGGAACCTCGACAATAACCAACCCATCGGTTCGCCCCTCCGGCATCCATATGCCGTGGCTTCTGTGTCATTTTCGCCAGATGGAAAGCTACTAGCCACTGGCTGCGGTGACAAAAATGCGTATACATGGGACATTTCTGGGATACTAAAAGAAGCTGGCCTTAGCGAACCTCTGTTGGACAAGCCGGTCTTTGCTGTATGTGTTACTTTTTATGATCAGGTCCTATCCTATCGCAATTGAACACATTCCTTCTAGGCTGATGCTACACCACGTCCAGTTCGTCAGCCAATCATCATTCCCCAGCGCCGGGTGCCTCATGGTTTTTTTGACGACTTACCAGATCGGGCTCACGTATGTCATTAATGTCTAATCCAGTACTGTTTTGCCTGACTTGCATGTTGTTCTCAGCACGCATCACATCCAAGCATCCTTCGTGACCGACTTTCTTCTTTATTCCACACCGACGCCCACGATACGTCTTCGCGACCCCGCCCTTTCCACTGGGTTCGGAGTCGTCTCTCTGGGAGACCAACCGGTGAAGATATCGAGCTTCGCGAGCGTCCCTCAGCAGTAGTCAATGTTCCGTACGCCAAGGGCAAACGTGTATGTTGTCTGTTTGCTTCTCGAATATTCAAACCCTCCCTCATACAACACAGAGGAACGCATGTGCAAGAGAAAGACGAATGAAAATAATTCCATTGAAACCTGGGAACGCTGCCGCGAGCACCTCCCGTCCTCCCAATGGCAATACCACACAGCATTCTAATGGCGCGTCTCAAGCCCAGTCTTCGCAAGCACAGGCTGCTGTCTCCCCCGCCACCGCACCTCCCGTCGTCACTGACACAACTCCAAACACCAATCCTCATGTCATAATCAGACACGCTGGACGCTGGACCCGTTTTTGGCTCTCTATATGCTGTTCCTCTTCCGAGTATACTGACGGTCATCATTAATCTACCCTGTTTTTTTTTTGGTCTTTCAAAGATATCCTTTGTCATTTTGTTGCGCTTCTACTGAAACCATCAGTAATATATTCCGTCCGTTTTCTCGTTAAATACTTATGTACATTGACTCCGATCACATCAAGGAGGTGCTGAATCAGTCTACTAAGTCGACAGACACTTGCCTACAAGTCGCCGATGCTTCTCGATACGTCTCGAAAGCGCGACCTCCGCTCCAACCTCAGTACATGCGAGTGGAGTCAGTTGAACCTTCGACCAAAGCCCAGCAAACGGCAGAGAAGAAACAAGATGATTTCAAGCTCTAGATTCTGTCAGAACGCAAAAGCATATCGAAAACGAGGATGGTCACCAGTATAGACTTTCGGGAGCTTCCTAATCGCACCCAGCACTTGACTGACGAGACAATCTGCTCTGCACATCGTAGGATCAATCTTGGTCCGAGTACTAATCTACCCTCCCGGAACTGCAAAACGTAAGTGATTGTTCTCGGCGTGCAGAGAGACGATCCTGCTGAAAATGGGCCTGCAGCGGTTCTGGCTCCGAGTACCTTTCGTTACGATCCCCAGACGATTTTTTACTTCTTGCCCTAGCTCGTAGGACGTCTGTGAGGATTGAACACCACTTTTGAGCTCATCGAGCTCAGCACCAGGCTTGTCGATATCGAAGGAACGGATAATGGTGAGACGGGGATCGGAAGCAAAGTCGCGGACTGGGATAGGTAGACGCTTTGCAATGGATTCATTGACAGTGTCGATGTTGTATTTCGGTTGCGTATCGGAACGATGGGTGACGACTCGACCACCACCGTGCCTGTCACGAGAATTATACAACATCAGATGACCCATGCCACCGAGGACCCACCCTTACCGGATGTAGCGATTGATTTTTGGTGCTCAAGAGCCTGATCAAGTCGATCTTGTTCTGCAAGATAATGATGCTTTCTAGCTTCATGATTTCAACCGCGGCCAAGTGCTCCGATATCTGCAGCTGAGGGCATGTTTCGTGTCTTGCGATTAGATGAAGAGCAGCATCCATGACTGCGGCATCGTAGACATAAGAATTTCGTGACCAGGACAGTCCATCAAGGAAGTATGGTGATGAATTTCGTCCTCTGATCGCATACTGACCGTTCGCAAGGAGGATTATCTTCCTGGTCTGAGCGGTACTACCTGGGCGGGGTATGCTTCGTTCCTGCATTTGTAGATCTATGAAAGTGGTTTTCGAGATCAACAATGGATCAAATACAAATCAGAAAGGACGTACTTTTAAATGCCGTCAAATCAGCAACAACAGCGAGCACACAAGAGAAACGCATTGTATAAACGAGGATCAAATAAATCTGAAGGGGATAGGAAGACGCCTTGCTTTATGTGCTGAATGTTGGCGAAGGAACCACCTGGAATTCCTCATTAAACAGTTGATTCTATCTGCAATGCCAGCAGATTGCCACCAAGCACAGTTTGCCAACAACCTGGCGTGGAAGAGTGCGTCCCGAGTCCCGAGTTGTTTTTCGTTGGGTTTTTCAGACTCCGCGAATTTGCAACACCTGGGCCGAAAGCAGTACTCACGATCTCAACTAACACAGGACCTCCTCGATGGAACTGTTTTCCTAATTTCCAGAGTTTGCGCACGTGTCATTACACTCTCACCCAAGCCAGTCCATACGATCGACCACCGAGAACTACCAGGTATTCCCAGACGATTGCAATCTGATATCCGTGTCTTCTGTCCATTCTCTCTTCTCCTACTTTCTCGTGGCAAAGGAGGCTATACTGGATGCTATCATATTCGCACATGAGTATCAACAGCTAGGCTCCATCATCGGTCTCCAGTATTTTGCTTCCATAACCCCCACTACCTTCCCGGTCTTCCTTTCCTTGTACAACCTCCCACTTTCTTTGTGCGACTGCCCTCGTCGCTACACACGTTGATCGTGTTTTACGACAAGGAATTGGATACAATGCGTGTATGTACTTTTGACCGCATTTGTACTAATCAGTCTGTACATGAATCAGAAGAAAAATTTCGCTCGTATCTAGAGCAGATTTCTTTCAAGGTCAAAAAAGCTTTGCTGACCTTGAGAGAGATGTCTGTTACGAGAGCAACTTATCAGTTGGGCGCTGTTCAATGCTCTGTTAGAATAATGAAATGATATCGTTCACGGACCGAGGTGAAATACCTGTGCTGTAGCAAGGATACCTCGAACTTTGTTGCCAAATCACGAACATTCGATCTTTTGTGGCGTCCGAACATTCCGCGTGAGGCTCTGCTTTATCATTTGATTTCATCAATATATCCCTGGACGTAGATCTCTTTTCTACTTAGATTCATGCTGAAACACTTACTTCGATCAATCAGACATCATCCCTCGAATCTCACTTCGGCGATGTCAACACTGGATGGTGGTGGTATATCAAGCACGAATGCACTCGTTATACGTCCACCATCCCTGCTCGCCCACACCCATCCTCTAATAGTATGACCCTATTCTCGAACGATCCTAGTTGGTGGCCAGTTATCAATGCGAATATTATCAGCAGCTATTTTGTAGGTTCGTGGAGAGTCAGCCACATGATGACCGTGATGACTCGGTTAACCTTGGCTACGGTTTCGCAGTTGCCTCCTGTGCCGCGGTAATATACGACTGGGGTGAGCAATATTAAGTATGAAAAGACCACTGATATTATGTGATTTCTAGGACTTATGTTTGGACAAGAGGTAGGTAGACACTGTTACAGGAGCAGCCATCTCGCTGACAACACTTTTATAGGTGGAACTGATCTGGGTGAGCGGACTCTCGCATCAAAAGAACGACGTGAACATTACTATCTACTCGCCTGTCCCACGTATCAACGAGCACGCCATTCATTGTCCAACGCGCTGGGCCGTCAAGCTGCATCCCTCTCCTACATCCTAACTGACCCCGCAGCTACCCCCCACTTGATCAGATATGTTAACGCTACCGGCCGCATGAAAGCCATCCTTGGTGAAATCCCGCTTCCCCGCCCACCTGCCCGCTGACACCCCATCTGTAGAAACTGCACATAGCACCCTCGTAACCACGCAAGACTCAACTCCCAAAAAAAAAAAAAAACCTTAAATCCAACTTAATACCGCCACACTAATCCAACCTAATCCACTCGCCTACACGGAGTCGCCCTCGTTCAAAATGGCCTAAGTCAGAAGGCAGTTGAAGAACCTCACCCGTCAATCACATACTTCAACTACCAATCCTCCTGCATCCACAAATGACTCCTGTACCAGCCCGCGCAAGCGGCCGAGTACGCGTTCTTGTTTATTCGCTTGACAGACACATACCTCGTACCATTAGATAAACAGTCATCTCATCTTCGACAGGTTGCGCGTCTAAAACGGCCGGCAGGAACGGTGGACCGATGGGAGTACGCTTCACATCGGGGCATTCGCGAACCTAGAGATGCGTCGGGGACACTGAGGGTCCCCTAGACTAGATAGTATTGTCCTCCATAGAGTATAACTCTCAATAGGACAGAAATTGGAATCAAAAAAAAAAAAAAAAAAGAACGACGTGAGACTATGACAACTAACTCCTGGCAGAGGCAACGGTGGTCTATGATGACAGTTTTGTATCTCACTGTATGTAGCTTGTATTTTCAAGCGTGGTTAGCAAGTTGTACTAACGCAGACATATCCTAGGCGCGATATGTTGGAATAGGATATATCGTGTACGTTTCGACATCTAAGTCATTGGTGTTGCACTCATTGTCCGTCTCTACAATCAGCCTCACTATGTTGAGTATGTCTCCTCGCGTAGAGTTTCTTTCTTTCTTCTGACGGGCCGCATACAGTCAGTGTTCCAACAATTTGGACGACAGATGCAGTGAGTATCCCACACTGATGCCTTCCATTACCTTCCAAACAACTGAAATACCGTGTAGGCGTGAGTGAAATTCTCGAACAACTCGTTGGTTCAATATAATGACTTCCACAGCTGTGAGTTTATTTCGAGCCTGTGATCATCCAAAGCTGATAAATAATGCTGCTGGATTCGTCAGGCCTTATCATATTCAAGGCACATATTTGGACGTCTGAAGTTGTAACCGTAATACTGGGCGGTGAGCCATACACCTCCCTGGACCCTGATATTGACTTGACTGAAATATCAAGTCATCATGATCGCTCGGTTACATGCCATGTATCAGCAATCCAGAAAGATGCTGATATTTCTGGTTGTCAGCTTTCTGGCCACTGCCATCCCCAACGTAGTGATGATCACAATATCGATGATGGGGTTTTCGGGGGGTAGGCTTTCATTATGTATGAAATATTTAATCAGGGTCACTGACAAATACCAGAGGAATTTGTTCTCTCCGGCACCTATCAGTGCAACCTTGGCTTCAGTTCTGGAGTTTTGCTTTCCGTGACTTGGATACTTAGCACTGTCTGGGAGGTCCTCGCTCTATGTCTCGCGGTCTGGATTACTGTGAAGCACTTACGTGAATTGCGACAACACTCGACAAGAGGTATTATCGGGGACTGTTTCACGGTCTTGATGCAGACTCACATTAGTTACTTTGCAAGGTAAGTTCATAATGTGAATGTGTTTCTCTTGTTCTGCTGAAGTTTTGTACGCACTAGTTTTTTGGTTATGTCTTGCTTCCAGATGGCTGGTTTATTCTCTCCGACATTCTCAGCGGTATGTCGGTCACCGACCTCTATGTGCGTACATGATTAATCAATTCTATAGGGCGAATTGTCCCTGGGTATCGAGATTTATTATGGTTTCGTTTCAATTTTCGGGATGGCGCAGATGTCTGTGCTAGGACCACGCCTCATCCTTGGCATTCGAGAGTATTATGCAAAACTCGTGGTCGACTACGATACAGCAAGTGCTATGACTTCAGTTGCTTTCGAGGAACGCGTCCATGTGGAAACTAGCAGTAGCGTGTAGTGTAGAACATTCTCGTTTTGCAGTAGTCTGCAGGGAGTGGGATATTTTTATTTATTTATTCCAGGTTTTGTTGCGGTACTTATTTATGTAAGTTATTACTTGATAAAAATAGGCTATATAAGAGGATTTCGAGTAGATCTCTCTCAAGAGTGAGATGTTGAATGAGCCGAGAAGCATGAGGAACTGAAGCAGTGTACCGTTGCTCGACTTGGCTCTCTCGCATGCCCATTCGCTCAAGGAATCAGAAGAATGATTGCCATCACGCGGAGAAAGGAAAGACCAGTGCTTGGTGCAAGTGTAGATGGACAGCTAGTGCCAGCAGAGATGTCTGATTGAGAACACGTAGCAAATTACTCAGGTAAAAATTTCTGTATGTCTCCTTAGAATATACTTTGGAATAAAAGATAACTTGGATCAATACCATCACAAAAGTAAGAATAAATAAAAGTAAATTCCCCTGCTCTTCGTAGAGCACCAGACAGCCATTAACTTCACCGAGAATTAGAATTACACACTACTGCCAGTCGATATATGCACGCGTTCCTGGAAAGCGATTGAGGCCATACCAGTTGCTGCGTCCGAATCGGTCACAAGCTTGGCGTGATATTCTCGAACACTAAGAATCAGGCGTGGTCCTAGCACAAACTGCACGATCTCCAAAATCTGAAGAAACCCAGCATAAAGTAGAGTGTTCAAAGTATATTCCTATAGAAACGATGAACCATGGTAGCATGGAGAGGTTGTAAGTGAAACATCGACATACCGTTGAGAGTGTTGGAGAGAAATCAAGAACAAGCTCGAAGCAAGAGACGGCAATAAAGCTACGACGTCCAAGCATTCAGTAAAAAAAAGAAATAATAATCGCAACATGAGCTTACCTAGCAAAGTAAACCATGTGAGTTTTCATCAACACCGTGAAACAGTCCCCGATAATTCCTCCTGCCGAATGTTGTCGCAGTTCACGGAAGTGTTTGACCGCAATCCAGACTGCGAGACATAATGTGAGGACCTCCCACACGGTGCCGAGTATCCAAGTCATGGAAGACAGAAGTGGCATATCTTGTGCATAGGAAAACGAGCACTGATAAGTGCCGGAGAGATCGAGTTCCTCTGGTATTCATCATTGAGCCCCATACACGTGCATTTCATCACAATCAAGCGTACCTCCTGAAATATTCTTCGTTATAATTGCGGTTACTACTCCATCGTAGATGTTGACAGCCAGGAAGGTGACAATGAGAGATATCAGTATCTTTCTGGATCGCTGATACATGGCATACAACCGAGTGATGATGATGACTGGCAGCATGTTTCAGTTAGAAAATATCACCGAGGTCTCACAAGTCCCAAGCTCACCCCACAGCATTGCAAACACCACAACACCCGTCCAATTCCATAAGACGTACACAACCCAGCCTGGCGAATTCAGTCAGTGATCGACCTCGGATAGCACACTCTAAACACACTTACATCTGGGGAAGTATGGCGTGACAGTCATTAGGGAACCAAGAAGTTAGTAAAGAACCGCTCTCACTCCTACAGGGCACCACGGTTAACTGGAGGTGAATAGTAGGCATCTGTGCAGAAGACTCACTGTGTCTGTCAGCCAGATGGTCGGAACACTAGCTGTATACCGTTGGTCAGAAGAAGCAAAGACAGCAAATATACCAAGGAGACGTACTCAGCATGTTCAGCCTGATTATAAGATATAGACGATTAATACAACATCGAGTGTTTAGCTTTCTGAACATACGCAGCATGTAAGATTCCAAGGTAGCGCACCTGAAATACTTTCAAGTCAGCACGACATGACAACCGTGACAAACGAGCTACATACGCCGAGATACAGAACTGTCATTAGGGACCAGCGTTGCCTCTGTAATTAAGTTTACTTGCATAATTGCTCCTCTGACATGAGACTCTACTCACCCAGACCAATTCAACCTATAAAGGTTTCTTAGTGAGAGCTGCTCCGGACATAGCATTGACATACCTCTTGTCCGAAGGTAAGTGCTGAAAATACTCGTAAGACATCAACACTAGTGCTGCAATATTATCATGCTTACCCCAATCATATGTCACTCCAACAAAGGCGACAACTGCGAAACCGCAGCCAAAGTTAGATCGAGTCAGCTTCAACATCTAACTGCTCTCCACGAACCTAAAAAATAACTTAAAAAACGATTGGCATCGATGATCGGCCACCAAGTGGGGTCATCTGAAACTATGGTCATGTTGATAGAGAATGAGTGTAAGTGAAAGGCGAACTGGGTGGACGTATGACGATGAGATTCGCGCTATATATACGTATACCACTATCCAGTGCTTGAATATATCAAAAAGTGACATCTGTACACTCCACGTAGAAATTACAGTTGCGGGAGCTGAAAACTTGACGCTCTCTTCCTCAGTCATTGGGCTTTCGTATCATAAGGATGCCAAAATGGTTAGTGCAGAATCTTCAATTTTGCAACGTGGGTGTGAAGGTCGATGACCGTCGTCCGCAACGTTCACTTGATTGTGGAACTGTAGAGTGCCATGAATCCGTGTATTCCTTAGGTTTAGTTACAGGGTCATCTGTAGCGGCTAGAGAGGTTTGGCTATGCAATAGAGTGAGCTCTTGGCAAGTAGTTGAATGAGAGAGTCGGAGGTACGGCAATTTGTGAACGTGGGACAACGCGAAGAGACAGAACTAGGGTGCCATGTATAAGTGGTTTACGATAGTGACAGCTAGAAGTTGAGATAGACGAACCGAGAAGCACAAGATATTTGGCCCACTTCTATATGCTAAGCACGGATTCATTGTATCGTACAAAATCGGCGTTTGTCGCTGAATTGCCACACATGCACCATGTATGAGCCCTCTCTATGCATCATCATCTTAACCGAACGATACGGTGATGCTCGCATCTAGAAGAGGATACGTTAACGGCACCTGCTTGAGGGACAGCACCGACAGGGAGGGCACCTCCCAAGTGAATCCATGGATCTCGATGACTGGAGGCGCAAGCTTTAGGTTTGTAGACCCGTGTCAGATCATTGAGTTGTTCGAGTCTTGACCAAACCTAACCTTGAAAACATCCGTCGTACACACCAAGGGCCAACACATCATGACATTGATCACGTTGTGTTGCTGTACCGTACGCCCACGCACTGTCGCTAAGTGCACATCCGATCGCGAGGGACAGCCCTGATAGACTTTGGGGGCTGATTGATGAAAAGTAGGACGAGGTTGCTAGCATAGGAAGGGGGTGGTTCAAGTTTTGCCATTCGCATATACTCTGTTGTGGCACTCGAGTATGCTGGTCTTTAGATGCCGAATGTAAGTCCCTATATATATAGCAACGTTGTGTTCAGTACTAGGTCAACATACATGATGCGCCTTATTTATCAGACGACAATTCATTAACATTCTTGAACGACAGGAATTGCCTATGTATTTCAAACACTCACTCGATAGCAGGAAGACATGCAAACGAACTTTGAGTTAATTATAGGACAATACTACGACGTCGATCGCGTTTTGATAGCCATGTTGTGAAGTAAAAGTGTCCAAGTCAGTGGTCCGGAAGGATGCGATGTTTTCGGAACCGAAAAAGCTTGGATAAACAGTGTATCCGGCATTCGGGAAGATGCGATGGGATGTTGCATGTCACCTCCGTTCACTGCACACCTGGACACTTACTACCCTACTGCCATCAGGCTTCGTGTTGTCGTTGTGGTGACCGGTCCAGTGATTTACCTTAACATTATTAATTGTAGCGTTGATCAGGTACTCGACGTTCAACGTTGCAATGATTGTTTCGATGACGCAAGTCTTTCATCAAACCTTGATATATTCTCGGAGCCGTGGCCCAGGGCTACCACGTGCACTGAAACGACATGTCAAAGGTTTTTCTCGTTGTATCACACCTTGTATCATTCACAATGCACATCAATAGTCTTTTCCCCCATCCTCAGGCTCCCCTCGAGTCACTGCGAAGAAACTTTCTTATGGTATAAGCCATGCCTTATCCCACCTGTCCTTGCCTGAATAGTTGACTCGACAGTATTTGTCCATCATGGAGTTCCGACGACAACATGAAGCACAGATTACTAGTATGACAGTCCCAGTACTGGACGAATGTATCTCCAATCAGACCAACTTCAAATCGTCTAAACCACCTTCAAAGCACCACTCGCCTCTACAATGCCTCCGATATTTACGAGTCGATCTGTGATCATCTGTCCCTGGTTAGTCCTGCTACTAGACGACATGCAGTCCTTTTACTGTATCGCTCGACTAGCATATCATCTACCTGCTTGTGCCACATACTTTTTCTCTAGCAGCGCTTCTCCCACCTCTCGCTTTCTCAGTGCTCAAACAAGACCCTCCGCTGTAGTCTCTAACGTATCTAACGGCCACTCGCACATTTCCTAACAACATTTGGGAGAACTCGTTTACTCTAATCTTTCTTGTCATACATCAAAGTCCAATCTTGATTCGGATAGCTTACCGCAATGATACACAAACCTTGCTTGCGCTAATAAATATGTACGATATATCCAGACCTATAGATTTTCTATCAAGTTTGCTTGGAATCTGTATCAGATAGTTTATACTGATGAGTATCGCGACAAAACCTTTGAACAAAAAATGAGTTCGCTCCCTTTCTGAAAGAATACGGCGTGCGGCAAACACAACAAGCGTTTTCCATGCCACATGCTGATGCTGGTCGACACATGCACGTGCTCTTCAAAGGCAATTGAAGTCATGCAGAGACCTGTTTCGGAGTGAACCACGAGCTTTGCGTGATCTTTTTGAACGCCAAGGATCAGGCGTGGTCCCAGAACGTGACTATGAAGCTTGAGCCAAACGAAAATGAACCTGACGTTCCGCAACGATCGCGTCCTGTAGCGATGATGAACGATGGTCACATGCGAAAGTCAGTGTCACATTGACATACCGCTATGGCCGTTCGAAATGCAAAGGGAGGATGAAGCCGGAAACGGCAACAAAACTGAAAGTAAACACATGAGTCTTTGTTAACACCGCGAAACGGTTTCTGGCATTAAGCCATTCTGTCAATGGTCACTGCAGCTTACGGAGGCGTTTGAAAGGAATCTGGACTGTGAGGTATAGTGCGAGGACCTCCCATAAAGCGGGGAGAATCCAAGTCACCAGAGCCAGAAGTAGATTACTTGAAAGTCAGAAGCGTATTGAGTGATGCAGAAGAGAATGAACACCTCTGTGTTTGCAAACGAGCCTTGCGCATTCTAGTCCACCATTCACCAAAATTAAAGCTTACCTGACGAAACACGACTTATGACTATTGCGGCGATCACTCTGTCAGCGATGTTGACAGCCAGGAAGATGACACTGAGAGACATCTGGATTGATGCAAGGGATGCAACCGAGCAATCATGATGAGTTGCGCGTTGTGTCAGTCCAGTCAAGGTAATGCAGCTGCGTACTCACCACCCAATACTACAATCACGGCAACATTCATCCGACTTAGTGCGTCGAACAAAGTTATACAACCTGAAAAATCAAGCGATGTTAGTTAATAGCCTCGCATGATAACTTTAAACAAACTCACAGCTATGGGCAATCACTATATTGAACCAGGGTGCTCGGTAACTCACTCACGCCTGCAGGGGAGTACAGTTAATTGGATATGAATGGTAAGCAACGGTTAAGAATACTCACTGAATCTGGTACCGAAATTTCCGGAAGAGATACTACATGCTATCGGTCAGAGAAAACATATGGTGTGTGAGTGAGTAGACATACACTGGATGTTAATGCTGAGTATGCGAGTCAGCCAATCAACACAATATCAATTGCTTAGCCATCCAAACATACATCACATGCAATATACCAGAATAGCGAACCTAGAATGTCGTCAAGTCAGTACAACGTCTCAATCACACTTGTAACATGGGGTACCTACGCTGAGATAGTGAAAAGTCATGAGTGACCAATGTTGTCTCTGCCGCAGGTTAATTGTATTTTGGTGTATGTTCTGATGCGAGACTTTGCTCACCAGACCACTTCGACCTGTAAATACGTGATCAGCGAGATGATTGCTCCGGTGATGATACCGACTTACCTCTCGTCCGAACGTCGATGCTAAAATCCACCATAAGTAATACTATCGTGTTCACCCCAATCATACATCAATCTAAAAGAGAAGGCAGCTGCAAAACCGCAGGGCTAGAATGAATCAACGTCATTTGAGTCGAAAGCGTGAACGGCCACCAAACGGAATCATTTGATACTAGGGTCATGCTGTTAGAGGACGAATGCGAACCTGGTGACGGGTGGTATTGGTCTGTGCTAAATATCCCACCATGCAGCACTTTACTGCCGAAACAAGAACTAGAGGAATGGCGTATGTCCCTCCTTTGAATGCCTGAACACCGATCAGCTCTGTCTCTACTTTGCTCACCCAGGTCAGAGAGCGTCCAAGGTCACGTTCTGTTGGGATGAAAGTAAACGAAAAGTAGGGGAGATTCGAATGAAGCGAACGGATAACTTACCTGTCTTACCCGGGTTGCTCTCAGAGCACACCTCTCCGTACCTAATTCTCCTGCTCCTCATTGTTCTTTGCTGCGGCCATCGGGTTATGATGTAAAACGCATGCGTAGATCATGCACATGATGGTATAGATCCAGATATGCAAATGTCGTCGTGCACACTGACCAAGCTTTACATCCAGATTAGGTTAAGTGAATGCCAATTTCCGTGAATCGGACCTTGTAGTTTCAAATTCAGACGAGTCTGGCCTCGCGCTCGTCGATGCCATCAACACGAAGATATGATCATACTCACGTCCAGGTCTTCTTTTCCTCAAATACTGTCCTCTTTATAAAATCTGCGCCGTATCTTCAGTGTTCAAACGTTCAGTGTTTACCCTGTTTACCAGAACATCAACTAGGATATTTCCATTTGTGATGAACTGATGATGTGTGCATGGCATATTTAGTATGAACGTCTTCTGCAGGCTCATTGGCTGGGCGGTCAAGGACATTATTGATTTGTATGCGCTCAACGAAGCTCGTACCACGAATCTCAATAAGTGAAATCTGCGATCGTCTATTGTGATTGAGGTGAACACGTGTAACGGACGTAGTAAATGGGTCGTACCGTCGTAGCTAGGGTATTATTTGTAAGGAATATACTATGCTTGCACTCATCGAAATTGAAGTATGTACTTCGTCACAGTCATCCATTGTCGACTTGTCCTCGACCTGCACTGTGCACACATATAAGCTTCATTGACATCCACAGCCGACGGTCATGCACACCGCAGAGCAACCGAATGCGGTCGAAATTCAAATGGTTATTTATGGCTTAGGCCTTACGGCTCGCAACTGCCTCCAGGCTTCCTTGAGGCATGCAACAATGATTTACCTGGAACCTTCGTATCGCTTCCATTCAACCACCATCCACGATGAGCAGAGGCGGTCATTCATCGAGGGATTCAACCCAAGCAATCCAGACATCTAGCAAAGCAACAGCTCATGAAACCTCGGTACGAGGATCACTTATTTCACTCCACTCCAAACACTGACATCAACACATCCTTCGTCTAGCATAGACCCCGTAGTAAAATCGGTCGGTTTCTGAAGAAGCTCAAGGAAGATGCGAAAAAGTTAAGGAGGGTGAGTCTACGAGCATGCGTAATGAGTGTCCTAGAATACGACTAACATTACAACAAGCGCTCGAAGGATTCCCGCAGCCATAGTCCTGCTCCCCCAAATGCCTGTCGTGAGGAAAGTGCTTCATCGACCCCGAATATCGAGGTGGGTTCCCATACTTATCCTTTAGTTTCTGTGCTTTCTCTAAATTTCCGTGGTCGCGCAGGCTCAGGCTGCTCCGTCTGATACAGGAGTGGAGGCTGATGTCCCATCAGCACTTCGGGATGCACAAGGTGCTACGGAGCAAATGCATTCACCTTCGGGACGTGCGATAACTGCTGCATCTGCTGGCAAGAATGCACAAGAGGATCTCCATATCGCAGACAAGTTGGAGGACACATATCTCCAACCACTCAGGATATTCGATGCTGTTGTCGGAAAGATCTCGGATGTATGGGCCTTCTCCTCTATTGGAACCGAACTAATGCCGTTCCACAGTTACATCCATATGCAAAGATGGCGCTGGGCGTGTTGTCTTGTGCAGCTAAAGTACGTTTTCTTTTCATCTCTTCCTATCTTACATCGCTCAGCAATCATTCGCGCAGATTATTCTAGCTCAAACAGACCGCGACGCAGCGGTACTCAAACTTCTCAAGAAGTTGTGTCAAGTTTACGGCTTTATAACACAAGATCAGATGCTTGGCCAAATCTCGTCGATGCGCATTATCCTCGGACAGATCTCTCAGCAGACCCTTGAATGTGCTCAATTTATCAAAAAATATTCGGAGACCATTAACTTTTGTGAGTCTTAACAAACTGTCACGCTTTGCACCGTCTCAAGTTTCTATTGATATCACAGGGAAGAGACTCGGAAAGAACATCGCGTCAGAAACAAAAGATACGATCCAACAGTACGGCGACGTGTTAGATACGCTTATGCAAAACTTCCGGGATCAAGTCGCTCACGACGTAGCCATACACATCCACCGTACGGGTACGCGTTCAGACGTGCTTGTGATTTTGACATATACTCATACCTTTTCAGGAGAAATACTGGATCTCAGTGGTATGACCTATGCAGCTGGCGCAGGCCTGGATACCAGGAAACAATGTCTCCAAGGGACGCGCACAGGAATCCTTTCCCAGATTACGGAATGGGTCAACAGCACTGGGGACGATGTTCCACGCGTGCTGTGGTTATCCGGCCCTGCAGGTACGGGAAAGTCGGCCATCGGCCACACCATTGCTAAGTGGTTCAACGACGTGGGGGGGCTCGGTTCGTGCTACTCTTTTGACCGTCAGCGAGAAGCGGACCGTCGCCACGAAAAGATCTTCTCCACGATCGCGCGCGACCTGGCTGACCGTGACCCGGAAATGAGGCGGGCATTAGCAAATGCAGTTCAGACCTCGAATTCGCTGAAGAATACAGAGGATATCACCCAGCAGTGGCAGAAGCTTCTTATCGAACCACTGGGGAAGTCATCTGGGTCCACTGCGGGACCCATCGTGATCATGATTGATGCGCTGGACGAGAGTGGCGGAGCAGAGACGCGGAGAGACCTCCTCCGCATTCTAGCTGGCAAACATCAAAACCGCGACGTTCCCAAAATCACAAATCTCCCACACAACTTCCGCTTCATCGTCACCTCTCGCCCGCTCGGCGACATCAAAGACGCGTTTCGTGGCGTTGAGCATATTCGACAGATGTCCATGGATGATATCCCAACAGCAGACGCAAAGCGCGACATCCATGCTTACGTATCCAAGGAGTTAGAGGAGATAGATTTCCAGCACGGAGAGTTCGCGGTCCTCGCTGAAAAAGCTGACGGACTGTTCGAGTGGGCACGTCTTGCCTGCGGGTACATCAAAGAGTCCCACGTAGGACTATCTCCAAACGATTGCTACAACGCTGTTGTGTCACACGATCCTGCTAAGAGAAGCATGCTGTTGCACAACATGTATAACCTCATTTTAACAAATATCATGCCCAAGGATACATCTACCCATGTCCTGCATTCACAGAAATCACGTTCAACGGCGCTGGCGAGATTCCGCTCGGTGATGGGACAAATACTAGCCACAGCAGAACCTCTCCTTTTAACTTCCCTGAACGCCATGAGGCGCTATTTTCCAACGCGAGAGGACATTTTCGACGCGGAGGTTGTTGTAAAAAGCATGGGTTCCCTCCTCAGCGGTACCACCAATCCAGATTCCCCAATCCGACCCCTTCACGCATCCTTCCGCGATTTCTTGACGGATGAACCCTCTAGCGGGGAGTTTTTCATCGACTTATCAAAGGCCCAACATAACCTTGGATTCGCGTCGCTTCGAGTGATGGAACACGGCCTACGCTTCAATATTTGTGATTTAAAGTCATCGTATCTACCTAATAGTGAAGATCCTGGACTACAAGAACAAGTCAAAAAATGCATTCCCCCACATCTGTCATATTCCTCTCGATTCTGGACGTCGCACGTACGAACCACAGCGTTCGACAATGAGCTTGCGAAAGAACTAAAAACGTTCTTCGACCACGAGCGGGTGTTTTTCTGGCTCGAGGTACTCGCCCTGATCAGTGCTCTCAGTAGTACGGTTCGTGCCCTTTCGCTCATTCATCAGTGGTTAAGGGTGAGTACATCGCTACGGAGTGTCAGGTAAAGTGCTGACGTGCAACATCAGGGCCATTCCGAATTTAAAGACGTCTCGTCGACTGCAACGGATATCCAGAGATTCATTCAAGTCTTCGGCAGCATGATTTTACACAGCACACCGCATCTGTATGTATCAGCACTCCCATTCTTGCCTGCCAACTCTCCGCTATCGAAAATGCTTTCTGCACGATTTCCGAATATTCTTCGCGTAGCATCTGGACGTGATGTGAACTGGCCGGCTGTCCAGACTGTGCTCAGTGGGCACACTCATTATGTTGTATCGGTCTCCTTCTCGCCGGACGGCACTCACATTGTCAGTGGTTCTGTGGATAAGACAGTTCGGCTGTGGGATGCTGCGACTGGTCAGCCAGTCGGTGAGCCCTTGCGGGGGCACGCTGATGGTGTCTGCTCGGTCTTGTTCTCGCCGGACGGCACTCGTATCGTCAGTGGTTCAAGAGATAAGACAGTTCGGCTGTGGGATGCTGCGACTGGTCAGCCAGTCGGTGAGCCCTTGCGGGGGCACACTGATGATGTTTCCTCGGTCTCGTTCTCGCCGGACGGCGCTCGCATTGTCAGTGGTTCAAAGGATAAGACAGTTCGGCTGTGGGATGCTGCGACCGGTCAGCCAGTCGGTGAGCCCTTGCGGGGGCACGCTGATGATATTTCCTCAGTCTCGTTCTCGCCGGACGGCACTCGCATCGTCAGTGGTTCACACGATAACACAGTTCGGCTATGGGATGCTGCGACCGGTCAGCCGGTCGGTGTGCCCTTGCAGGGACACACTCATTATGTTTCCTCGGTCTCATTCTCGCCGGACGGCATTCGCATCGTCAGTGGTTCTTGGGATAAGACAGTTCGGCTGTGGGATGCTGCGACCGGTCGGCCAGTCGGTGAGCCCTTGCGGGGGCACACTCATCATGTTTGCTCGGTCTCGTTCTCGCCGGACGGCACTCGCATCGTCAGTGGTTCAGAGGATAAGACAGGTCGGCTGTGGGATGCTGCGACCGGTCAGCCAGTCGGTGAGCCCTTGTGGGGGCACGCTCGTGATGTTTCCTCGGTCTCATTCTCGCCGGACGGCAGTCGCATCGTCAGTGGTTCACACGATAACACAGTTCGGCTGTGGGATGCCAAGACGATACAGCAGTCACAACAATGCACCGAGTCAGATCATCCATCATTGTCAAATGAACATCCCAATATCGAGGCCACCCCTACCACCACATTGAACACTTGCAGCAATCACTTCATTTGCTTCTCGCCCAACTCCATCCATGCGCTGCGCAACACTTTCGAGCTAATGGAGGGAGCATCCCATGACGACCGCAGCTCAACCCACTTTTTGCTGACTCGTGACAGTGGGTGGATGGTTGGGCCCAAACATCGGCTGTTATTCTGGGTTCCACCCGCTTCTCGCCACTCATTTTATAGCCCTCAGACTGCATTGGTGATACCTAGAGGAGGCGCTGAGCTTGATTTGAGCCGCATGGCACATGGACAACATTGGCAGAGGTGTCGAGACGGGTGAGTCTCTTTATAGTCCTTTCCAGTTCTCGCACTTACTAACATCAATACTTGTAGACCTTAGTACCAACAATGACCGACGGAATAGATCCATTATAGAGATTTCAGATCCAATTCAAACGTGACAGCGAGTGTACAGTGTATCATACGTTGTATTCTATTCTATACCTAACATCGAGTCCACGAGCGAACCATTTATTGAAGAGCTGACTGCGTGACTCATGATTGCTGGCTTGTGAGAGCACGTAACGACAGACAAGGCAATGTAACGAGAAATTTTCCCATATCTAGTGAATCTCTGTTGTATTAGTTGACAGTAGTGATCCATGAGCAGTCAAAAAGCGCCTGGACTTAGTAGGGAGGCGTCATGTCGTACCAGAGGTGGTGAAGGAGAGAGAAACATAATCCTCAAGGTGCACAACATCGACAAAACGACCTATAAATCCAATAATAACAACACGCCCTGCAGTGCTTTCTCTGTCTGATCGCCCCAATCAGCCAACTCCAAAAATACACACAACTCTGCAGCATTTGAGCGCGCTTAATACATACAATAATCGTGAAACTGTAATCATAAATTTATCTGGCAAACGCAATAACAGATTCTCCAGTTTGAGCTTCGAAATGCGATGGCGAAGCAGAACTCCTCCAAGTCTGCCCTGCTTCGGGACTGTCCTGAAGTCTGGGGTATGGAGGCAGATTCATGGCAGTTTCACCTGTCCGCTCCATGATACCCCGACGGACTTTGACGCCGTCGAACAAAGCGGCGGTTTCTTCAAGAGTGCGAGCTGGAGAAAGCAAAAACACAGTTTATGAGAGCTCGACGAGTCGAAGAGATCACAATCACCTCTCGTATCGATAATATACACCATCGCGAATAGGAGTTCCAAGATAAGCCATCCGCAGTAAAAGAGGTACTGTACGAAAAAAGGTCGGTCGATCAATCGAATGAATGAGATCTGACGACTTGCGTATTTCCATCCTATGGTTTCCAGTGCCACTGGATTGACGAGCGAGTTGAAAGCATTGGTCGAATAGAGAACGATGTTCTGTATGCAACGTCAGGCAGCGTTCAGGGAAGGAAGGAATGCGACCGACCATGATTGCAAACCCTTTGGCACGGATGTTATAAGGCAGGATCTCGAGCGTATACAACACAAGCATCGAAGTATACGCCAGATCGTAGAAGAAAAAGTATATGAAAATAAGCGGCACGGTAGCTGTTCGAGCTTGATCATTAGCTTTACCAGCATACATGCAAGGGGTTGAACATGCCTCTCGCAGCTGCCACATTTCCGGACTGGCTGAAAAGAGCGGTCGTGACCGTCCACATAGAGAAAGCTGGACAGATGATAAGCCTTAGATCCAGCGTCACGGAACAGTACTGACCCGTCAGCATGCCAATGTTTGAAATCAAGAAAGTCTTCCTTCTCCCTAGTTTGTCCACCACCATCACGCCCACCAGCGCACTAGCTAAATTGAAAATCTGAACGCATGAAATGCGCATCAATTTTGAGTTTTGCTTCTGAAAGACCATGGATGAACCTGCAAACCGCCGTTAATGGCTGCTTTCGTTCTAGTCTGGGTGATCCCGCTGTTTAAGCGTATATCAGGCTATGTACCATCTGAAATCCTCGAAAACGTACACCCTATTCAAGACTGTGTTGAAGTAATACGACACCAGACCATTACCGCTGAGATAGGAAGATCAACGACAATCATCGAACCAGAACGAAACTGATCAAACCTCCACTGCGAGAATACTGCGATCCATATAATGGTAAACATGCGCTGTCTGTTGCCGGGAGTCGAGAAGCACCTGAGGTAGGATTTGCCGGAGGCGTGCTCTCGTTCGAGGTTCAAAGCATGTCGGATTTGAGCCAATTCGAAAGCTACTAGAGGGTTGCGTTCGTCTCCCCCGTTTGCATGGCACCGAGCGAGAACACGGGCAGCTTGCGATTCCTGAAAATAAACGATGAACGTTGTATGATCTACTTGATGGAAGGTATCCTCGTGAATGCTCACCAAGCCTTTGGCCATTAGAAACCGAGGACTCTCTGGGATAAACCTGAAGGCGTCGAGTCACTTCGAGCAAGGTACGAGCTAACAGTCTTACCATATTAGCGACATCTGAATGATAGGAATGGCTGCTTGAACGAACGAAGGGACCCTCCATGACCACGCTGACGTCCCCGAATCATCATAACTTCCTAGGCAGATCCAAGCCGCTGATAGACATGTGAGAGACCAAATGCGTGACGTTGGATCTCACTTACAAATGACGCTGCCAGAGTACCACAACGAATTGTACAGAGAGGTCATTTTTCCGCGCTTGAATGGAATTAGAGTTGAAGAATGAGATACGAGATAATTTTGCGCACATGCGTTGGATAGCTAAGTTCGCTGATGAGTAAGGGGGCAGCATTGATGGAAAAAGCCATCCCTAAGCCGACTGAGGAATGGAAGATAAGTAAATGAGTAGACTTTTGATTGTGCATCATACTAAGCACACGAGCGCCAAGGAAGACTTGGATGGTTGTACATGAGGCTTGGGTGAGAACGCCAGCTAGCATGATGGCTGCCCCGATAAACATAGCTGCTCGCCGTCCTAATAGGTCAGATACGTAAGGAGAAAATGGAGTTCCCTAAGAACCAGTATGAGCTTTGTAGCGATGCGAACACAGTGCTACGGTTTACGCTGAGGATGCCAATACTATGTGCGGAGTTGATGAGTCCTAACGACCGTAAATAGAACTGTTACAGTAAAGCGAGCAGCTGCGTACCTAACTTCATGCCCTGCGGTTTATGGAAGTATTCTTGCCAACCGGGCAAGATTTGCAAATCTAAGGGAGCATAAGTCAACAGTCCACGATCATGATAAAAAATGTTGTGTGACTTACTATTCATCATAGATGAGTCAAAGCCATTAAGGGTCGATGATAAGAGGGGTAATATCAAACAGATGTTTAGTATCAGGATGGCTGGGTAGTCAAGGACATTATTAATTTGTATGCGCTTAACGAAGTTCGTACCACGATTCTTCCACCACGACTCCCGATAAGTGAAGTCTGTGATCGTCCATTGCGGGACTGGCATCAAGATGGACTGACGTTTAGTTGGTGTATAAGGGGACGTGAAATTCACGGTGATTAAATGATGGTTTGTGGGGTATTTATAAGGAATATGAGTCCGCGGACGCACTTTTCCTGGGCAGTGTTGAAAGGATCAACCGTATTCTGGACCTCGCTGTGTGTAGTAGGCTATGCAGTACATCCGAAGGGAGGTGAGATCTTGAAACGTGGCATTACGGTGGCGAGGGCACCAATCAATAGATATGCGCTGGAGCCTGGGAGGTACGTCACAATACCTTGGTTTCCCTTATTTACCCGGGACTCCCTACTTGTGCCAACTAATCATGGTTACACAGTAGTACAGGCTTTGAAGTGAAGTGCGCAACTTGACTTTGCTTCAATTTTTGTGTTTTGAATGACCAGGATTCGGATATGCGCCAGACCAATGAGAACCAATAAGAGTAATAGCGAATTTCAGCGTCAGTCTCTCCTGACAGCAGCAATGAGAAACAACAAGGCGGCGCATGATGCATGATCACTACCCGATATATGTAGTACAGCCTAGCAGTCCTGCAGGATGTTGTTTAAAAAACTGCAGTACAAGAAATTTGGCGTCGCTACTTTTATCGGGACCTTTAGTAGATCCAAATGAGGTCAAGTGACGTGACTCCTCGTGGGCAGAACTGGCAGAACTTGGTAAAACCATGTTCTGCCAGTGGCATTCCAGGTGTGCTACGTTGATGTGTCTCTAGATAGCCAGTCCATTCCGTGACTGCCGGCACTAGTCCCTCGTTAACACCCCCGGTGATTTCGCAAAGTCGAATGCATTCAAGTTCTCCACAGTCCCCATGCCCCCATTGCAAATATGTCCTATGGATTCTGGACAAGATCGTAGCTGACGCCACTGGAGACCGTGAAATCGGTCCCGGTAATCATCATGTAAAGCCGGCCTACTTGGATATGTTCTGCCATCTCCCCAGTCCGCCTTCACTCGGCAAGATTCATCGACGGCCCTTGTTTGGAACCGGATGCCGGCTGTTAGCCGGTGACTTTCGAAATCACGCGTTATCACTGTCAGTTCCCATCATTCAACGTTCCAGTTCAACGTCCCAGTTCAGCGTTTCATACGTTCCATGTTCAACGTCAACGTCAATTTTCGACGGTGAACAACATGCCCCGTGTACAGCAATGAAAGCAAGGCCCTCATAAGGAGCTTTTCACTCCGGATTTTGACGAGGAAGTCTATGAACGGCTCGCTCGATCTTCCACAGGACAGTCACAAGCCTTCGACGGCCCTTCGTACTTTCTTTAATGCTATCCCTTGGCGGAAGTGCAAAGAAATCTTCAATATATCATTGACCAAGACTTTCGTTGTGTATCGGCGAGAGTCTCTTTTTCAATCTTCTTAGCATGCCGGTACTCTGGCAGTGTGGGACTGCGTGGTGTGTGCAGGCAGTGCTTTCCGGTGATCGTAATTGCCCACTGGAGTAGAATGTTGTCCATGTCCGTTATGACACAACATAACCATCATCTGGTGGCTACTTCTGCTGTTGATGCCGGACCCCACTCTGAAACTGATCATTGTTAACAGTGCGATAGACTATGAGCCAGACAGATCTGGCCTTCTTCGTGCTTGGGAAAATTTACAGAGGCAGAAACGAAGCGCTCAAGACTTAAATAACTTTAGTCGCTATCAATTCAGTTCCCAAGTGAACACGAGCTTTTAGAATTGACCAGTCCTGATAATATTGATGGGCTACAAATAAGTCAAATCTATTCCAGGTGGTAGCGAGCCGCTGAATTGTGCTAACACGTAATGAATAGAATATAGACAACGGGTGAAGAAAGCAAATGATGATGATTGCGACGAGGGCACAAGTGAATGTTTCGCAGCACAGAAAAAAAGAAGCGAAATACACGCGTTGAAACCAAAAGTTCGAAGACAGCTTGGCTCTATTTCGGCAACGTTACAAGATATTGGATAGACCAGACCTATTTCTTCTCAGACCTATTTCAGAACACCAATCAAGAAATTAAATAAGTGCCACGACTTGTAACAAAAAGAAAGAAGTCCGCCGCCCTCGGCCGAGTACCCGGCATATGTGAATCACGTCGAGCGTTTCTCATGCTAGACACTGCTGCTAGTTGACACATGCACGTGCTCCTGGAAAGCGATTGAACTCATGCCAGTTGCTGCATCGGAGTCGACCACGAGCTTGGCGTAATATTCCCGAATGCGAAGGATCAGGCGGGGCCCCAGCACAAACAATTGGACGAGTAAGAAAATTCCAAGAAAGCTATTATACATCTGCATCTGCAGGGACAATGGGTCGTTCTATAGAAATTATGAAATATGGTCGCATGCAGAGACCAGTGACAGATCGACATACCATTGAGATCACCGGAGCCAGAGCAACGAGGTTGAGGCAAGACACAGTAAAAAAACTAGCACATGTAGAGCTTCATCAGCAAAAGATGACCACGATCACATTATGAACTCACCTTGCAAAGTAAACCAAGTGACTTTGTATCAACACCGTGAAACAATCCCCGATAGTCCCTCTTCCTGATAGTTGTCGCAGTTCCTGAAAGTGTTTCACAGCAATCCAGATGGCGAGACACATTGCGATGACCTCCCATAGAGTAATGAACCCCCAATAAATGGAATAGTAAAGAATTGAGTTGTCCCCAAAATCGAAAATGCACTGATAGGTTCCAGAGAGAACATACACATCTGGTATTCGTTAATGAGCCTGGTGTATTAACATTTCACCCATAATTATAGCTTACCAGACGTCAATTCTCTTAGTAACATCGCGGTGGCCGAACCATCGGCAATGGTGACACCCAGGAGGGTGACGGAGAGAAATATCAGCATCTTTCTGCGCTGATACATGGCATGTAACCGAGTGATCATGATGACTTGCTTGATGTTTCAGTCAAGTCAATGCTACCAAAGTATTGCTAGCTCACTGCCTGATATTGCAGCTACGACCATGTCCAACCAGTTCTGTGCAAAAAACAAAATACGGCCTGGCAAATCCAGTCAGTGATTGACCCCTGGGGACCACATACTCTACCTAAACTCACACCTGTGGCGATGATTATTTTGAGCCAATAAGTTGATCAAGAATCACTCACTCCTACATGGAAATATTGTTGATTAGAAGGACATGACCAGCATTGGTGGAGAATACTTACTGATTCTGTGGTTGGAATTGTTGGAACACCAATTGTACGCCATCAATCGGAAGATGCAAACACATGTATACGAGGACAAGTTGACATACCCAGCAGAATGGTGCTGATTTGAGATATGGTTAATTAGCGCAGTGCTAATTGCTCAGTATTCCAAACCTACACAGCATATATTATTCCGAGATAGCGCATCTAGTTGGTTTCCAAGTCAGCCCAATTTACAATCACACTTAAGCTACATACACTGAGATACAGGCCAGTCACGAGGGACCACCGTTGTCTCTGCTGAAAATCAATTATATTTTCACGTTGTTCTTATGATGCGGGACACTGCTCACCCAGACCAGCTCAATCTATAAAGTAATTCTTAGCGAGATGGCTGCTCCGGTAATGACATCAACCTACCTCGTGTCTGAATGTCAATACTAGAAATGGGATGAGAATATTAGCAGTTCGTCAATACTTTATTGCTCACCCCAATCGTATATTAACCCAGCACAGCCAGCAACTGCGAAATCATCAGTCGATACTGTCAGAATAATACATCAAATACGTGACAATTGTCATAAAACGGTGATACATAAACATTGTGAGTGGTCTGGGCTTGATAGGCTGTAGGAGTAATACATCAGGGCGGATCCTCCCAGCAGGTACTAGCAGGAGTAATACATCAGGGCGGATCCTCCCAGTAGGTACTGATAAGAGTGACACATTACTTGAATGTTGTGAGTGGTCTGGGCTTGCACGTGGGCGGAGTGATACATCAGCGCAGATCCTCCCATCAGGTACCAGCCGCATCAGCACAGATCCGGATCCCAGATCCTCCCAGTAGGTACAGCTGACAAGTGATGTATCAGCATTAGTCTGTCCAGTACTAGAGCCCCTTCAGTGAATTCACTCCGTCTCAGACGGACAGCCGAGTGTGACAATG